TTTTAGATGTCCCTTTTATGATGAGGTACGCAGAGATAGCATTGACCCCCAGCTGGTGAGGCTTGCTGACCTTCCGGATAAGTCTAAACTCAATTTTCTCCTCTTAGGCAAAGACCACAAGACAAACCGTATGGTCGCCAGATTCTGCGTGCAGATTTGCATGCGCAGACTTCTCCCGAAACAAATTAACGTATTTTTGCTCCATAAGACGCACCAGACCATAAGACGCACCTAGTTTTTGGAGGAGGAAAACAAGAAAAAAAATATTCTGAATCCCAGAAGCCAGAACAGCAACAGGGATCACTGCGCAGCGAAAGCAATGATCCCTCTTGCTGTTCTGGCTTCTGGGATAGCTGCGCAGCCTGCATTCGCTCCATAAGACGCACACACATTTCCCTTTACTTTTTAGGAGGGAAAACGTGTGTCTTATAGAGTGAAAAATACGGTAGTTCACTAGGAAAACAGTCGAAGTCAGCCTCCAGGGTGTCAGGGCCAATTTGTATGGTAGCCCAAATTTTTAGGTCTTTATGTGTATATGCGCTTATCTTAGTTTTTAATCTTTAAGCTGTCGTTGTACACTGCTTTAAATGTATATTTTATTCTTGTGAAAGCTGTCCCAGTTGTGCTTTTTGAGCTGGTCTTTGACCGTAATAAATTATGATGATGATAGTGACCACCACTACAACTTGTGGCTTTGAGCCCCGTAGTTTCACTATTACGTGCCGTGTGCAGAGGTGCTCCCTTTTGTCTCTCCTGAACCTTTCAATATTCAGCAATGGATGATCTTGGGTTCTAGGATTATGAGAGAAGAAGGGAAAATTATTTGAAAGGAGGCTGGTCCGGTGGGCCCAATGCAGCACTAACCCCACCAAGTGCAATTTGCCCTATGCAGTCCCTACCAACATGCCTTGTTTCTTAGGAACAATCTCAGGGGGTGGTCTCAGCTGGCAGCTTCCTCCTCATTCTTACTGTCACAGTTGCCTTTGTGGAACTCAGCAGGAAAGAAGATGGTGACAAAATTAGAACTAGTTGGTTCTGCTTGTCATTGGCTCTGGCGCCACCTACTGTTCACCTCCCTGTCCTCCACCCTACCAGTCACAATGGACATCAGCCAGCACTGCTTATCTCCATTGACTTTTCCACCACCATCAATATTGACACTGTATAAATATAGAGTACCCTATTCTTGATTTACTTTGTGCTGTTTTTAATATTGTATTTTAAATTACTATTTAAATTACCTCCCCCCACCCTTTAGGACCTTATGGTGAATGGTGAGTAATAAATTCAATTAATAAAACAACAACAATTTTATATACTTATTTCTTGTCCCCCCCTTACTCATCTTTTCTGTAAACCCAAATGCTCCAGATGTTCCCATATTTCCTCATGGAGCAGTCGGTCTGGCACCTTCATTACTTTGCTTGATCTTTTCTGCTGTTTTCCCCCACCATGACAATAGCCTTTTTGCGGTGTGGACCAGAACTTTTTGCTGTATTCCAGGTGTAGTCATAGCAGAGATTTGCATAAAGGCAAATTTTACTTTCTGTCCCTTTCCTAATGATCCCTAATATGGGATTCACCCTTTTCACAGCTGCCATATACTGCAGGAGTGTTTTTGTCCCGTTGCTTGGTCCCTGCTCCTGCCAACCTAGCAGTTCGAAGGCACGTCAAAGTGCAAGTAGATAAATAGGTACCAATCTGGTGGGAAGGTAAACGGCGTTTCCGTGCGCTGCTCTAGTTCGCCAGAAGCGGCTTAGTCATGCTGGCCACATGACCCGGAAGCTGTACGCCAGCTCCCTCGGCCAATAAAGCGAGATGAGCACTGCAACCCCAGAGTCGGTCACGGCTGGACCTAATGGTCAGGGGTCCCTTTACTTTTACCACTGTTCTCTTTTCAAGATTTGGAAATAAACCATGGTCCCAAGCCCATCCTAATGTGTCAAAAAATGGGGATCCATCACAATGAGAGTATAGAGGGGCTCTCTCAGTTGCTAGAGAGACTCTCTCAGTTGCCTTGACCTACGAGGAGGCGGTGCGGGAGGAGAGACAAAGGCTGAAGGGAGGGGGAGGAAAGCAGGCAGAAAGAGAAGCAGGCAGAATAAAAAGGCTGACATTGATTTAGAATGGACCAGCAGATTCTGCCTGCATCTGTCTCCAGAAGCTATGCAGGTATAGGCTGCAGATCCATCCCAACCTTTTTCTGCCAATGTGGTGTAATGGTTAAGAGTGGTAGTCTCGTAATCTGGGGAACCGGGTTCGCGTCTCCGCTCCTCCACATGCAGCTGCTGGGTGACCTTGGGCTAGTCACACTTCTTTGAAGTCTCTCAGCCCCACTCACCTCACAGAGTGTTTGTTGTGGGGGAGGAAGGGAAAGGAGATTGTTAGCTGCTTTGAGACTCCTTAAAGGGAGTGAAAGGCGGGATATCAAATCCAAACTCTTCTTCTTCTTCTTCTGCTGCCTCCACCTGTTTCTGTCTCATGGCTTTGTCTTTGTCCAAGCCCTGCTCACCACCTTTTGCTCACAGCTGGTGACTGACATCTTATTCTCTACAATGGGAAGGCGAAGAAACCTTAATTTGTTTTGGTTTGCTTGTTATCTGGTTAAATATAAAGAACATGAAAATTGACTGTATCTTTGTCTAAACCTAGCAGTACTTACTGGGTGAGGGGAATGGTATTTTTTAAGTTAGTGTTTTTAAGTTTTTTAATTTAAAGACTAGTTGTTAGTTTTTAAAGTGTTGTCATATGTTGGGGAGCATGTGTATGAGTGTGTGTGTGTGTGTACTTCACACTCGATCTTAAAAGCATGCTTATGAGAAGAGGGAACTTTTTCAGGAGTCAAACCAAGCCCTGCTCAGAAAATGTTTTTAAACAGTTGATTCATGTCACACCAAATGTTGTGCAAGGATGAAGTGCAACTGTGTGTGCCTGAGTGTGTCTTTCTATGTGTGGTGCAGCCAACATGAAAAGGTAGGATCAGGAACTTCCATACTTGGGGTTTCTTCTTGAAATTCATAAGTTTCGCCTAGTGCAGTTACTCTGAGTTATAGGTTGGCAACTATGGAAGGACACTCAGCAAAATAAGTTCCTCACCTCACAGCATTCAGTCTGGTGGGCACTGCTTCTAATAATGGAGAAGAAGATGAAGAAGAAGCATGATGATGGGAATGGGTGTAGACTGAATGGACTAAAAATTATCAAATTTATAAGATATCAGTCTCATTCTGTAGTGCAGTGACAAATTCAGAAGTTCAGGGTCTGAACGCTTCATGATATAGCCACAACCCTTCTTCGATTAGACAATACTGTAATCTAAGATTATACAGTAATCTTATAATGATACAATAATAAAAATTGCAACAATCAATGTATATCTCCTTGTGTTGCCTTTCAGCTAGATCTACTATTTTCTGTGCATGTACATGGGCAAATGATTGGGAGTGTTCCAAAAGGAGTGACGTAAGCTGTGATTTCTATGAAGTTCCATCATGCCTAACAGAGCTTGCACACCATGCTCTTAAAAATGGAGCTCCTTGTGTTTTCAGTGATCCTAAATGCTTAGACTTGGAGCACACAGTGGATAGAAAGCTCCCCTTTCATGCTGATGGATTCAGGGACCCTGCTGCAGGTATAGTGGTGGGTTGCTGACACCTTGCAAACCCTATAACACAATTGCACTGGTCTCATTGCATGTATGGAAAGAAGAGGGCTTTGCTTACATGAGAAGGAGAAGGGATATTCTGAGAGTTTGTACCTTTCCAACTATATAGGCTTCAGAATTATCATGTGGCCTACGTGCTCTGTGTGTGGTATAAATTCCTGCATTTGCAGTAAACAAGCTTTGTCTTACTGATTCTAACAGGCCATAAATTATACCCAGAACTGGCACCAGTGTCTGTTGGGAGGAAATGTGTTCTCTGAGGGGACTGATAATTACTAGTTTGGGAGTTTTTCCAGCACCACAGATGACTTATCGATACTTGGCCTCCTTGTAGTTTCTGGAGTCACAAAGTCTGGTCTGGTATTCTGTGTCACAAACAGAGTGAGGGTCCCAGAGGGGCTAATACCACACTGCAACACAAAGCAAGACTGGTGCCTTGTTCCATCAAAATGAACCAAAGAAAAAGCCAGGTCCAGTCACACACCCTTGCCAAAATTGTTGTTATCCTATTGCCAAAATATAAATTGTAAACTCTCTGGGACAAGGCTCCTCTCTCTGGCCAGCCCTATCATTAGACTTGGTGAGAACACCACCTCAAGCAGAAATGTTGGGGTATCATGAAAGGGCAGCAAATGATTAAGCTTTCTAATTTGTGAAAATCTCTGCAGTGGATTGTTTCCATTAGGACAGGTAGGGTTCAAGGCAGGAGGCCAACAGTAGGGGGAGCCAGAGCCAACAACTGTCACAAACAGAGTCAAGGATAGACATAGCCAACATTTTCTAATTATGTCATCTTCCTCCACACTGAGTTCTATGAGAGCAACATGGAGACTGAGGAGGAGGAAATGGACAGCTAGTGCCACTCCCTAGACAGGTAGTAAGAAAAAAAAATGCTGGTAGGTGATCATGTGTGGGAGAGTTGAGACAGCAGACTGAAACTGATGGGGCAGGGAAAGGTGCTTGTGGGCCTTTCTGCCTCTGGTACTAAAATAACTTAGATGTTCCTGATCACCTGTATATACGTATTAGAAATGTATAGAGGTTAGGTTCCTCCTTCATGTTAGGGTAACATGCAGTTTAATGGTAACTGTCTCTCCCATTAAACAGAGTGAGTGTCTGCCTCACGTAGTTGATTTTGGATGTCAGAAAGGGAAACAAATTATTATTGTTGTATAAGGAATTGGTCGTGCTCTTATTACCTGTCACCAAGTTTACCATTACAACACTGGGGACACATTATATTATATTATATTATATTATATTATATTATATTATATTATATTATTATTTTGGCACAACAATATCACTTTACTGTGTTTTTCAGTGATACATAGCAGCTAGGATAGCTCAGTTGGTACAGCGTGAGACTCTTAATCTCAGGGTTGTGGGTCTAAGCTCTACGTGGGGCAAAAGATTCATGCATTGCAAGGGGCTGGACTAGATCATAGAAACAGAATGTTAGAGTTGGAAGGGACCCAATGGTCATCTAGTCCAACCCCCTGCAATGCAGGGACCTCAGCTAAAGCATCCATGACAGGTGGCCATCCAACCTCTGCTTAGAAACCTCCAAGGAAGGAGAGTCCACTACCTCTTGTGGGAGTCTGTTCTACTGTCCCTCTATGATTCTATGATTTCTTACTTTGCCTTGAGATATAATGTGGAAGGCAATATTATAACAGGAGAAGAAGGATGAAGAAGAAACTGCATTTCTGTACTGTTTTGCATGATCTCCCTTTGAGTTGTGTCAGTTGGTTTATATTCCAATTGTGGAAAAAGGTAAAGTAAAACTTGTGGAGGCGAGAATAAATTAAAGAGCGGCAAATCATCATCATCATCATTCTCTCTTTACTGCCAGGAAGGAGAGAAGAGCGGTTTTTGGAATTTCTGGCTCAAGTGCCAAAATAACTTGACTGCTTTTGTGTACTCTGTACTTTGCTTTGGGGTAAGGTAGGGGGTGGGAAGCAATCATTTTGCTACTTCACCCCAGGGAGCAAAAGGGCAGCAATAAGGCTCCGTAAAGCACTATATACACTAAAAACACTGTGTAAAGAAGAACATCGGTAACAAAGAACTACGCAAAGGCGTGTTGCACCTCATGACAGCTTTGCCTTCCTGTCTGCATGACATAATTACAGAGAAACCTAGAGAAACCAACTCTTAACTTGCAAGAGACAGTCACTCATACCAGGAAGTGAGTGGATAGCAATGCAGCAAAGGTTGTGGAAATTTTCTAAGAAGAAATTGAGCAATGAATGAAAAGGAAGTCCAAAAGCAGAGGCTCCTTTCCTCTTCCCTTCCCAATCCCATCCTGGCAGGTAGTGGTGCTATAAAAGTTGGACTTTGGGACAGAGGTCTGGGCCACAATCAGTAGAATGTGCAGCAGGGCCAACGAATGCCATAGGGCCAGCTTGCTACATTTGGTAAAGGCAAATTACCGTATCTTTTGCTCTATAAGACTCGCTTTTTCCCTCCTAAAAAGTAAGGGGAAATGTGGGTGCGTCTTATGGAGCGAATGCAGGCTGCGCAGCTATCCCAGAAGCCAGAACAGCAAGAGGGATTGCTGCTTTCACTGCGCAGCGATCCCTCTTGCTTTTCTGGCTTCTGAGATTCAGAATATTTTTTTTCTTGTTTTCCTCCTCCAAAAACTAGGTGCGTCTTGTGGTCTGGTGCGTCTTATAGAGCGAAAAATACGGTAAGTAAAACACAATGTGGAGCAACAACACAGGGGTGGGGACCTTCAGATATGGCTGAACTACAACTCCCATCAGCCCCATCATGCATACCAAAGGCTCCCCATGCCTGTAACAGCACATTAAGATTGCTGGACTAGGACCTGGGAGACCAGGGCTCCAATTCCCCACTCAGCCACAAAGTTTACTGGGTGATCCTGGGCCACTCACTGTCTCAGAGCCTAACCTACCTCACAGGGTTGTTGTGAGGATAAAAAGAGAGGGAGAAGAATTCTGCATGCCACCTTGAGTTCCATGGAGGAAAGGTGGGACATTAATATAATAATAAATAAATATAAGCAAACAAACAGAGAGCCAGTGTGGTGTTGTGGTTAGCATGCCAGACTAGGACCTGGGAGATCAGGGTTGAAATCCCCACTCAGCAGGGCACATGCACCTAGAGATGCCAGGGGTTGAACCTGGGACCTTCTGAATGCAGCCTATAAGGCCCTTAGAGCCAGTGTGGTATAGTGGTTAAGAGTGGTGGACTCGTAATCTGGTGAACCGGGTTCGCTTCCCAGCTCTTCCACATGCAGCTGCTGGGTGACCTTGGGCCAGTCACACTTCTCTGAAGTCTCTCAGCATCACTCACCTCACAGAGTGTTTGTTGTGGGGGAGAAAGGGAAAGGAGAATGTTAGCCGCTTTGAGACTCCCTAGGGTAGTGATAAAGTGAGATATCAAATCCAAACTCTTCTTCTTCTTCTAATGATGAATATGTTTATTTTTAAAAAGTAGAAAAATTAGGCTAGATCAAGGTTAGCCAACATGGTGTTGGCTTTTTTGTTTATTTCATGTATAATGTGCTTCCTATAAGGCATCTTGAAGTGACTTCATTGCATATATAAAAACCAGTGCTATTTTTCTAGCAAAATAGGTGCTGGAACTCACCATGAATCCCTCCCTTGTTCTCTTATAATTGCAATGGCACCCAATGCAGGAAACTCAACCAAAGCATCCCTGATAGATGGCCATCCAACCTCTGCTTTAATACCTCCAATGAAACAAATATGCATTAAACCATTGTTCAAAACAAAGGGACAGTAAAATAAACGTGCATAAACCATCATGATTCAAAACAAAGAAAAATCCAATAAAATTTGAACAACAAATATAGGGCTTGATCACAAATGCTTATGCCATAATAAATCTACCAGTTTTTAAAGAGACTTTGCTTGTTCTTTATTATGAATAATAATTTTATACCTCTTTTAACTGGTTACAAAACCAATTAACAACATGAAACAAAAGAGAGTAATGATTCCAAACAAGACTGAGTGTCCACAAGTGTGGCGTGTTGGGTTGGCGTGTTGGGCTGTGACCTGGGAAGCCATGAAAATCCCTGACCTTGGGCCAATCACCCTCTCTCTCAGCCCAATTTACCTCACAGGGTGTTGGTAGGATAAATTAGGAAGGCGGAAATGATGTACACCACCTTGAGATCCAGGGTGGAGTGGGGAGGAAGATGATATATAAAAAGAAAACAAGTGGTTAGTAACAGACAGCATAATACAAAATACAAAACACAGCTGAAAATAAAACCATAAGAATATAATCACATTAGAGCTCAACACTACAATTGAATGTGTGCCTGAGATGGTCTCCTACTATATCCTTGAGAAGTAAAAGTGTCAGGGAACTGACATCGGAGCTAGAGGCAGAGGGAAGGCTCTCAAATGATGCTGGAGAAGGGCCCAGCAGGGAGAGAGGCAGCTCCGCAGATGGGGAAGCAAATCAGCGCAACACCAGGGATAAAGGGGGGCAGATGGGGGAATCGGCGAGAGGGCTCCAAGACTCTTCACCGGACACCAGCGGGGAGAGCACGGGTCCTCCGCTACCCACGCCCTCCCTGCGCAGAAGACTTCCGCGCCGAGAGAGTAGGAGGAGACTGGGTGTCAAACAACTTTTATGTTGGAAAAGATTTAAGAAACGCCCACTGACAGATTCTGCTAGCGACTGAGGCAGCCACGAAGTGAAGGGCTGCCCAGACTGAAAGGTTTAACAAGGCAACAAAGCCAGGAGAGGCGGCAACTTACGCACGAGCAACCCATACTCATTACAGCAATCCGTCAGTCCCTGACGTCGCTCGTGCACAGCGACAGGCAGGCAGCATCATGAGCAAAACCGAAGAAGCTGGCACCACGGAGGGAGCAGCTGGAGTGCAAAATCTGGTGGAGAGGAACCGAGATTTGGAACAGCATGTGGCTCTGCTGATGGCGCGGCTGGACGAAAGGCGGTCTCAGGATGCTCAGGTCAGACCCACCCCCGTAGCAAGGAAGGTACCGGGACTGGTACACAAGTTTGGAGGGAAACCCCAGGACTACAGTGCGTTCCAAACGGAAATAGAGTACGCGTTGGAACTGCAACAGAATGATTTTGCAGACGATGGGGAGAGGGTTGCCTATATTGTCGGACATCTGCAGGATGGGGCCAGAGAATGGATCAGGCCCCTAATGGCAACGCAGAATGCCGCCTTGAAAGACCTGGGGAAATTCTTCCAGGCGATGGATGCGATGTATTCCAGTGATGTACAGCAAAGTGTGACTCGGCGGGAACTGATGGGCTGCAAACAGGGGAACCAGTCAGTTAGAGACTACTGGTCACGCTTTGCCATGTTAGTCCACCGGCTCGGGTGGGATTTGGACTCTGAACCCATTCAAATGCTGTTCGAGGAGGGGTTGTCCCCAACGGTGAAGGACGAGCTTTCCTGCGCACCCCGCCCGCAGTCGATGGATCAGCTGACCAAGGCTGTGCTTGCAATTGGTGTAAGGCAGGAAGCGCGGGCCCAGGAGAAGTGGGAAGAGAGAGAGCAACGTTACCATGACTACCGCATTCCTGAAATACCAAGGCAGCCTTCCCCGCCGGCGGAGCCAATGGAAATAGATGGGGCGCATGCGCGGGAGATTTCAAACTCCAGTGAAAGTCGCAAGAGGGAGGGAAAGGATGGGAAAACCACCAAGAAGTGTTTTCTCTGCCAGCGGCCAGGACATTTTGCCAGGGTCTGCCCGCAAAGAAAGGCCTGGCAAGGGATGGTGGGAGCTGCAGGGGGTGAGGAGGAGATGGTAAAGGAGGAGGGAAACGCCAATGCTTGGCTGCCACTCAGCGGGCACAGCAGCCAGGCCAGCAACCAATAGAAGTGCCCCGACCAGACCCCCCCAGGGCGGCTATAGCCATAGAAGTGGTGCTAGAACTCCCAAATGGGCACCCAGTCAAGGTGAAAGGGCTGTTGGATTCAGGCAGTTCCTGCAATTTCTTCAGCAAGGACTTTGCACTAGAGCACCAGCTCCACCTGCTGCCCCTGGATTTCCCCTTGCAAGTAACCACCATTGATGGCAGGGAGCTTCTGGGAGGGGAAGTGACGCACCAGACCCCACCAATGAGAATGAGGGTTTCCAGGCACACGGGGACCATCGCCTTCACGTAGCCTCACTGGCAGGGCCCCCAATAATATTAGGGATGAGCTGGCTAGCACAACATGATCCAGTGGTGGCATGGCATCAGAGAACGGTCACCTTTGGGTCCGCTTACTGCTTGGAACACTGTCTAGGGGGAGAAACCCCAAGTGGCCAGGGTGGCTGGGATAGCTTTGGAGCCGAAAGGGGAGGTGCCACCACAATATGCTGACCTGCAGGAGGTCTTCAGCGAGAAAGAGGCAGATAGACTACCCCCACATAGGCCCTTTGACTGCCAAATCAACTTGCTCCCTGGGGCGCAGCTACCGGTGGGTAAACTGTATGCCATGTCGGACAGGGAGATGAAGGAGTTGCGGGAGTTTATTGACAAGAACCTGAAGAGGGGGTTCATAAGGGAATCAAAGGCGGTGGGGGGCAGTCCGGTGTTCTTTGTGGACAAAAAAGGGACCAACCAGCCCAGATTGGTCGTAGATTTTAGGGCGTTAAATTTGGTATCAGAACCCGTGACCTTCCCAATGCCCAGGATTGACGACATTTTAACACGGGTGAGGCAGGGAAAGATTTTTACCAAGCTGGACCTCAGGGGAGCCTACAATTTGATTAGGATGAGGGAGGGGGACGAATGGAAGACCACAATGTTCAACCCCTGGGGGCCTTTGAGTACTTAGTTATGCCATTTGGATTACAGTCAGGCTCCGCCTGTTTTCAAGCTTTCATGCACCACGTGTTGGGGTCCCTGCTGTACAAGAACTGCATAGCCTTCTTGGATGATGTCTTAATCTATTCGGACAATGAGAAGCAACATGTCAGAGACGTCAGGGAAGTGCTAAAGAGACTGCAGAAGCACCAGTTGTGGGTCAAGCTGGAAAAATGTCAGTTTCACGCCAGAGAAGTCGAGTTTCTGGGGTACAAGTTGTCAGACAAAGGCTTAGCGATGGACTCAAGCAAGGTGCAGGCAGTGCTGGAGTGGAAGACTCCCAAAACCCAGAAGGACGTGCAGAGGTTCCTAGGGTTCAGCAACTTCTACAGGAAGTTCATCAAGAACTTCGCCCACTTGACAGCACCCATCGCAGATTGTCTCAGTAGCAAAAGGAAGTTCGCCTGGACAGAGGAGGCCCAACAATCCTTTGAAAAACTGAAGAAGGCGTTCGCATCGGAAGAGCAGTTTGTGGAAGAAATGGAAGCCCTGCACCAGCAACTTAAGATGAAATGGAGCGGGCCAAGGAAATTTACAAGAGGCAGGCAGACAAGCGCCATAGGGAAGGGGAGACCATACAGGTGGGAGATCAGGTGTGGTTGTCAACCCAAGGGTTACCTTTTAAGGGGGGGTGCAAGAAGTTGCAGCCCAGGCGGCTGGGACCGTTTGAGGTAACACAGCAGGTGAACCCAGTGGCATTCAAGCTCGAATTGCCAGACAGCATGAAGATACACCCGGTGTTCCATAGGTCCCTACTCTCACCGTACAGGGAAGGACGGGGATTCCCGGGGTGAGAGGGAGAAGTCACCACACACCCGCAGGTAGAAGAGAGGGAGCACCACAACTTGGCCACGGAAATACTTGATTCAAGGTGGCGAGGGCGCCAGGTGGAGTACTTGGTGGCTTGGGAGGGAGAACCCGGGTCGGAAAACACGTGGGTTCCCACGGAGGCAATCACTGATGGGTATCTGGTGGAGGAATTCCACCGCCTGTTCCCGGACAAACCCAAACCACTAGTGAGATTCTGGGAGGAGCAATTTGGAACCACAGACGATGAAGAGGATTTTGCGGGTTTTTCTGTCTCCGAAGGGGAGGGAGAAGAGGCTTCGGAGGAAGAAGAATCAGACTGGGAGGCCCACCCCGCGGGAAGGGATCAGAACGCGTGGGAAGTGGGTTTTGAATCCTCAGAGGATGGCGACAGCTCCTTCCGGGGGTTCCCCGCATCGTCGGCCGAAGAAAGGGACGAAGTTGGGTCAACAGGTTGGGCCGGGGGTGGTGGGGGTCCTGGGGGGGAGGTGGATGTCAGGGAACTGACATCGGAGCTAGAGGCGGAGGGAAGGCTCTCAAATGATGCTGGAGAAGGGCCCAGCAGGGAGAGAGGCAGCTCAGCAGATGGGGAAGCAAATCAGCGCAACACCAGGGATAAAGGGGGGCAGATGGGGGAATCGACGAGAGGGCTCCAAGACTCTTCACCAGACACCAGCGGGGAGAGCACGGGTCCTCCGCTACCCACGCCCTCCCTGCGCAGAAGACTTCCGCGCCGAGAGAGTAGGAGGAGACTGGGTGTCAAACAACTTTTATGTTGGAAAAGATTTAAGAAACGCCCACTGACGGATTCTGCTAGCGACTGAGGCAGCCACGAAGTGAAGGGCTGCCCAGACTGAAAGGTTTAACAAGGCAACAAAGCCAGGAGAGGCGGCAACTTACGCACGAGCAACCCATACTCATTACAAAAAGTATCATATTTTTCTGTGTATAAGACGGTGGTTTTTTTGCTAAAAAAATTAGGCCAAAATTGGGTGTCGTCTTATACATGGATAGTGAATGCAGAGTGAGGCGGGTGTGATTGCGGGCTGCGGCAAGCAGGCATGCATGCGGGCTCAACAACCCCCCCCCCCCCCCCCAAGCTTAATTTTCAGATGGAAGTTGGCTAACTTAAAAGCTCAACAACCGAAGGGTGACCTCCCCCAAAATTGGGGTCGTCTAATACACGGGGTTGTCTTATACATGGGAAAATACGGCATTGTGAGTTTGGAGGGAGTTGGTTCCCTAGATCCAGCAAGGGTTAAAATCTAATGGGGGATTTGATTGTTGGAATAGCCAGGCCAACTTATTGGTAAGGCCTTAAGTACAGGGTTCCTTAGTATACAAAAGGAATCTGCTTTGTGCCAGGGGGCACGTGTGTGGGCCCCCTACTTCATCTGGCTAGTAGTGAGAAAGATAAAGGCAGACTGGAGTGTGGGAGAGAACCAGGCTAGAAGCCTGAGAGCGAGAGATATGCTTGATTTCATACCCTCCAACATTTCTCTGATGAAAATAGGGATGTCCTATTCCATCAGCATCACATTTATACCCCACCCATCTGACTGGGTTGCCCCAGTCACTCTGGGTGACTTCCAACACGTATAAAAACATTACAAAACATAAAAACTTCCCTATACACGGCTGCCTTCAGATATCTTCTAAAGGTTGCATAGTTACTTATCTCCTTGGCTTGGGGGCCGCATAGCTCCATATCCTCTAGCGTTCCTCCAATCAAAATACGGACGTCCTAAGGAAAAGCAGGACATTCTGGGATCAGATCAGAAACCAGGACAGCTTCTGTAAATCCGGGACTGTCCCTAGAGAAGACATCACTTGGAGGGTCTGTGATTTCTGCTTGAGTCCAAGGCTGCAGCTATGGGAGAAGTAAGACCTTCAGGGGTGTTAATGCTGGGAACTGCTGCGTTGTAGGCTCAGGTTGAATACATGTGTAAATAAAGCATATATCCTAAAGACACCACTGTCTCTGCTGCCCCTGATTCCAAGGAAATGTAACCCTAAGTAAGTGCCTGGAACCCCTGGAATCTCATACAGCTTGTAGGTTGGAGCAGAACGCAGCAGCATTGAATAAAATGAATCTAGCGTTGTTGATTCCGATGAGAGAGAGAGAGACAAACAAACAAACAAACTTAAGAAGAAACTTCTGGAACAGGCCAAGGCCCATCTAGTCCAGCCTTCCTGTTCTCACAGTGTCCAACCCAGTGTCGCCTGTGAATAACAAAATCAACCCATACTGATCATGGGACAAGTCCCAAGGAACTCATTATGTCTTATTTCTGTTCAGACATGCATAGATTGTGCCACATTTCTCCACAACCTCTCCTACCACAACTTAAACCTTATTTATTGTTAAACCCAAAGATGCTGTGGAGACAGATGTTCAATATTTAGTCAACCGATCAGTAAAATGAAACAATTTTTAAAAAATCAAACAACACCAGTTTCGATTGACTGAAAGAGTGTCCTGCATGAATTAGCTAGCCAGCAGGATTTTTGTTTTTGAGTTTTTTGCCCTGCCGTTTCGACGTGTCTGCTCCAGGGGTGAGGAGAAAGATGTGACTTTCCAGGTATACTTTATTGGACTACAACTCCCATCATCCCTGATCGTTGACCATGCTGGCTGGGGCTGATGGGAGCTGGCGTCCAAAAACATCTGGAGGGGCACCGATACCCCTGTCTCTGGTCTACTCAGAAGGAAAGCCAGTTGCGGAATTCTCTGGCGAGCGCATACACAAAACTGCAGCCTGCCTTAGACAACTGTAAAGCATTGTGCAATTGGAGGGGGCGGGTCTTGATGATGTGCGGGGCGGAGAAGAAGCGAGGCCGCCCACTCGAATCAAACACGGCAGCTGGAGCGCCGCGGACCCCAGATACCTTCTGTTGAAACGGGTAGCCGCCTCGTTTGGGAAGCTGGCTGCGTCGGTGGGAGTCATGGAGGACGCGGAGAAAGGCGCTCGCGGCAAGCGGGAGACCGTCAAGATCGGAGGTGAGACGAGCTGAGGCTTGCAAAGTTGGGGCAGCCCCATCCTTCTTCCTTTCTTTTTTGGTCGAGGCTGGGGGTACGAGCAGAGCTGGGGGAAGGAAAGGCAGACAGCCTGGTTCTACTCAGAGTAGTCAGACCGACTCAAATGAACAGACAGGACGAACTTGGGTCCATTAATATAACTGGGTTTATACTAAGTTGGCTACACACCTGTTGCTTTCGAGCATGCACAGGGTGTGCCTGTTTCAGCTTCCGATAATCGCACCCTAAAATGAGTACTTAAAAAAATCTGGAGGTTTTGAGATAGGGGCGAAAGGGGCGTGCATGAGCGTGCGATTTCCGTTTAGGGGAGGCTCGGTCTAAGCTACGGCGTCTGACGGTCGTAGTCTTGCTTTCTGCGGTGAAACACAGGAAACGCTGAGAACCTCAGATAATGTACAAATGTTACCTGCTTTCCTCTGGAGGGAGTTTATTTGGGTGGGTGTGGATGAGAGCACGCCTGCGGTGAAGGTACTCCTTGGCCTCGCTTTGCAGGAGGGTTCATGGTCTTTTGCAGGAGTTTGAATCTTCAGAATCTTCTACTTGCTTGAAAATGGATAAGCCCTGTAGCAGGAGTTGAGGTTCATGGGCTTGTTGGGGTGCGAAGCCTGGAATTTCACTCTCCCCGAGACCTGATTTTTTAAGTTTCTGGAAGGGAGTTTGTGTGGAAGGGGCTACTATCTTATGGACTGGAAACTTGATTTCAGCTCAATAATGCTCAGATTGTGGTCAAACTTTCATATGATAAACGTATTCAGCAGCCTGTAATCTGTCTTCGCTTTGCGAAATCTCCCTTGGCTCCTTCTACAACTGAAATTTGTATTGACTCTTTACAGAAGCAAAGCTTAAAGCTATGTATACTTAAGATGAAATTAATCCCCTGGAGAAATTCTAGAACCAATGCCAACCTTTACATACATCCAGGGACTCATTTGTTTACCCTACTAGAATGTTGATGTTACCTGCTATCTTGGTGACTGGCTACCTGATGGGTTAAAAAGCAAAACAGTTACTAACTATTTTTTCCAGGAACTTTATTTTAATAAACAAGGTGAAAGATGGATTGATAATGTGCCTTGGGTACAATTAAATTTCAGTTTGGAGAGTCTTCCTCTGACAATGGTGCTATAACAGCTGTTGATAGATTTTATCTCAGTGAATTCATTCAGTCCTCTTTTAAAGCCACCCAAGTAGATGGACATCACTGCCTCATGTGGGAATGAGCTCCATAGTTTAACTATGTACTGCCTGAATAATAGCTTTATTTTATATGTCCTGAATCTTTCATCATTGTGCTTCTCATTGGGTGTCCACAAGTTATAGAGTTACGACAGACATTTCTCTCCACGTCTCACATAATTTTATAAACTTATATTGTGTCACTTCTTACACGCTTTTTCTCTAAACTAAAAAGTCCCAAATGCTGCAATCTTTCCTCATAGGAGAGGTTTCTCCAGCCCCTTGATAATTTCATTGCCCTTTTCTGAACCTTTTCCAACTCAACAAAACCTGTCAATACATGAGCTTGTCAGCTAATTCAAAATCTAAGCTGAGGGGATTTTTGCAAACTGTGAATAGTAAATATCACTTATGGTGAAGTGAAACTGTTAGCTACTCAGATGTTTTCAGTACTGAAGATCACTGTAGTTATTACAGCTGTCACAAACCAGTTACTCCCACTGTATTGATGCTCACATTAATTATTTGTGTAATACCATGGTTTATCATCTGAGCCAAGAAGGAGATTCACTTAGAGGTAATTCCTTTAAATTTATGTGAATCTTAAATATTCTTTTAATAGTAAGTTCATATGCAGCATAAAGGATCTGGAGCCTGATAGCCTTTCAGCAGTATCCAGCCCTTTGCAAGATCAATGGCTTTTGATCCAAGTTCCTGGTCATAACCATAGCTTTTGACAATCTTAAGAAGAAAAACTTGATGAGAGACACTAAGCATTTCTTGTAAATGCAGATCATGTGCTAGGAACAATTGTGAAGTAGCAAGATTTCATGTTGTTCTCTGCCTGCAGTTATGTGGTTTGAGAACCACACATCTATGTATATTTTGCACACATGTAAAAAATAAAAGACTGTCCCATTTCAAGTACTTGGCTCCAAATATTACCAGTTATAATCAGGATGTCCAGTTATTGAGAGTTAAGTTGCAGTCTCCAGTTCTTCTAGTATGAACAGGTCACATGGGGTTGGGAAAACTTTGGGTACAAGATTTACCAGATACAAAGAAAACAAAAGCATTCTTCCATGTTCTCACTAAGCATCAAGCTTCTAGGAGATGGGAAGGCAAACCAAGGCCCGGGGGCTGGATCCAGCCCAATCAACTAAATCCGGCCCATGGACGGTCTGGGAATCGGTGTGTTTTTACATGAGTAGAATGTGTGCTTTTATTTAAAATGCATCTCTGGGTTATTTGTGGGGCATAGGAATTCGTTCATTCCCCCCCCCCCAAAAAAAAATAGTCCGCCCCCCCATAAGGTCTGAGGCACAGTGGACTGGCCCTCGGCTGAATAAAATTGCTGACCCCTGTTCTAGAAGGTGAATCTATTAAAAATGAGTTTATACCCATCACATTAACAATCTTATATGAAAGTCTCAAGGGCAATGGCAATGCTCTAGAGAACATCCAAGAACAATCCAACCAGTTTGCTTTGGACGTTTTGCTCAAAGGCAACATCTTGGGATTCAAGTCTCATTGGTACTCTTTGGGTGTCCCAATAGGGAGGGGGTAGGTTGAGGGGGAGGGGAAGCAGCCTCCTTTGCCCCAGCCTAATCCTCAGTCAATATTAGGGGGCTAAGGTTGATTCTGCTAAGTATAAAAGGCTACACCTCCTAAAATTTTGATGCATAGGACCACCAGCCATCAGATTTTTAAGCCACTGAGCTCAGTGCTGAATGGCAGCATTATTTCAGGCAGGATTCCCTCCCAACCCTACCAGGAGATGCAGAACCTGGGAACTTTTGCAAATAATGCTGGTGCTCTAGGACTGATGAGCTACGGCCCTTTCCCAAACATCAGCAAGTGGAATGGGTCAAGGCCAGGGTGACCACCTGCAGGCTTTGGCTGCAGGCACAGATGTTGTCTTTTGCCTACTCATGGGCCACCCTAAGCAATGCTCGCCTCCCTCTAAGCCAGGGGTCAGCAAACCTTTTCAGCAGGGGGCCGGTCCACTGTCCTGCAGACCTTGGGGGGGGCAGACTATATTTTTTTGGGGGGGGGAGGGAATATGAACAATTTTCGCCTGCCTGCAAAGAGGCCTGAAGATGCTTTGCTGTACCTGTCCCAGTTGTTGACCCAATAATTGCAGTTGGGCTTCTCAAGCCAGCCAGGCGCCGTGGAGGGGTAGGAGGCTGTGTTGGCTGGTGAAGACAGAAGCAGCAGCCCCGGCGGAGGAGCCGCTGGCAGAGGTAGGGGAATCAGGGCGTCGATGGAGCTTTTACCCACCACCTGCTGGTGCTGCTGCTTCCTGAGGGGAACCGTGAAGAAGAAGACAGAGCTGACCGCCAACCCATAAGTGGCGTCTGTGGCCACTGCAACAACCCACCTGAACGCCATGGGAGGAATGAAGGAGGGAGGGAGGCAGGCAGGCAGGCAGCAACAAAGAAAGCGTGCGAGGAAGTGGCGTGGAAAAGCAGGGCAGAGAAGGAAGGAAGGAAGGAAGGAAGGAAGGAAGGAAGGAAGGAAGGAAGGGTGGACTGAGGGAGAGGGAGGAGGAACAGGAGGAAAGCGCAGCAGCTGCCAGCATCATATGCCCCCTTCACAGCACCACCCTGCTGAGGCAGGCAAGCCGACTCTCGCTGTCGATGGCACCCGGCGTGGGACAAGATTGCTCCATCTCTGAGGAGAAAAGCGGCGCTGTGTGAGGGAGGGAGGGGCAGGGAAAGAATGTGCACACTGGCGATCCACGCGGCGATTCCCGGACAGGATGTAGAAGGCAATTGGGCCTGATCCGGCCTGTGGGCCTTAGTTTGCCGACCCATGCCCTAAGCCAGGCATCTACAACCTGCGGCCCTCCAGATGTTTTGGCCTACAACTCCCATGATCCCTTGCTAACAGGACCAGTGGTCAGGAATGATGGGAATTGTAGTCCAAAACATCTGGAGGGCCGAAGGTTGGGGATGCCTGCCCTAAGCCATACTGCCCTTCTGTTTCTGGCTGTGTTTGGGGGAAGGGGAAGCCCCAAGATTTATGGGTGCTGCTGGTGCCCGTTTTCCCAGAATGCTATCTGCAGCATGAGCAGAGAATGCAAACAGAAGAGAAGTGGAGAAGGAGGCGGAGTTTGGTATCATTTCTCCTGCTTCGCAATGTTGCAAAAATGATATCTTGCAGTTTGTTGCTGCCTCTTGCAAAAGTCCAGTGGAAAGGAAAGACTCCCTCAATGCAATCTGAGTTCATTTTCTCATTCCTGGCATTGGAATTTTGCAATCCAGCCTGCAGAACTGAAAACACTTCTTCTCCTTTGTTTTATGATATCCTTTGTAAAGAAAAAGAGAAGTGTGAGCTAGTGCCTGGTGAGGGTTGCTAGGAAGTCAAGAGGTGCAACCAATTTGTTCTGGTTTTCTTCCTGTCCACCTCCTCTTTTGCAAAGATTCTGTGGACACTTAATCATTGCACCTGTGCAACACTTAAAACATAACTAAACTGGAAAGTGTATTGGGCCCATCTGCACAGTATTATGTCAGTGTTATGCCACTTTAAACAATCATGGCTTCCCCCAAAGAATTCTGGGAGCTGTAGTTTGTTAAGAGTTTTAAGGAGACCTCTGTTCCCCTTAACAGAGCTACAGTTATCAGAGTAATTTAACAACCACTCCCTCTTTGCAGGGAATTCTGGAAATTATAGCTCTGTGAGAGGGAATGGGGGTGTCCTAAGAAATTGGGGGGGGCACTTGGTAGAATGTACTTTCTTTATTCAGTGATTTGACACCTTGACTTAAAAGACAGAAAGTGGTGAAGATGGATGTTATCATGGACTGAGTAATCATATTTTCTTTCTTTATATAACCAGCAGATGGAAAATCAGAAGTGTTTCTTTTGTATCTTTGGCTTTTGTATCTTTTCTTTCTTCTGGTTTTACTTATTCAAATTGTATCTTCTGTAGTTGTAATTTTACTGTTTTACGGGAAAATCTTAATAAAAGACCTTAAACAAAAATCAGGGAGAGAGATCTAAATCTAGGCAAGCAACAGGCATTCTTGTAGTTCGTAGATGCACACCAGCTTGGCAAAAGCACTTGGGGAAACTGAAAAGCAGGATCAGGGAGGGTTGTGAGAGAGCAGGTGTAGCATGGGAAGAGATCAGTGATCCCTGGTGGGCTGCAGTTGCCCCTGGAATCTCATTTGAACCTTGCCCTTTATCCATTTGGGTTTACTTAGCAGCAATAATAATAATAATAATAATAATAATAATAATAATAATAATAAATTTGTGGTATGTTTACATATATATAATACATATATATAATTTTACATACATATAATGCCCACCAAACACAGTTTGCCAGAAGAAATTGAAGTGAAATGTTTGATAGGGTGTGTCTATGTATGGATTCAGTAGAAGGCTCTTATTGTTTACATACCCACCAAACTTACATTTTTGCATCATTGTTTGTGGCTCATACTCAATCATGGTTCAGAGTTGGGGAACCTGTGACCCTTCAGCTCCAACCAGCATGGCCAGGTGTCAAGGATGATTTAAAAAAAAATTATTTATACCCCACCCTCCCTGGCCAGAGCCGGGCTCAGGGCGGCTAACACCAGTAAAATTACAGTAAGAACATAATGGGGGGGGGGGAATTAAAATACAGGTTAAAATGCAAATTAAAATGCAGCCTCATTTTAAAAGTAGCCCATAGATCAAAACCATAAGGGGAGGGAAAAATAAGGGTCAGACCAAGTCCAAACCAAAGGCCAGGCAGAACAGCTCTGTCTTGCAGGCCCTGTGGAAATATGTCAAGTCCTGCAGGGCCCTAGTCTCCTGTGACAGAGAGTTCTACCAAGTCGGGGCCAGTACTGAAAAGGCCCTGGCCCTAGTTGAGACCAATTTAACCACCTTGAGACTTGGAACCTCCAAAATGTTGTCATTTGTGGACCTTAAGGTCCTCCACGGGGCATACCAGGAGAGGCGGTCCCGTAGGTACGAGGGTCCTGGGCCGATGGGAGCTATAGTCCAGCAACATCTGGAAGACCAGGGTTGTACTGAGCCCTGCAGCACCACTGAGCTTGGATTGGCAGGCTTGGATTGAGGAGGAGGAAGAAATGAGGATGGGGGCTGAATGGTGGGGGATCTGGTTTGATCTGCCCCAACCAGACGCTTTAAAAGGGGAGCGGAACTGCTGTGCCTTCCCCGCCCCCTTCCTGTGGAGCATAGAGACTCAATGAAGGCTGGGGAGGCTTTGATAACCAAGGTGTGACAAAAGTGTGCAGTCTCGTTATCTAGAACGAGATGCCGCCCTCGCTGTGGGAGCAGACAACCCCACCCCAAAAGCACTTGTAGTCCCATAGTTCTTACAAAGTGAGAGAGTCTCGAGAATAAGACTGCCCTGTCTTGTCTTTAAGAGCTTGATGGACAGGCCACATACTGGGAACTTATTGCAGGGACACCTGCAGTTCTGAATTTCTTGCCCTTGCTCCTGAACCCGTGACTCCAGAACCCTGAGCCTGCGCTTTTACTTGCCTTACTTTTACTTTCAAGTAAGAGCCTCCACTTGTGTCTTTTTGGGGTGGAAGGCTGGACAAAAAGGGTTCCCTACTCCTGGCTTAGGTATTCCTGTGGAATAGGTTAACCATGGTTAAAGGGAAACAACCCCTGGTTAAGCATTTGGTCTGCAGAAGCTTGGGAATAAGATCAAATAAATATTCTTTCCCATCTCCACAGAAGTCCCAGAGAAAATATGGGAGAAAATTACTTTTCTGTGCAATGCTGGATCGAATGCTTGATCTAGCTGAGCTGCTGTTGCAGTAGAAGACAAATACGCCTTGCTACATACTTGATTCCCTTTTCCTGTAACTGAATCCAAGGCCAGGAAAAATCTCCGTGTGAACTCTGTGTCACATTCCTGAATATGATCTCATGTTCCTTTTTTAGATGCAGCATTTCATTTTTTGGGCAGTCTCCGAAATTCTCTGGGAGGGGCGATTATGATGGTGATAGACTCTATCTGCACTATCACACCCCTTTAAACAGCCGTGTTTCCCCCCCAGGTAATCCTGTAGTTTGTTCAGGGTGCTGGGAGTTGCTAGAAGACTCCTTCATTTACAGGGCTACAATTCCCAGAGTTCCTTTGGGAAGAGGGATTAACATATGCAGGGATGACTGGAACTATCAATTTTGCTTCTCACAGTTTCTCAAGATTCATTTATCTACATTTTTGCAATAAATTGCATGTTTTTAAAAAGAAAAATCCTCATGAAAATTTGCCAGGATTTTTGTGCAAATGTGTCACAAGAAACCCATTTGTGTGTGTGTGCAGTTTTGACTAAGGTACACATTTTTTTTTTTTGCAAGCAGTTTCCCTTTTTTTTGCAAGCAGGTTTTTTGTTTTGTTTTTTGCAGTCAGTTTTCATTTTCATGAATGTGTGCCCTGATGCACTTTTTATGAACAGTGGTTAGAGAATTGCATTGCAAAAATTTAATAAGTGTGAATTTCTGGCTAGACTGCATTTGCCTCTGGTTGGGCCGCGGCACAGAGCAGGTGTGAGCTGAAGCCAAACTTGACTTTCTGCATCCTATAAAGATGCCATGTCTGTCTGAGCAATAAGGGAGATCACTGGTCATGTTCCTTGTACAAATCCCCTCATGCTTTACCACTCCTGACTTGGCAAGGGCTAGGACTGACAACGGAGAACAACGCACCTTGAATTGATTCATCTGGTATCAGGCAGGAAAGGGGCTTTCTCTGTGGTGGCACCGACAGTATGGCATTATGGAACAGTTTCTTCTTACAGATTCACCTTCAGTGATGTGTCCCTGTCAGTAGTCAGATACATTCTTGTTCTAGATGCAATGATCAGTTTTGTTACTGATTATTGGCTGCTTATGATGTGTCTGGGACGTGGGTGGCGCTGTGGGTTAAACCACAGAGCCTAGAACTTGCCGATCAGAAGGTTAGCGGTTCGAATCCCTGTGACAGGGTAAGCTCCCGTTGCTGGGTCCCTTCTCCTGCCAACCTAGCAGTTCGAAAGCACCTCAAAGTGCAAGTAGATAAATAGGTACCACTCCGGTGGGAAGGTAAACAGCATTTCCGTGCACTGCTCTGGTTCGCCAGAAGCGGCTTAGTTATGCTGGCCACATGACCCGGAAGCTGTACGCCGGCTCCCTCGGCCAGTAAAGCGAGATGAGCACCGCAACCCCAGAGTCAGCCACGACTGGACCTAATGGTCAGGGGTCCCTTTACCTTTTACCTTATGATGTGTCTATTCAAAGTTTTATTGCTTGACAGTTTGTGCATCACTTTGAAACATTTTGTTAAATGTGGTAAGAAATCTTTAAATAAAAAAAACTTTGAAGGGATGCAGCTCATGTATTTGTTCCAGAAATGCAAATTAGGTTAAAATGCAAACATAACTGAATTTCTCCCTTTTCCCTACACAGAAGCAATAGAAGCCCATTTAATGCATGTGCACTTTTTTCCTCCCTTTTCTTCCAGAGGGCTCTGAAGGAAGCATTGGAGTCTGCGGGTGGATCCTGGTTATGGTCTCGTTCTTTTTGGTTACCATCACTTTCCCATTATCCATCTGGATGTGCATAAAGGTAAAAAATAGTTGGTTGGAAAGCAGCTGTGACCTAGGATTCCTTCTCCACTCTAAACAGGAGCAGCGACTGTACGTTGTAGCTGACCTTGGAGCTGGAAGCGACCCGAAGGGTCATGTCTGGGCCCTGCAATTCAGGAATCGCAGATAAAGAATCCCTGACAGATGGCCATTCAAACTTTTGTTTAAAAACCTCCAATGAAGGCAGATTTCACTACCTTCTGGGGGAGTCCGCTCCTTAAATGGCTATTCTTGCAGAAGAGAACTTCAGAGGGAGACTGCATCATGAGGCCACCAGGTTACAATTAATCAAGAGGTTCACTAGTGAACTGAATCTGGGCAAAAGTGTTTTAAAAAACCCAACAACCCACAGCATGCATTAATTGGTTTGCCAATGCCAGGCTGCCTGTGTTGTCAACAATAAAGAAATGTGTTAAGTTTTTAAAGTGCCACAAGCCTCTTTGTCAAGAAACTCCTAATCTCATGAAGCACAATTTTTATATGAAAAGGATCAGGGTAGTTCATTCCTCCTTCAGCTTGATAGGAAGAGTGCGAAGTTGCAGTCTCTCTACATAGTTGCAGAATCTTATGCCTTATTTTGCCCCCTTAAAAAGGCTTTTCTTCTTATTTGGAATGAGCTAATTACAAATGTGGCCCAAATAGCATCAAGGATAGCCTGAAATGGGCAGAATGAAAGGGAACAAAACCACAACCCCTCCCCCACTGACTTTCCTCCCTCATTGCAGATTGTCAAGGAATATGAGCGAGCCATCATATTTCGGCTTGGACGTATCCTAAAAGGAGGAGCAAAGGGGCCAGGTGAGTATTTGCTGTTATGGTTTGTCTTGCCAAAGGCAAGGGGATTCTTTCTGTGGGATTTGGAAGCAAGGCAAGACACAAGAGGGGAAGAAGTCTTAAGATTTATTAGACAGCATGCGGATAATAGATAAGAATTTACCTCCCCAAGCAAGCTATACCTCTGTTTACCTGCTGGGAGCTCCAGAGGTACAGCAGCAGAGAGGACCCCAGCTGTAGTCAGCCACCAAGCGACGTAGCACCCCAGGAGAAGTCACACAATTTAACAACATTAAGCTGTTTAGTAAGGCTAACTGCTGCCTAGGGGAAGCCTCATATTGGTGGCATGAAGGAGCAATTGTATCAGGCCACTCCACCTTCTTGATGTACAGTGTATCTTCTGCTGTGTTTCGCATACATGGTCCCACATGTGGCTGAATTTCTGTGTGGCTGGTCAGCTGCATTGGGGATGGAGCACTGGTGGTGCCCTCCCCTAGGTCTCTAGCCCAGAGGAGGGCACCATCAGTGCTCCAGCCCCAATGCATCTTCATGCATTTGCACCAAGAGCGGTGCCTGGTGCAGTGTCGCTGAATTGACTTTGTCCCATGCACTGCAATACACCTTCCGACCTCTTCCTTGCACATGCGGAGCAGTTAATGCCCTAGAGCTGTTGTGTCCAACAATTGCACTTTTATTTTCCAACAGGTCTGTTTTTCGTATTGCCCTGCACAGACAGCTTTATCAAAGTGGACATGAGGACCATATCATTTGATATACCGCCACAGGAAGTGAGTATTCCCTTTCCTTGACCTCTTTCTGCTCTGCCCCCTACTGAATACTGGATATAAATAGGCTAGTCAAGTTTCTCTCCCCACCCCCACCCCATGGCTTTCTCACACCCGCTGCCCCTCTTCCATGGTCTTGAATTTCAGGCAAGAGACATTCCCAGTCCTACTTGAAGGTGCCATCGGGAATTAAACACAGGATGCTCTTCGTGCAAAGCAAGTGCTCTGCTGCCAGATTGCGGCACTTCCCCTTAAATATAAAGTGATATTCTAGTTCTCAAAGGGATGAATTAAATAGGAACATAGGAAACTTCTTCTGAGTTAGACCATTGGTCTATCTAGTTCAGTATTATCAACAATCTCCAGGGTTTCCTACAGGAGACATTCAGAGAAGGAGTCTTTCCTAGCCCTAACTGGAGATGCCAGGGACTGGAGTCAGGAACTTCTGCATGCAGAGCAAGTGCTCTGACACTGAGTATTTGTGGCCCTTCTGGTTCTCTGCCACCAGTTCCCTCGCTGCTGTGACTCTCAGCAATCCATCTGCAAGATGGATAGTACCTTACATTTAAGGGCTCAGATATATAGCTAACATGTCATCTAGCTTGGTCCATGCAGTGAGGCAGTCTCTGCCGTGGCCTCTGTCAAAGCAGACCATTTGGTATGAAGGCTAGCATGGAGGGTTTCGGTTTTGTTCCAGGCAGCCGCCTGCCACTTATCCTGCAATGACTTTTTCCTCTGGCAGTAACTGTTGTGGAACTGGCCCGGAATGAATTGCTTAGGAACCTAATAATCATCATTAGGCTTAATGTGATTGCTGCCAGGAATGTACCCTTAGTGAGCCTCCTCCCCGCCCCTCATTTCCTCCTGGCTTTTCTGTAATTCATTTCCGTTGTGCCTGCGGTTTTTGCAAGCAACAGGGTTGCAGGGTATTTATTTCATTAGGTAGGGATGGGTTTCTTTTACTTGTTTCTTTTCTTGCTTCTTTAATTGAAAGTTAATGATGTTGTCAAGGTGCTGGAAAACCCCAGGGTATATAGTTCTATTGCAGGGCTGGGTAACCTTGGCTGCCTGGGGTCAAGACGACCTTCCAGGACTCTCAGAACTCTTCTGAAGCCACACCCTCTTCTCCCAGGCCACACCCCTCACCTGTCTTGCTTTGCACCCTCCCTGAGTCATTTTGCGTGGTTGGAATGCATCCTTGAACTATGATTATGGCTCTTGGTCTTCTGGATAGAGGCTAGAGAACTCTCTCTCTCTCTCTCTCTCTCTCTCTCTCTCTCTGTGTGTGTAAACTAGCTCCACCCACTTTTGCCTCTGGCCCCACCCACCACTGGAATGTGGCTCCTGGAATGTTGTCCGGAAGCAGATGCTGCCCTCAGGCTGGAAACGTTTCTGCATCCCTGAACTAAGAGTTGCTGAGTTATTAAAACATCTTTAGGGAGGGAATGATGAGGGGGTGGGTGGAGGGAAAAAACCCTGATCAGCCTAGTAAGAACTGAGTATGCTTAGCGAGCAGAGAATGCTGACTGACTGTTGAAGGGAGGCAGGGAGGTGTAAAACTAGTTTGTAGGCAGAATAGAAAGGAGTATCGTGGAGGAGGGCATGACGGACTTACTGGAACAGGAGCACTCCATGCTGCAACATTTGGTTGCAGATTCCATTTGTATCTGTCTATCCATCAGTCCTAATGCATTCCACTCAGCATTTGAGATCCTGCTTCTGTCTTTTCAGCCTATGTAAGTAAGATGGGCAGCCATGAGAAGCACAGTCTTCTTTGGAGTGGCACTAATCCCATGGAATGCCCTCCTTAGGGAAGCTCACCTAGCCCCTTCACTGTATGCCAGTGGTGGCCAAACTCGGCCCTCCAGATGTTTTGGGACTACAATTCCCATCATCCTTGACCACCGGTTCTCTTAGCTAGGGATGATGGGAGTTGTAGTCCCAAAACATCTGGAGTGCCGAGTTTGGCCGCCACTGCTGTATTCCTTCTGGTGTCTCCATGAGTCCCGTGAGGTTTGTTAAAGACACTAGTGGGCGATGGCTGGGTTTTCTGCCAGAGAAAACCCATTCCATGCCTAATTTTATAAACTTCTATCATGTCTCTTAAAGCTCGCCTTTTCTGTAAACTAAAAAGCTCCTTTGATCCTCCTCCTTTCTTCTTCACTGTTTTCATGAGCCTCTGTTCTTTTGATGACTTTTGCCCAGTTGTTTGATGATTTTGCATGTCTGCTGCTGCTGCTTTTAATTATTTCCCCGTTTCCATAGAATCTGTGTTTTCATGCTACAATTTGTTGCAGTTGCTCTGGTTTCTTTCCAGAAGAGGATGGCAGCTCATTCATAAACCATCTCAAGATTTCTAGGGGCTGAGCAAAGATTAAGAAAACCAGGCAGCCCTTTGCTGACAGCGTCCAATAAAATAGACATGATGCCAAAGGAAAAAGTAGACAGGAAGAGATAAGGAAAACAAGCAAATTCAGGCGCTCCTGCTTCATTGTTTACATAAAGATAAACTCCCAGTTTGCATGCTATGTGACTGACAAGAGAAAGTTCACACAGCATATACTTAAACCACAGAATTCACTGCCACTAGTGCCCAATCAACACTTCACATTTAAAACAGCATTATACCACTTTAAACAGTTGTGGCTTCCTGAATTGCAGTTCGTTAAGGATGCTGAAGGTTGCTAGGCAGTCCCCATTCCCCTCAGAAAGCTGCAGTTCCCAGCGTTCCCTGGGAAAAAGGGCCTGGCTGTTAAACCATGGGAATTGTGTGATGGGGGAATAGAGGTTGCCTATCAATTCTCAATGCTCTTGTCAGACACTGAGGACTAGTAAGCTACTTGCAGGGCTGCTGTATTAACCTCATTGGTTCCTCAATAAGAGGGTCATATCTCACTTAGTAAAGCTGAGGGTGGCACTGGTTCTTCTGTGTATCGCAGAAGCCAATTAAAGGAGCTATTGGCTTGTAATTACCTTGCTTGCGTTACTTAAAATAGAAACTGCTGTGGCTGTGGCTGCAAAGACATTACACAGATCTCTGTTAGGACTTGATTCTAAATAACATTAACATTAAAATAAGATTAATATAATCACAGCCATTCCACTTGGAGATGTTCTATGTTCCACCCACACACCCCAGTGTTGGAGGCAGTATTCTTCTGAAGGCCAGTTGTGGAGAATTCCAAGTGGAGAAGCTGCTGTTACACTCAGGTCTTGCCTCTGGGCTTCTTGTTCAGGTACCTGGTTGGCTGCTGTGAGGACAGGATGCTGGACTCGATGGGCCATTGGTCTGATCCAGCAGGGATGTTCTTAGAAATAACTCTGCTTCAACTGCAATACTGTCACTGAGAAAGCACAGGGGGTGAGGTGTCGGACACACTCCTGTTTCTCATCTCTGCAGTACAGTCATACATCCACTTCATGTTACATTCTCTCAGGTTATGTCCCGCGGTGACCTGGAAGTACCGGAAAGGGTTACTTCTGGGTTTTGCCGCTCACGCATGCGCAGATGCGCAAAATGATGTCATATGCATGCGCAGAAGCAGCGAATCGCAACCCGCCCGTGCGCAGATGCACTGCTGCGGGTTGCGCTCTTTTCATGTTTGAGCAGGCCTCCGGAATGGATCCTGTTCGCAACCAGACATACCACTGTATCAGTAAAAGGAGCAGTAATATCCCTGGTCATTTCAAAGGTGACATGGAACTTTATTCTGTTGGAAATCATTGAGTCTCTTTAAGAAACGATTAGATGTGTGTGGCTTCCTTTGGCTTTGTGCACACACTATACCTTCAAAGCACATTTGAAGCACATTCTTTCTTTCAAATAATTCTGAACACTGTGGTCGAGCCTTCCCAGAGTTAAACTTCCCAGCAACCCTTAACAAACTACAGTGCCCAGAATTCCTTGAAGGGGAAGAATGCATTTCAAATGTGCTTTAAAGGTGTACTGTATACACAGCCTCAATGACATTCAGTTTTGCTTCTCTCTCTTTACTCTCACACCATTGGTCCATCTAGCTTAACAACTTCTGATAAGTTTACCTACAAGATCGCCTTACCCCACATGTGCCCACTCGACCGCTTTGATTGGTGGAATTGGCACTACTACTGGTACCACAGAATACCCATTCTGCGTTTGTAAGGATGCAGTCATTAAGTCTGACCTGCATTTTGGAATTTCCTGCCTACTGAAAACAAGCAGGTGCCTTCACTTTACTCTTTTCGGTGCCTGCTAAAAATTCCTGCTTAGACAAGCCTGCCCACATGCTTGCCTTACCCAATGTTGAGGGTATCCAATGCTAGTCCTATTCAGAGCAGACTTATTGAAATGGATGAGCCATACTAACATAGGTGCATGAACATCAATAGGTCTAGTCTGACTCAGTTGGCTAAAACCCATTGTGTTTATGCTTTTTAGAGATGATGCAAGGTGCTTGGGGACCTCTGTGTAACAAGCAGCCTACAAGTCTAATTAATAATGTAAATAATATAGGCCAGTGCAAGGTTTTCCACCTTCTCTTCCTGTTCCCTTCCTTGTGTTTGTGTCTTATTAGATTGTACATCTGCAGGCTCAGACCTGCAATGTTGATATACAGTGGTACCTCGGGTTAAGTACTTAATTCGTTCTGGAGGTCTGTTTTTAACCTGAAACTGTTCTTAACCAGAAGCACCACTTTAGCTAACGGGGCCTCCTGCTGCTTCCATGCCGCTGTAGCACGATTTCTGTTCTCATCCTGAAGCAAAGTTCTTAACCTGAGGTACTATTTCTGGGTTAGTGGAGTCTGTAACCTGAAGCGTATGTAATCCAAGGTACCACTGTACAGCACAGGAGAGGCCCTGCAGTGCACTGGAAGCTTGCTGGACATCCCTCAGTGAGCAAATCCACAGAGGCAGATGTTTTCCTGCAGGACAGCTTATCCCATAATGCCAATCCTATCCTGTGGTATTCAGCCTCTCAGGGGGAGTTGGGGTGTGTTCGAAAGTGTGATGGTGAGGCATCACTGAGCCTGGGAGGTTCTGCATGCAGATGAGATAGCCAACCCTGGGCAAATTTCTCCGTAAACCTCTTGGAATTAATTGCTGTGTTTCCTCAAATGGTTTTTTTTAAAAAATTTTCATGCTCCCCGAAGCTGTGTGAAAATCTTTCAGCAAAGCAATTTTCTCTAATAGAATATGATGATTTTATAAAATGATATAAGCTGTGAATGCCTTGGGGCAGGTATCCTTCCCGCACCCTTCTGGTTTCTGTTAACTCCTTAATGTGTACGTGTGTGGTTGGTGCTATATAATTAGTGAAAGACACACTCTGGAATTTGCTGCATCTTCCTTGTTACAGGGCTGCTACAAACACGGCACACTGGCACAGCCTGAGGCAGTTGGGTGCCAGTGTGTGCCCTGCAAAAGCTGGCATTGCTCAAGTTATTTGCTGCCACAACATCTTCCCCATCCCATTCTCAAGGGAATTGGGCATTTAAGCACCCAGGCAACCAGTGTCTTGAGTGCTGGCAGTGTACAGCCCATCTGTAGCGGTAGCTGGATTCAAACCTAGCAGATGCCATGGGAGAGGTGAAGTGCTGAACAACTTGGCAGTGTGTGTGTGTGTGTGTGTGTGTGTTAAATATGCTTGTTTAAAAGCATCGTATTCTATTATGAAATACCTTTTGGTATTTCAAAAATCACTTGTACTTTCTGCAGATCTGCCAAAGATCAGCATGTAGCAGTTAAAGAATCAGGGAACTTATCTGGTGTCTGCATAAGGCAGTAAAAGGGACCCATGACAGTTAAGTCCAGTTGCGAATGACTCTGGGGTTGTGGCGCTCATCTCGCGTTACAGGCTGAGGGAGCCAGCGTTTGTCTGCTCTGCAGACAGTTTTTCTGGGTCATGTGGCTAGCATGACTAAGCCGCTTCTGGCGCAATGGAACACTGACACCAGAACAGTGCATAGAAACACCGTTTACCTTCCCGCCAGAGTGGTATCTATTAATCTACTTGCACTTTATGGCATGCTTTCGAACTGCTAGGTTGGCAGGAGCTGGGACCGAGCAACGGGAGCTCACCCCGTCGCGGGGATTCGAACCGCCAACCTTTTGATTGGCAAGCCCAAGGCTCAGTGGTTTAGACCACAGCGCCACCCGTGCTCCCCTTTTGGATAGCAGAGTGCTATCCAAAAAAGCATGGTGCCATGGAATAGAGGTCCATATGGAGCTTCTCAGTGTTCTGTAACCTTAGTGTTGAAAGGTGGCTTCTCCAATGACTTAGCCAGGTGCAGAATACCTGTTGCAAGTCCACCGATGGCCCATTCGGAGAAATGAGCACCTGCACAAAATGAACAACTCACATGGTGTTTGAAATAGGGAACTTGAAAAGAAGTTCCTTTGTGACTGTCAGGTAGCAGGCAGTCTGATCATGACCGCCTAATTAGCAGCATGCTACTTGTGGCACCTCTTTGTAGTTATGTTTTGATGCATGAGTGACTTGGAGATTCTTTTTTTAATTCTTCCGTTCCACATTTCTCTCTTCTCTCCCCTCCCCCTGTTTCTGCCCTAGATACTTACCAAAGATTCAGTGACAGTTAATGTGGATGGCGTGGTTTATTACCGAGTTCAGAATGCAACCCTTGCTGTTGCCAACATCACCAATGCAGACTCAGCCACTCGGCTCCTGGCTCAGACCACATTGAGGAACGTTCTTGGGACCAAGAACCTCTCTCAGATCCTCTCTGACCGGGAGGAAATTGCACACAGCATGCAGGTACAACAAAGCAATGTTGAGCTGCATTCCCATGGGGGATGGGGGTGGGGAGTTGTTGAGAAACATTCTTCACCGTTTAGAGAGATGATTTATTTATTTTTGCATCAGCCACTAAATTTTGCAATTTAAATATACAACGCAAAAATCCAGTGAAAACTGGTCCTTTAGGGTAAGTGGGGCACTGCCCCACCAGTCCTAATCTGCCCTCAGCCAACCCCCAACCCCTACCTGCCTTCTTCCTTATGACCAGTTCAGGGGGTGTGACACTGCCTGTAGCTCCCTCTACTTTAGTCTCTGACCACATTCCCATCATGCTTTTAAAGCCCCACATGGGATTCCTAAAGAATTATGTAGTTTGTTAAGAGTCTTTTATCTTTCAATGAAAGCTCAGAGCCTGGGTCACCTGCCAGCTGAAAACACAAGGAAGGATATTTAACACCTTGCAGGATGGAAGGCTCTTAAAAATGGAAGGTTCATTTGTCCTGTTGAGACTTGTTTAAACCTCCAGTCACCTCTGTTTGATTAGCTTGACATCTTTGCACAATACTTTGATGTGTGACATGCATTCCTGCCCCCACCCTTTTAAACAGGCCACACTAGATGATGCCACAGATGATTGGGGCATAAAGGTGGAGCGGGTGGAAATCAAAGATGTGAAGCTGCCCGTCCAACTCCAGAGAGCCATGGCCGCTGAAGCAGAAGCTACCCGCGAAGCAAGAGCAAAGGTAAGGAGCTCTACTGATTTGGTTAGCCCGCTGACTTTCAAAGGAGATCCGTCACCCAGATCAGGGATGGGGATCCTGTGGCCCTTCTATTGTTGTTGGACTACACATCCCATTATCACTGACCATTAGAAATGCTGGCATAAACCAACTTGCTGGCTAAACTTCCTATTAAACCAGCTTTTCCCGACCTGGTGCACTGCAAATGCTGTTGGACTACAACTCCCATCATCCCTGACCATTGGCCATGCTGGCCGGAGCTGATGGGAGTTGGAATCCACCAGCTTCTAGAGGTTCACAGGTTCCCCATCCATGACCCAGAAGATGATGGAGCAGTACAAGGAAACAAAGGCCATTATTTGACCCTGTTGACCCTGGGGTATATGTCTTGGAAATGACCATAATTATTCCTACCCCACAACTGAAAACAACTTACGCATGCCAAGCAGATGCTCTCCCACCGATCTACAGCCCTTCCTGTAACTTTCATATAATCCAAATTTCAAGTGAATATTGAACTGCTTCAGATATTAATGTTTCCTTTAATAATAATAATTTTTAATGTTATTGTTTGTACTCCACCCATCTGACTGGGTTGCCCCAGCCACTTTAGACTGCTTTGATGATCGCACTTGTTTTTCCCCACAGTGATATAAGATGACTCAGGTATTTGCTGTACAAACACTGGCTCCAGAGGTCTCATTATCTTTATTTCCCCATAGTAGAGAATCCTTTGCATTGCATTTACGTAACAAAACAAAACTGAGTTTGTGCCAAAACTCAGTCGGAGGGCGTTCCTTCTGCATCGCAGGTTTTCAAACTTCACTGAAGCATCTCAGCAGGTTTTCTGGGGATGTTTAAGAAGATCAAGCAGCAGAAGGCAAGCTCCCACAAGACGCAACTTGTTACATAGGAAGCTGCCTTATACTGAGTCAGACCAGTGGACCATCTAATTGGGTACTGGCTACACTGACTCTTGCCAGGGTTTCAGGCAGGAGTCTCTCCCAGTCCTACCTGGAAATGAATGAGAGCAAACTGCAATCTTCTGTATGCAAAGCAGATTCCCCACCGTTGAGCATAGAAAGCTGCCTCATACCACCTGCATATCTTGCTTAGTATTGTCTATGCCAGGGGTCAGCAAACCTTTTCAGCAGGGGGCCGGTCCCCTGTCCCTCAGACCTTGTGGAGGGCTGGACTATATTTTGAAGGGGGGGGGAAATGAACGAATTCCTATGCCCCAAAAATAACCCAGAGGTGCATTTTAAATAAAAGCACATATTCTGTTCATGTAAAAACACCAGGCAGGCCCCACAAATAACCCAGAGGTGCATTTTAAATAAAAGGACACATTCTACTCATGTAAAAACACCAGGCAGGCCCCACAAATAACCCAGAGATGCATTTTAAATAAAAGCACATATTCCACTCATGTAAAAACACGCTGATTTCCGGGCCGGATTTAGAAGGCGATTGGGCCGGATTCAGCCCCTGGGCCTTAGTTTGCCTACCCATGGTCTATGCTTATTGGCACTGACTCTCCAGGGTTTCTGATGGGACATATTCTGTCTTCCCTGGAGATGCCAGGGATTAAACCTGCAACCTTCTGCATGCAAAGAAGATGTTCTACTCACAGAGCTTCAGCCTTTCCCAAAGGTCTTGTTTTCTGCTGCTGTGTCCTACATAAGGGGGGAATTGGTGCTGATACCTGAAAGTCCTGCTGAGCACCCTGTCTAAACTGGATGCTGTAAGATGGGTGAATGCCAGTTTTGTTTTGTTTTTCTCATTTTCCTGCTCTTAAATTCAGGTCTCCACATTTCCACATCATTCTGATTTTTTCAAATTCACCTGCATTTTAATGCGTAATATTTCATGCCTAATATTAGGCATTTTGCCTAATATTTTTTGCAAAGCAGCTTCTCCTAGTATAATGCATTTTTGTAAGCTGTTTCTCCAATATATGCATATTTTTAGATCTTTGTCCCATTATATGCAATTTTCTACACATTAGTTGGTTGGAGAACTGCATTGCTAAATTTGGAGAAATGCAAATTTTAAAGAATGGCTATGATTTGGTTCACATATTATTTTGGAAAGTGCAAATTAGATAGGCTCGCTTGTAAACCAAATTGAATTTTTCCCTCATCCCTACTTAGTTCCCTTCCAGGGGGTTCTGCAACTTTGCAGGGACTCTGTAGCATACAAGGATTCTCTGGCAGAAAACCACTGTTCTGTCTGGAGCCACACCACATCTGCATGCCACTTTAAACAGTCATGGTTTCCCCCCAAAGAATTGCGAGACCTGTAGTTCACTAAGGGTGCTGAGAGTTGCTAGGACCAACTATTCCCCTCTCACAGCTACAATTCCCAGAGTTTCCTGTGAAGAGGGATTGACTGTTAAACCATTCTGAGAATTGTAGCTCTGGGAGAGGAATAAGGGTCTCGTAACAACTTTCAGCACCCTTGACAGGCAGCGGCTTCCAGAATTCTTTGGGGGAAGCCATGACTACTTAAAGTGGTTTTATGGTGCTTTAAATGTGGCCTTTGTGTTCAACATGGCTGGTGGGCCATTCTGGGGGCAGACATAGAGTCTGGAGGCCTTTCTGCACCCCTGTTCCTTTAGCTGATTTGCTGCTCCTATATTCTTGGCTTAACACTGCTGGATTTATGTGCTGCTTCTCCTAGGAGGATGACAACTTCCTGTAACAATCTCTTCCTTTCCTGAAAGAAGTTGGTTAAGCAAGGAGGATCCTGTTAGTGGCCTTGAACGTGAAGGCCACAAATCCTCTAGCCTACAATTTTATTTTATTTTTATTTTACTAAGGCTGGGTCCACACCATAGATTTTAAGTACATTCAAAACACATTCCTCCCTCCCCAAAGAATCCTGAGAACTGTACTTTGATAAGGATGCTGGAAATTGTAGTTCTGTGAGGGGGAAACTACAGTTTCCAGTATTCTTTGGGAAGACATCACGTGCTTTAAATGTGTGGTGTGTATGCAACCTAGAGCTGCAACATTTACCTGACTCATTTAATTAATCAAAACATTCTTGTTTGATTAGGTGACAGATTCTCCCCAAAAAATGTTTTAATATATATCTCTATCTATCTATCTATCTATCTATCTATCTATCTATCATACAGGTAGTTGCAAAATTTGAGAAAGAGGTGAATTCCCTATTGTAGGATAAAGCCATTTCCCCTTTAGAATGGTTGTGTTTTGTCATGTGCATACTAAATTGTTTTAATTGACTTAAGACTGCATTCCTAAACCCACACACCTGAGAGTAAGCCCCACAGAATTCAGCAGGACTGCAGACATGGAGTTTTACCCAATGAAGTCCTGCTCAAAGTAGAATCGTTGGAAGTCAGCGCACCTAAATTACTTGTGGCCGTCAATTTCAGTGGGTCTACTCTGTGTAGGACTAATGTTGGATACTGAGACTAAGGAGGAGGAAGCTAGCAGCCAGGGCCACCATCTGGACTGGTTGTAAGAAGGCAGATGGCAGGGAGCTAGCCAAGGGCAGGTGTTGGAGCAGTGCCCCATTTGCCCCAGTGGATGTGCCTCCATTGCAAGGAGCTCAAGGTGGTTTGTTCTCTGTTCTTCCTGTCCTCATTTTATCCTCACAACAGCCCTGTAACGTAAGAGGCTGAGACACTGACATGCCCAGGGTCACCCAGTGGGCTTCACAGCTGCACCCAGGTCCTGGTCTGACACTCTAACCACTACACCACACTCTCTGAACCTTATGCAGTTTTCTCTGTGTTCAAAACATCTTGCTGGACCTGTGCCTCTCTCCCTTCCAGGTCATCGCAGCAGAGGGCGAGATGAATGCCTCCAGAGCCCTCAAGGAAGCCTCCATTGTCATCACAGAGTCTCCTGCAGCTCTCCAGCTCCGCTACCTGCAGACCCTGACCACGATCGCCGCCGAGAAGAACTCCACCATTGTATTCCCGCTGCCCATAGATATGCTGCAAGGCATTGTGGGAAGGAGGAGCTGAGGGTGCTGATGGGAAGCCAGGTGTATTGAAAAGCGTGAGGCATTGTGGAGGAGAGGGGTGATGATTTCAGTGTGACCTTCGTGTCTGTTTCTTGTGGCTCTCATAAGCTCAGATCCTTTTTGTGTTTCATCCCAACAAATTTCTGCTTTCAATGTAGGTGGCCACTTCCGAAAATTCATTGTTCCCTGCTCTGCCACCCCTTCTTATTGATGAGAGAGGTTTGGAGGGCTTGCATCTCCCAGAAAATTAGAGAGGAGGGTTTAAGAGGTTCTCAGCTACCATATGGAGCAGGGGGGTTGCCTTAAAATAATAATGTTTTCCTCCTCGCTCCTGGGAAATTTCTTTCTTGTCAGAGAGCCAGCAGTGGAACTTTCCGCTGCTATTTTGCTCCAACCAAAGGGAAAGAATTAGCACGCTGGAGTTACGGAGACAATATGCTTGTAGCTTTTTATAGGTGTGTTTTTCTAACCTAACACAATTACAAACACAGTTACAAACACTTCCCCAATACCTTTTGTACTTTATAAAATGACACCTATTTTTTCAACACTTTCTTAAAAAATAGATTTCCGCCTATTTCTTTGGTTCTGCTTTTAAGAATGTGATCAACAGAAAGTTTGACATTCTACAGCCAGGAGAACCTGTAAATGGAGTCTTTCAGCATTTTAGAATACTTACTATACTTTTCATTTAATTTTTCCAGAAGATTAATGTGAATAACTTTTCCCTCCCCCCCCCGCTTTAATGTGAAGGAATTTTCCTTTCCACATGATTCTATTGTTGTTGTTATTGTTGTTGTTGTTGTTAAATCTCAGCTTTTTTTGCTAAAAGCCAGGACTGAAGGTTTCCTGGTATATTTGCATCGTAAGTTTTGTATCCAGTGTGAATCAGAATAGTAGATTTAATTTCTAACAGACAGCACTGAGGTTAGCTACAATATTATAGTATTAGCATGGTGTGTGAGCTTTCAATAACAGAAAAACTTGTGAGAAGGGATGGCTATTGTAGTCTTTATTACGTATAATAATTCAAATAAGTGGTGAGAGCGGTCCACCCCCACCTTGCCTCTGCCTTTAGCATTTATAGAGACAGGAATTCATTACCTGACGCTGTATCCCAGCATGGTAACGGAAGGCTCCATGGGAGCTGAAAAGCACAGGAGCATTGCAGGAAGATGTGGCTGGCATCTCAAATGTGGACATGTGATCAAATGCCATTGTTGCTATGCAAAGTCTCAGAGCTTTTGCCCCTGGGCCTCTTCACCCCCCATCTTACACTGATTTTAGCTGGAGCAGCTGCTTCAGACACTTAATTACAAAGAGGAAAGATATGTGAGGCTTAGAAACCCTGATCAGTTCTGGCTGCAAAAGGCAGGGCATACTCACTGCTGTGCCGGTAAACAAACACCCACCTACCCCAAAGGGAAAAGGAACAGGGGAACAATAGCATTTGCCATCCTTACTTGTGGCTGCAGATGAATTGGTGGTCCAGATTGTTGCTTTTCACGTGTTGTTAAAAGCAAACACTGCTGTGACTGGAACTAGTGGTGAGTTAAAGGAAGCCCAGCGAGGCAGGAATTTGGGGCATAACTCCCTAGCATCTTTGGTCAGAGCCTGGTCTCTACATGTAACAGAATGGACCATGCCACTTCAGGTTCCAGGTGCCTTTCACACTTCTCCATGCAAAATGCTCCCTGCATGCAGAAATCTAGCATGGGAAGGCTTTTGTCCTTCTTGTCCTGGTTTTCTACATGCAGGGAGTTTCTGGTGCAGGGCATCATTTGAAACCAACTACACTTTGCAGCTACACTGCAAAGTGTAGCCCAGGGATGGGGAACCTACATCCTTCCAGACGTTGCTGGACTCCAACTCCCATCAGCCCCTTTCACTTTGACAGTAGTCAGGGATGATAGGGGCTGCAGCCCAGCAACGACTGGATGGCCACAGGCAACCAATCCCCAGTGTGGACCAAGCAGAGGCAAGTGATGGACTTGCCCCTCCCTCGGAAGAAACGAAAACGCAATTTATGCTGAACACCCATCCACCAGAAGTGCAGTTAATATTGTTTGTGAAAATGTTTTCTTTCTCTCTTTTTTTTAACCTCCCTCTCCCTATCAAAATATAAGTCTAAAACATATATTCTTTCACATGATTACTGTATTGTTATTTTAATAAATAAATATCTTTATTTAATCTGCCGTTGCATTCGATGTTTTTACCCACTGTCCCCACGGCAAGGGTTACTCCAGACCAGAGCATTACTCAGCATTAGTCATACAGCACCATACAGGTCCCTGCCCAAAGAAACTTGCAGTTTAAAATTTGTAAAAACAGTCTCCTTGGCCAAGCCAGTGGCCCATCTGTTCCAGGCATCTTGCTCTCACAGTGGCCAGCCAGATGTCCATGCTGATAGCCACTGAAAGCCTCCATGGATTTGTCGTCTACTGTCTTTTAACCATCCAAATGGTTAGAATCATAGAATCATAGAGTTGGAAGAGACCACAAGGGCCATCGAGTCCAACCCCCTGCCAAGCAGGAAACACCATCAGAGCACTCCTGACATATGGTTGTCAAGCCTCTGCTTAAAGACCTTCAAAGAAGGAGACTCCACCACACTCCTTGGCAGCAAATTCCACTGTCGAACAGCTCTTACTGTCAGGAAGTTCTTCCTAATGTTTAGGTGGAATCTTCTTTCTTGTAGTTTGGATCCATTGCTCCGTGTCCGCTTCTCTGGAGCAGCAGAAAACAACCTTTCTCCCTCCTCTATGTGACATCCTTTTATATATTGGAACATGGCTATCATATCACCCCTTAACCTCCTCTTCTCCAGGCTAAACATGCCCAGCTCCCTTAGCCGTTCCTCATAAGGCATCGTTTCCAGGCCTTTGACCATTTTGGTTGCCCTCCTCTGGACACGCTCCAGTTTGTCAGTGTCCTTCTTGAACTGTGGTGCCCAGAACTGGACACAGTACTCCAGGTGAGGTCTGACCAGAGCAGAATACAGTGGCACGATTACTTCCCTTGATCTAGATGCTATACTCCTATTGATGCAGCCCAGAATTGCATTGGCTTTTTAGCTGCCGCGTCACACTGTTGGCTCATGTCAAGTTTGTGGTCAACCAAGACTCCTAGATCCTTTTCACATGTACTGCTCTCAAGCCAGGTGTCACCCATCTTGTATTTGTGCCTCTCATTTTTTTTGCCCAAGTGCAATACTTTACATTTCTCCCTGTTAAAATTCACTACATCTAGTGGGAAGGAATTCAATAGATCGACTGATCTGTGTGAAGTGCTCTTTCTCTTGTCTATCCTGAATCACTCAATATTCAGCTTCATTGAGTGACCGCGGCTCTAGTGTTATGAGAGAGGGAGAGTCAGCAGGATGGAGGTGTGTGTGTGTGTGTGTGTGTGTGTGTGTAAAAGAGAACAGTCATTTGTTTTGGTTGCATGTACCACCTGTCCTAGGGACGCGGGTGGCGCTGTGGGTTAAACCACAGAGCCTAGGACTTGCTGATCAGAAGGTCAGCAGTTCGAATCCCCGCAACAGGGTGAGCTCCCGTTGCTTGGTCCCTGCTCCTGCCAACCTAGCAGTTTGAAAGCACGTCAAAGTGCAAGTAGATAAATAGGTACCGCTCCGGCGGGAAGGTAAACGCCGTTTCCGTGCGCTGCTCTGGTTGGTCATGCTTAGTCATGCTCTGCTTAGTCATGCTGGCCACATGACCCGGAAGCTGTATGCCGGCTCCCTCGGCCAATAAAGCAAGATGAACGCTGCAACCCCAGATTCGGCCATGACTGGACCTAATGGTCAGTGGTCCCTTTACCTTTACCTTAGCACCTGTCCTAGCCCCTATGAAGGTGTGCCAAAGGCATAATGGAAAGTGCTTTCCCCACTGCATAATTCACTGAGGCAGCTTATGCCCACTGGATTGATGGGCAGAAAGCAGGGAGCCCATCAGAGGCAATGATGGATGGAGCCGACTAATTCTAGGCAGCAGTTTATTTCGTTTCCCTGATGTTCCCCCTAACTGTTACTTTCTGTATTATATCTGAACTTTCACACAGTTAAATGCCCTCTTCGGAAATCTAATGAAATCTAGTGGAAGTTTAGCACTCATTTTAAAGATGGTGGCTTCCCCCCCCCCCAAAATAAGCTGGCAACCCTAATAACCCAGAATATCGCAGGGGTAAAGTCATGGAATTGGGGGGGGGGGGGTAAATTGGTATGCAGTTCTTCCCTGCTGTTTTCATGGAACAGAATCACAGGTGTGAAAAGGATGGCAGATCGGCAACATTTTCCAGTGAAGTTTGTTGTTCTTTCAAACCACACACACTGGCGTTTAATACAACATGCAGGTATATCAGTCAAAAAGCCACAGTTCCATAATGCAATAGGTAAAAAGGTAAAGGGACCCCTGACCATTAGGGCCAGTTGTGGCCAACTCTGGGGTTGTGGCGCTCATCTCACTTTACTGACCGAGGGAGCTGGCGTACAGCTTCCGGGTCATGTGGCCAGCATGACTAAGCCGCTTCTGGTGAACCAGAGCAGCGCACGGAAACACCGTTTACCTTCCTGCTGGAGCGGTACCTATTTATCTACTTGCACTTTGTGCTTTCGAACTGCTAGGTTGGCAGAAGCAGGGACCGAGCAACGGGAGCTCACCCTGTCGTGGGGATTCGAACCACTGACCTTCTGATTGGCAAGCCCTAGGCTCTGTGGTTTAACCCACAGCGCCACCCACGTCCTATTTAATGCAACAGGTACTGCAGTATAAAAGGAACATTATTAAATGAAACAGAAGCATGAGCATTATAATCAGGAAAATCAGCACAATATTACCCTGAATGCACAGTGAGTTTTGTCCTGATCCTCCTCTTCATTGCTGCTGAATCGGCAACACTGAGACAGAGAAGGAAGCTGAAAGCCAGGGTCATACCTGGACCTGTTGTAAGTAGAGAGGCAAGTTGGGAGGACAGAAATTGGTGGGACGGGACCCCCATGTGCTCAAAGAGGCCAGCCTCTACTGTTCACTCTGTTTCTCTATAGGTCCCCAGTGAGGTCTCTGATATAGGAACTTACTGCCTGAATAAGTCCATCACACCCCTTGACCCACAAGCAAGATTTGGTAGTTAATGTTGCTGCTTTCGTGGTGGGGGTAGGAACAGGACAGTCAATGCTTTTTTAAAAAATGGCATGATCGCATCTTCGCTGTGAGCCCTGCCTGCACCCTGTCTTGGAGATCTTTTTCTTACCTGGCCTGGGAGGAAAGGGCTCCAGCTGACTGACTCCAGCTACAAAACACAGCCCGCTGAAGAGGCCAGAGGCCATCTGGTCTTTCTCTTAGTGCAGACCCAGGTCTTTGAGCCTGTGCTTCTGCAGCTGCCACCCACCATGAATCACCATTGGAAGGATTGCAGCAACAGCAGTAGATACGTTCTATGTTTACGATAATTATTTATTCTTTTACTAATCGTGGTGTTTTAAATGTGCATTATATCTGAAATCTTTAAGTAATGCTTTCTTTTGAAATGTTTAAGATAAATTTGTTTTTATCAACTTTGTTGCATTAAATGTGCATTCTGCAGTCAACCTCCTTTGTAATGTTTTGTTTTGAAATCTTTAAGATAATACTTTCGTTTCCTGTTATTTATGTTGTTGTGAATGTATCTGACTTCCTTCAGCAATGTTTTACTCCGGATTGGTTTTTTTGATGTTTTGATGTGTTGTAAACTGCGTTGAGATGTTTTTCTTTAAAATATTAGGCTGCATAGAATTAATAATAATGATGATAATAATAATAATAGCTCTTCTGGTCGCTGCCAATAATCAGTGAGAAAAAGGACGAGAGTAGTGAGGACATTGTTCTATTTATGCTACCAACCAGGCCCCCCTCATGGATCTCGCTCCCAAGCAACAAGGTTGAATGTTGACTTTGCTGGGGTATTGGAATTTACCAGCTGAAAACTTCATTATGAATGGCTGGCTGGCTTTCAATGCTGAGCCTTGTTCTACAGTGGCAGAAAGCGGTGTGTGGCAGGCATGTTTGTGCTGGACATCAGTGTCTCCTGAGGTGAGAATTGTGGCTGGGAAACAGCTTACAAAATTATCCCCAATTCAGTTCTTAGGGTCTCATGCCAGTGGATGAATTGGCCTGCTTCTCTATCTCAATCGGTCTTGAGAGCATACAAGGTCTTGCATATTATGGCACCATTCACACCATACATTTAAAGCACTATGATGCTTCTTAAACAGTCTTCTGAAGAATTCTGGGAGCTTTGCCAAGGGTGCTGAGAGGAATCCCCTTTCCTCACAAAGAACTACAATTCTCAGAGTCAGGGGTGCCAACTTGAACAAAATAGGGGGCGCAGGTAAGTTCTGCCTCACATAATCAATCACACATGTGCACCAATGCCCATCACCTTTGGGAGTGGGTGGGCTGTCCCCCTCAAATATGTTATTGGGGTAGCCCAAAGGGACCTCAGCCCCTAGGAATTGGCTCCTATGCTCAGAGCGGTTCAACAATTCCTCTTCCCAGGGAACCCTGCCCGCTGTAACAGCTCATAGAACACACTATTCATGGGAATATGTTGCTAATTAGTCATTCTTATCAGAAGGAAAAGAGGAATCTCCCATGTAATGTAGCTGTGACCTTGATGAGCTATCTCAAGTTGGTACTTCACGTATCAGGCTATATATCATTCTTAACCACCTTCAGCCTATTTGCAAGTTTGGTTCACTGCATAGTACACAAGAATAAGGTTGCTAGACTCATATCTAATGCTCTTTGGACTTCATCAGAAAGTGACGTTCTGGTCTGCAGCTGCGTTGACTGCAGGCAGTTATCAGTGAATGATCCAATTCAAACTCAAAGCAGATATTCCTTTAAGTGCATTCAGGTGCCCCAAATATGGGCTTCCCTCTCCAAAATAAACATTAGGCATACTGGAAACACCCCCCCAAAGGGATTGTCTATTCTGCTGATCTAGATGAATAGTTCTTCATGGAACACCTGCTCATGATTTATTCTGGTAAGGCTGCTGTTGGTTTCACTTAAACAAACAAATCTTGGATGTTTTCATATAAACATACTACACACACACACACACACAGTGTCACACTGCATTATGAGTTTTGTGGTTTTGAGCCTGAATCAGCAACAGTGCTCACATCTGAGAATGCATAAGATGTGTTTCCTAAATGAACTCTCAGGGATAGATCTGCTCTTGCCAGAAAGGTGACTATGAACTCTTTATTAAGAGCTATGTACCTTCAGGGCTTCAGTAGTGCTGGAACAGTCGTAGAAGAGTTATGTTGCCTGAGGGCTCATCTGACCTCATTCCCTGGAGATGCCACCTTCATACATGATCAGAGTTTTCTTGCCAAACATGCTCAGAAGGTGAGGCTGCTTTCCCCCCAAATCTACATTTCTGTTTAGAGTCATGATATGGATGATCATGGAACAAGAAAAATCTCTGGGGTAGATGTTCTTATCATGAAACCAGAGAGTCATTTAATTAGAGATTAACTCTTTGGCTCAGTACCCCATTTTGCTTGGTGCCTCTAAATGATTTACCGTATAAATTTAATCGCTTTCCTTTTTCCTGGTGGATTTCCTTGGAATATCTGCTCATTTTTCAGGTATCATTTGTGCTTTGTTATGATCGTTTTCTTCTCCAAATAAACTTTGTACACAGTGTATAATGAGTTTTGTAGTCTTGTTTTGTAGTTTTGTAGTCTCCCGCCCTGTGGAACGCCCTCCCACCAGATGTCAAAGAGAAAAATAACTACCAAACTTTTAGAAGACATCTGAAGGCAGCCCTGTTTAGGGAAGCTTTTAATGTTTAATAGGTTATTGTATTTTAGTGTTTTGTTGGAAGCCGCCCAGAGTGGCTGGGGAAACCCAGCCAGATGGGCAGGGTATAAATAAATTATTATTATTATTATTATTATTATTAAAGCGACAAAATTAACAGTGGTTATTTTCATCTTCTGCTGAAGATGCTATAACTCTTGACATGCCATTTCTCTTCAAACCGGCTTTGGGTAAAACTTACTTAACCCTCTGAATTGCCCACATTGCCACAATGCAGGAATATGCAGCTGTCCCATATGGCAATCAAGTTTGTTTGGTGGGCATATGGGAGAGGGTCTTTTTTTTATTGTGGAGCTCGCCAAAAGAAAGGCTTTTGCTCTCCTCTATTGCCCACTTTGAAGCAGGTTCTTAGGTCTGTTTTGCTTCAATGAGTATTTATTTGGTTAAGGCCTTTTAGGATTGTGTTGTTTTATTGTTGCATTGTTCAAACAATCTGCTCATCTGTCAGTCACCTTCTGTCTGCTCTGCAAAAAAAAGCCCCTAGGCCCTAAAACTTGGAGGCCTCTCATGAAACTGAATGTTGTAAGATTCAGGACAGATAAAAGAAAGCCACCCTTCACACATCAAAGAGTTCAGTTATGAAATCTGCTCCCACAAGAGGCAGTGCTGGCCACCAATTTGGATGGATTTTTAAATTGCACCAAGGATAAGGCTATGGCTACTAGCCATATGCTCTGCTGTCATGGTCAGAGGCAGGTTGAATCCTGACAAGACAGAAGTACTGTTTTTGGGGGACAGGAGGCGGGCGGGTGTGGAGGACTCCCTGGTCCTGAATGAGGTAACTATTCCCCTGAAGGACCAGGTGCCCAGCCTGGGAGTCATTCTGGACTCACAGCTGTCCATGGAGGCACAGGTCAATTCTGTGTCCAGGGCAGCTGTTTATTCAGCTCCATCTGGTAAGCAGGCTGAGACCCTACCTGCCCACAGACTGTCTCACCAGAGTGGTGCATGCTCTAGTTATCTCTCGCTTGGACTACTGCAATGCGCTCTACGTGGGGCTACCTTTGAAGGTGACCCGGAAACTACAACTAATCCAGAATGCGGCAGCTAGACTGGTGACTGGGAGCGGCTGCCGAGACCACATAACACCGGTCTTGAAAGACCTACACTGGCTCCCAGTACATTTCTGAGCAAAATTCAAAGTGTTGCTGCTGACCTTTAAAGCCCTAAACAGCCTCGGTCCAGTATACCTGAAGGAGCGTCTCCACCTCCATCGTTCTGCCCAGACACTGAGGTCTAGCGCCGAGGGCCTTCTGGCGGTTCCCTCGCTGCGGGAAGCCAAGTTACAGGGAGCCAGGCAGAGGGCCTTCTCGGTGGTGGCACCCGCCCTGTGGAATGCCCTCCCATCAGATGTCAAAGAAATAAAAAACTATATGACATTTAGAAGACATTTGAAAGCAGCGCTGTTCAGGGAAGCTTTTAATGTTTAATAGGTTATTGTATTTTAGTGTTCTGTTGGAAGCCGCCCAGAGTTGCTGGGGAAACCCAGCCAGATGGGCGGGGTATAAATAATAAATTATTATTATTATTATACCAGCTGCTGGAAACTACAGGAGGAAAGAGTGCTGCTTCGGTTTGGGTCCTGCTTGTGGGCTTTCCACAGGTATCTAGGTGGCCACAGGATCCTGGACTAGATGGGCCACTTGCCTGATCCAGCAGGACTCTTCTTATGTTCTGAAATGTGAATTTTATTAAAATGCATATATAAATGCATGCTAATTCTGGGAGCCACTGGGAAGACCCAGTTTAAGTGACTAGGGAGCCTGGCTGCTGGGTGTAATCCTTGCTACTGGGTCTTCTTTGAATAGGACTAACATTGGTTACAAACCTGACACCCCCAAGATAAGAACTAAGGAGGCTAGACCCACCCTTTAAAGAATTCCCCCTTTCCTCTCCTAAGCAAAAGTATCATAGAATTGTAGAGTTGGAAATGGCCTTAAGGGTCATCTCGTCCGTCCGTCCCCCCACAATGTAGGGTTGCCTATACATTGCTGGTCCCCACACTTCTGCTTTAGTGCAATTGCACAGCCAGCAAGATGACAACTGGAAGTCAGGAAGCATCATGTGCCTTTTGCTTACACTTATCCTCTTAAAACATAGTCCTGCACTGCCACCTTCTGGGGAGAGTTGGAAAGAAGAGCCCTGCTGGATGCAGGCAGAGGTCTAATTACTTAATGGAAACACTGCTGGTTGTTAATAGCTTAGACGTTTTTCATCTTTTTAAAGGATTAGACAAATTAACTGAAAAGAGAAGAGGTCAGATTTATAGTTCTAAATCAGGACAAGTGGAACCTTCATGTTCGGCAGCAGTATATCAGATCAGTATGTCAGATGCTGGTGACAAACATAGGAGTGTTGTGGCATTCACACCCTGCTTGATAGAGAAGGGGTTATTTGCTTGGTGGCAGAGCTTCTGGCTTGCATGCAGGAGGTCCCATGTTCAACGCCTGGCCTCTCTGGGTAGGACTGAAACATGTCAGAAACCCCATAGAGCCACTGCCAGCCAGTGTAGGCAATGCTGAGCTAGATGGACCACTAGTCTGACTTGGTATAAGACAGCTCCCTAAGTTCCTATATGAAAGGGAAAGTGAGCTATATCAGTGGTAGACCATCTGCATTGTATTCTTATAGCCCCAGGTTCAATCCCTGGTATCTCCATCAGTACTGCATTTGTTGGGAAATGTCCTGATCCTGTACAAAGAAATACAGTGGGGGGGGGGGGAATCAAAGTAACCCCTGATCACCAGCACTGATGGCTATAGGGCCTTCTCAGAGGTGGTTTCCCATTGTGCAATGCCCTCCCTGGTGAGGTGCATTATTGGCTAGCAGGAGGAATTTTAAAACATTCCTGTTTACCCAGGCATTTGGTGACTGTTGGATATTGGCCACGGCAAATTAAAAACTGTGATGGCAGGTGATTGCTTCTAGATATTTTTAGATGTCCTAAGTGGTTTTAAAAAAAATAGTTTTGATTTGTTATAAAATGTTTAAAATACATTTTTATTTTGCTTTAAATTGCATTGTTCTAGCATTTTGATGTTTGCTGTCCTAGGCTGCTTTAAAGAGAAAGGGCCAGATACAAATTTAACTGATCATAATATAACTGATAATAACAACACGATACTTTTTGATGACTAGAATCCAGCCCACAAAAGCTTATCCCACAATAAATTTGTTAGTCTTCAAAGCACTCTTGGTTTATTTAATTTTATATAACAAGGTTTATATACTGCACAATAGCAGCAGCAACGAAAACAACCATCTAAGCCAGTGCTTCTCACACTTTTTTTCTCCAGGCAACACCTTCAGAATAAAAATTTGCTCACACACCACACCGGATTTTTGACTGATAAGAAATACTTGGGGAAATGAAAAGAAACGACTCTCAGCACTGCTTGATTTATAATCTACAACACAACTACTTTATAACATGATTACAGGACATCCAGAAAGTGGATGCCACAATCAGCTACAAAAGAACATGAGTCATTCCCAAACTATAATGATAAATGATCTTTTTATATGAGCACCTTAAATATGTATACAAACTCAATGAGAGGTGTGAGCTTACTTTTGCTGGGTAATCTCACTGGTTTCACATTAAGCAAGTCTTCTCCACTGTGTTCAAAGAGTGATTATGGATCACAACTAGGATTGTCCTTGCTATCGCCTGATGCTCTTGCTCTCATTTTGAAAAGACATTTATCCATATTCTGCAAATAAGATAAACATTTTGCTACAATACTACAATACAGTGAAATGTTAAAATGTTTATTTGTCCTTGAATCTTCCCACCCTCTCCTTGCCTCCCTCTCCTGCCACAAGCATTGAGAACCAGTGCTCTAAGCCAGGGGTCAGCAAACTTTTTCAGCAGGGGGCCGGTCCACTGTCCCTCAGACTTTGTGGGGGGCTGGGCTATATTTTGAAAAAATATATATGAACGAATTCCTATGCCCCACAAATAACCCAGAGATGCATTTTAAATAAAAGCACACATTCTACTCATGTAAAAACACTCTGATTCCCAGATTGTCCACAGGCCGGATTTAGAAGGCGATTGGGCCAGATCTGGCCCCTGGGCCTTAGTTTGCCTACCCATGCTCTGAGCAATTTAAATTGGCTGCTCTGATGGGGGGGGGGGACCTTTTTCAGGGGAAACTCACAGGAACTCAGTTCCTGCACCTCTCAGGTGGGCGCAATTGCCATTCATGGTGAGTTCCGGCACCTCTTTTTCTAGAATATTAGCACTGTAGGCGGGGATGAAGAGATTGAAGTCTTGTACCTTGACCTAAACCCCATTAAACTCAATGAGGCTTTTACCGTACTTCCAAGTAGAATGCATAGGATTGCCTTGTTGAAATAGTGGCATAAGAAGAGTCCACTGGATTAGGCCAAAGGCCCAGCATCCTGCCCCCACAGTGGCTAACCAGAAGCTGTAGCTGTAGTTGTTACAGCCCAGTCCTGTGCGCGTTTACTAGGAAGTAAGGAAGCCCCAAGAGGGGCTGCACTCCCAAGTAAGCAAACCTGAGCGATCCAGCGCGTGTTACGCAAGTTCTCAGCAGCGCCGGCACCAGACTATTTTGCGCCCTGGGCAAGGCTAAGCACTTGCGCCTGCCTGCTCCCTCCCTGACCCGCTTTGCTAACTTCAATTTCCAAAAACAGACGACTGGTAGATATGATGAAATTCTTCAAAAGGTAAAAAACAAAACAAAATGTTATCAGAAATTTATAAGATATAACAAAAACTCATCTGTATAAAACTGTGCCCCCTCTCAGGTTTGCACCCTAGGCAGCTGAATGACTGGCCTTCCTTCCCCAGTGGATTCCATAGGGCAAAGTGCTCAGTGAGCGCTCCGGGAGCCGCGTCCTCTGTATGCTTTCTAATATGGGGTTTTAAAGGTCCGTATAGTTAAAGGTATGATTTTCCCAGTAGTGATGAGTGAGAGCTGGACCATAAAGAAGGCTGATCGCCCAAAGAATGGATGCTTTTGAATTATGGTGCTGGAGGAGACTCTTGAGAGTCCCATGGACTGCAAGAAGATCAAACCTCTCCATTCTTAAGGAAATCAGCCCTGAGTGCTCACTGGAAGAACAGATCCTGAAGCTGAGGCTCCAATACTTTGGCCACCTCATGAGAAGAGAAGACTCTTTGGGGAAGACCCTGATGTTGGGAAAGATGGAGGGCACAAGGAGAAGGGGACGACAGAGGATGAGATGGTTGGACAGTGTTCTCGAAGCTAACAGCATGAGTTTGATCAAACTGCGGGAGGCAGTGGAAGACAGGAGTGCCTGGCGTGCTCTGGTCCGTGGGGTCACGAAGAGTCGGACATGACTAAACGAATAAACAACGAAGGGAACGCAAAGTAGGACTGCCGCGCTTTCCCTCTGCCAAGGGGACACGTGTAGTGCGGACCCAGGAAGAGCCGTCGGGGGTCGTCAAGGGCCGTCGGGCTGGGCGGGAGAAAGAGAGGCAGATCGAGCGTTGGTGGAGCAACCGCCGTCGACCGCTAGTAAGCTGGAGCGGGGCTGTGATCCGGAGGTCCTGTTGCTCTGGGGCTGCAGCAAACCGCCAAGCTGGGCAAGTCGGTCGGTGTCCTGGTGGAGGTTAAGGGGATGAGCGCCCGGGAGAAGCGGGAGAACGCCAGGTTTAACGGTGAGGCAGATTTATGAAGGTGGAAGCCAACGCTTTAAAAATGAGTAAATAGCTATGGTGGCTAAATGGAATTGCCTTGTAAAAGAGCAGTCTGCCTTACTAAGGGACAGGCAACGGGGAAGGGCGTTTGCTTTCATCCTGCAGCGTGTGGGCCTCCCTGTGGCTGGTAGGAGTTGGAATCTGACAATTTTTGACACCCACGATGCGCATTTTTAGGACCCACCTTATTTCTGTAAGTTGCTTTAAAATGTTGTTGTTTTCTTTAAATATTCTGATTTAACTGTAGTAACCCACCCTGGGTCCTTTGGGTGCAGGGAGGATAATCAGTAATAATAATATCTGGAAGGACAGAAGTTTTCCCAGGCAAATGTTTTATTTTTGTAGTGATCACAACCATTATTTTTTCCCCTTCCGGCTGCAGAATTTTTGCTTTTATTTTTTAACAAGCAGAAATAACATAACTAATATACACGTTCCAAATGTGTGTGCCTCTCCTCCTCTAGAGAACTCCAGCGGATACCTTGGGGCGTGTGGCTGGATCCTGGTCTGCCTTTCGTTCTTGCTCTTCCTTCTGACCTTCCCTTTGTCTGCATTTCTCTGCTTTGAGGTAAAGAAGAAGAAGAGAGTTCATTGGGAAGCAGTCCTGCTTCTGAGATTTTACGCTGCTATTATGGTTGCTAGGGGTTAAATGGTCCATTAGGGCAAATGGGGTACTGCTCCACCGACCTCAGTCTGTCCTCAGCTAGCCCCCACCTGCCTGTCTTCTTCTTTACTGTGGTACCTTGGTTTACAACCATAATCTGTTCCGGAGGTCTGGTTGCAAACCAAAACAGGTTGTAACCCAAGGTGCACTTTCGCTAATGGGGCCTCTCCAAAAAAATGGGTTGAAATCCCCCCCCCCCCCCAAAATGGGTTGTATTAAAAAAGGGACATGCACTTCTGGGTTTGACGTGGTTGTTATCCAAAATGGTTGCAAACCAAGGTACCACTGTATTTCTACTGGGGGGGGGGGGTGTCACGGCCTGTCAACTTACTCCTCTTCAATCTCAGTATTGCCCTTGCAGAATTCAAAAGAAGGTAGAATGGCTCCACCTGTCATTGGTTCTGGTGCTATCTGCTGTTGGGCTCCCTGTATTCTGTCCCGCCAGTCTTAATGGGCACCAGCCCCCACTGCTTGCATATCCCAGCTTCAAGCATTGCCAAAAGTCACCGTGCTTCATTATTCAAACTTCTGGGACAGCTGTTCTACCCTGTAAACAGCAAGCATGGACATTGCAAATACAATTTGCATTTATTAAATTATTATTATTATTATTTTCTTTATTAACCTTATTAATCACTTATCACTCAAAAGGTCTCAAAGCAACTTACACTGAAGAAATGTATATGCATAAATACATTACACCATAGAAAAGGGGGGGGCGATCATATAACACATTAATGTTTCATACAACTTATTAGGGAAACAAAACAAAACAAGACACACACTTAATAGTAATAGGGAAAAAATAGCAGTATGTAAACAATAAAAAAATATTCCCACTTACTAATACATAAAAATAAAAAGACTAACAGAGCCCTCCATAGTCCCAAAATAATTCACAACACCCCACTGTTTGTTTTAAAAAATCCCCACTCCACCAAGAAGTGTGATGTCAAGGGCAGCTGCTGTGTGTCCCTTCCTTTCAGGAGGAAGCAGCAGCAAAAGCAGAGCAGGGGGGTGGTAAAAGTTTTATGTGCCCTGTGGTTGCCCCGGCTCCTCTTGCTCTCCAGCTACTGGTGGGAATGCATAATCTGAAACGTGTGGGGTGGCAAAAACTCTCTAGGATATTATATGTGACTCCCCGCTGTCCCTCCATTTCAGATTGTCATGGAATATCAGCGAGCTGTCATCTTTAGACTAGGACACATCCTAAAAGGTGCAAAAGGCCCAGGTGAGTATTATATTATGTTCTAGCATACAACAGGATTTTGCTGCAAGTTTCTCCTCTCTTTTACCCTTGCCATTGGCCTACCCACGATTCCAAGGACCATCTCATTCAGGTCAGGTCCACACAATTAATTTAAAGCACGTGGCTTCCCCCAAGGAATCCTGGGAACTGTGGTTTGTTAAAGATGCTGGGGTTTGCAGCTCTGCAGAGGGTAAACCACAGCTCCCAGGATTCTTCAGGGTTGGCTGTGCGCTAATATATGGTGTGGTCGTGACAGTTTTCAATGCATTTCCCTGTCACTTTACTAACTGGAAAAGAAGTTAGCAGGTTTGTTGAACAAGAGGGACAGAGTGCATTAATTCACTATAATTGTGCAAACCAACGTCTCCAGTGGTGGTTATAATTTCTTTTCCTGCAGGTATCTATTTAATCCTGCCCTGCATAGACAATGTTGTCACAGTGGACATGAGGACTGTGTCATTTGATATAGCCCCCCAGGAAGTAAGTGTTTCTGGTCCTTGACCTCTTTCATCTCTTTTGAATACCAGATAGAATCATTGTCTAATAACTCATCTGCTTCCAGTTGGTTCCTCCTGACATGTTCTTAGCAGCTGCTACTAGAAACGTGCTTTGACTCATTGGTTTATTTTGTAACTCCTCCTGCTCCTGCTTCTACCCTAGATTCTTACCAAAGATTCGGTGACGGTTCTTGTGGACGGTGTGGTTTACTACCGAGTTCAGAACGCCATCCTCTCTGTGACAAATGTTGCTTATGCGGACTCAGCCACTCGGCTCCTGGCTCAGACCACACTGAGGAATGTTCTTGGGACCAAGAGCCTCTCTCAGATCCTCTCTGACCGGGAGGAAATCGCCCACAGCATGCAGGTATGACAGCAACAGCTGAGTTGTGGGGTGATTCACATCCCCATTTGGAGTATGGAATTGAAAGTCTGTTCTGAGGGGATATGACTAACAAAAAAAGCTTTGACTTATATGTCGGGACGAGCAGAAAGCATGTAGAACACGGCATGTTTTTTAATTAATTTCAGATGCATGAAATGCTGGAATGTGACTGCTTGTTGATAAACAACAACTGTCTTTGGATTATAAGCATGATTATAAGCACTGGTCTATCTATAGTGTGAAGGGTATACGTTACTCGGAGATGGAACTATATAATCTAACAGTAGCATTCTGTTGGTGTTTGGAATTAAAGCACTCAACAGGAGTTGACCTTAATGAGGCTGAATGTTGGAAGATGCAGGGCAGATAAGAGAAAGGACTTCTTCATGCACCACATGGTTAAACTATGGAGCTTGCTCCCACAGGAAGCAGTGATGGCCCCCAACTTGGATGGTTTTGAAAAGGGATTAGTCAGATTCATTGAGGACAAAACTATAAACGGCTGCTAGCCTTGATGGCTATGTTCTACCTCCACTGTCAGCGATAATCTCCCTCTGAATACCAGATGCTGGGAATTGCAGGTGGGCAGAGTGCTGTTGTGCTCATGTCCTGCTTGTGGGCTAAGACATCTAGTCACTGGCAGAGGAAGAGGGGGGGCAGGGGCAGAGCACCGCCACCAGCACCATGATCCCGGTGGGGTGCCATCACAGCAGCCCCTCCACGCCATGCCCCTGCAGGCTGTGCACCACGCCCCCTGGACACGCACCATGCCCCTGCGGGTGGCGTGCCATGCCCCCAGGACACGTGCCAGCCATGCTCCCACCTGCTCTCCGACCCCAGTGCCAGAGCAGGAAGCTCCACCACTGCATCTAGTTGGCCTGGATGCTGGACAAGATGGAACACTGGCTGATGTAGCAGATTCATCTTATGCTCTTGCGGGCCTTTTCAAAGTGCTACTCCAAACAGAGCTTCAGAAGGGGATTTTGAAGGGCAAAAAGGTCACCTGACATAACTGTAGTCCAGGAGGAGTGGGGAAAAGATAGCCATTTGACCCGTGGGGTTAATATAGTTCCCTGTTTTTATCCCAGCTTCTGTGACTTCCATTGGACCAGCCTGACCTCTTGCATAATAATATCTTGATGGACAAGTGCATTCCTGCATATCTATATATATTTAATAAACAGGTCACATTAGATGAAGCCACAGATGACTGGGGCATAAAGGTGGAGCGGGTAGAGATCAAAGATGTGAAGCTGCCCATCCAACTCCAGAGAGCCATGGCCGCTGAAGCAGAAGCTACCCGTGAAGCAAGAGCAAAGGTACAGGAGTTCTATAGATTTGGTTTAGCTGGTGACTTTCCAGAAAGTTCATCACCCAGAAGACAGCAAAGGGGCAGTAGGAAGTACAGTAAAGGCCAACATTGGCATTGTAGGGCTATTAACCTGGGTCTATGACTTTAAATTAGGGTTGGGGAACTTCAGGCCCTAGGGCCAAATATGGCCCTCCAAGTCTCCATTTCCCACAAGTCTGTTTCCATACTGGTACATTTTTTCCTAGTCCCACAGCCATTAAAGGCACAAGGTGTCATTTATTTGTTCCTGTACCTGTACTTTTTGCTGTGAGCAACTCCTGGGAAGATAATTATTCCTTTCAGGTGGGGAAGATAGAGGAAATGGCTCCCATTCCTTCTGATTGCCTAGCAACAGTGATTGACTATAGTGTCCTTAATCACAGCAGCACCTCCACATCTGCCTAATAAGCCTTAGAACATTGCCTCCACATTTTTGCTAACTTTCTTTATAGATGTCTGACAGACTTAGCTTTCATTAACGAAATAAGGTGAGAGTCATTCAACTGAATGAGTTCATTCCTAGCCTGTGGCATGTATCTCTATGACTAGGTCTGACTTACTTAGGAATGGGTGCAGCTGTTATATAAGGCCACCCTGATGTAAAACTCCAAACTCCTTACCTGGAATTTCTTCCCTTCTAGGTGATTGCAGCAGAAGGTGAAAGGAACTCCTCCCTGGCCTTGAAGGAAGCCGCCATCGTGATCACAGAGTCTCCTGCAGCCCTCCAGCTTCGCTACCTACAGACTCTGACCACTATCGCTGCTGAGAAGAACTCTACCATTATATTTCCGCTGCCATTGGATATGCTGCAATGTCTCATTGGAACAAAACGTTAACTGGGGATGTAGATGCAGGACGAGGGGCTGTTTCTCAGGAGCCCAGATTTTCTTAAAAGTGCAATGCAGTGTTGGACAAAGGAACATTAATTTAATTGTTTGTTAACAGAGGGGTTTTTTACATTTTGTTTTTTCACTTCTCTTCCCAAACAGGAATAAAGTTACTGATTTTAACCCTGTATTCTCAGTCATCTGCACATCTCCCTTTTGTCCCCCTTTGTCCCATTTCTGATTTCGAAGAAGAAGAAGAAGAAGAAGAAGAAGAAGAAGAAGAAGAAGAGTTTGGATTTGATATCCCGCTTTATCACTACCCTAAGGAGTCTCAAAGCGGCTAACATTCTCCTTTCCCTTCCTCCCCCACAACAAACACTCTGTGAGGTGAGTGAGGCTGAGATACCTCAAAGAAGTGTGACTAGCCCAAGGTCACCCAGCAGTTGCATGTGGAGGAGCGGGGAAGCGAACCCGGTTCCCCAGATTATGAGTCCACCGCTCTTAACCACTACACCACACTGGCTCTAAGGGCCTTATAGGCTGCATTCAGAAGGTCCCAGGTTCAACCCCTGGCATCTCTAGGTAGGGCTGGAGAAGACTTCCTGTCTGAAACCCTGGAGAGCCACTGCCAGTCGCTGTAGACTGTACTGAGGTAGATGGACCAGTTCGGTCTATATAAGACTGTGTAGACATTACCAGCTTAAAACACAACAAGATGATTCTTTTTCCCAATCCAGATGGAAGCAGGTTTGGAGAAAAAAAACATATCAAGATGCAGTATTTCATAAGAAACACGAGGAGGAATATGAATTGTGGCTAACGTATGTATACTGCCTCCCCAAAAAGCTGTGGGATGCACTGGATGCAGAGTAAATGGGAGTGTATATGCAGTCTAAGGCAGCTTCCTCTGTTCCTACATCCCTGCAGCCCAATACACACAGAGAGATATTTGAAGAACCATGCAAAGAACCTGAATGATGGGCGAATCAGTATAGGGCATGTTTTAACTATGAAACTTCCTATCACAAGATGCGGTGGTGGCCAGCAACTTAAGCAGAGCACACATTATTGTTTGCACCCAGTAATCTCCCACTGCTGGTGTTTGAAGCCAAGTACAAATGATCTTACCTACAATTCTTAGGTGTCCTATAATGGCTTGGGAAATACTGCTGCTTGGTGCAATTTCCCTCAAACCATCTTCCATCCGGACGTGTGTACATTTGAGACAACTGTTGCACATGCTCAGGTGCCAGTTTTGTTTAAAAGGAGTTTGATATTGTGGAACAAATCAGGTGGTGGTTGTTAAAATTTCAATACTGCCCTTCATCTGAGGATCACAGGGTGGTTTACAATATAAAAACCCAAAAATACACACCATAATAACAAACAAAAACAATACCACACACACATTTTAAACGGCCATAAATAAAGGCATGGGAAGAGAGGAATGTTTTTGCCTGGTGCCTCCCTAGTGAAAGCATTCCACAAGTGGGGAGCCACCGCATAAAAGGCCCGTTCTCATGTTGCCATTCTCTGGACCTATCATGGAGGAAGCACATGAAGAAGGGCCTCTATGTTGTGTGTACAGCAACATTAAAAAGTGACTTGAAACACACAGAGGGGCAAATGATCTGTGATTCCTACATTACAGGGGGTTGCACAAAATGACCCTTAGGGTCCCTTCCAACTCTACAGTTCTATCACTGTGTTTTAACACTCATGTACGTAGCCCCCAGGATCAGATACAGACAGTGTGTCTCTGAATACATTGCAAGCCTATTTGCTGATGAGCATGTCCCAGGTATTTAGCAACATGAAATAATCCTAGATACAGGAGAGCGTGGTTGAACCAAGTCTGCGTCCTTATGAAGCCAGTCTGTTCACATGCAAGATGGTGGTTAAGCTAAAACAAAAACTTTCAATCTTGCAGCTGTGTCCCAAGTCAGGAAAATTGGAAGTGATATTGTCAATCTAGTTGTACAACAAGCATAGATGAACATCAGGTACAAAATGCAGTTTAAGGAGTACTGCGTGGATGTTATGTTTATTGATCTGTTTAAGACATTCATATCCCAGTTTTCCTCCAAGGAGTTAAAAGTGACATACCTATTTCTCCTTCTTCTCATTTTATCCTCACAACAGCCCTGCAAGGCAGGTTGGGCTGAGAGGGAGCGACTGGCTCAAGACTGAGTCCTTGGACACTTGTACCCTAGTATCCCGGGTCCTAGTCCAACACTAACTGCTATGCTGCACTGACTCTTGTAGAACCTTGGTGTGGTGGCTGTGCATTTGATGTCACCAACAGCCATTGCTTAGCAACGAAATGTGCGTCCGTTTGAACTGAGGTTCTTGAGGTTCTTGTATCCTCAGCACATACAGGGTCTAGAGAGATCTGCTGTGGTGATCTTTGCTTATTTTGTTGACAAGATGGCATCTGACAAACTTCTGGCTGTAAGTGAATGTTGACATTTCTAGCGGACTTAGCTCTAGGGTCCAGAATATTGGCATCACAAACTTTGGCAAATTCAGTAGTACCTCAGGTTAAGTACTTAATTCGTTCCGGAGGTCCGTTCTTAACCTGAAACTGTTCTTAACCTGAAGCACTTTAGCTAATGGGGCCTCCCGCTGCCGCCGCGCCGCCGGAGCACAATTTCTGTTTTCATCCTGAAGCAGAGGTCTTAACCTGAGGTACTATTTCTGGGTTATCGGAGTCTGTAACCTGAAGTGTACGTAACCCAAGGTACCACTGTAGCTATCAAAGGTCAAAGAAAGGCAAGTTTTTGGCAGAGAATAATGAAGGCTCTAAAGGAAATGTTAGTATTATATATATATAGTTAGGGGTGCCAAATTGAATGAAATATGGGGGGGCACATACTTGATCACATGACACAGTGTGTGTGCGCGCGCGCACACACACACACCATTTGAATGGGAATGCTCATCAACTTTGGGGGGAGTCTGGCCCCCTCTAATCTAGTTTAACATGGAAAGGAAGAGACAGAAAAATTAAAATATATATTCAGCCAGTGCTTTTTTCTGGGGGGACGCAGGGGGACGCATACCCCTAAACATTTTGTGAATCTAAGTTTGGCCTCATTGAGGGCCAGTATTTCAATATGAGTAGGAAAATGAGGGTACGCCTAAACATGTTTTTAGGGGGGAAAGCACTGTTTTCAGCCACTGACTTGAGGTGGTGGTGATGATGACATTTAGTGAACCAGAGCACTCCCTATATGCTGGCTTCTTGTCCTAACAGTAACTTCTCTGGGTCTCTCCTCAGCCCTCCCTGGAGCTTCCAACATCCATGCTGGGTCTGCTGGTGGCAGTTTCATGCCTTTGTGCCTTGGGTCCTGACATGGAATGCCACCAGCAGGCTGCACAAACCCTCTGAAATCTCCTGCCCATCCTGCCTGGGAAAGAATGTAAGCCTGGAAGGAATGCATTGCCTGCAAGACCGTAAACCCAAGGATTACAGAAGCACAGAATAATTGTTATTGTTTTTTTATTTTGATTTAAAAACAACACCACCCACCTTGGTGGAGGGGAGTGATTTAAAAGTAGCCTAAAGAGGACTGAGTGCAGCCATGGAAGCTTGAATGCTTGGCAGAGGGGGCGGGATAGGAATGGAGTGGTTGAAATCCCAAAGGGCAGCACTCCAGAGTGCAACGTTTCGTTGCATGACCCAGCTGTAAATACATTCTGTTTAAAGTGACTACTTCCCCTGCCCTCATGTTTACACCACCTTTGGGATCTCAGGGCTCGTCCACACGTCCGCTTGTCCCGTGCCTAGAAAACACAGGTGCGGGCGGGTCATACGGAGCTGTGGACGAGCCCTTGTGAGCTCTGCCCGAAGAAGGACGGGACAACACAGATTGTTAGAACTTCAAAGCCTTTAAAGGGCCAACAACTCTCTGGCCCCAAGACAGGCACTCTTCCTCCATTTCATAGGCTCCACTGCCTGGTGCATTTCCTGCACCACCCGTCTGGTAATATGCCACAGGGGGTGGGCATCAATTTACCATCACACGCACAGATTTTAGGAATGTTGTGTTGCGTGTCATTTTCAAGGTGGCTTTTAATTTGATTTGAGGGAGGGCTAGGGGGCACTACTGTCCCGGATGGTGGTTTGGACATCGCAGCTGCTCTCTGCCTCCAGGTCAGCCTTGACCCAGGGAAGGGGGAGCCTCGGCTGGGCGCCCCACAGCTGCTCTCCTTCCTGACCCAGGGAAGGAGGAGTTGAGGCTGGGAATGCAGGACACACATGGCAGGACACACACAGATCTTCACCCTCTGTAGCCATCAGCCCCCACGTCTGGCAGGGCGTGAGGAGAATGGGGGGGGGAGGCTATCTGGTTCACGCCCCCCCATGTTCTGCGCCCAGAGCCATGTCCCCCATGCCCCTCCCATGCTACACCACATCTCATGCTGTGAGTTCTGAACAAAGAAATCTGGTGGGCTACTTGGATTTTACATTGCTGAAATTAGTCCCTTTTGCCTCAGTACAGATCACCTGCAGTAGCTGCAAACCAGCAAGGTCAACATCAGAGGATCTGGAACTACAACCATCCTCTGCGGAGGACAGCAACTCCGGAAACAGAAGATTCCATGAGCGGCTGTCATCTGCGAAAGAGACCCACTGATTATGCTAAGTAGACACCTCTGCCCTCGAACCAAAACATTGTGGTGACTTCGATACCTTGATATACAACTGTTAACACCTCCAGTCTTTGTTTATCTCCCATCAATTGCCCACTTTTGCCAGTGGCACACACACATGAGCATGTCCGCCCCCGTTCTGCTGGATCCGCATGTCAGCAATTGCACATCAGTTGGACGCTCCTAAAATGGTTGGTGCTATTTTCCAGAACACTGATTGTATGTGTGTATGTATGCTCTTGTTGACCATTTTTTATTATTATTTCATTTATTATTATTATTTTTGCCAAATCCTTTTTATTGATTTTCAATTTTTTACAAACCGGCCACCAACTGAAACAAATTTAACATTTTCCCAAAGAAAAATCAGTTTAACATTTTTCCAAATCTGACTTCCTGCACACCCTCCTGGATATGTCAATAGTTCTTAGTGCTGCATCATATTCCCCAATTATTTCTAGTTTGCCTTCAAACATTACAAATAACCTTCCAGTACATTATATTTGCTTTTTTTTAAAAAACAACAACTCCATTTCAAACAGCTATCCATCAATCAATTCCTGCACATATATTAAATTAACATTTCCAATTTCAGGGAGTGAGGTTACTTAACAGATTATCAGTCCCTGCTGAATTATTGACTAATATTATATAACATTGAATAAAACTTCCTCTCCTTTCATCTGCGTGTGTAGAAACACAATCTTCTTGCTGCTCAACTCCTTTGTCCCTCGTCGCATGTAAACGGGGGTCTTTTTCTTTTCTTTTTTACAGCAGAAACTCCAAGGTCGACCATCTCGCTTGGTGCATTTTCCAACCAGCCCATAATCATCATCGGCGGGGGTGGGGCGCGCCGGGCTAACCACTTTCTCCTTCACAGTTCAAGTTCTTATTACAGCCTCTCCCCGTGATTCGAGGTACTCGAGCAGATTTGCCCCACCGTTAGACTTTCCAGTTCTCTGTGCAAAAAAATCTGCTCCTTTCTGGCTGGTTTGCTTTTAATTCCTCCATCATAAATTGTCCAACGATCCAACAGTCCAAATTTTAATTTGCTTCCTTATAGTTCGTTAATAGTTTTGTATTCCTTTAATCCCATCAATCTAAGACCTCCGGGTATAGGGCGGTATATAAAATTCAATAAATAAATAAATAGTAGTAGTAGTAGTAGTAGTAAGGAGGGGGTTGGGGTGGATGAAGATGGCGTCGAGGTAAGACGCTCTCACCAGAGCTGCACAGATTCTTTTTTAATTACATGAAGGGGATTGCTCGCGGCCGGGCTTTCTATTTTTCTTTTTCTCGGAGGCAAGGTTTTTATATGTTTTATGTGCTCCGGCACTTAAGGGCTTTTAATATTCAAATCTAGTAAGGGAATGGTGTTTCTCTCTTGACATAACGGTGCATGTATAGCTCAGAGCAGTCTTCCCGTCCTCCATTGTTGCAGCAGCATCCACGTTATTCTGAACCTCATCGTCGCAGATTTCCCGTCCCGTTTTGTTTAAAAACCCTCACTTATATATTTCCATAGTCAAGGGGGGCGAGGAGAGAGATTCTGAACCCTTACTTTATAAGCACATGTTTAAATCTTTGCAGTCATAAACGTTAACGAAAATAATAACAAAAATAGATCTCCCCACCCTACCTTTTCCAATAAAGGTTCCCCTTTATCACGTAGCTGCACAACAAGACAATGACCACGTCAGTGTGGTTAACTTGACCCAACCTTACCCCCCCAAACATACAAACAAGCCACACACTGCAATCAACCGAATTTAATCAACCAAATCCTTGTAATCATAAATGTTAACAAAAATAATAGCAAAAAAAGCAACAACAGCCCCTATCTGCCCCCCTCCATCTTTTCCAATCTTATCCATGCAGGAACTGCCATTCAAGCCTCTTGCCTCTTTTTTCACCTTGTTATATGTATTTGTATCTTTTTATTTCACGAGATTACAATAAATTCTTTTTTAAACAAACATTTAAAAGCTTGTATTGCTAAGATTTTCTGTGGATTGCAGCAGATGGGGGCAGGACAGGAAAGACCACTTACTTTACATCACAAAACTAGGACAAAACTTTGGCATCAGTTTGAAGGAGATCATAAAAAATTGGATTTTGGGGTGTCAATTTATAACCCTGGGTTGAGTATCAATTACTCCGTTGGGGGGTGGCACAAAACACATGGTTTGCAGCACAAAATGAGCACAAAACATTGGCATCAGTTGGGAGGGGATCCAAAATTTTGGGGTCACACTTTAATGAAACTTTGATGTGAGACCAACATGTTGCAATCCTACACACTTACTAATGAGTAATTCTCATTAAACTTATCTGGACTTATTCGATGAGTAAATGAGTTTAGAATTGCATGGTGGGGTGTTTCGAGCTCACAAGATTGTTCTTACAATAGTTATAAGGCAATGGTTGCAGTCTTACTTTGAAGTTCCTGTGTTCCTTAAAGTCAGTTATACAATGTCCTGGGAGGTTAAAATGCCCCCATTGGATTTTCAGCATTTGTCCTTTACTTTCTTGGGCTCCATGATCACTGCAGATGGTGACAGCAATCATGAATTTCCCTCCCTGCCGGGTATGGAAGAGAGGGAATGAAAGAGAAAAATAATTGAATTATATTTACTTCCAAATGTATGTGTCCTTTTCAGCCCCTCCAGAGAAGCCGGGCCAAGGCCTCCAGGTGTTCGAGTGGCTCCTAGTTATCCTTTCATTCATCTTCACTCTCTTGACTTTTGCCTTATCCATCTACCTGCGCATAGAGCTAAGAATGTTCCTGGTAAATAACATTCCCCAAAATAATAGATGCATTCCTTACTTAAATTGAATGCTCACACACAGATGAGCACTCATATTTTCTTTTTTCTGAGCACTCAGATTGAAGCATTTATTAAAAGTGACTCTCCCCACCCAAAAACCACTTAGGGCACCTTCAGACCCTGATATTGGGAAAGATTGCAGGCACGAGGAGAAGGGGACAACGGAGGACAAGATGGTTGGACAGTGTTCTCAAAGCTACCAACATGTGTTTAACCAAGCTGCAGGAGGCAGTGGAAGACAGGAGTGCCTGGCGTGCTCTGGTCCATGGGGTCACGAAGAGTCAGACACGACTAAACAACAACAACTCTCCCCCCATTATTAATTAAACATAACTTGAATAACAATATTATTCATATGAATGTAAACTAGTCCAAACCAAACATATGCCTGAGGAATATGCAGTAATAAAGAATTCTATGTTTTCTCTCTGACAACTGGTTGAATATCCTGGAAATTACCATTCATATACTGAAAATTAAAGTATGGGGGAAATGTAATAAACAAGATATACAATTAAGCAAATCAAATGTTCTTCCAGATAGGTTGGTAAGACACAGATGGTTGCTTTTTAAGTTTGCTGTAGATGTATGTCTATTAAACACATGCCAAACCAGTGTGAGATTCCTGGAGTTTTGGGCTTTTACCCAGCGTTTGGTTTCCTTTGGAATGAGGGATAACAGAGACAGTGGTGTCTTTATGCAATATGGTTTATTTACACATATTCACAACATGAGCCTACGATTGAGGGGTTCACAGCATTAACACCTCAAGAGAGCCTTGCTTCTCCCATAGCCACAGCCTTGGATTCCTACAGAAATTAGGCATGGCTCTGACTACCTGGCTTCCCAGCCTGCAGCTTGCTTCTACCTTCCAGCCCCCATCACTCAACTGTCAACTCTGGCCTTTGTCTTTCTAACTACCAGCCAGTTGAGGGAGGTTGGCCCACCCATTTGTTTTCTGGCACAGAGCCACTTTGTTACCTTAAAGGTAAAGGGACCCCTGACCGTTAAGTCCAATCGCGGACGACTCTGGGGTTGTGGCGCTCATCTTGCTTTATTGGCCGAGGGATCTGGCATACAGCTTCCGGGTCATGTGGCCAGCATGACTAAGCCGCTTCTGGAGAACCAGAGCAGCGCACGGAAACGCCGTTTACCTTCCTGCCGGAGCGGTACCTATTTATCTACTTGCACTTTGACGTGCTTTTGAACTGCTAGGTTGGCAGGAGCAGGGACCGAGCAACAGGAGCTCACCCTGTCACGGGGATTCGAACCGCCGACCTTCTGATCGGCAAGTCCTAGGCTCTGTGGTTTAACCCACAGTGCGACCCATGTCCCTAATTCTGTTACCTTAAGGGCACATAATTAGGCCATTACCACACCAGGAAGCTAGAATAACTATTCCAGGTATTTGAAACCTTGCTTAGATTTCAACATTTGCTGGATCCAGGGATTAGAAAAGTCTCAGGCATACATCCTGTGGTTGCAGGGCTGTTTTGTGCTCTAGGGAAAGGCACAGTTGCACACACCACCAACTTTCTAACTTCAGTTAAAGAAAAGAAAAAAGATGTCTGATAGAAAAAAACGAAAAGCACAAAACTTGAAACTACTAAATTTATTTTAAATTGCAAGGCTAAGTAATCTGTATAAAACTGTGCCCTTTAAAGGTCAGTCTGTACAGCAGCCTTCTGAGGCCTGGTGGACCTACTGATACCAAGGGCCACAGTCCTGGTAAATGGATATACAGTGGTATCTCGGGTTAAGTACTTAATTCGTTCCGGAGGTCCGTACTTAACCTGAAACTGTTCTTTTTTTTTTTTTTTAATAAATTTTTATTAATTTTCCAAACATAAGATAAGAAAGCAAACAATACACAAAACACCGACATACAAACATATAAACATGTATAATTTCATAGCCATTTTTCATAAACCTTACTTTCCGGACTTCCCCATACCTCCCTTTTCTGCATCCTTGTTTTATATTTCTTCAGCAACTCCTCAATCAACTAATTATTCAATTCAATTTCTTTTAAGTTCTTCTAATATTATTAGTTACAGCTGCAGTTCTCTGTTTCCCAACCCCTTGACATTTTAACATTCCTGAATTTTACAACAAGTTCTAAGATAAACTTTAAATTTCTTCCAATCTTCTTCCACTGTCTCTTTCCCTGGTCACGGATTCTGCCAGTCAATTCGGCCAGTCCCATATAGTCGATCACCTTCGTCTGCCATTCTTCCAGTGTGGGTAGTTGTTGTGTCTTCCAATACTTTGCTAGAAGAATCCTTGCTGCTGTTGTCGCATACATAAAAACGTCCTGTCCTTCCTTCTCACCAATTGGCCGACAATGCCCAAGAGAAAAGCCTCTGGTTTTTTAGGGAAGGTCCATTTAAGAACCTTCTTAATTTCATTATAGATCATTTCCCAAAAAGCTTTTATCCTCGGGCAGGTCCACCAAAGGTGATAAAAAGTACCTTCAGTCTCATTACATTTCCAACATTTGTTATTGGGCAGATGATAAATTTTTGCAAGCTTGACTGGGGTCATGTACCACCTATACATCATTTTCATAATGTTTTCTCTTAAGGCATTACATGCCGTAAATTTAATACCGGTGGTCCACAACTGTTCCCAGTCAGCAAACATAATGTTATGACCGATATCTTGTGCCCATTTTATCATAGCTGATTTCACCGTTTCATCCTGTGTATTCCATTTCAACAGCAGATTATACATTCTCGACAGATTCTTAGTATTGGGTTCTAACAGTTCTGTTTCCAATTTTGACCTCTCCATCTGGAAACCTATTTTCCTGTCCTGTTTAAATGTCTCGTTTATCTGAAGGTAGTGCAACCAATCTCGCACTTTGGACTTTAATTTCTCATAGCTCTGTAATTTAACTTTTTCCCCATCTTGTTCTAGAATTTCACAATATTTTGGCCATTTAGACTCCATATTAAGTTTTTTCACCTCTTTAGCTTCCATTGGTGACAACCACCTGGGAGTTTTACTTTCCAATAGATCTTTATACCGCATCCAAACATTGTATAATGCTTTCCTAACAATATGGTTTTTGAAACCTTTATGCTGTTTTACCTTATCATACCATATATATGCATGCCAACCAAATCTATTATCAAACCCTTCTAGATCCAAAATATCTGTATTCTCAAGAAGTAGCCACTGTTTCAACCAGCAGAAAGCCGCCGATTCATAGTAGAGTCTTAAGTCCGGCAGGGCAAACCCCCCTCTATCTTTAGCATCAGTTAGATTCTTAAATTTTATTCTGGGCTTTTTGCCCTGCCAGACAAATTTAGATATATCTTTCTGCCACTTCTTGAAACAGTCCATCTTGTCCAAAATCTGCAATGTCTGAAATAAAAACAACATTCTAGGCAATACATTCATCTTGATAACAGCAATTCGGCCTAACAAAGAAAGTTTCAACCTTGACCATATTTCTAGATCCTTCTTTACCTCTGTCCAACATTTATCATAATTGTCCTTAAATAAATTCACATTCTTAGATGTTAAGTTTACCCCCAGGTACTTTACTTTTTTCGTTATCACTAGTCCTGTTTCATTCTGAAACTTCTCTTGTTCGGCCAATGTTAAATTTTTATCCAACACTTTCGTTTTCTGTTTGTTCAGTTTAAATCCTGCTACTTGACCAAATATCTCAATTAGTTCTAATACTCTTTTAGTACTAGTATCTGGCTGTTGCAAGGTCAATACTAGGTCATCTGCAAATGCCCTTAACTTGTACTGTTTGGCTCCGACTTGTACTCCTTTAACCAACTGGTCTCCTCTAATCATATTTAACAAAACCTCCAGGACTAATATAAACAATAGAGGGGATATTGGGCACCCCTGTCGTGTACCTTTTCTATAGGTATTTCTTCCGTTACCACATTGTTTACAATTAACTTTGCTTTTGTTTAGAGTATATTGCACCTATACCATTTTCAAACCCTTGACCTACCCCCATCCCTTGGAGATTCTTCTTCATAAAACTCCAACCAATATTGTCAAAGGCTTTCTCCGCGTCCACAAAAATTAAAACAGCCTTCCTATTAATGTCCACTTCTAACAGTTCCAAAATGTCTATAATGTTCCTCACATTGTCCGACATATATCTCCCTGGAAGAAAGCCAGTTTGGTCTTTATGAATCTCCCTACCAACACTCTCTTCAGTCTTTTTGCCATAATGTCCGCAAAATTTTGTAATCCACATTAAGTAATGATATAGGGCGGTAGTTTTTAACCTGGTTCTTTTCAGTCTCAGTTTTCGGTATAAGTGAGATAAAAGCTTCTTTCCACGACTCTGGTGCCTTTTTCCCTCCAAAATTTCGTTACATACTTCCTTCAGTGGTTGTACTAACCATTCCTTCAACACTTTATAGTATCTGGCGGTCAAACCATCTGGTCCTGGAGCTTTTCCCAATTGCATCTTCTGAATGGCACCCTCTATTTCTTGTCCTGTTATTTTCTCATTCAAAATCCTTCTGCTTTGCTCTGAAATTTTTGGTAATCCATGTTTCTTAACAAATTCTTCTATTTCCTGTTCATTAACTGGCCCTTGTGCATATAATTTCCTGAAATAAGCTTGAAAACAATTACTTATCTCATTTGGTTTGTGGATAATCTTTCCGTCCACTTCTAAACTTGTCACAGTGTTCAATTTTTGCCTCTTTTTCAATTGCCATGACAGAAATTTCCCACATTTATCTGCTGATTCAAATGTCTTTTGTCTCATTTGCTTTATTTTCCATTCTATCTCTTGATTCATCAATTCCATATATTGCACCTGATAGTACTTTATTTCTTTCAGAATCTCATGAGACTTTGGTTTAGACCTCAATTTCTTTTCACCTTCTTTTATTTTTTCCAGAATTTTTCCTTTCCTTTCATTTTGATTTTTCCTTTTTATGGAGTTCTGTTGTATTAGGAAACCTCGCATCACGGCCTTACTTGCGTCCCAAATTATTCTTTTTCCACTTCTGTTCTCAAATTTATCTCAAAATAATCTTTCACTGTTTTTTGGGCCTTCTTGTAAATCTCTTCATCTCTGAATAGGGTGTCATTCATTCTCCATCTGAAGGATCCAGTTGTTGTAAGTTTCATCTCCATCTTTACAGCATTATGGTCGGAGCAAGTCTTTGAGCAGATTTCTACCTTTTTAATCCTTGGCGCCATACTGCTAGTTACCCAAATTTGGTCAATTCTTGTCCATGTCATTTTGGCTTCAGAGAAAAAAGTTCCCTCTCTCTCAAGAGGGTTCCTTGTTCTCCAAATGTCAATCAAGTCCATAGTTTCAGTCATTTCAAAAAAAGTCTTTGGTAGTCTCCCTTCCTTGGAAATTACTTGTCTCTGTGCTTTGTCCATATTTGTGGAAACTACGCCATTCATGTCTCCCATCATTATAATTCTGTAGTCTAAATAGTCCATTAAAGTCTCATGCAACTTCTTAAAGAATTCCGCCTTCCCATCATTTGGTGCATAGATTCCAACTATCAAAATTTTTTCTCCTTGAACTTGTATTTCAATTGCCAGGTATCTTCCTTGTTCATCTTTAAATATCATCTTTGGAGCCAATTTTTCTTTTGCATAGATCACCACGCCTCTTTTCTTAACTTTATCTGATGAAATAAATTCTTGTCCAAGTCTCTTATTTACCAATAATTTCCGATGTGTCCTGGTCACATGAGTCTCTTGTAGGCATATTAGATCTAATTGTTCTCTTTTCAAAATATGAAAAACTTGGCGTCTTTTTCGGGGAAGGTTCAAACCATTACAGTTCCAGCTAAGAAGTTGCAGAGACATTTTGTTATTAAGTACCTGTTCCTCCGACTGCTCCTAACTTTTGTTCCTCTTCAGATGATGGTATGAGTCCAAATGACAAGTTTGCAATGTCTGTCACTCCTTTTTCTTGTATTGTTGTTTCTACTGTTCCTTTCTGCAAGTCCTCCTGATATCTCTCCAGAAACTGTTCTTTATCTTGAACTGTTCTTATTTTAACCTTCCTTCCTTTGAAAGTAAAAGACAATCCTTGTGGAAACTCCCACCTGAAGGGTATGATATTTTTCTTCAGCAGGTAGACCAAATCTTTATAGAAGGCTCTCACCTCCAAAATATATTTAGGGATATCTTTAAAAATTTGTACTTGACTATTTTCAATCTCCAATGCCTTTTGATAATGCAAATTCAATATCTTATCTCTTTCTCCTTTGGATCTCAATGTGATCAAACAATCCCTTGGCTTCTTACCCTGCCTCCTGCCGAGCCGGAAAGCTGTTGTTATTTCAAGTTCTTCTTCCTGCAGCTCCTCTTGCCAGAATTCCATAAAGTTCTGTGTAAGAAAATCCACAAGGCTGTCTCCTCACTCGGGAACCAATCTCAGTTTCAAATTTCTCTCTTTTCTCTGTAATTCCAACAAAGATAGAGCTGCATCATGTTCATTCACTTTTTTTGTAATCGGCACAAGCTCCTGCCTTGTCTCCTCCGCAGTATTTTTTGCACTTTCAGCAATCTTTCGTGTTTCAGAACTTTCTTGAATTAGTTTATTAATAGATTCTGTATTAGATGTTACACTTGCAGTATTCAAGTCCAATCTTGCTGTCAGTTCTGTCAATTTTTTTGAATTTTCCGTAGATAGCTTTGTCAGTGCTTCTAAAGATTGGTTTATTTTGAGCAGTGCCTGTGTCATTGAATCCATAGATGCTGTTGCCACTTTTTCCTGTGCAGCTGGTGGTATGCCGGGTATTGAGCCCCTTTTCTTTGTGTCTGTTTTGCTTTGGATCTAGTTGTTATCTCTTCTGCTGGGCCACTCATATCCTCAAGGTCGTTCTCACAGGAAAATCCCACTGTTTCTTTTTCACTGTAACAGTTTCTCTTTATACCCTCTAGAGGGAGCATTTAATTGTATCCAAGTGAAAAGAGAAAAACAAGGAAGCACAGAGCAATCAACAAAAAAGTCCAAGAGTCCACAGTAAAAGTTTCTGTCGCACTTTTTTCAGTAAATCACAAGTTCAACAAAGTAATTCCATTAAAGTCCCGTAACTTTGTCTCAGACAAGACCCCAACTTTGTATCCAGTCTAAACTGACAGTTCACTTTGCCGGTGCCTTACTCAGGCAGTCCGTCCTGGGGGTTTGGCAATGGAAGATGTTTTTTTTTCCTCATTTAATTTCAAGCAGGTTAACAGTGTCCAATTTTCTTCCCCCCCTCTCCTGCTTACTGGGGGGGAGGTTTAAGTCAAATGTCAGGTTTGACAGCTTAAAGGTAATTTTCTTTCAAATGCAGCTTTACTCTTTCGTTGCTTTACTTGCCATGCAGATCGGGGAGGCAGACTTCCTTAATTTATGCCTTTCCCGTTTTCAGCCAAATTTCAAGATTTAAATTTAAATGTCCCTTTCAGTCCCTCCGTCTTACTCACGGGCTTTAGAGTCGAATTTCTGGTTCAGGAAGGAATCGGCGCTCTCCGCTCATGGCGACGCGGCTTCACTCCACGGGCTGGGTTGCGACTCAGCACCGCGCTCACCCCCGATGCCGCTCCGTAGCCTTTAAAAAGGCTCTTTCACAGTACCGGGGGGCGCAAAAGGTGCCCACCGAGTCTCCTTGTTCACAGGCTTCCGCGCCTGTGATTTTAGGGGTCCCCCGCTCGCCGTAGCAGGTCAGACCCGAACTCGCGGAGCAGTCCTCCTCCGGAGCTCGAAGGGAGGACCGCCATTAAGCGCTGGCGCCGACCGGAAGTCTTAACCTGAAACTGTTCTTAACCTGAAGCACCACTTTAGCTAATGGGGCCTCCTGCTGCTGCCGCGCCGCCAGAGCATGATTTCTGTTCTCATCCTGAAGCAAAGTTCTTAACCTGAAGCACTATTTCTGGGTTAGTGGAGTCTGTAACTTGAAGGTACCACTGTATATCAGACTGCTTTGCTTAAAGAAATCCGTGTGCGGGCAGAATGAAGCAGCCGAGGCCTCGCAGCCTGCTCACTAGGACCTGGGCGAGTAACTGACGGATCGAGCGTTGCTGGAGCAACCGCTGGCGCCCCGTCCTCGAATCGCTGTGCAGGAATCCTGTTGGGTCGGTTAGTGCGTGCTGAGCTGGTCAAGTCGGTAGCCCTCATGACAGAGGGAGAGAAGGATGTCTCCGAAAAGACGGAAGTCGTCGATGCTCCGCCACGTGAGCGACTGGATTTGCAGTTTGGGGCAGGCGGGCTTGCGTGTGTAAAGATGTGGGGAAGGGGGCGACAGTCTGCTTTCTCTTCCGTGAAAAGCTCCTCTGCTTAGAAACCCAGGCAGGGCTAAACCTCCCGCTCTCCCTCAACGCACACCAATAAAGCCTAGCGTGCCTCTGAGCCTTGCCGTGCTTCATCGCGACCAAAAGGGGCCTCCCTGTTAAGGAGAAAGGAACTTTGTTGTGAAAGTGGGTTTCTCCTTGAGGTTTTCTGCCTTCCCCAAGCGAGAGGAACCCCCATCCTCACTTGTTCTTCCTGTTCCTGTTACTTGCGGCGCCGCGTGTTAACTATAAAACCAGGTTACCCTTTAAGCATGCACATAGTTTCCTGGTCTCAGGAGCACGTAATCATATCCTGAAGGCAGCTCTGTCTTATCCAGGGTGAAACAGAGGGAAGAATAAGGGTTTCTGAAGATGTGCAAAGTGTCCCCCTAATCACTGAGCTACTACAGCCCTCAGGAAGGGAATTTATTTTGCTGTCCTCAGGGAATGGCAGCAGCCTGAAGGAGAGACTATGGAAGAAGTCTTTTCAGAATAGTTTGAGACCGCTTACAGTGGTGTCCAAATTTGAGAGAGCCAGATTTGATGAAGTGAAGGGCTGTGGGGGCCGACCGAAGGGCCAACCAAAGTTGTTGACCTTTTTTAAGGATTGGAGTTGTTGAGCTTCTTTTAGGATTGAAGTTGTTGAGGTTTTTTTTGGGGGGGGGGCTTTTACCTCACGAAATAAACTGCCACAGGGGCTGGATTAAACCCATCAGCGGGACGGATTAGGCCCCCGAAACGGACTTTGGATGTGCCTGAACTTTATTTGAATGCTGTAAGGAAAGTGGATCGCAGCCTCTTGGGAGCTGGCCACCCCTGGCATATAAGAGTGGAGGGCTAGGGCTAGGGTTAGCAGCTGCTTTGAGGAAGTGAAATCCCACTCCACAGTGCTGGCAGATACTGGATTTCCTGGTAATATTTTGAGCAACTAGCTGACTGGATGAAGGATGGATTGATGGTGTGCTCTGAGTACAGCAAAAGTTCAGCGGCAATAAATTAATTTGACTGGTAGATTTGCTGGGTGTTGGTTTCACTATACAGTGGTACCTCGGGTTACATACGCTTCAGGTTACAGACTCCGCCAACCCAGAAATAGTACCTGTGGTTAAGAACTTTGCTTCAGGATGAGAACAGAAATTGTGCTCTGGCGGTGCGGCGGCAGCGGGAGGCCCCATTAGCTAAAGTGGTACCTCAGGTTAAGAACAGTTTCAGGTTAAGAACGGACCTCCGAATCAAATTAAGTACTTAACCCGAGGTACCACTGTACATTTAAAACAGTACCGTACCACTTTAAACAGTGGGCCTCCTCCCCCAAATCCTTGGAAGTGAAGTTTTTTTAGGGTGCTGAGACTTGTCAGGAGGACCCTTTCCCCCTTACACAGTGAAATTGTCCAAGTGGCTTAGCCATCAATCTTTCCAGAGAACTTTTGAAATCAGTACAGTTTTTTAATCAAGGGTTAAAACCAGCGCGGCTTTGAAAGGCTCAGCCCGCCGTCTTGATTCAAAGTGGCATCCAATGGTGTCCAAACATAGACAAAAACCTGCTCCATGAGCCATCATGCAGAATTTGGTTGTGATAGCACAAATGCACAATAAGCAGGCAGCCTCATAAACATATATTGCATTAAGTAAAGGTATATAAAACACACAGGTGCAATTAATTTATGGGGATCACAGAATTTCCCTCCCTGCCAGATATGGAAGAGAGAGGGAGAGAATGAAAGAGAAAAATAATTGAATTATATTTACTTCCAAATGTACATGTCCTTTTCAGCCCCTCCAGAGAAGCCTGACCAAGACCTCCAGCCAATCGAGTGGCTCCTAGTTATCCTTTCATTCATCTTCGCGCTCTTGACTTTTCCCTTATCCATCTGGCTGTGTATAGAGGTAAGAATGTTCCTGCTAATAACATTCCCCAAAAGGAGAAGAGATGCATTCCTTACTTAAATTGAATGCTCACATACAGCTGAGCACTCGGATTTTCTTCTTTTTTCTGAGCCCTCAGATTGAAGCTCATACAGTGAAAATATATGTGCCCATCTGGTGTTTTATCATAGTTGTATTCTGCAACTTGTCCTTGACACAAGGGCTGCACATCCCATTTAACCCCATTGTGTGCACTGCCTGCCGCCCCCTGTCTTGGCCATCCACCTTAACTGACACTTTCGCTGCTCTGCCTCTGCTGCTGGTGGAGATCTCTCATGTGTCATGAGTTATTGCCAGAAATTAGTGCTGATTCTGGCGGCAGAGGTGGCAGGGCAGAGTGTTAGTGATGGATTTATTCTTGGTTATTTTAGTTATCTGTTTTTATCTATAAGACACATTGAGTCCCGTCAAGGAGAAGGATGGGGTAAAAACAAAGTAATAAATGAAAAGTTGTTTGCGATGCCTCCCCAGTGCAACTGCATTATTGTTGTCTTAAGGGGCTGTAGTTCAGCAAAAGTGGGGTTATTTATTTATATGTATTTATTGCACTGATACCGCATCTTTTCCCCCCTCCAAGGAGCTCAAGGTAGCATACATGGTTCTCCCATCCTCATTTAATCCCCACCAGAACCCTGTGAGGTAGGTTAGGCTGAGAGGCAGTGACTGGTTTAGGATCACCCACTGACCTTCATGGTCAAATTAGGATTTGAACCCTAATTTTCAGCAGGAAGTTAACAAAACATGGTACTGATTAGTACCATGAAGTAGTGTCCCACCAGCCCACACAAATAGTGTTTCCACAATATTAAAAGCAGGGTTGCATCTAGCCACCCTGAGCATCTCACAATGAGCACAAATCTTTATTTATTTATTCATGAAATTTATATGTCACTCTTCCTTCCAGGGGAGCCATGGGGGGGCAAACAATAAGTGATAAAACAAAGCAAAAATCTTGAAAACTAAAGGCAATTCTAATGTAGTACAGATGCAGACCAGGGACTTTGCTATTACAGCTGCAAAGTTTTAAGTGTGTTGTAAAGTGCATGATACAATTGTGATACTAGATGGCGATGGTGTGCTATGGCAAATTCAATATATTTTTCAAAACGTTTTTTAAAAAGTATTTTCACAGCATTTTTTATATGCGTCTAGATGGAAAATTAGGAAAGATCTCAAATTAAAAGGCTTTTTGAAAGAAGGACTTCTGTAGGTGCCAAAAAGACAGAGACAGCACCTGTCAAATATTCAAGGGGAGGGCATTTCAAATGGCAGGTGCCACAACACTAAAGGCCCATTTCCAATATTGTGCAGGATGGACCTTCTGATGATGTGGCATCTCCAAGAGGCCCTCACCTGCATAGCTCAGTCACCAACTGAATATATAAGGAGTGGGGCAATATTTCATGTATCCTGGCCCCAAGCTTATATAGGGCTTTATTTATTTATTTATTTCATTTATATACCGCCTTTATCTTCCAAGGACCTCTACATGGTGCACATGGTTCTCCTCCTCCCCATTTCGTAAAAGGTGCAAAAGCCCCACAAAAATCGACTGAAATGTAGAAGATGGAAATCAACCTGTGACTCCCCACCCCTTTCCTATAACAGGTTGTCTATGAATACGAGCAAGCTATCGTTGTAAGACTGGGGCGCATACAAAAAGGAGGTGCAAAAGGGCCAGGTGAGGGTTTCATATTATAGTTCCAACATGTGACAGAACGTTAATGCTGATCAATTTCATGGGAATGCCCTGAAGGCTAGTTGCAATTATTCATTCTTCCCCCTGATTGTGGTTAGGTCATATATTCAAATTGCTGCTTTAAGAATCATGGCTCCCTCCAGAGAATCCTGGGAACTGTAGTATGTTACAAATCTCCTAGCAGCTTTCAGCATCCTTAACAAACTACAGTTCCCAGGATTATTGGTGGGTGGGTGGAGCCATGATCCTTACAGCGGCAAGAGAGTGTCCCTAAGTGTATGGTGTGGATGTGACCATGAATCTGCCGAAGGAGCTTTGAGCTGGTACTTCTTGGACAAGAGTTACTCATTTGGCCTCAATCAACAGGGCTACCAACTCGAACCTGCACCCAGTGGTGATTGGTGCCATTGCCTTGGGATGGAAGATAGAGAGATCAACAGTAGGTGGCACCAGAGCCAGGGAACTAAAGAGTCAATGTTGTTTAGCCTCCTGGTGGAACAGTGCTCAATAAACAAGTGACCTGGGAGTGTCCTAGTTTTTAAATGAAAATGAAATGAAGGCAGTGGAGGCTGGTCTATTTGAGCCAACTTCAGTTGGCCTGCCATCTTGTTTATAGCCTCTCCAGAGGGTGGCAGCCCCAACCTCCGCTGGCATGCAGCCCCCTGAAAGTTGCCTACAAGGGAACATGGCCCTCGGGCTGAAAAGGGTTTCCTTACTGCTGTGATATGACCTCTTGTGAGTTGAACGGTTGTCATTTCTGTTCCTGCAGGCATCCATTTCCTTTTGCCTTGCACAGACACCCTTATCAGAGTGGACATGAGGACAAAGTCATTTACTATACCATTCCAGGAAGTAAGTAGTCCGCTTCCCAGGCTTATCTCCTTCTCCTGATGGGAGCTGGAGTCCACAGTTTCCTCACCCCTGCTTTAACTGGGCCTTAACTGGACAAAAGTCCTAGAAGAAATGGGATACATTGAACTATTTGATAGTGAGGGTTAAAGAGGCTCTTCATGTGAACTAGTTCGATCTGCTGGATATACCGTACTTTTCCATGTATAACACCCCCCCCCCATGTATAAGACGCCCCCTATTTTGGGGGACTACAAATGTGAGGAGATTGTCCAGAGTTGTTGAACTTTTTTGTGGAGGATTGCACAGAGTTGTTGAGATTTTTAAAGGGGGGGATTGCCAAAAATAACTCACCCACCTGGCCGACACTAACACTCACGAGTGTCGCAACAGCCTCCTAATGTCTGTCCCCCCACTGGCAGAAGCAGCCTATTGCCCGCCCAATTGCTGCAGCAACACCCAATCAACACCACCCCTTGCCACAGAGACCACTAACACGCTGAATACCATCTCTGGCTCACGGCATCAACCAGTCCAACGTCACCCTTAGTCACTATCCATGTATAAGACGACCCCCTATTTTAAACATAAATTTTCAGTAAAAAAACCATAGTCTTATACACAGAAAAGTACGGTACAACTCCCACTTGACAGCCCCAACCAATGTTTTCTCCCTTTCTCATGATGCTAGAACTTGGGAACGTCCGGTGAGGTTGAATGTTGAAAGAGTCAGGATAGACTTCTTCACACAACACATAGTGAGACTATGGCATTGACTCCCCCAAGAGGAAGTAACAGCCATCAACTTGGATGGCTTTAAAAGACAATTAGACACAATCATGGGGGATAAGGTTATCAGAGGCAGTATATGTATTTGCATACCAGTTCCTGCGAATCACAAGTGAAGAGAGCTGCTTTTGTGTTCAGGTCCTGCAACCTGGGCCCTGCAGTTGCCATCTGAGGCCCTTCTTCAGGAGGTCTGGAACATACCATCATTACGTATTTTTAGGTGCTGGAGAAAAGCATTTCTTTTCCACCAAGCCATTGGCTTCTAATTCTTTGTGGCCTCTTTGAGTGAGTGCGATGTTTTAATGCTGCCTTTAAAAAATGTGGTTGTCTTTTAGATTTTTCTTTGCTCTGTTTTATGCTGGTCTTAGTGTATATGTTGCTGTGAGTTGCTTTGAGTTAAAGATAAAGGTAAAGGTACCCCTGCCCGTACTTGCCAGACTCTAGGGTTGTGCGCTCATCTCACTTAAGAGGCCGGGAGCTAGCGCTGTCCGGAGACACTTCCGGGTCACGTGGCCAGCGTGACAAGCTGCATCTGGCGAGCCAGCGCAGCACACAGAACGCCATTTACCTTCCCGCTGGTAAGCGGTCCCTATTTATCTACTTGCACCCGGAGGTGCTTTCGAACTGCTAGGTTGGCAGGTGCTGGGACCGAATGACGGGAGCGCACCCCGCCGCGGGGATTCAAACTGTCGACGATGCAATCGGCAAGTCCTAGGTGCTGAGGTTTTACCCACAGCGCCACCCGCGTCCCTACTGCTTTGAGTTACATTTGTTTTAAAAAGTGACTAATAAGTTTAATTAATAATAATTATTGTTTTGGGGAGAGAGTACTAGATTATATCAATATTACTTCTTAGAGGGGGAAGCTAGCATTGTTAGAATAGAATATTATTTACTTCATGGTATTTTATTAATTGTATCCATGGAATTTGACAATTAGTGATTGTAAATGGATTCTCTGTGCCCTCGCTGTGACTAAAAGACTGATATTGATCCACTGGAAAGATGAATTTATGGCTCCCTTTAATCAATAGATACAAAACATGGCAACTCTTGCAACATGTGAATGGATGTATGAATAAATATATTTGGAAAGCATTTATAAAAAATATAATAGGTTATAAATAGATCTATATGTATTAGAATAATAATGTCATTTATATACCTTTGTATTAGACAAGTATAATTGTAGTGGGGGATTTTGTAGTTTTAATGCATTTTTATTTCCTTTTTCACTATATCTTGCTTACCCAAAATATTTTCAATTAAAAAAACCCAAAACACTTTACATCTCTTTATCATTCTTATATGCTGGAGTTTTTCTATTTTTCCTTACCGTACTGCTGCTTCTCCCTTAGATTTTTACCAAAGATCCAATGACTGTGGATGCGGATGGTGTGATTTATTTCCGAGTGCAGAATCCCATCCTTGCTGTCACAAATGCCACTGAAGCAGTCATAGCCACTCAGCTCTTGGCTGAAACCACTTTCAAGAATGTTTTGGGGACTAAGAACTTATCTGAAATCATCTCCAACCGGGAACAAATTGCACATACTATACAGGTATGGCTAAGCTGCGGTTCCCAACCTGGTGCCCACCAAGGCCTTCATTGGAGCACCCCACCCCCCGCAAGGCAGGTGCCTCAGACTCTGAGCTTTTCATTTTTAAAAAGTCTCTAGCCTTCTAGAAAGAAAGTTATGAAGCAAAATGTGCAGGCCCCCTTCTAAGGATTGCTGTGAACTGAACTAGCCTGGCTGCTCCTGCCTATCAGTGTTTCTAGCCAGTAATTGAAGTCAGAGCTCTGATTGTTAAGTGAGTTGTGTGGACACCAGGCAACAGAAATCCCTGAGGTCCTAAAGAGCTCCGGTTTTCCTCTCCCCTTTAGCGCACTTTTCCTACTTCTGACTTATTTTTTAGAAGTCCTTGTAGTTTGCCCTTTGCTAGCAAGCAGGATTCATTTTTCTTGTAGTGCATTCATCTGCAATCAGGTGTTTCCTAGAAGTTATTTCCCACAAATACTCCTACAAAATAAGTGGAGGGGGATGTTAAAGATTCCCGTAATCAAACAGCAAATGCAAAATCTGAAAACTTTGCAAAGAGACTTAAAGCATGTTTCTGTCCAGGTACTTGTTAAGAACCCACTATACAGTGTAATAAGCTTACAGTGCAATTGTATACATGTCTATTCAGAAGTAAGTCTCTGTGTTTTAAAATAATATTTTATTTTAAATGTTATATTATTTTATTAACATGCAGGAAAACAAGATACATTTTAGTATAAGCTACATAGAAAGGAAAACAAAATCTAGTTACAGCAAATAAATTTTGAAGTAATGTTAACTTTCTGGACAGGCATATGATAAATACCTTCATTAAGGGATTTACTCAGGTAACTACATCAAATAAATATCTGAACAGATTTCTAAAATTTGCCCATTTTTCCATTTCAGGGTGTGGGGGTAACAGAATTAAGAACTCTATAAAGGAGGTATGAACACAGATAGAACTCAGATCATCCAAATCCACTAAAACGGACCGTCCCTGTCCCTGCACATTAATATACATTACAAAATCTTACCACACACACACACACACTCTTTGGCCTTTAAGAACTCTTGATTTGAATGTCATTTTTTTTCAAGTAACACTTGAACAAAGCTTATACCATGGTTAGACTATGTCTGATCTTTACTGAGCAATTTGCTCTAGGGCTTGTTTGTTTGTTTGTTTCAGCTGCGAGGTTATACGACCATGAGCTTTCATCCTGATTTACTTGCATGGTGGTTACGTCTTCCCATTAGTCAGTCATTTATCTCATACATTTTAGTGCATTTAGACGCCACTTTCCTAACTGCAATATTACAGTTCTTAAAATGGATCTGTTGTGCCAGGGTGCCTTAATCCACTTTAATTGCAGAAAAACCAAAATATCTAGTGTGTGACTTAAGTCCTGTTCATTTGTTCTGTTGAGTTTCATGGCTCATGTAATTGCTATACAGTATGTATAATGGCTGATGGCTGACTACTATATTTCCCTCACATTTTTTTTAACAGACCACACTGAACAACACCACAGGTGACTGGGGCATAAAGGTGGAGCGTGTGGAGATCAATGACGTGAAAGCAAAAGTAAAGGTAGGAGACTCTGTATCTACTGTGTGTCACTTTGAAGCTGTTTTGTGGAAAGCAACAAATAGATGGAATAATAGCATGTTAATAATAGCCTGTTAAGATGGTGGGACTGTCACTTGGAAAGTGGTGCAGCCACAAAAGAAAACTAAGGCTGGGTACACACAACATGGAGTACTTGCTTTTTTCCGCATAGTCCACACACATTTACTAGGGCCCAGTTTCCTTGAAATGAAGGTTTAGAGGAGACTGTGGTATCTTAAGGATATATAGTTTTATTTACACATATATGCAACCTGAGCATAGGATGAAGGGGCTCACAGCATTAATACTGCAACAGATCTTGGCACAGAACAAGAGATGCTTATGTGTCCTTCGCCTTCTAGCTCTCTCATACTCCACCAACTGTGGCCTTTGTTCTTCTAACTACCAGCTATGTGAGAGGAGGGTGTGGGAAAGGCCCACCTATTTGTTCTATAGCACAGAGCAACTTATTTGGATATGCTAAATTGTGGTACTTAACTAGCCAGCCAAAGCCATTACCTGGTCAAAGGAACTGGCTTGGCAAGCTTCTTTGGCAAGCTCAACAACTTCTGCGTCCAGATTTTCTCTTTTTGAAATATGGCAGCCCTCCCATAGAATCAATCTAGGTTGAGAGCAGCAGCATGTTGAGCAGGAATGTTTCTGGATTGAGAGAAACAACATTTTTGTGGAGGAAATGGCTTAGTTTGTATACAGCCAAAGATTCAATGGCATGGGGGCTGTTCATCTGGGAACTGTAGCCTCTGTGCAGGCCACCCCCTGCTTTTGAGGATCAAGTTTCTCTTAAATACTTCCTTAGCTGTACCAAGTCAGGTACTTAAATGGCTACTTGCCAGGACAGTTATGTTCTACCTCCACTGTTGGATGGCAAAGTGGATTTATTGCATTACACAACAATGCTTTCCATGAAGCTCCTCACCAGATAGGAACTTGAATCCCAGCTTCAAAATACTGACAGTGTGGATCTCCCCACCCCCACCCAATGTTGCAGCTCAAAATAGTTTCCTGATCAGCTCTTTAACTCTTGCTTTTATTGGTCAAAACCAGAAATGTTATTGGGAATCCCCTGGTCAACAGCTCATCACTCAATCTGCACTATCTGGTGTTTTGCCAGTGTAAGGATGACAGTGCTCAGTCTTTTCTTTTTCTTTCCTTATTTCCTGCCACCAGTGTGTTTGTAATCAACCCCCTTGGAATCATGTGTTGCTTGTTCTGGGGTGAAAAAAATCCTGAGAAGGACCAGAAGATAGTAGTAGTAGTAGTAGTAGTAGTAGTAGTAGAAGAAGAAGAAGATCGTAGTAGTAGTAGTAGTAATAATAATAATAATAATAATAGTTTATACCCCACCCATCTGGCTGGGTTTCCCAGCCACTCATGTTCATATCAGTTTGCACTAAAAAAACAAAAACAAACCCTCATGGAAATTCATCAGCTATGGAGTGCAGGTTTATTATATTCATTTTTGTAAGTAATTTTGCCTGACAAGCACATTATTTGAAAAACAGGACTTCCGGGGTGGCGCCTCCGGAAAATGGCGGAATTCCCTTCAAGTTGAAGGGAACCCGCTGCACGGAAGCTTGGGTCCTACCGCTACGGCGCAGCGGGGACCCTTAAAACCCACAGGCGGATGAAGCCTGTGGACGTGGGACTCAGCGGGCACCGTGAGCGCTCTCTCCTTGTACAGGAGCCCGGCAACGGGCCCGGAGTGGGAGGTGCGTGGTGCTGTGAGCCGACTGCTTCTTTCGTGCAGCAAAGCCGCACTGCCGTTTCCGGAGAGCGCTGCCTTTTTCCTGGGACAATTTGGCATCTAAAACATCTATCCGTGAGTACCTGATCTTGGAAGAGCTGAATTACTTTTAAGACTGGTGAATAAATAAATAAATTGCACTTGAAATTGAATTTAATTGGGACTTGGAATGAGAAGGTCTAAGCAGGAAGTCAACCTTCCGTTCTTTTGTTACGTGAAGAAAGCAAAGACAAAATATACTAAAGCTTGAAAATTAAATTCTGAGAGAACTAGAATTCAACACCTAAGATTTCTGAACCCCCCCTTTGACTGCAGGAGAAGAAGGGGGTTGTTTTGGACTTTATAACCCTGCGGAAGTGAGTTTAAAACAAAGTAATTTTCCACCGCCCTGAACCAGGAGCGGGCTGTCAGAACTGACGTCTTGAAGCTTGTCCAGCTCGACAGATAGTTAAAAGAAAGGTAACATTGTGACTCTACTGTTGCCTCTTGAATTTTGAAGGGGGAACTTTGGATAAAGTGTATCTGGAAAAGAAAGACTGTTGCTGATGATTTTCTCCGTTATAAAAAAAAGGAAAAAAAAAGGTTTTCCTCTAGTGGGATTTAGTGAAACTGCAACGCAGAGAGCTTAAAAGTGAAGGACTATAATCGTGGGAAAGAATTTTCTTTGACCCTGAAGGACAATGCTTGTACAAAGGCTTGAACAAATGTTCCTGGAAGGTTTTTCAAAACTAAGTGCCCAGCTGGACCAGATGCGTCAGGAGACGACCTTGATGACGGAAGTTACCAGAGCACAGCAGCAAGTAAATGGAACTCAGTTAAAATATCTACAAGTATATGAACCTGCTGTAGTGATGGAGGCTTCAGAGATGGAGGGACCTTTGGACCGGCAGGATCAGCCTTTGAACTTGATAAATGAACTTGGGATAAATCAGATTCGGAAAGATGAAATGTGGTTAGATTTGGAAATGGGGGATGGATTGACCCCCCTTTATATGGTTATCTGGACTTTCCGAGTCTGGTGATGGGCCATCAGAGGATTGGAGTAGTCGGAGCCTCCAAGTTTCAAGGAAACTTGAAGTGGTATTATCTGCTGTCTGGCTTGGACAATGGGCATGGGATGGACTTGTTGCAAAGGGTCAAAAGTATCTTTCTGCTGGAGTACCCACGACTGAAAGGGAAACATCAAGAAGAGCTGCGAAAGGGGCAAGAAAGAGATTTGAGGGCCTCGGACACGAGACAACCAGGTTAAGGAGCCGGACTATTGAGGTTAAAAGGACTGACAATCCCGGGTCCAGGGGAGGGGGCGCTGGAAGTTGACTGGATTGTGTCTGACTTATTATCTTATTTTATTTTTCTATTTTTCAATATTGGGAACGTTCATAAATGTTTGAAAGATGTTGAATGAAACTATATGGCTTAAGTAAGGATTGGTAAATGATTTGCAAAAAGGTAATGATGTAAGAATTTGGTAAATACTGAATATAAGCTTTGAGTTTTAAAGTTTTTATATGACAAGAGGGAAAATAGAATAAGGAAATGTAATGATAGAATGTTATGAAAAAACAGAAAGGATTTGCTGTAAAAATTAAAAATTAAGAAACAAGAGAGGGGAGGAGGAGGAAGTCTAGAAAGGAAGTTAATAGAGATCGTAAATGATTTTATACTTTTGTTTTTCTTTTTTCTTTTTTTCTTTATGGTTGGTTTTTTTCTTTTTTATTTCTTTATCGTTTTTGCTTTTTGTATTTTCAATTTTTTTGGAAATTTTTGTTGTTATTCTTTGAAAACTTAATAAATATTAATTAAAAAAAAAAATGAAAAACAGTTTCCCCTAATAGAATGCAATTTTGTATGTTGTCTTCACCAAATGTATGCATTTTAGGCACACAACTTGGCTGGATAACTGCATTGCGAAATTCAGAGAAATGTGAATGTCAAGAGATGAGTGCCATTTGATACTTTTATTGCTTTGGAAAGCGCAAATTAAGTTGTTTCCTGAATCGAATTCCTCCCCTATCCTAGTAGCATAGGGCCTCAAATGGCTTGTTGGCCTTGTGATTTTATCTCTTTCAGGTCACTGTGGGAGAGAGTGAAAGGACCAGCCCCAAGACTGTGAAGGAATCATCTGTTGTCATGATTGAATCTCCCAAGTCTCTCAAGTTACACTGCTTGAAGACGGAGACCAGGACCTGTGAGGACGCCAGCGTTACCAATCAACAGACTGTCATCACTCAACAGACTGTCATATTCCACTAACAGTAGATAAGCTGCAAGGCATTGTGGGAATGAAGTGCTAACTCAGGACACTGATGCACAGGGAGATGCTCTTTCACAGGAGGCTAGATTCCTTTTAAGTGCATGAAGTGATTTTATTTATTTGCCTATTTTTAAAGTTTTACATTTTGTTGTTTCATTGCCCCTCATCCCAAAATATGAATAAAAGTAGAAATATGATGGACAGTATATTCTCAATCTGCCATCCTTACACCCTTTCTCTCATCTCCAACATAGCGATACTTAGGAACATAGGAAACAGCCTTATGCTGAGTGAGACCATCGATCCATGTAGCTCTGTACAGTCTGCACTGACTGGCAAAGACTCCCAAGGGTTTCAGAGAGGGCTTTCTCCTAGCCCTACTTGGGGATGCTGTGAATTGAATCTGAGACCTTTAGCATACAAATCATGTGCTCTGCCACCAAGTTATGTCCTCCCCCTCAACATAACGATTCTGTGGTTCTGAAGAATAGGATGAATTAAATAGGAGCAAAGGAATGAGGGAAGCTGCTTTTTACAGTATCAGACCATTTACTGCTGAACCCAGCACCTTCTGCATGCAAAGCTGTTGCTCTACCACTGAACATGATGTTTACTGAGCGTTCATAATGATTTGGCTTGGTTCAAGCGTAGACATACATGCCACTGAAATAAAGTTATGAGCACTGGAAAAACAACAATACTAAAGTATCAGTTTTCGGTGTTCAGGGAATGAGGCATTTGGAGAGGTTTTCTCCCTCATCAAATATCTCTGACGACATCTTCAAGTTCTTCAGTTGTGGACATGTGGAACTTCTTCTCATGTTTCAAGCAAAATGTTAGTTGCATTCATTTTTCTTCTGTAATTTGAGAATACCAAGTAATGACTTCATTGCTTCTTCCAATGTCACTGATGTAGCTCTACAGACAGTAGCTGCTCACACTTTGGAACTGGTGCCCTGCTGATCTAACTAGAGTTAGACGTTACAACTTGACAACTTGCACACGTTACAACTTGTCAACATCCTTCTTAAATGTTGGTGCCCAGAACTGGACATGGTACTCTCAGTGTGGTCTGACGATGGCAGAATAGAGAAGGACTATTACATTCCTTGATCTGGACACCATAGTTCTCTTGATGCAGCCTAGAATAGCTTTTTTTTTTTTTTTTTTTTGGTTGCTGCATCATACTGTTGACCCATGTTAAGTTTGTGGTCTACTAAGACCCCTTTTCACATGTACTACTGGCAAGCAAGATGTCCCCTATTTTATATTTGTGCATCTGGTTCTTCCTGCCTATATGTAGAACCTCTCCAATCTGTTGAATTCTGATTCTGTCTTTAGCGACATTCGCTACCCCTCCCAGTTGGTGTCATCTGCAAGTTTGATGAGGGTGCTGATAGTTGCTAGAAGACCCCTATTCACCCTCAGACAGCTATAATTCAGAGTGGTTTAGCAAGCAATCCCTCTTCACAGGGAACTTTGGAAGTTGAAGCTCTGTGAGGGGAATACTGGGTCTCCTAATAACTCTCAGCACTCTTGAGAAGCTACAGCTCCCACAATTCTTTGAGGGAAGCCATAACTATTTAAAGTGGTATCGTAGTGCTTAAAATACACAGTGTGAATGTGGTCCATGTGGTTGCTAGAAGAACCCCATGTGATATTGACCTTGGACTGCTTCCTGATGTTGTTTCTGGATAACCTTTAGACCAAGACTGTCTGTTTGGACTGTGCAGCACCTGCGACCCTGCCTGTGTTGGTGAGGAATTTGGCAAGAGGCTTATAACACTCTACCACAAGCAGTAGTGATGACCACCTACACAGATTCCCCCAGGGGGAATCTGGTTGACCACAGTGAGAACAGGACTTCTGGCTCGATCCAGCCAGACTCTACATATGTTCTTAGGATGATTCCTGGAAGACATAGACCCCAGCGTCTCTCAATAAGTTTTATCTGAAACCAACAAACCTTCTGAGTTTCCACATAAGCTTTATTAAAGACCATTTTCAAAGCAGCAGAAAAGCCAGTACAGTTCATGGTGAGATTCAGGTACTGCACAGCTACTTAGGCTATTTATTATTATTATTATTTTTAAAAAAGAGTGACATAATTCTGCAGCTGGTGGTAGAGGAAAGGAGTAGCTCTTTAGAGGCAGTGAAGGCACCAAACTTTTATATATGTATTTAAAAAAGAAAAGCTGTTCCTTTTACACAGCCAGCTCGGCCATGGCTCTATCCAGAGGATCAGTGCTCCAGTAATCATCTTCCCAGCCAAGGAACCAGCCAGTGAAGGTGGGTGGTTCGAACCCTTGTCTGATGAGTGTGATGGGAGTTCTTCTGTCACGATTGGCAGGGTCGGTCTCAATATATCTCCTGGCTGTAAAGATGCAAGTGAAGACGAAAAAGAAGAGAACACAAGAGAAAATGAGCCTCTTGCTGAGATCCTAAGGGGGCAATCCCCTAAGAGGAATCAATGAGCTTTTATTGGCGACTATGAGGACATGGGGAGGGACCCTGTGAATCCATTTCTATATCTGAGGGTGGTGCAGAGGGTAATGACACAAGAAAGACTTTTCAGTGGTGGCTCCCTAGGAAGCATGCCTGGTGCCATTGCTGTCTGTTCTTAGGTGCCAAGCTAAAACATTCTTATTTATCCAGGCTTCTGAGCCTGCATATAATGCTAGTGCTATTTCAACACACACCACTGTAGATAATTAACATGGCTAGCTTGGATCCATTGATTTCAGTGGGTGTACTCTGAATAGAACGTAAGTTGTATACAACTCTTTTTTTTTTTAATTGTGAGGGTAGTTAGATGTGTCTGTGGTCTTTGTTATGACCATGCTTTAAGTGTGGTGGGTGGGGCTTGTTTCATTTCGCTGTTTGTGTCTAATTCTAATGTCTCTGCTTTATTTTTCCCTGTGTATGTTGCTTTGAGGCACTTGAGTGCAAAAATGTGACTAATAAATGGAATAATAATTTTGAGAGGCTACAACAAAGAGGTCTCCAGATGATGGACTGAGGGTCATTTTCTGATGGCTGTAGGGCCTTCTAGATGTTACTGAACTACAACTCCCATCAGCCCCAGCAAGCATGGCCAATGGCGATGGGGCTCCCATAATTCTTTGGGTGAAGCTTATAACTGTTTAAAGTGGTATCGGAGTGCTTTACATGTATGGTGTGAATGTGGCCACTGTTATGGAATTCTTTAGAATTAGACCTTATGGAAATGTAGCCTTCTTTACCTATGGGTCTGGGTCCATCCGCCTCGTACCCTTGCCTGGAGTGTGAAGGAGTCAAGGAACACCAGGGTGTGGTTTCACAGAGAAAAAGTTTATTTCAAGTCTGCGCAGAGGCAGCCAGCGGAATAGCTTCCAAAGACTGGCGGCCCCTATATTGTGTTCGGCAAGCATTCTTATACCCGGCTGCACACGCTTGTTTCCCCAATCAGCTGGCAGAGTTACAATTTGTTACCTTATAAGGCTAGCTAAGCTCCCCTCCCTCCCTTTTGTATGTTTACATACCTAGCATAACTGAAGCAGGAAGCCGAGCAGGAGGCCGCTGCTGGCCCACATAGCTGAAGCAACTATGTAGCCATAACTGGAGCAACCGTTAGCTGGGGCCCTAATACAGGGTGAGGTTAACCCTTCCCCCTCCCTTCAGTAATGCATTCTGCATGCACTTATTTCAGTGTGGCTTTAGTACGTGCTGATGTGTATGGCCTGATTGGTCAGTGAGAAATGAATCCAGAAATGAGAGGTGTATGCCCATCCTACCTGATGTTTGAGCCTCTGTCTTCTCCACCTCGTTTGCATCTTTTCCAACCCAAACAAAGACCTTTTTAAAAAAGGTAATGAGAAATGTTAACATCCGTATGTGCACTGTCACAGTGTGACCAATCAGACCCGACCATGGGTGCAAGCAGGACCCGACCACGGGTGTAGCCAGAGGGGTGCAGGAAGCTGCCCCCCAGAACAAGTAAATAAATAAAAATACTTTACTAACTCACCAATCGCATCACAGCCCTCCCTAAAAAAAGTCCTGCCCCCTCAACAAAAATCCTGGCTACGCCTATGAACCTGACTGATAAAAACAGTCGTATCCCCACTTGTGATTCCCACCAGCTGGTATAAAGAAGCTTATTTCATAACTAAGGATGGTTGAGTCTGTTTGGGGGTCTCATTTTTCCTGTCTTGTTCTGCTCTCTGCATTTTTAAAGTCCTCATGATAGCTCATCAGCATTTTAGTGCAAGTTTACCCTAATATATACGTTTGCTTTTAATGTAATTTTGTCTAATATACATATCTTTGCAAGGTAGTTCCCCCCAATATTGTATGCTATTTTCATTAGTTTTTAGGCACACTTCACCCCAGTATATACATTTTTGTACACATAACTTGGCTGGAAACCTGCGCTGCAAAATTCAAAGTGATGTCTCTTTCGAAGGATGGCTATGTTTCAGTTTGCGTTTTGTTTCAGAAAGTGTGAACTAGGTTTGCCTTCAAGTGTGACCTGAATCAATTTTCTCCCTCCCATCCTTATTATTGAATTTATATCCCATCGTCTTATCCAAAGAGCTTAAGGCGACGCATATACTTCTGCCCTTCTTCCTTTTATCCTTACAACAATCTTGTGAGGTCGGTTAGGCTGAGGGGCTGTGCCCAACTCAAGGTTACCCAGTGGCCTTTCTGGCTGAGTAGGGATTTGAATCTTGATCTCCCAGATCCTATTCAAACACTCTAACCACTACACCAGAAGGGCGTGGGTGGCGCTGTGGGTTAAACCACAGAGCCTGGGACTTGCTGATAAGAAGGTTGGCGTTTCGAATCCCCGCGACGGAGTGAGCTCCCGTTGCTCAGTCCCTGCTCCTGCCAACCTAGCAGTTCGAAAGCACGTCAAAGTGCAAGTAGATAAATAGGTACCACTCTGGTGGGAAGGTAAACGGCATTTCCGTACGCTGCTCTGGTTCACCAGAAGCAGCTTAGTCATGCTGGCCACATGACCCGGAAGCTGTATTTATTGGCTCTCTTGGCCAATAAAGCGAGATGATCGCCGCAACCCCAGAGTCGGCCATGACTGGACCTAATGGTCAGGGGTCCCTTTACCTTTAACCACTACACCACACTGGCTCTCATGGTGCATCACTGAATGTGACTCTATTTTGAATTTCCCTTGTTCCACACTGGTCTCCTTGATATGGAGCACAATAAGAACTGATTGCTAGCAAAGAGATAGTGACATACCTGGTCCCAGGTGTCCAAGAGCATCACATCATCTGTGGCCAAATCCTCTTGGGTCAGCTCTCCAGGTACTTCTTCAATCTAAACCAAATATTTAAGAGGGTGATATGTTAAAGGGGACAAACAACCGAAGCTTGCACAAAGAGGCTTGCGCTATCCCTGAAGCTCCATTGTACGTAACAGAACCTGAACACCATTCTCTTGAAACTGAAGCACCTTGTGCTGCTGGTGTTCCTAAATGCTTAGATTTGTCCTGCACAGTGTTCTTCCCAGGAGCCTACTTCAGAGTGACCTTAGGGAGCCAATCCTCAGAGGCTGACCCACCTCCTTTCACCCTGATTGGCCTTAGTCATCGCAAAGGAGACTGCGGATTGGCTCCTAGGAAAGGGGACATGTGCAGAGTAACTTTCCCTCATCACTGAGCAAACACAACAAGGTGCCACACACCTGTCTGCCAAGCAGGTATGAGACTGGGTTATTTTAAGCTAAGGATGGGGAAGGTGAGGGCCTACAGGCATGGTTAGAATACAGCTCCCATCAGCCCCAGACCACATGGTCAATTGTCCAGGATGATGGAACTTGTAGTTGACTACCAGCTGGAGGGCCACAGGTTCTCACTCGCTGGCTTAAGCACACCTTCAGAGACTTCAGCAGCCCTTGACACTGTACTAGTCATTGCCACTGTCCTCCAAAACCTTCCTTTGGTTTTAATTCCTCAATGCAGTACAATATTAGACTATATGTGCAACCAGTTCATTGAACACTCATCCTGATTTCCTTGCACAAAGCTTGTGCGGAGGTTAGACTACATCTAGTCTTCATTAAGTGTTTGCTGAGATTTATGTGTGGGGAAGATACGCAACAATAAGCATTTGTCCATATTTGTGTGTGTGGTGTGTAGACATTCATCCCACACTTTTCTGTGCATTTTCCGATTTCTTTCCTAACCAGAAACAGTCTTGGGGTTTTTTTAAGTGGATTTGTTGTGCTAGGGTGACAAGGGGTTCATCCGATGTTAGTCCTACTAAGAACAGACTCATTAAAATTAATGAACATGAATAACTTCGGTCCATTAGTTCCAATAAGTTTAGCTGGCTACAAACCAGTGCATTTTAATCCACTGTAATTGCACAAACCAAAATGTCTTGGTATGTGCCTGCATCTCTCCTGAAAAATACTGACAGCCTGAAGGTGGTCTAAGTTCTCAGCAATGCCCTGAATGCATGAGGTACTCACAGTAAAGCGCCCACTCTTGTTGGTGCAGGCAAACAGTCTAGGTGGGTGAACGTCCATCTTCTTGTCCTTTAGCCGTGGGGAGGTGCGATAGGCAGCTCTTCCACCAAGTGCTTCCCAGAAACCAGCTGCAAGACAGGAAAGGAACCAAATATACAGGTTTGCCATCATCATCAGGAAGAAAGTGGCTGCCTCTGGCTTTGAGACAGCGCAGTGATAGATTTAGGACCTGAAACTAACCATGCAAACCCCAGTGCCTTTAATCGGAACTATGGCCTGTCCCCATGTCTTTTTTATTCTTCTTTCATGATGATTGATGTTCATGGTCTTATCTATTTTTATTTAACAAAATGTATATATCATTCGATTGCAGCAAAACCCCTTAAGCAGGTTGCATATTTTTTAAATATATATAGATAATAAAAACAATTAAATTTATCAGTAAAAAAAATTAAAAACACCCCAATGTCCATGTGGGGTGATGGTACTAGGACAGCGATACACAATCCTGTTTTCAGGACTGTTTACACCTGCAAGACTTTAGGGGTGAACGTGCTGCTTTGTTGCCAGTTGATGCACACCCATAAACTCCTGCAGAAATCCTGATTTATATTTTCCTACCACAAGTATTCCCAGGTAGTTTTTGGCTGCATTTTTGTTGCATTGTAGCACAAGAATGGCCCTCCAAAGAGCAATAATGCTGTAACATTAGGCATAGCTGTCAATTTCTCCCTTTTCTTGCGAGGAATCCTATTCGGAATAAGGGAATTTCCCTTAAAAAAAGGGAAAAGTTGGCAGCTATGACATTAGGGAAAGCATCACAGAACAACTAATAAAGCATTCTGATGTGTGGATGGTCCACACTTCAAACCTGGTTCTCCGCCTTCAGCAACCTCGGTTGCACGTGCTCCCAAGACCTTCAGTAGCTCTGTGGCCCCAGACTTCTCGGCCTCGCTGGCTCCTTTGCCAACCCACAGGTAAGCAGCAGAAGGGGTTTTCAACACAAAGGCATCGTTGGAATTGAGCTCCTTAGCAGCCGCATCCACCTGTGAAGGGACAAATGTAAGCCTGCCATCAGGGCTGCCAGCACAGACACTTTTTAGCCACCCAGTGGCTTCCCCAACATTACAGAACTTAGAGGTGCCAATTCGACTTGCCTTTTCAACAAGGCAGAGGCCATTTGGAAAAACAGAACACTGACTCCCTGAGGAACATTGGGCAACCAGGCATTAGGAGTGACAGGAGGCTTGGGATGTGAGAGTGGAATTACAGTGGTACCTCTGCATACAAACGGGATCTGTTCCGGATCCCCGTTCGCATCCTGAAGCGAATGCAACCCGTGTCTGTGGGTCACGATTCGCCGCTTCCGCGCATGACATCATTTTGACCGTCTGCACGTGCACGAGCAGTGAAACGCGCTTCGTTACTTCCAGGTTGCCGCAGAGTGCAACCCAAAAGCTCTCAACCTGAAGCATATTTAACCCGAGGTATGACTGTATTCCAGAACGTAAGTGAAGGCAGTCACAAAATTCCATTGGAATAATTTAGCCATAGGCAATACAATGCCCAAATGCTCTTCCTAAAACAGACTTAGCTTTGAGAAATTAAAGCTGAACATTTGGGCATGGTGTGTCACGTATCCCAAAAATGGAAGTCACTGTGGTTCATTTTTCCAGCAGAAACCCAAGGCTGCCCGCTCATTTTTCAAACTCCATCTTGTCAACACCGCCATTCGCTCCAATTAAAAACCACGTATATTCTTCACAATATTTTTTTTTATTGCACACACATACTTGCACAGAACTCACACTGTGCAATGGTTTTGTAGTCTTTTGTGAGCAACAGCTCTTGTGCATGCTTATTTTGCTCAGATTGCAAATAGTGTAAACCAGTTTTCCTGGGCTGAACACACACCTGTTCCAAGAACAGCAGGTTGGATTTAGGTGGCTGCCTGCTTTGGAATAGGATTCCACATCAATGGAACCCCAAATTTTATTTAGATAGAATTTGACAGCAACACTAGTTAAGAAAGCAGCTGGTGAAAAAAGAACAACTGACTATGAGAAGGCCCCAAAAGTAAGGCCTTGCTATGAAGCCTGTCCATGATCAACAGGTATCAACAGGTCACTTACCTCCACAGCTCTGGTAGTGCCAGATGTGCTAGACCGGACTTGGAAGAGCCTTGTGGACGCAGGACTTGTCTGACCTCCCTCTCTGGAGGTGCCACCTTGGTACACAATCAGAGGTTTCCCACCGAACAAGCTCATGAGATGAGGCGGTTCTTTGCCCTGGACCACTCGTTTCTATCACAAAAGAGGCCATGGTCACTCCACAGAGGAAGAAAACACCTGAGGGCTCAAGCTCTGTCATGCATCAACCTACCATCAGAATGCCTGCGATGTGCAGCTACCATGGAAACAGACCAGAGGATCCACGGAGCATACAAAACTATTGAGGGCGGTGAATCAGCAGGAGGAGTTAAAAGCTAGCAAATCATCTGCCATTTAACCAAACAGCCAGCTAACTGGACATTAAGGGCCCTCCAGACATTCTCCTGATTCTGCATTCATGTTTATTTGTGCTTGCGATGGTATCTGGGGAGTTAGACGTGACTCCACTTTCAGTACTATTTGTACCTGTGAAGCTTTCGGGGCAGACATACTGATTAATTTAATCAGTGTGTGCCCTATAACTTTATGCGGGAATCTTGTAACTTTTTATACCACAAATATTCTGGTTTATTTTTTCTCCTCCTTTTGTTGCACAACAGTGCCCCTCCAGATGATAATGGGGAAGCATTGCAAAATAACTGAAAAAGTGGAACCAGTATAAATCCACCACTTATCCACTTTCTTTGTGTCAATTATATATTGCATAATACACCTACAAAAAACCACTGGTCTAGAGGACCCCCATCTCTTTTCTGTTTCTTGTGATCTCTCTAAACACTTTCCCCATATAATTTAATTATTGTCCATTTTCCTGATCTGGGCAGACAATTTTTATTGAAATATCTGCTCAACATTCAGGTTTCGTCTTATAGGTTGCCATATTTCACAAAGTGAAAAATCAGACACAAAACCTTGAGCTTTTAGCTACTTTTAAGAAAAATCGGCAAAAATGACACCGCCAACATGGGTTGCCATACGTCTGGATTTTCCCAGACATTTGGCTGATTTTTGCCTGGACACTGCTTCCATCTGTGATATTCCAGGTATGTCCAGGAAATTCCAGACGTATGGCAACCTTTCATCTTATATTGTTAGCACTCTCATTTGCTCTAATTAAAAGGTCTGGATTTTTTCACATATGTTATACTTTGCACTGCATGAAAGCAGTCTTAAAAGTAGTTCTGTAGTCTTAAAACCTCAATGATCACAGGTACATACTCATCATCTCTCGTAGTATGCTACAAGCTCTGGCATTAACAGATCTGTTTCGTTTCTTGTCCCCTTATTTCAGTTCAATCTAACTGAACCCATCTGTAGTTAAGCCACATGGACTGGCCCAGATGGCAATACCTGCACTGCTGTGCCTCCCAGCTCCTCATCCAGTTGGACAGTAAGGAAAGCAGAGGTTGCGACTTCATCTTGGGTGGAATCAGCGCCCTGCCTGAAAAAACAAAGGGCAAAAATATGAGTGTACACAGCATAATTGGGGAACCTTTTTCCTCTCAAGGGGTAATCCTTTGGGGATTGCATGCAGCTCTTGTAGCTCTGTGAAGGGAATAGAGGTCTTCTAACCACTCTCAGTACCCTTAAAGAACAGCAGTTCTCAGGACTCTTTGGGGAAAGTCATGGCTATTCAAGTGATAGAACTCTATATTTATGGTGTGGATGTGGATCTAGAAATCGGGCCTTTAGCACTATGGCTCTGGATCTATAGAACCAGCTCCGAATCGAATGGACAACCACCTAGCATTTTTGCTTTTAGTTGATGATTAAAAACTTACTGTTTAAAAATGGCTTTTTCTTAAAGCGACTTGGTCATTTTATATTATAAACACTATTTGTGTAATTTGATGCTTTCAATAACTTTTTGTTAAGGTTATGTATACATTTATTTGTTTTTGCTATATATGTAGGGTTTTTTTTTAATATTCCTCTTTTACACTGCTTTGGAAATATTTGTTGGAAACCAGTTTGGAGCTTTTTAGTTTAGAGAGTAAGGGGAGTAAGCAGTAACACAATAGACGTTATATAAAATAAAGTTTTTCTCCCTCTCTCAAAACACCAGAAACTTGTGAACATCCAATGAAGCTTAATGTTGGAAGTTTCAGGAAGTATAAAAGAAAGTAGTTCTCTGCACAATGCAAGTTCAGCTGTGGAACTTGTTCCCACAGTGATGGCTATCAACTTGGATGGCTTTTAAAAATGATGTGGGATAAGTCTATCAATGGCTACTAGCCATGATGGTTATTTTGTGCCTCCATGGGCAGAGGTTATGTGCTTCTGAATACTGGTTTCTGGAAGCTGAAGAAGGAGAGAGGACTCTTGTGCTCAGGTCCTGCTTGCAGGTTTCCTGCTGGGGCACCTGGTTGGCCATTTGTGAGAACAGGATGCTGGACCAGATGGGCTTTGACTTGATCCTGCAGGCTCTTCTTACGTTGTTATGAGTTAGGTAAAGGTAAAGGGAACCCTGACCATTAGGTCCAGTCGTGGCCGACCCTGGGGTTGCAGCACTCATCTTGCTTTATCGGCTAAGGGAGCCGGCATACAGCTTCTGGGTCATGTGGCCAGCATGACTAAGCCGCTTCTGGCAAACCAGAGCAGCGCACGGAAACGCCACTTACCTTCCCGCCGGAGCGGTACCTATTTATCTACTTGCACTCGACGTGCTTTCGAACTGCTAGGTTGGCAGGAGCAGGGACTGAGCAACAGGAGCTCATCCCATCGCGGGGATTCGAACTGCTGACCTTCTGATCGGCAAGTCCTAGGCTCTGTGGTTTAACCCACAGTGCCACCCACGTCCCGTATTGTTATGAGTTAGAAAACCTTAAATCAGGTGTGGGGAAGCTTTGGTCCTCCAGATGTTACTGAGCTATAACTCCCATCAACCTTGGACATCAGCCATGTTTGCTGTGGCTGATGGGAGTTGTAGTTCAGCAACATCTGGAGGGCAAAAGTTGTCTTAAATTTTTTAAAAAATACTAAGAAAAAAAGTTATCATACCAAGTGTAGATGATTTTGCCTTGTTTTCCACCATGTGTGTAATCATACAGGATGATATAGCTGTCCCCACCATAGAATTGTCCGTAATTTGAGGGACTCACTGGGACTTTGGCAGAACCTTCTATTCTCCAGATCTGAAGGGGGGCGGGGAGAAGAGAAATGACATCCAAATCAGATAAATGGCAAACAGGAGACCATTGGTGAAATGAGTTCCAGCTTCTTGAAATAATAAACAAAGACATACAAATTATGTAAGTGAAAGGAGTAGGGAAAGCGAGAGACAGGTGTATGGACAGGTATATTTGCACCACACATTTGAAGTGCATTCATAGCAATTTCAACAGTCATGGCTTCCCCCATCCCAAAATAATCTTGGGAACTGTAGTTTACTCCTCACAGAGATACTAATTATGGTTTCTGGGATTCTTTAAGGGAAGCCATGCGCTTTTAATGTATGCTGTGGCTATGACTTAGAATGCTTTGAAAGTTGCCAACTTTGATGGATGGTTCAAATGGCAAACTCATGGCTTTAAAAGGAGATGAGACAGATTAAGGGAGAAAAAAGGCTATTGATGGCTACTTATCAGAAATGGCAGTGATCTGCCTCCAGGATCAAGGCTGATCCATTAGGGCAAATGGGGCAGTGCCCCACCAGCCACAGTCTGCTCTCAGCTAGCCTCCACCTGCCTGGCTTTCAACTTACTAGTCCAGGGGATGGCCCTGCTGCCTGCTTCCTTGTCCTTAGTTCCAGTGCTGCCCTTGTAGAACTCAGCAGGGAGGATGATGCAGGCAATGTTCAAATGAGGAGACTCTGCCTATCACTGGCTCTGGCGCCACCTACTGTGGGGCTCCCTGCCTTCTGTCCTCCCAGTCCCAAAGGACTCAAGCTACCACTGAAGACAGCATGTCTAGGAATTGCAGTGGGTGGAGATCAGCCACAGGAGAGGCCAATGGAGACATCTTTAGGAGAGGTGGCTTTATTTACACATATACACAACCTGAGCACAGGATGGAGGGGCCCACAGAATTAACACCCCAACCGGTCTCAATTCCCTCTTAGGTTTCCAGCGAAGCCCCCAGTCAACAGCTTAGGTTCAGCACAGAGCAAAACATTGCTCTCTGTCTCCACTTCCAACATTAGCCAAAACTCACTCACACAACTCGTCACTTAGACAGCCTTCCTTGGTCAGTTTCTTCTTCCTCCTAGGATGACCATGGCCTCCAGCCAGGTGAGGCGGGAAAAGGCCAACCCATTTATCTCTATGGCATCCTCTTCAAGACTTCACAGCACTTAACTGGCCAGCCAAAGCCATTAACTTATGTATTCTACCCCACATACACAACATCACAGATTTGGAAGGGAACTAAGGTATCATTCGCACTGACCCCCCAAATCATAACAATACTCTCTCTTGTTGTACTCACTGACTGCAGTACAATACACACTCAGCTTTTATCTTTCTTGCTCAGAGTCCTGAGCTGCCAAATGCTGGATAGATCCTTTTGCCTAATAGAGTGATGATTTTGCATAACCACCATCTCCCCCACTTACCTGTTTGTTTCCAGTGCCGTCATCTTCCATGCCATGCTGAGCTGCCATTGTTGGGGAGGTGTGTAGTGTGGCAGCATCGAAAGGAATGTTGTCAATCTTGGCCACGTGAGAATTGATGTAGCCCACACCCATGCCCTCTGTCTGGTCCCTGTCACGCCAATTCTTGAAGAATTGCTTGAACAGGGGAGTCTCGCCACCGTCTGGAAGGACTTGGATCTGAAACAAAGAAAGTATCCTGAGATGGAATGGTCTCAGCTGAAGCCAAACTGGGACAGAATTGTATTTATTTATTGTTCTCTTTTTAAAAAGCTTTATCAGCACAATTTATTCTTGACACTAGGCCTCAGTGCAGTTCTCTAGCTATTGAGCCACATAGGCTCAATTTAGACAGCATGGCAAACCGTCGTTTGAGGTTCCAGATGTACCCAAAGCAAACCATGGTTTAACCTTGTTAGTTGTCTTTTGTATTCTGTCATCTCAACCCTTAGGTTCTTAACTTCACTCCTTTTACTTACCAGCAATCTATGTGGTGATCAAACTATGACAATGTAAACATCACCGCAAACCAGGGTTAGTATAAAAGCATTGAAAGTCAAATTCAAACCATAGTTTCACATTCTGGCTTACTGGACAATCGCAATTCATGGTTTGTCAACTGAAGAAATCAACCAAAACTCAACAAACCTTCCTTAAGCCTGGTTTGAGAACCAACCATCCCATTTCAGCCCTCCCACATCTTGCTTTGAATTGAACCTTGTGTGTTTTCTGCAACATCTCTTTTTCCCACTTACCTTCCATGAATCCTAACCTCATTCCTTAACTTGGGTGGGGAACTGGTGGCCCTCCAGATGCTAGTGGACTACAACTCCCAGAATCTCTGCCCACTGACTATGCTGACTATTGGCAGGGGTGGTGTGTCCCATTTTGTCACTTGAGGTACAAAATGGAAAACGGGGAAAATGGAAAGTGCCACCCTGCTCTGCTGCATCATGTGCCCCATCACCTCTTCAGCTGGCACTGCTGTTGTGCCCCCCCCCCACAGCACTGCCTCTGTGCCACTTCCACTGCTGATTTCCATCACAATCTCACGAGATTTTGTCAAAATCCTGTGAGATGACTCGCACTCTTTGAGATCTCATGAGATTTTAGTAAGATCTTGTGAGATATCACTGGAAATCGGCACTGCTGCTGGTGCCACTTCTCTACCACTGACTGGGATGGTGGTGAATGGTGTGCCTGTAGGAGTGCCGACTCAGGGGCTTCTGCTACCTGAGGCAGTTGCTTCACCCCACCTCAAGGGTGAGCCGGCCCTGGCTATTGGAGCTGATGGGAGCTGAAATCCAACAACACCTGGAGGACCACAGGTTCCTCATCCCTGCTATAACAGAAGGAAGTCTATGGATAACTTTTCTTGTATCCTTACCTGTGTGTGTCGGGGATAACCCATCTTGGTGATGAATTCTGCGGCGGTTTTCAAGGCAGCCTTCCTTTCCTCAGCATTGGCATTTTTACCTTCAAGTTAGCAACAGGAGTGAGTGAAGATAGATATATTAAAAGAGAATATAAAATTTGCTACCAGATGGAGTGATTTTTAAAGGGGAAGGGTTTTAGAAGTCCTTCATGTGGACATTTTGTGCTTCAGGCACAAATTCAAGTATGTGAGACAGAACATATTTCTGAGGCAAAAAAAAATCAATCATATGAGGCAGAATGTATTTCTGATGTCAAAGAAATAAACAAGTGTCTGACGTTTAGAAGACATCTGAAGGCAGCCCTGTTTAGGGAAGGTTTTAACGACTGATGTTTTAATGTATTTTTAATCTTTTGTTGGAAGTCACCCAGAGTGGCTGGGGAAACCCAGCCAGATGGGCGGGGTATAAAATAAATAATAATAATAATAATAATAATAGATAAAATTTAAATACATGAAGACATTTTGAGGCCTGCAGCAAAAAATATGTGTGTGCATGCACACAAACCATGGTGGGAAAATTTATAAGCAACAAATGAAATAACTATTTGCCATCTTTTAATTATACCTTCAAATCTTGTCTAGTGGCAAGGCCTTATGCTGTTCCACACACCCTCACCAATTTCTCCCCTCAAGTTAGATGTGACAATACATTTAAATTTGCTGCCAAAAATGGCATTTAGTATGAGTTTCTTCAAAAAGAAAAGTGGGATAATTTTTTAAAATAAACCTGAACAAATAAACAAACAGCACCCTCCACAATCCCTCAGTGTAACATCAAGTTAGAGAAATGCATAAAGTAATATTATCAGGTGGTGTGCTTCTTGGTACACCAGGAATTAGGAACTTTTGGCCCTCCAGAGGTTTGACTCCAACCTCCATCAGCCATGCCTACTGAGACTGATGGGAGCTGGAGTTCAATGACATCTGGAAGACCACAGGTTCCCCAAATCTGTTGTACACTCATTCTTTTGTCTACAGTGGGTGTGTTTATGTGTATTTAATGCTGCCTATTAACCCCTATAGAAAATTCACACCCCTACAACAAAACAATAAGGCACACTCTCCATAGAAATTGAGAACCCACCCCTGATTCCACAGTTGCATGTATTTCACTAGCACACACAGAGACCATACATTTAAAGCACAATGATGGCACTTTAAACATTCATGGTCTCCCTTCAAAGCAGCTGCAGTTTGGTAAGGTTGTTGAGAGTTGTTAGACAACACCTATTCTCCTCAGAGAGCTACAATTCCTGGGAAGAGGAGTTGGTTCTTAAACCAACTCTGGGAATTGTAGCTCTCTGAGGTGAATAGGGGTCACCTAACAGCTCCTACAGCTCCCAACACGCTTTGGGAAGCCACAACAGTTTAACGTGTTATAACAACACTTTTAAGTGTGTAGTGTGAACATGGCCTGTGTCAGCCATATGACTTTTGTATATCTCTCTCCGTTTACCTTTCCAGACAAAGATTTTGCCATCAGTGCCATGGTCAAGAATGAAGCAATCATCCGAGCTCAGGGCTGATTGAGAGAATGGATTCTCATCAGCCACCAGAGAGACTGCCATATTCCCTGCGCCGTTGGATACCTGTAACAGTACAGCAGAACAGATTGTTATTCTTGGGGTGTGTCCAGCATTAGTCCTACTCAGAGTAGACCAGCCATAATTAATGGGCATGACTAACTTAGGCCCGTTAATTGAAATGGGTCTACTCTGATTGAAATTCAGTTTGATACAAACCTATTATTGCATTAATGACATGCGGCAGAATACATACGCCCACTAAAAAAACCCAAAAGCAGTCTGAAGAGGCCCTCTAGCCAGCTACCACATTTCATCTCCACTGTCCTCTCTCACAAATACTGCCACTTCTCTCCTTTTCACGGCTCAAATCTCCTCCTCCACAAATGTGTTGGCTTAACCCCAGTCAGCCAACCCTGATTAAAACAAAGCTTAAGTACATTTAGCTCTCAGCACCCTGAACAAACCACATTTCCCAGGATTCTTTGTGGGGAGCAATGGCTGTTAAAAGTGATAGTGCTTTAAATGTACGGTGTAAATGTGGCCTTCTAGTCTCCTGGAAGAAAGCACGTCCAGCTGTCTGGAACCCTAAACAACTAAATGGCACAGTATAAACTCTCTCACACACCCCCAACACTTCTGTTAAGGGATGAGGATATTCTGAAACATTTTGCTGCAGGTTCCACTTATCTTAATATTTTTGGTTATACAGTACTCCATTGGACAGGTTTCTATTGCAAAAGCAAAACGAAAAAATAAAATAAAATGTAAGTTCAGCTTATCGGGTGGGTTGGCATTCATGGCGTTGACACTGTTCCCGCCATGCACTCTAGCCAAAGCCAATCACTGACAGGCAAAGTTGAAACAGCTCTTTGTTCTCCCTGGGAGATAAAAAGCACACCCCCAAATACTGCTTTGAGCGCTGTCTCTCTCCACTGTTTCATAGGGCTCCCTCCCTCTGGCTCACTGGCCATCTGGATCTTGTTATACCTTGTACAGCTTAGCCAGCCTTCGGTTGGTTGCGTCAGCTGCACCGTCATCAGTAGTGCCTGCTGGCAGGGTGGGCTTGGGTCCCAGGACCTGAAAAGCAAACACGCAAAAAATTATTAATAATAATATATAAAAGTTTCTAGAGGAGTGTATGCTGACTAAACAGGCTCTCTGCTCGCCAGATGCTTTAACTGAAGAAATAAACAGCATCCCACATGGAAAAATAATCATTTACTCTCTTTTTTTAACCCTGATTTATGCCTGTTGCACAAGAGGATAGTTATGGGAAATGGAGAGGGCAGGAAGGCGAAGCCAAATTCAAAACCTTATGGAAATTGACCAGTGAAAAGGGCATGGCTTTGATATTGGTGGCTGGTCCATTAGGGCAAATGGGGCATTGCCCTACCAACTGAAGTCTGCCCTTAGCCAGCACCCTGCCTACTGGCCTTCATGTTAGCAAACAGTCCAGGGAGTGGTACTGGTTGCAAGTTCCCTCCTTAAGTCGCAATGTTGCCCCAGTACAGGCATGTCCAGCCAGTAGATGGCAATCTACTGGTAGACCCCTGGCTGATCCTGGTAGGTCGTGTGACCCTTATTGATTTGGGGATTACTGTATTTTTTGCTCTATAAGACTCGCTTGTTCCCTCCTGAAAAGTAAGGGGAAATGTGTGTGCGTCTTATGGAGTGAATGCAGGCTGCGCAGCTATCCCAGAAGCCAGAACAGCAAGAGGTATTGCTGCTTTTGCTGCGCAGCAATCCCTCTTGTTGTTCTGGCTTCTGAGATTCAGAATATTTTTTTTCTTGTTTTCCTCCTCCAAAAACTAGGTGCGTCTTTTGGTCTGGTGCATCTTATAGAGCGAAAAATACGGTAAATAAAGTTTGCTAAAAGTTAACAAATAAAAGCTGAAGAACTCTGGGCAACCTTACCCCAAAAAAGCTCAACAAACAATTTTGGGATCAACAACTCTGGGCAATCCACCCACCCCACACACGCAGGCTCCTCCTTGCTCCTCCTCCCTCCAATGACAATGGGTAGATCACTGCCAGTTTTTTTATACTGGGAGCAGATCGCAGTCTCTTGGGAGTTGGTCATGCCTGCCCTAGTGGAACTCAGCAGGGAGGAGGATGGGGGCGTAGGAGCATTTACTCCAACATTTTGTTCTCACAGTGGCCAACCAGATAACCACAAGCAGGATTGTTTACCTCCCTCCTCTCTGGTGACCCGGAAACTACAACTAATCCAGAATGCGGCAGGTAGACTGGTGACTGGGAGCAGCCGCTGAGACCACATAACAGCGGTCTTGAAAGACCTACACTGGCTCCCAGTACATTTCCGAGCACAATTCAAAGTGCTGGTGCTGAACTTTAAAGCCCGAAACGGCCTCGGTCCAGTATACCTGAGGGAGCGTCTCCACCCACATCATTCTGCCCGGACACTGAGGTCCAGCCCCGAGGGCCTTCTGGCGGTTCCCTCCCTGCGAGAAGCCAAGTTATAGGGAACCAGGCAGAGGGCCTTCTCCGTAGTGGCCCCCACCCTGTGGTACGCCTTCCCATCAGATGTCAAAGAGAAAAACAACTACCAGACTTTTAGAAGACATCTGAAGGCAGCCCTGTTTAGGGAAGCTTTTAATGTTCAACAGATTATTGTATTTTAATATTCTGTTGGAAGCCACCCAGAGTGGCTGGGGAAACCCAGCCAGATGGGTGGGGCATAAATAATAAATTGTTGTTGTTATAAAAATTCAGAATTCAAACCTCTCCTACAGTATCCCGGTGCAGTTTTACTGAATGTGCAAGGGGTTTGGTGGGAGGAGGCAGATCTTACATACTCAGCATCAACTGGGCTCTGAAGCTTTCATGTTTCGATTAACAACAACATGCTGAAACGGTACCTGTGTGAATGTAGCAACACTGCCCCATTTTCTCTCACCCACCACATTTGGTGAAGAGCACTGATATTCAGAAGAGGCTGGATTTTAATCTGTAGGATCCTCAACCGGACTTCCACACGGGAGATTGGGAAATTAACAGAATGCCCTGTCCCTCTGCTGATGCAAGCAAATAGGCAGAAACAGCAACTGCATTTAAGTTCCCTGCAAAATCTAGTCATGGATTCTCTGCAAAACATGTAAGTTGACCCCCTTAGTTACTCAGAAGTAAGTTCCTTGTGTTAGGCTTACTCCCAAGTAACTGCATATAGGATTGCAGCTGAGTAGCACGTATGGATTTGTGAGAAAGTAAATAAACCAGGACCTGAAGCATCTCTTCCCGCTCAGCACCGTCATCTATGACATAGACCCTTGCGCGTCCACTTCTCTCGTTATCCCGGATCCCCTTGGCGACTTGGGTGGCCTTCAGCTTTTCAAACCTGTTACTTTGTGAGCCACACCACTGATGAATATTCTGCAGGGCACAGAAAGAAGGAGGTTAAAGAGGCAAATACTATGACTATATAGCAGGAAGAGGGAGTCAGATTTCTTATGATGCAAAGAAGTGACCTTGTACTCACAAACCATTAGACCGTGGTTAATGTGAACCATGGTTAAATGAACTGCAGTTAAAACTGAGGCACCTGGCAGCTGATCACTTAAACCATGTCACATAACAGTTGAAAACACCAATGAGAACATGAAACAATACTAAGCTATAATTAATGTTAACCACAGAGCCTAGGGCTTGCCGATCGGAAGGTGAGCAGTTTGAATCCCTGCGACGGGGTGAGCTCCCATTGCTCAGTCCCAGCTTCTGCCCACCTAGCAGTTCGAAAGCACATCAAGTGCAAGTAGATAAATAGGTACCGCTCCAGCGGGAAGGTAAATGGCGTTTCTGTGCGCTGCTCTGGTTCGCCAGAAGCGGCTTAGTCATGCTGGCCACATGATCCAGAAGCTGTCTGCAGACGAACGCGGGGACCCTCAGCCTATAGAGCGAGATGAGCGCGCAACCCCAGAGTCGTCCGCGACTGGACCTAACAGTCAGGGGGTACCTTTACCTTTTCAAGGTTTATAAACTAAGGTTTATGAATGAGCAATCATAGCTAACAAATCACAGTTCACACATAACTCTATATGAATCATAGTTTAGTGTTATGTGCAAACCAGATCACAGCCTAAATAAGGTAATGATTGGATTATTGACAACACCTATATGCTACTTCTCCACAGTTCAAAGTAGCTTCCACAAAATCAGCAATATAACAAAATAATTTAATAATTTATTTGAGGGGGCCAGACCAGCTGTGTCCACTTTAAGCCTGTGCCTGCCCTCAAACTGGGAATGTGTCACAGACAAAGCTAGCTTCAGGCTGGAGCAGAGCACTTTGTACAATCATCTAGGAAAATGCGCTTGCTTGGCAGGACACATTCGTATCAGGCCTGGACTAACAGCATCTTATTATCTCCTACAAGGCTTTTCATGCCCCATAATGAAGGGGACCAGCACAGAACCAAGGGAAACTCAAAAAAAATGTCATGTTCTGGTTCAGAGATGCATAGGGATGGTGGAAAAACTAGATCCAGTTCACATTTAAAGATGAATCTACTTAATTTGTAATTTCTGAAAAAATGTGTGAACCGGAATACAACTATCCTTCAAAATTCACTCTTCTCTGAATTTTGCAGTGCAGTTTTCCAGACATGTAACATACAAAAAAAAAAAGCATATTCTGAGGTAAAGTGTGTATAAAAATGCACATATTGATGAAAGTACGAAACAAGAATGCATTATGTATGGGGAACTGCTTTGAAAAAATGTGTATATTAGAATTTTTCAATAAAATGCTAATTAAAATGTTCAAGAGACTTTTTTTAAAAAAAAATACAAACCGATGTTGATTTGTGGAAAACTGAAATTAAGACTAGCAAAAATGTAAGAAACTGAGCAAAACTGAAATTGACAGTTTTAGCTATTCCAATCTAAGGAAAAATAATAAGTTTTGTTTGTTTGTTTAAGAAAACAGAACAAATTCCCGTTACCCTCAGGGCTTGCAAGAAACGCACCTGGCCCAGATCCAAGATGAAGCAATCACCGGTGTTGAAGCTGTCCCAGGTGACGGGCACCTCTGTAGCACGTACAGTTCGCCTTCCTTTGACCTGAAGGAGTCTCTGGACAGTCACTTCATTGGGAACCACATGGCGGAAGCCAGAAGCCACACCACCAGCCTAGAAGAACAAAGAAACAATTTGACTGGCCATCCACCAAGCTGAACACCTTGCTTGGGTCTACCTGGGTATCAGACAGATTATCATCACAATGAGAAAGCTGTCCCTAGCAGCTGAGTAAGAGTTGCTGCAGACAACCTATTCACTGAGAATTTATCCTGAAATGAAGAGGTTTGATTATATCCCGCTTGGACTACTGCAATGCGCTCTACGTGGGGCTACCTTTGAAGGTGACCCGGAAACTGCAATTAATCCAGAATGCGGCACCTAGACTGGTGACTGGGAGTGGCCGCCGGGACCACATAATACCGGTCCTGGAGATCTGCATTGGCTCCCAGTATGTTTCTGAGCACAATTCAAAGTGTTGGTGCTGACCTTGAAAGCCCTAAACGACCTCGGTCCTGTATACCTGAAGGAGCGTCTCCCCCCCATCTTTCAGCCCGGACACGAGGTCCAGCGCCGAGGGCCTTCTGGCGGTTCCCTCATTGCGAGAAGTGAGGTTACAGGGAACCAGACAGAGGGCCTTCTTGGTAGTGGCGCCCGCCCTGCGGAACGCCCTCCCTTCAGATGTGAAGGAAATAAGCAGCTATCTTCTTTTTAAAAGACATCTGAAGGCAGCCCTGTTTAGGGAAGTTTTTAATATTTAATGCTGTTTTGTTTTTAACACTTGATTGGAAGCCGCCCAGAGTGGCTGGGGAGACTCAGCCAGATGGGCGGGGTATAAATAATAAATTATTATTATTATCTCATCTTTATTAAGCGTTTGTTCTAAGTTCTTTGCAGGAGTTATATGTCAATGAGCATTCATCCTTATTTGCTTGCATGGTGGTTATACGTCTTCCCATTTAAACATTCATTCCACACCTTTCAGTGCATTTCCCTGTCACTTTGACTGGCTTTATACTGTCCCTATTTTGAAGGAGAAATTCAGCTGCATGCTAGAACTTCAGGTTTGCACAATTAAAGTAGATCAAAGTGTTCTGTCACCCTAGCACAGTGTTTTTCAAGCATGGGTCTCCAGCTGTTGTTGAACTACCAACTCCCTGCTAGATAGGAATGATGGGAACTGTAGTCCGACAACAAACAGCTAAAGACTCAAGTATGAGAAACACTGCCCTGCAAAACAAATACAAGGAATTTCAATTTTTATAGCATGGGAAATGATGAGCAAATGCTAACATGCACAGGGGAAAGTGTTGGATGAATGCATGCTTCATGGGAAAATTAAGCACCCACAAGCAAATCAGAATGGATGTTCTTTGCCATGTAGAATTCGGATATAAACCAGGTATAATTTAATATTGATTGTGCAAGCAAATCAAGAAGAATGCTCAAGAAACAGGTCCTCTGGAGGAGCCCATTCCTAATTGCAAAAATAAAAATAAAAATCATTTTCTTTTTCATAGTGGGCTTATAGCTCCAGGGCACCAGTGCACTTTAATTCCCTAAATTTCCTTGATATGCACTTGATTCAGTCTGGAGGAACCTCAAATGTACCTCTTTATCTATTTATCATTTCCTTCTATAATTGCTGCATTTATTCTGTGGCTTTAAAAGTCTGCACTGCATGCCCTTTTTGTTCTTCGTAAGCTTACACAACAGCTGTGTCCTTGTCGTTGTCTGGTGGAGTTTTGGGGTCAGGCCTGAGTATTTTAAAAATTCCCTGTTTACAGGGAAATGTAAATGAAGAGGATGAGCTGTGACCTTTTTGTGATTGCCTTAGCAAGAGTTTTGCAAGGTGAGAGGAGGAGGATAGCAAATTGTCAAATGCAGATAGCTGAGAAGGGTGGTGTGTCAGTTCACACACACCCTAAGACAGGGGTCAGCCAGCTTTTCCAGCAGGGGGCCAGTCCACTGTCCCTCAGACCTTGTCGGGGGCAGGACTATATTTTTGGGGGGGAAATGAATGAATTCCTATGCCCCACAAATAACCCAGAGATGCATTTTAAATAAAAGCATACATTCTACTCATGTAAAAACACCAGGCAGGCCTCTCAAATAACCCGGAGATGCATTTTAAATAAAAGGACACATCCTACTCATGTAAAAACATGCTGATTCCTAGACCATCCATGGGCTGGATTGAGAAGGCGATTGGGCCGCATCCAGCCCTCGAGCCTTGGTTTGTCTACCTATGCCCTAGGTTGTTGTTCATGCAATTAAACTACAGTGGTACCTCAGGTTACATACACTTCAGGTTACAGCCTCCACTAACCCAGAAATAGTGCTTCAGGTTAAGAACTTTGCTTCAGGATGAGAAGAGAAATAGTGCTCCGGCGGCGTGGCAGCAGCAGGAGGCCCCATTAGCTAAAGTGGTGCTTCAGGTTAAGAACAGTTTCAGGTTAAGAACAGACCTCCAGAACGAATTAAGTACTTAACCAGAGGCACCACTGTACAATTTAGCCATCTAAAACAGCCTGATCAAGTGGAGATGGCACAACCTGAGATTTTTTGTTTGCTTGCTTGCTCTCCCCGCCCCCCACCCCATGAAATTGACAGACAAAAACCAATAGTCAAAACAAGGATAAAACCCATAAAATACGCAACTATTTATACAAAACAGATCCAATTGTTGAGCAAGCGGAAATTCTTACTAGTAGAATAGTGCCCGTAGATCTCCTGTACTTTGGGAGACTTAATGCAGGCAGGTCTGAAGCTCAAACAATTCCATAATTTAGGGGAATATTAAGGAGTAATGGAAGCTCTATAATTCCAAGGATGGGCTCATCAAAAAATCACCTGGTTTGAATTTATATTCCTGGATGGCAGGCAGTCCAGAAATGCTTTTGCTAATGAGGTTCAGATGTACTACCAAGCAAGGAACTGAACTTGTATACACCTACCTTGTATTTGATGCCTGATTTGAAGTACCCTGTGAAAGTGGACGATTCATGCCCTTGTACCTCCCGGTGCTGAATTGCCTTCCCACCAAGGTAATCATCCAGCTGCACTGTGAAAATGGCAGCGGATCCACTCTCGTCCTGGCTGCATTGGTCCCCTAGGAATCAGAAAAGGAGAGAAAAGAGAGAAGCATGGCTATTAAGAAATAAACTCCACAAAGTTCAATAGGGGTTACTCCTAGGTTAAGCCTTAATCTTGAATATATCAATCTTGAAGTGGCATCTTCACTGCTTTGGTTTATTGTCAGTAAACAAACAACAGTGAACTATGCAGCACTTTTGAAAAGGAAGAATATCAGAAGAGCCCACTGGATACAGCGGTACCTTGGGTTACAAACACCTTGAGTTACAAACACCTTGCGTTAAAAACACCTTGGGTTACAAACACCTCAGGTTACGGATTCTGCTAACCCGGAAGTAGTACCTCGGGTTAAGAACTTTACCTCAGGATGAGAACAGAAATCATGCAGCGGCGGCGGCACGGTGGCAGTGGGAGGCCCCATTAGCTAAAGTGGTACCTCAGATTAAGAGCGGTTTCAGGTTACGAACGGACCTCCGGAACGAATTAAGTTCGTAACTAGAGGTACCACTGTATATGGCCCATGGCCCAACTATTCAGTGGCCACCCAGACACCTGTGGTAGCCCGTCATGGAGGACCTGAGCACAAGAGCAACCTCCCCTCATGTGGTTTCAACTAACTGGTGTCCAGCAACTGGTATTCAGAAGCAGTGGAGGCAGAGCCTAGCCATTATGGCTAGCACTCACTGATAGCCATATTATTGCAATGAGGTGAATTAATAATAATAATAATAATAATTTATTCATCTATATTAGAAACATAGGAAGTTGCCTTATTCTGAGTCAAACAGTTGCCTCAACTAGGTCACTGATCAATAGTGGCTTTCCAGGATCTCGGCAGAGGACGTTCTCAGCCCTACCTAGAGATGCCACAGATTGAAACTGGGGGCTTTTGCATGCAAGGCAGATTCTCTACCACTGAACTACATCCCTTCCCCCAAAGCAATTTCAATTTCATGGCAGCAAATTTACAATTATACAATAAAAACAATAAAACAAGTTTTTAAAAATGCAGAAAGCAACCAGAGATAGGTTTAAAATGGTAGCAATGGTAGAAGGGACGCAGGTGGCGCTGTTGGTTAAACCACAGAGCCTAGGACTTGCCGATCAGAAGGTTGGCGGTTCGAATCCCCGCAACAGGGTGAGCTCCCATTGCTCAGTCCCTGCTCCTGCCCACCTAGCAGTTCAAAAGCACCTCAAAGTGCAAGTAGATAAATAGGTATCGCTCCGGCGGGAAGGTAAACGGCGTTTCCGTGCGCTGCTCTGGTTCGCCAGAAGTGGCTTAGTCATGCTGGCCACATGACCCGGAAGCTGTACGCTGGCTCCCTCGGCCAATAAAGCGAGATGGGCGCCGCAACCCTAGAGTCGTCCGCGACTGGACCTAATGGTCAGGAATCCCTTTACCTTTACCTAGCAATGGTAGGGATAGGAAGTGAAAGGCTTCCTGTACTCATTTCTCAACGAGTCTTCACCCTGAGCCACCTGCGGGGTCCCTGCACAAAACCCCAACCTTACCTAGCCAGAAATGAAGGTCGTACTGCAGGTTCCCATTGCGCTGGCGGATGGTGTTGAGGATGACGTAGGCATCTCCGGTGAAGAAATCCCCATAAAGATTTCTGGGCACTGGGACCAGGTCAAACTTCTCGATTCTCCAGATTTGAAGACCAGGCTCCTTCCCAGCTTTCAAGAACTCTGCGTGTTCCACCATGCTGATGGGCTAAGAGAGAAGGAAAGAATTTGCGAAAATAAAAACGAAATAAATGACTCAGTTCAGTCTGGGCAGCACAAAGAAGGCTTTGTTCAACTGCATCATATCCCTGCCCTGCCTCTGGAACAGGGTTGGCCAGGTATTCCCCAGAGATCCAGTCCTCCTTTCCAGTCTTTCAGGCTTCATAAAATGGGATTAGTTATATAGTAGAGCTTAACATAAGAAAAGTGCCGCTGGATCAGGCCAAGAGCTCAACTAGTCCACCATCTTGTTCTCACAGTGGCCAACCAGGTGGCTCCGGGAAGACCTGAAAGCAACAGATCTCCCCACCTACAATTCCTTTCCTTTCACCCACCCTCTCTGATGTTCATTCTGCTCTTTCCTGTTCTTTAATTTATTTACTATATTTCTATTTAAGCAGAGGAAGGGAGCCTTTTTCCAGCTCAAGGGTCAGATGCCCTTCCAGTGCTCACATGCCAGTGACAGGTGAGGTCAGATGCAAAAGTGGTCCCTCCTGGAGTCGAAAGCAGATGGAACACTTATGAGCTCTTGTTTTATTCTCACTCTTTGCATGTTGTTTTTATACTGCACATTGCTTTGGGACGCTTTTGTGGGGAAAGCAAGAATTAAATATACAGTGGTACCCCTGGATGCGAATAGGATCCGTTCCGGAGCCCCGTTCGCATCCTGAGTAGAACATAACACGCGACTGTGCGTCTGCGTGTGTCGCATTTCACCATTTTCGCGCATGTCTGTGACGTCATTTTGGGCATCTGCGCATGCGCAAGCGGCAAAACCCGGAAGTAACGCGCTCCGTTACTTCCGGGTCGCCACAGAGCATAACCTGAAAACGCTCAACCTGAAGCATATTTAACCCAAGGTTGGTGCTGTGGTTTAAACCACAGAGCCTAGGACTTGCCGACCAGAAGGTCAGCGGTTCGAATCCCTGCGACGGGGTGAGCTCCCGTTGCTCAGTTCCTGCTCCTGCCAACCTAGCAGTTCGAAAGCACGTCAAAGTGCAAGTAGATAAATAGGTACTGCTCCAGTGGGAAGGTAAACGGTGTTTCCGTGCGCTGCTCTGGTTGGCCAGAAGTGGCTTAGTCATGCTGGCCACATGACCCAGAAGCTGTACACCGGCTCCCTCGGCCAATAAAGCGAGATGAGCACCACAACCCCAGAGTCGGTCACGACTGGACCTAATGCTCAGGGATCCCTTTACCATTACCTTTATGACTGTAATGAAATAATAATAATGGACAGGTGTCAGGATTTGAACCTGGGCCCTTTGGCCTGCAAAGCATCTTCTCAATCGCTAAGCTGTGGCCTTTTCCCAGCGTACACTATGCAAAAGCCTCCTGGGATATTATAAGATTCCTCTGGGCAAAGAGCACCCTAACTTTAAGTCAGCACCCAGCACTGTAAGCCACACTGAGGTTAGGCAGAGCTGCTTTGCATACACTAGGAGTGACTCAGGGTGGTGTTTTCATTGTGTTGCTCTGGTTACTTAAAACCTAATTCAACCCAGCCATTGCCCATGGAAAGAGCCGCTCCTGATCAGCTCTGCTGGGCACTGTCAAAAACAAGGAGCCTTTTTACTCTAAGCAGGTCGAGCAACACTAGGGACAGCTTCCACACCCTTATTTAAATCCACCTGTTTGATCCAGCTTCTCTCAGTCTGTGATGCCACAGACATTTGTTGTCACCAAGTTAGGTTTATTTGATTTTATCTGATTCAAAGTGTGTGTGGTGTGTGTGTTTATCTAGACAAACTATCAAATAAACTGGTGAGAGAGGGACCTGTAACACTCCATTTGTTGTTGACTACAACTCCCATTGGGACGCATGTGGCGCTGTGGGTTAAACCACAGAGCCTAGGACTTGCCGATCAGAAGGTCGGCGGTTCAAATCCCCGCGACGGGGTGACCTCCCGTTGCTCGGTCCCTGCTCCTGCCAATCTAGCAGTTTGAAAGCACGTCAAAGTGCAAGTAGATAAACAGGTACTACTCTTGCAGGAAGGTAAAAGGCTTTTCTGTGCGCTGCTCTGGTTCGCCAGAAGTGGCTTAGTCATGCTGGCCACATGACCCGGAAGCTGCACGCTGGCTCCCTCGGCCAATAAAGCGAGATGAGCGCTGCAACCCCAAAGTCGGTCACGACTGGACCTAATGGTCAGGGGTCCCTTTACCTTTACCTTTACAACTCCCATTATCCTTACCCAACCTAGTCAATGGTCAAAGATGGTGAGTTGGAGCTTAATTAATTAATTTCCCTGCTTGCAAGGTTTGCACTGGCTGCCAATATGCTACCAAGCCAAGTTCAAGGTGAAGGCCCTAAACAGTTGAGGACCAAGTTATCTGAGACATTGCCTCTTCCCTTATACACCCAGAGGATTGCTGAGAGATGTGAGAGAGTTTCTCCTGCAAGTTCCAAAGTTCTCAGAAGCCAGCCCCATAGCAACATGGACCAGGGCTTTCAGCTGGGCTGCCCTCTTCTGTGGAATAGCATTCCTGTCAAGATGACAGGCACCCCCTTTATGCACTTACTTGGGGGGGGGAGAGATTTTTGTTCTGATGGGCTTCCCCAGCTGGATAAATGGGTCTGTACCACAAGTGACCACTTGTTAGGGTATTAGTCTTGTTTTAAATGTATTTGTTGCTTTCGAGATTTTAACTGGTTTAATTATCTTATGTGTAAATTGCCTTGAGATGGTAGTTTAGAAGGCAATTAATAAATCAGTAGTAATAATAATAATACTGTACAGTATCATCATCAACAACAACAACTGCAACCACAACACCCTGTCTTTCTCCCACAGAGGGATCCAAGTTAGTTCACAACATGAACTAAAAACAGTTACAGTGCTAGGGGGCCATGGGTTCCCCATATCCAAATTAAATATCACAGCTGTGTTCCCTCTAGTGGAACAGCAAACAACAGCTTTAAGAGGAACATCTGAGAATTACAAAGTGGTCCACTGGATTCCGAATTTCAACTCTTCACCTGGTTGTGATTTTAAAGATCAACAACTGATTTCATGGGCGTAGCCAGGATTTTTGTTGGCGGGGGGAGCAAAACCTCAGTTTGCTATGTATTTTTATTAACTTTTATTGATTTAGGTGGGGGGAGTTGCCCCCCACCCCGCCCCTCCCTGGGCTACACCCATGACTGATTTGTTTTATGGGCTCTTCCAAATAGTGAGTCAGCATTTCTGACGCAATGTTGGAATAATGCAATTATGAGAGGGCGATGCAAAATGTACAACACCCCCCCAACCCCCCAGCTAAGGAAGACCACAGGAGACACAGTGAATGATAACAGGACTGCACAGATAAGCTGGTGAACTGATCACAAGGAGCGCAAAGAGCCTTTAAGTTGCCTCAGGGCTCTGTTGTTTCCCACTGGCAAGACAGACAAGGTTCCCCTTTTGATAAAGAGAATCTGCTTCCATGCAGGTGCCTCTAGGAAGCAGAACCTGCTCCCAGCAACTTCCTGCTCCCAGCAACTGGTATTCAGGGGCATGTAGCTGCTGATAGACTTATTATCCTCCATGAACTTGTGCAATCAGCTTCTAAAGCCAACCAATATTTTGGATCACTCAGATTTGAATCCCTGTTTAACTATAAAACTCCTCAAACAATACAAAGCTGCCTTATACTGAATCAGATCATTTGTCTATCTCTAGGCCGATATCGTCAACTCTGACTGGCAGCTGTTCCGAAGGGTCTCAGGTGGAGAAAAGACTTTCCTGCCACCCATTACCTGGAGACGCTAGGGGGTGAAACCGAGTCCTTCTACGGCAGGGATGGGGAACCTGTAGCTCTACAGATGTTGTTGGACTCCAATTCCCATGGGCCTTGGCCAGCATGGTCAGGGGTGATGGGAGTTTGAGTCTAGGAAGAGCCGGAGGGCCACAAGTTCCCCATCCCTGATCTACAGGAAAAGCACATGCTCTGTGACTGAGCTTCTGCTCAAAAGCCAAGCACTACCAAAGTCAAGATCCCAAATTGCATACATACCATACATTTAAAGCATGTGACTTCCTCAAAGAATTCTGGGAACTGTAGTTTATCCCTCACAGAGCAAAATTCCCAGTACAGCGGTGCCTCGCAAGACGAAATTAATCCGTTCCGCGAGTCTCTTCGTCTTGCGGTTTTTTCGTCTTGCGAAGCACGGCTATTAGCGGCTTAGCGGCTATTAACGGCTTAGTGGCTTAGCGGCTTTAAGAAAAAGGAAACAAACTCGCAAGAACTCGCAAGACGTTTCGTCTTGCGAAGCAAGCCCATAGGGAAATTCGTCTTGCGGAACGACTCAAAAAACGCAAAACCCTTTCGTCTAGCGAGTTTTTTGTCTTGCGAGGCATTCGTCTTGCGGGGCACCACTGTACAGTGGTACCTTGGGTTACATTCGCTTCAGGTTACATAGGCTTCAGGTTACACACTCCGCTAACCTAGAAATAGTGCTTCAGGTTAAGAACTTTGCTTCAGGATAAGAACAGAAATCGTGCTCTGGCGGCGTGGCGGCAGCAGGAGGCCCCATTAGCTAAAGTGCTGCTTCAGGTTAAGAACAGTTTCAGGTTAAGTACGGACCTCCGGAACAAATTAAGTACTTAACCCGAGGTACCACTGTACAAGCTACAGTTCCCAGGATTTTTTAGGGAAAGTCATGTGCTTTAAATGTGCTTTGGATACCTGGTGCATACACAGCATCAGGCAGATCTCTCCTACTATTTTTTTTAATGCATTTAAACAATAACATTATATCATCAAAGAATCACCCTTGCTCTGTCTCAAAAACATTTGCAAAAACGTAAGGTAATGACGAGTGAAAGCAGGGGGACCAAGTATGCAGATACAAGGATGTGGTAAGAATTTATATCTACTTCACTTTGTTCAAAACAAAGGAAATCAAGTCCAGCATCCGGCATTTATTACAGCTATTGCAATAGGGCATTGCTCAACTTGACAGATAAGAAAAAGGTCTTGCATCAAGTGGCTGGTCAGAGAGGTGTAATATAACTGCCACTTCTCCAGAAAATGTTTTGGTTAGATGTACAGTGGTGCCTCTGGTTAAGTACTTAATTCGTTCCGGAGGTCCGTTCTTAACCTGAAACTGTTCTTAACCTGAAGCACCACTTTAGCTAATGGGGCCTCCTGCTGCCACCCAGTGGCGTAGCGTGGGGGGTGCAGGGGGGGCCGGCCGCACCGGGCGCAACTTCTGGGGGTTCGGGTTAGGGGGCGCAAATCCACGGGTTAGGGGGTGCAAATTACTTGCCTTGCCCCGGGTGCTGACAACCCATGTTACGCCACTGCTGCCACCACGCCACCACCACACGATTTCTGTTCTCATCCCGAAGCAAAGTTCTTAACCCGAGATACTATTTCTGGGTTAGCGGAGTCTGTAACCTGAAGCGTATGTAACCTGAAGTGTATGTAACCTGAGGTACCACTGTATTACTTGGACACTTCCCCTGGTGGTAGCTGCTAAGTGGATCCAAGTTCTCAGTCAGCAGAGCATGAGACTCTTATTATGGGCTGGAGCCCCATGTTGAGCAAAAGATTCCTGCATTGCAGGGGCTTCCAACTCTACAATTCTATTGTTCTATTATGTATTTGTGTTTTTTCCCTATTTTAACATGTAGTAAATTGTTCTGCACTGTATTCTTATGGCTATGTTAAAGCACTTTTGTGTAATTTTGTTTTGTATGATGTTGTGATGCCATGGATGTGTATTTTTTTTTTTTAAGTTTTAAGAACTTAAATCACTCTACATACACCTAAACAAAACATATATATATATACAAATCTTAGTACACATATCAATAAATACAGTTAATCATAGCCCCAGCTATAAACAACTTCCTCTTAATTATTTTTATCTACAAATACACATGCAATTAATAATATTTTGTTCCAATTTATATTCTCTAAAACCTAATGTTAGCATTATATTTTAAAATAATTCAGTCTCCCAAACTTTTCTTGTTTTTCTAACACACCATCTCCCAGTCTATCACTTTTGGAACTTGCTCTTTCTCTTCAAGCTTGAACTTTTAGTGTTTAGTTACCATCAATTAATAATAAATTAATACTTTTTTCTGCTTCTAATGCAATACATCCTCAAAATCCTAATATACCATCTGGTCCATATTTGAAAATGATTCAGTCAAACTTAGTTTAGAGGATAACTGTTTACTTTGTTTTCATATAGATACCCACATCTTATCTGGAATACATTTCCATAACTCTGGCTTCCATTTATTGCAATATTTATTCCATCTTAAGCATCAATATATACCAATGCATTATAGATCTTAGGTATCAATCTTTGCCTTTCCCTGCTGAAATGTATTCTCAAAAGTTGCTTCCTTTCTTAGATCAATTTTCTACCCAATTTCTCAGCTGAAAATATTAATCTAAAGAAAATCTTTGACTACCAGTTTTAATTCCTGGTATGTTAAAACATCTTTTGCCTTAATCAAATGAATTAATATTACTAAAGCAGATTTCCCCCAGACGTTTCCAAAATTCATGGTAATCATAACAGTACCCAGTGCTTTTTTTCTGGGGTGGGGTACGCATACCCCTAAACATTTTGTGAATCTAAGTTTGGCCTCATTGAGGGGCAGTATTTCAATACAGTGGTACCTCGGGTTAAAAACTTAATTCGTTCTGGAGGTCTGTTCTTAACCTGAAACTGTTCTTAACCTGAGGTACCACTACTGCCGCTGCGCCACCGCTGCACGATTTCTGTTCTCATCCTGAAGTAAAGTTCTTAACCTGAGGTAAGATTTCTGGGTTAGCGGAGTCTGTAACCTGAAGCATATGTAACCCGAGGTACCACTGTATAAGTAGGAAAAAGAGTACCCCTAAACAAAATTTTTTTAAAGAAAAAAAGCACTGACAATACCAATAACCTGTTTTTTTAGTGGGCAAAACACTTACTGCACACTCACACAGTATTTTCTGCAACACTCTATAAGGTCAACATTTCGATCCACACATTACAGATGGGGTACCTGAGCCTAAGAGAGCACTGCAAACTATGGAGCCTGGAGCTGAGACAAGATTCAAAACTTAGCAATCTGGCCAACAGCTCAAATGATCAACCACCACACCACACCAACCACCCAAATTTTTTACTCTGTTGTTGTTGTTTTAAACACGCACAACAGATTGTGCCCAGAGCCGCACAAAAAGGATCCCATAAAAGCCTGTGCTGCCATAGATTTGTCAGTCTTTCAGCGACCACAACACTCTTTTTGCTGACCCCCAAAGGTCTTTGTCACTCACCGCAGCCAAAAACACAGCGACAGCCCAGAGCAGAGATGCAAATCCCCAAAGGGAAGTCATCTTCGGACAGCTTCACCTGACTGCTTTTAAGCACAGCTGAAGGTTCCTCTGCTCAAACTTGAACCAACCCGGCCTTCTCCTTGGTCTGCTCTCCCGGGGAAGCTACTGGAGGAATGAGAGGCTGGAGGAGTCCCGGGGCTTGCCTTTTATCTCCCATCAGTGTGCAGCAATTGACAGCAAGCCCATCCCAGGCACGCCCTGCCCCAGCTGGAAGGCAGCAGCCAGCCACGCCTCTGTGTACAGGCTCTGCTTTGCAGGGGTCAGAGGCCACGTCTCTCAGGGCCATCATAACACATTGACATGTGGTGTCTATTACATTCAGGCTGTGAGCCATTGGAAGCAACCCACAGCCACTGGTGGTGTTTGGCCAAGAAATTATATAAGACCAGAGCAACACGTTTGGTGGGAAATCTGGGCTTGGGAGCCTGCGTTTGAGTCAGGAGGTGACAAAGGGACATTTGTTGCAGAGTGGCAGTGAAGAGACTCACAGTATGCCAGCTGTAGGCCTAAGTCAGGGCCTGAGATTGCTCATCTGAATGGAGGGACATGGCCTTGGCCTTAGCAGAGGGGTGAGGAACTATTTGGGGGGGGGGCAGCCAGGGGGTGTCACATTATGTTGCGACCTAGGACCCACGTACCTACGGGACCGCCTCTCCTGGTATGCCCCGCGGAGGACCTTAAGGTCCACAAATGACAACATTTTGGAGGTCCCAGGTTGCAAGGTGGTTAGATTGGTCTCAACTAGGGCCAGGGCCTTTTCAGTGCTGGCCCCAACTTGGTGGAACGCTCTGTCACAAGAGACCAGGGCCCTGCAGGACTTGACGTCTTTCCGCAGGGCCTGCAAAACAGAGCTGTTCCACCTGGCCTTTGGTTTGGACTCATCGTCTGACCCTTATGTTTCCCTCCCCTTATGGTTTTGATCTATGGGCTACTTTTAAAATGAGGCTGCATTTTAAATTGGTTTTCCCCCTCTATTATGTTTTTACTGTAATTTTACTGGTGTTAGCTGCCCTGAGCCCAGCTCTGGCCGCAGAGGGCAGGGTGTAAATAAAATTTATTATTATTATTATTATTATTATTATTATTATTATTATTACTACTACTACTACTTCATCAGCAACCTTCCAGAGCCCATGTGCTACCTCGGCAAGCATGATGACCCTCCACCCTCTTGACTTTATCAATAACAGGATTAACTCTTATTCTGCAAATGGAATGATTTATGCTGTTGCACTTCCAACCATAAATGGGATGGGGGAGGGGAGGGAGACAAAAAGAGGACAAATCACAGGCTCCAGATGTCTTTAGCTGATCGCAAGCTGAACACGGGCCAGCAAAGTGATGCATGTGCTAAGAAAGCTAATGCAATCTTTAGGCTGCATAAACAGAAACACTTTGTTCGGGTCATTAGCTTTTATCCTGCACTGTCAGGCTCCTGTGTCCAGCCCTGCCAGATGTTAAGGACATGATAAACTTAAGTGCATCAGGAAGGACACTGACAAATTTTAGCATATCAGGAGTATGGCGACTAGGAAGGTGAGTGGAGTCTAGACACCAGTTCCTATCAGGAACACTTGAAAGGACTGAGGATGTTTAGCACCCAGAAGAAAAGATAAAGTGGAGACACTCCCTAATGGTTAGAGATGTTTGACAGTGGGGCAGTCTGCCTCAGGGGGTAGGGGGCTCTCTTTCATGGGAAACTTTTAAGCAGAGGCTGATTGGCTATCTGTCAGGAATCTTGTAGTTTCAGAATTCCCGTGTTGAACCGGGGAGTGGGCTCAATGCCCACAAAGTCAACTTTCAACTCAAACATTTTATGATTCTGTGACCCTGCAGGCAAAGGAGCCAACTCATAGGGACTGAGGTCATTTTGCTGCCCCCCCAAAAAAAAATATTTGAGGGGGTTGGGCTTCCCCAAAGTTGATGGACATTGCCATTCAAACGATGTGCACACACTACACCTTGTGATAGATTATGCAGGGCAGGGCTTACCTCCCCTCCCCATCTTTTATTCTAGACGGCACCCCTATCCTGCAGGGGTGGATGGGGTGTAAGGGTAGTACCTTGGCGGGGGCGGTGACTTTGTGCTCCTTCTGGGGTAGTTTATCCACCTTTGGTTCCTAACCTGCACTCAGCTCTCACCTGTGGCTCCTAGAAGCTGCCAGCATGCAACAGCAGCCACACAGTGGCTTTGACTGCCCCGCTAAACCAAGTGGGGGTAGCTAGTGGGTCTCAAACACTCAGTGAGTTAGAGTCTTTGCCTACATGTGAAGACAGGCTCTGGTGGATTGAGTGGATGAGACCAGTAGTGGGTCCAACAGGAAGTGAGGGTCAGATGGGGTTCGTTAACCTGGGAAGATAGCCTATCCAGGAGATGGACAATTCTGATCCTAAATGTCTGTTGCCTTGAAGGATATCTTCAGGAGAAGAAAAGGCTAAGGAGCAAACCCTACACAAATCTGGAGTGGAGCCCCTAAAACAGTTGAATGACACCTTGTACGCCTCCTTCTGGCAACTCCTGCAGCCAAGCTGGTTGGTGCCAAATTTATCGCTCTACTTTCCTTTGGAACAACACATCAGTAAGGCTATGAGAGGGGTCTTGTCATCTCGGCAGCCCAGGTCCTCCATACACACTGCCTAGGTTTGCGTCCCGGGTAGTGCACTTCGGTGCTGCTAACAACAGCAGTTTGACTTCACCGCTGGAGGTGGTGTCCATCTCAAGACAGATGGATGCCAACAAAGCAGGCAACAAGATGCAACCTTTATTTTCACTGGACTAGCTCAGGGTTGCATAACACTCTCCAACTGATCCAGAAATACCCTGACAGAAATACCCTGCGCACGTAGCACAGTGTGGGGCTGAGACTGGAGGTCAGGCAATGAGGACTGGCCTCCTACAGAAGCAAATTGGGGTCCAAGCAAAGCATCTGGAACTGCTTCTTCCCAGGGGGATATTAGCAGAACACCGTGTTCATCTTGCTCAACTTCTTCCCTGCTGAGCTGATGAAATTGCTCTCCTTTTTGGCAGAGAAATGGCGGCTAGTAACTCTGTCCAAGACCTTTTGTAATAATAACTTCTTGAAACAAAACAAAAATAAAAGCTTCCTTGGGTGTCCTCAAGAGTTTTCTTCTCAGCTAATGCCTTGATCCTGCTGGTCGTCTTTTTCCCCCATCTCCCATGGGGCAGGAGAAACTACTGAAGGGTCACTGTTTGTAAGCCAAGAGGGCAGCTTCCCACAATACACTCTACTCAAGGAACAATATGGCAACACAGTGGACATTATGATGCAACCAGACACCAAAAGATGCATTTTCATATTCCATAGGGAGTTTTCTTGTCTGCACAGCTCACATGCTCCTCCCATTCCAGTGAGCCCAGAATAAGAGGGTTTAAAAATACATATAAACACCAATGAATATATATCAGCTTAATAACATGAGCTACTGCCCATAAGCTGAAATCTTATTTTCCCACAGGGTGACTTACCTTGGTGCAATGGAATGTGCATAAGCATTCCAACTGCTAATTCAGGGGAAAGGGTGACTCATGTAACACTGGCCAGAGTGCAGGTGCCAAGAGGAAATTATTGGCATGTTCCCACCACTCCCTCCTTCAAATCAGCTGAGCTTGGTCGCAGTGACTGAATCCCCTAGAAAGGAGGGCCTTCAAGAATACTGTCTCACACTCAAAGGCCTTAATTTTAGCTAATTTTGCTAAACGGCTTGGTAAAAACAGTTTTCACCACAAGCAAATGTTTTGAATCCTAAGAGATACTATCCTGCAGACAGGGTGGGAAGGCAACCATTTAGAAGATGTTGATCTCCGCTGATGAATGCTCAGTGACAGCTCATCTGGAAGTGAACATAAAAACAGCACCCTTGTGTTCTTTGTTGGCCCCTGGGGTGCATGTGGACTTGCATGCTAGGGAGGGGCGGCAATTGGAGGGTTCACAGGGTCCGCCACACCAGCCCTGTCCTCACCACCAGAGCTGTGCTGCACTGCCTACCCACTGGGGCAGGGGGGAGCCCAGCTGGCTGACACAGCCCTTGTCGAATGAATCTCCCAGATGCCGACTGGGGGGCCAATTCAGTGAGGGGGCTGGGAGCGCAGCGGCGAGGCCAGGCTGGGCTCCGGGCCTCAGAAACCCTTGGAGCAGGCAGGGTGGGAAAGGGATCCTTGTGGGGGGGGGGGGGAGACACCTGGTTCAAGTTTGGTTGGGTTTCCGTCTTAAAATATTGCTTTTTAACAGCTTTAGCTCTCTGGCCAAATAGGCTCTCTTAATTTTCATCCATTTATTAGGTGGTGTACTGCTGTGACTTTACCTGTATTTTCTCTTATACTTATATTTTGCTTTCTGTACCCCTGCTCTGATATGTTACAATGTGAGCAGTTTAAAATCTTTAGAAATATATGTTTAGATTGGGTAGAGGGCAAATCTGGCTCAAGACATTGTGGCACCTGAGGCAAAGCACAAAATGGTGCCCCTCCCCACCAGAGAAGGAGGCGTGAGTGAAGGTCTACATCAGGAACAAGGAGGGAATAAATATCTCCATTGGGATCTGATGCCCCTGTGCATCCTGCCACCCGAGGCGGTCGCCTCACCTTACCTCATGGGTGGGCTAGCCCTGGTAGAAGGTAACATGAGACTGCATTTTAAGCTGTATTTTAAGCCATATTTTAATTGTTTGTTTGTTTGTTGTTGTTGTTTTTCTATTACATTTTATTGTAATTCATATTTGGTGTTAGCCGCCCTGAGGCCGGCCATGGCTGGGGAGGGCGGGGTATAAATAAATTTATTATTATTATTATTATTATTATTATTATTATGCACTCAGGGATATGGCCCCCCTTTTCCCCATGCATAAGAATATAAGAAGAGCCTGCTGGATCAGGCCAATGGTGCATCTAGTCCAGGATCCTGTTCTCACAATGGCTACCCAGATGTCTTTTGGAAACTTGCCTTTTGGAAACAGGATTTGAGCACAAGAGCACTCTTCCCTCCTGTGGTTTTCCAGCAACTGGTATTCAGAAGCATTACTACTTCTGAACTTTATAAGATTTTATAATGCTGTTTTTACTGATTTTGTATTTTACCTGTTTTTATTATCAAATTTTTATATACCACTTAAAAGTATTTAAAATATTAAGCTGTTCTGAAATGCATTTACACAAACGGACAAATTCTGAAGGACCCGTCTGCAGAAGGGGAAGCCTGCTAAACCTGCATAGGCTCCCCCCGTGAGCTGGAACCTTGTGTGAGCTGCAAACATACCACAAATGCATGGATATAATGGAGACTGGACCAGCAAGTGACATGATAGCAGGGTTGACCCTCCTCTCTCTCCATGTGATGTCAATGTCTGTGTAGGTCTGTTACAAATCAGGAAGCTTCCAAGTGCCCCGGAAAAAATGGACATTCAATTTTCTTCGCATAAGATCTCGATGGCAATCCTGCATGCTCTAGCACCCTGAAAAGGCGCTTTTTTCAGGGCCATGATCTTGCACAGTGTCCCAAAACAAACATTTTTGGGTGCCACACAAGATAATATGCCCCAAGCATCTGGCTGAGTTTCCCCAGCCACTCTGGGCGGCTCCCAATCAAGTGTTAAAAACAATACTGCGTTAAATATTAAAAACTTCCCTGAACAGGGCTGCCTTCAGATGTCTTTTAAAGATAGGATAGCTGCTTATTTCCTTCACATCTGAAGGGAGGGCGTTCCACAGGGTGGGCGCCACTACCGAGAAGGCCCTCTGTCTGTTTCCCTGTAACCTCACTTCTTGCAATGAGGGAACGATGGGGGTGAAGACCGTTTGTGGGCCAAGGTTGTTTAGGGCTTTAAAGGTCAGCACCAGCACTTTGAATTGTGCTCAGAAACGTACTGGGAGCCAATATAGGTCTTTCAAGACCGGTGTTATGTGGTCTCGGCGGCCGCTCCCAGTCACCAGTCTAGCTGCCGCATTCTGGATTAGTTGTAGTTTCCGGGTCACCTTCAAAGGTAGCCCCACATAGAGCGCATTGCAGTAGTCCAAGCAGGAGATAATTGGAGCATGCACCACTCTGGCGAGACAGTCTGTGGGCAGGTAAGGTCTCAGCCTGCGTACCAGATAGAGCTGGTAGACAGCTGCCCTGGACACAGAATTTACCATGGACAGCTGTGAGTCCAAAATGACTCCCAGGCTGCGCACCTGGTCCTTCAGTTACTCCATTGAGGAGTGCCCCATACCCGCCTGCCCCTGTCCCCCCAAAACAGTACTTCTGTCTTGTAGGATTCAACCTCAATCTGTTAGCCGCCATCCATTCTTCAACCGCCTCCAGACACTCACACAGGACATTCACCGCCTTCACTGGTTCTGATTTAAAAGAGAGGTAGAGCTGGGTGTCGTCATCCCGAATAAAGTGCAGAAGCTATGTGCCCTAGTTTTGTGTTGGAAAATGTTGGACGGTTTGTACAGTGGAGGCTCGTCCAAGGCCAGTGGGGCACTGCCCCACCAGCCCCACTCTGCCCCAGCTAGCCCCCACCTCCCTGCCTTCTTACTTTCATCCAGTCCAATCTCAGTGTTACCCCTTGTAGAACTCAGCAGGCAGATAGGGACAAAACTAGAATGTGCTGGTTCTGCCTCTCATTGGCTCTGGCTCCCCCTACTGGTGGTCTCCCTGCCTTCTACCCTACCAGTTCCAATGTGCACCAGCCCTCACTGAGTATGTAGGAGGGGAAGGATTATGCAGAAGAGCCTGGCTCAATCCAGACTTGCTAGCACAGGACCAAAACGTGGTTGGGCATCACACATCAATATGTCACTGGTAACTCCCATCGGCTGGTTTTTCCTGCTGTACAACATTGTAGAAGTCAATTAAACTTTCAGTTATGCGTCCTCTTACTTCTGGACAAGACAGTACCTACCTATCTAAAGTACAGTTTTGTACTCTCTTATGGTTTCTCCTACCTTCCTCTGGTATGAGATTTGCAATCTGTGCAAGCCCAATATGTGGTCCTGAGTGCAAAATTAAACATGTCGGCAACATCAACTTTAACAATAATACAAGAGACTAGTCCTTATGGAAGAAAGGCCCTCCCTATCAGGAGTGGCAGAATTTGTGTGCGCGTGCAAATATTCTTATTTTGCATAATTCAGGCAGAGACACAAATACAAATCTCATAACTAGGAGTTCCTCTTAGGGCAGTTTTCCAGACTTTTCATGTTGGTGACACACTTTGTAGACATGCATCATTTCGTGACATGGTAATTCAGTTTTACTAGCAAACCAGAGGTTAAATGAACTCCTTTCCAGCCCTGGAAGGAACGTGGGGAGTGTTCAAGTGACACACCTGCACACTGCGTCTGACACACTAATGTGTTGCGACACACAGTTTGGAAAGCTCTATCTTAGGAGGTTACCAGTGGTGCCAGCATCCCCCTTCTCTGCAAATTAAAGAGTCTTCCTTCTGAGGGCCATATATCCTCCTGGGCAACCTTCCAGGGGCCACATGCCAGTGGTGGAAAGAGCCAGAGGCAAAAGTATGCAGAGCAATGAATGTAATGTTAATATTTCTACAGCACTCTGGTTTCTACATACATTCACACAGTCCCTCTCTTTCTTCCATCCAGGCAGTGAGGGAGTATGATCACAGTTCAAGGACAGATCTCAATCAGGACAGCTAGGTCAAGGAGAGACTTGCACCTATTCCAGACTTTTGTTAGCTTGGTTCATCTGAGCTCAAAGAATCCTCAAAAAATAGGCCTATGCCCACTGGCTTGCTTAGCTTGCTATAACCCCACCCAGAGGCTTCTGAAAAGAGTTTTGAAACTTACACTGGTGTCTGCTATAGTACTCTCTGCCCATCTAGCTTTTTAAACAGCTATTGTACTTTGTCTGGGGATTTTACTATTAATGCATTATTATCTGCTTTATATTGTTAGTTTCTATGATTATTGTCTCTGATCTGTGCTGTTATGCCACTCAGAATGTCAGCAAAAGAATGGGATCATTCATAATATTCATACAAGTAATCATGATAACAATAATTTGTTAAAGTTATATTATTATTGACATTAAGCAGGTTCCTTTGCTGTATTCTTTTCAGTGCCTGCTAAAAAAAATTCTGCTTAGGCAAGGATACCTACACAGGTAAAGTCAATGTATATTTTAACCTGTCATTCCAACTTGCAATGTATACTTTCAACTGATGTTTTTATTCATCTTGCTTTTTTTATTTATTCACAGTGCACTTAGTGGCAATAATACTGAATTGTGTAAGGGTAAGACAAAAAGGTAGACAATGACTCCAAAAGATACATAGAAGCATTTCAGGGCACAATTTCAAAACAACAAAATGCAATTGGTTTTTTATTGACTTGATTTAAATATTGTGGGGGTTATTTTTTTTACTGTATACATTACTGTATATTTATAGTTTATATTTTTCACAGGCCACTTAGAGGATTTATTTATAATTAAGTGGTATACAAATTTTGTTGAATAAAAATTTTAAAAATTATTTTATTGTTATTATTTTCTCCCAATAATCTGGGCAGCAATTCTATATGCACGAACCTGGGAGTAAGTCCAATTGAGTTTAATGGAACTTATTTATTAGTAAATGTGCACAGGACTGTACTGAAAAGCAATATCCTACCAATTTGCAGCCAACTAACCACCCAAAATGGAGTAGAATACATTGTTGGCTGTTATTTTTTTGTGTTTTTTTAGCATAAAGTGGGCTTAATTAAAAGGTTCTATCTTATGCCTTAATTCCAGGCATTCTGAAATTCTCAGAAATCTTTACATCTGAGGAACTGTGAAGTTTTTTTAACTTTTCAAAACCAATTAGCTGCTGCAGCTGCAAATACTTCAGTTCTGCTTCAGACCAGCAGAGGGCACACAAAGACTATTTATGGATTTCAGCACTCAAAGGCACACAAGAAAAAGAGGTTTTGTTCATTGCAGTTTCAAACAGTTTTCAGAATAAAAACCTATTGTCAGGAAAAGGTGAATCTGAGAATGTGTACCCAGAAAACCTGGATGTGTGCGAACAGCATTAAAGGTATTTGGCACAATTCTGGAGAAGCAGCGTGATAAGAATGCAGAACGAAAAACTTCAGAAGAGTCCTGCTGTTAAGGTGAGGCCAGGGGCCCATCTAGTCCAGCAACTGGCTCTCCCATTGGCCAACCAGATGCTCAAATGGGAAGTATCCACAAGCAGGACCTGAGTGCAACAGCATTTTGCCCACTTGTGATTTCCACCCACTGATATTGGGAGGACCATTGCCTCTAACTGTGGGGACACAGCATAGCCATTGTGGAGAGTAGCTTTAGCCTCCTCCATGAATCCGTCCAATCCTCTTTTAAAGCCATGGCTACTTCTTGTCGGAGCAAGTCCCATGATTTAAGCATGAGCCGTGTAAATAAGTGCTTTCTTTTTTATCTTTGCAGAATCTTCCAACATTCAGCTACATTGGAGGGCCCTGAGTTTAGTGTTACAAGAGGGGAAGAGAATTTTTTCTCTCTTGCCACTTTCTCTGTGCACTGCATAATTTTATACACTTGTGTTCATCCAACCCACTTCACTAAACAAAGATACAATAACCCAAAACCAGGAACAAAACACTAAATAGCCCCAGACATAGTGCCCTCTGGTTTAAAGGGTTTAGAGCATGGGTAGGCAAACTAAGGCCTGGGGGCTGGATCCAGCCCAATCGCCTACTAAATCCGGCCTGTGGATGGTCCAGGAATCAGCGTGTTTTTACATGAGTAGAATGTGTCCTTTTATTTAAAATGCATCTCTGGGTTATTTGTGGGGCATAGGAATTCATTCATTCCCCCCTAATGGTCTGTCCACCCCCCAATGTCTGAGGGACAGTGGATGGCCCCCTGCTGAAAAAGTTTGCTGACCCCTGGTTTAGAGCCTAAGCAAACATCCTAGTACAACAGCAAAAGCTGTCCGAGGCTCACACCCTAAAACCACAGTCACCGTTAGGAGCTCACTGAGTCAGCCAACCACAGAGTAGATCCACCCTCTGAACAAATTGAGAAAGGAATCAAACTTGACAATTAAGCACAAAGTTCAAAGTCAGCTATATGGGCTGGAATGGGGAACTGGCAGTCATGGTCTGGTTCCTCCACCTGCAATGTTATCTGGAAACACACCTGGTGAAATTACAATCAATATCTTTTTGAGTAGGGGCAGGAGAGGAAGTATGATCACAGTTCCTAGAGTCACTTAAAGTTGATCTGTTTACTGAGCATTCATCCTGATTCATTTATTTATTGTGCAACATTTGCAGGAAGGTTAGATAACTCTGGCTGTTTCTTGACCATTCATTCTGATTTGCTTGCAGGGAGCATAGACGACATCACATCAAGCAACTGTTACACCACACATTCCAGTGCATTTTCTCATCACTTTCCTTAATGCAAAAAGTCTGGATTTATTTTTTTAAGGGTTTGTTGCGAAAGAGCACCAATTCCCCTTTAACTGCTACATGGATGATGATTATTATTATTATTAAAAGTAGCCACTCTTCTCCATGCAGTCCCAGGGAGGGTTACGACACTTTAAAAATACAACACTGAAACAAGTTTAAACAATTTACAATCCTAAGAACAGGGTATCCAAGGTCAAGGTAAAGAGGTGCACCAATGAACAACAATTTTATAACGAAGGTTCCAGGTGGACCTCTGTGGGAAAGGGTGTGCCAGGGTTAAGGGGCTGCCACAGTGAATGCCATTTTCTGAGGGCAGCAGAACTACCAAGAGGGGCTCACAGTTTATCTTAGTACCTGAGAGTGTCAGTAGGGAAGGAGGTACAGTGGTACCTCGGGTTACATACGCTTCAGGTTACATACGCTTCAGGTTACAGACTCCACTAACCCAGAAATAGTGCTTCAGGTTAAGAACTTTGCTTCAGGATAAGAACAGAAATCGTGCTCCGGCAGCATGGCGGCAGCAGGAGGCCCCATTAGCTAGTGGTGCTTCAGGTTAAGAACAGTTTCAGGTTAAGAATGGACCTCCAGAACAAATTAAGTACTTAACCCGAGGTACCACTGTAGTGCTTCAGCCCTACCATTCAGGTTTTTAAGTATTTTACTCCCGAGTCACAAGAGTCAGAAACTTACCGTATTTTTCGCTCTATAACACGCACCCGACCATAACATACACATAGTTTTTAGAGGAGGAAAATCTGTAGGCATGCCACCCTTAGGCATTTCCTCCATAATACGCACAGACATTTCCCCTTACTTTCTAGGAGGAAAAAAGTGAGTGTTATGGTGCAAAAAATACGGTAAATTAAAACAAAAACAGGCTAGGGTGGACAGGCAAATCCCACACAGAGACAGTATGCACACAGAGAACTGATGAACTGTTGCAAATCTAAACAGATCTGCAGCTTTTAGGAATGTTATACAAAGAGGGAGTCCAATGTTGTTTCAGAATGAGGGTTTTGGTTGCAAATTGTGACGGCACACAATGCAGGAAAGGCTTAGAAGCACAAAATGGGAGATTCTGTTGGGTCTAGATTCCAAAAGCAAGAGAGAGAGAGAGAGAGAGATGATGGGAATTGGCCATAATCAATCCACAGAGTCACAGTGTTCACCAATAATAAATATCCCTTGTTTCCTCTGAGCTATGACATTCTGCAACAAGGAGAAACCTTTTCAAATCAGAAACATCTATCCTCCAGAGGCGCCGGCTTGAGCAGAAGATGGGGTGGGGGTGCGTACGCAATGATGCATACATGACATGCATATGACGCAGGGGTGCTGGGAGGAGTCAGGGGGCAGCAGCCAGCTTCAATGGCTGGCGCCTTCTTCTCTCTGGTGCTCGATCTCCTCATCCTACCACAGCCATTGGCCCAGGGCTGCTCCTTTCCCTCTGCGGCAGGAGGAGCTGCCAGCCACTGACGCTGTGCCATGCCACTCTCAGCTCTGTGCTCAGCCTCCTCCACAACTTACCCCAAAATATTTTCGGGGGGGAGGGACATGGGCCCCTTAGAGTTAACATCTATGCTGCCAACCCATTCTCAATGTTGTCTATCCAGAACTTCGAGTTGAATTCAGCAGCTGGAATACTCCTTCCCCCCTCTCCCAGTTTGGTGGAAACACTTACTAAGCATGTGTGTTTAAAATGCAACCTCTCTCAGATAGTTTCCTAAAGCCTCACTCACAAGTTCCTAATATGGGCAAGTGGTTTTACTGAACTCTCCTCTGTGACAGCTTTGCAAAGACAGCTGAAGTTTCCAGGGCTGAGATGCGTCAGAATCATTCAGGACTTTTGCAGTTGGGTCTATGAGTCTCTGTTCTGTACCTTCTTCCTGCCAGTTAGCCTCTACTCAAGAGCAGATAATTCTGGGCATGATTAAATAATTCAACTAGTTCCAAAGCAGCGACTTAGCAGAATTATTCTGTCGCAGAGGAAGCTCTCTGTTGCATCTCTGCATGAACCAATGCTTCAAGGGGCATGTCCATCACAGAGACTCAAGCAGACATATCAAAGGGTGGGCTCCTTTGAGGGCAGGTTATTTTCTCTAAAGGCAGTCTAGAATCAAACCTCCCCCCATCTGGTGTACAAGTGAGCCCTCTATCCCATTTTAATTCAATTTGTGTGTTTGTGTGTGTTTTTAAAATGTAGCTCAGCTCTCAGGAATTTGGGAAACGGTGATTTAGAAAATGCCCCGTCAGCTTGATCTCCAAAATATTGCATGATCTGCACAGAGGAAGACTATGTGGAGCTGGTAAAATATCACCCAAGCATCTAACTGGCCAGCACTTAAAACCTGACTGAGCCCTGGCAGACAGGAATCTGAACGGTTTCCTCAGTCCTGAGATGAGGCAGGTCTGCAAAGCACGGTGTTGATGATCATGTCTGCCTATTTGTAATGCCAGGTCATTCCTCACAAACTTGGTTGGTCAGCTGTGTCAGACTTGGCAGGATGGTGGTATAAGATGATCAGGAACTACAGTCACTCTCTCCAACCACCTCCAGGCCAGCATGTTATTTCCAAGCAAGACTGGGGAACGCAGCCTATTCAGGGTTGGCACGCAGTGATTAAGAATTCTCAGGAAAGGAGCAACCAGAAGGAAACATGCATAAGTCTTTAGAACTGCCAAGCCTGTTCCTTTAACAGCTTTAACAGATGGGGAAAGGCTATAGCTAAGAGCCTCTGCCAGTCAGTGTAGTAGACAGTCCTGAGGTAGGTGGACTAATAATAGTCTGACTTGGTATAAGGCAGCTTCCCAAGCACAGCAGACAGAAGCTAAGCTTTTAGCCCTTAAGGCATACATGAATGAATGAAGAAGCAATCAAACATACAGAAACTTTTATTCTTGCCAATTGTTTTCTCATTTGAGAAAGGTTCCTGCAGCAAACAGCTGCACACAGGGAGAAATCAAGTTTCCTGTCCATAAGGCACATGCAAATAAATGTGTTGTGGTAATGTCTGAGATGGTGCTGGAGGAGACTCTTGAGAGTCCCATGGACTGCAAGAAGATCAAACCTCTCCATTATTAAAGAAATCAGCCCTGAGTGCTCACTGGAAGGACAGATCCTGAAGCTGAGACTCCAATACTTTGGCCACCTCATGAGAAGAGAAGACTCCCTGGAAAAGACCCTGATGTTGGGAAAGAGGGAGGGCACAAGGAGAAGGGGACGACAGAGGACAAGATGGTTGGACAGTGTTCTCGAAGCTGCAAACATGAGTTTGACCAAACTGCGGGAGGCAGTGGAAGACAGGAGTGCCTGGCGTGCTCTGGTCCATGGGGTCACAAAGAGTCGGACACGACTAAACGACTAAACAACAACAACAAAACGTCTGAGAAAATCTATGAGAAGGAGTTCCAGCAGAAAGCGAGGCTATGGTTCTCAAAGGAACAATTCCCCCCTTTCTGTGATTAGACATGCATGATTTCTGCAGGTCACAGAATTCCACTTTTACTGAGGTGGAATATGGGATCCCTTGGCACAGAATTTTCAGTTTTGGCATGGACTTTTCGCAGCCCTCTTGCTAATAATCACCAACGCCTCTGGGTTTCTAGTCTCTCCTCTCTCCCTCCTTCTTGCATAGCTCTAATTTTATCTGAGAAGTGAGGATAAGGCTTGGTCTCTTGTGGATTCGATTCTGAATCCTTCAAAGGTGTCTGTTTGCCCTCAAAGCAATGCAAGAGGACAGCAATTCAATGTAATTTCCATGGACCCTGCACAACTGGACCAGATTATTTTGAATAATTTTTCATCCTTTGCACCCTTGTCAGCCTGACTCAATGCAAGAACAGGAATGCTCAAGCCCATTGATTTCAATTTGGGAAGACTTGAAGCTCAGTGGCAGGGCACTGCTCTGCATGCAGAAGGTCCCAAATTCAATCCCTGGCATCTCCCGGTAGGAATGGGAGAGACTCCCTGCCTGAAGTGCTGAAAAGTTTATCTTATACATGCTCTTGGCACAGATGCAGCTCCCCGGAATTCCAGAACTGCTTCACTCTACCCAACTGTTCCAGTCTCTCACCTAGGAGCCAAGCCCATCCAGAAGCATTCAGCCTTGCAGGAGTGCCCTAATCCTCATCATCACACTCTGAAGGAACAACTTCGGTGCTTCCCCTTTGGGGCTGCACCACTGGAGAAGACCCACTAGCAATGGTGACCTCCAAATGAATTGCCTTCTCCCCTGAAGACCAGCCACTGCTGTGTCAAAGTTCATACTCAGCCTGGGCAGAAACAAGCTGGTTTAATCGAAGCTTGTAAATATTTATTTCAGAGTTTTTTATATCTCACCATTCTTGCAGAGATTGGCACACAGGGCAGTTTGCAACAAAACATAGCCACTTGCTTGGCTGGTTTATGGCGAGTGAGTCAATTATTCAGACACCCTGGCTAGGAAGCTGCTTATTTTGAGCTACAGTTAAGAAGTGTATGGGCTCACAGTTTAACTAAATGTTTCTTTTATTTCAAAGGAGAGGACACATATTTATTTTGGTGGAACTATTTTGCAATTTGATGTGCCTCCATGGCTGGAACCAGTATGCTTCCGAATACCAGTGGCTGGAAACCACAGGAGGGGAGAGAGCTGCTCTTGTGCTCAGGTTCTGTTTGCAGGCTTCCCACAGGCATCCGGCTGGCCACTGTGAGAACAGGATGGTGGGTTACATGGGCCATTTGTTTATCCAATTGGCTTTTCTTATGTTCTTATATGACAGTAATAGGATCTTTGGTGTACCCAGTGACCAGAAAAAACCTGCCTGGCCTGCTGTTAACACAGCAGCTTGATCTACAGAACCAAAACACACCTTTCCTTCAGAATGCACACTTATCTGAATTTTGCAATGCAATTCTGCAGCCAAATGTTTAGGAAAATGTAAATATTACAGGAAGGTGTGTGTCCAAATGAATATATTATGGAAAGCAACAAACAAAAATGCCTTATATTATGGGGAATTGCTTGGGGGTGTGGGTGAGTGTGCGCACACACGCATTAGGAAAAAATTACACTAAAATACTGGGGAATTTTCACGAGGACTTTAAAAACAAACATGCACAACTGACGTGGCAACGTGGAGAACCAAACTGAAGACTGGACAAAGGAGAAACTGAGAGAAGCCAAAAATGACAGGTTCATTCTTTCCCCTTTTCAACACTATTAATTTATGGAATCCGCCAGATGAACATGAGCTGAGATGTCATGACTTTAAAAACAAAAACAAACAAACCATGGACCTAAGACCCTATCAATAATGCTTAGTGCGAAAGTGGTGAAACCTCCACATACAGGGACAGTATAGCTTGATGAAGTAGAAGTTGGGGACAAATCCCTGGGGATGGGCATCAATCTTGTACCCAAAGGCATCAACCTAGCAAGTTTGGAAACTGGATGATAGATCCAGAAAAGCAATTCTTGTTTCTAAATTTTCTATTTAGCCCTTACTTGCTAAACCTTTGTTTTCCTTTGATTTGTCTTCTTCCACCTGCTGCTACTAGGTTATTTCCCCCCCCCCCAATTCAACTGGGACACTGTTAAGCCACAAGAAAGCTCCTTGCCTCCAGTATCAACTCACAGGTTCTTTGAAGAAGAAGAAGTAATAGTTTCACTTCCACTGACTGCACTCAGGATGGCCAAGGGAGGTTGCGACACTGACCCAAGCCACGCCTCCCTGGCTTATAGCTCTGTTTCCAGTTAAGCTGAGCCTCAGGGGAAGTGACTGCGGTCATCCCCAACAATTGGGAAACTACAAGATGAAGCCCAAAGATGGTCAAGAGAGTGCTCTAATTCCTCCCCTTCTTTCTTCTGTATGATCTTGACTATTAATATCAGGGCCACTTGGCAGAAGCTGAAACTCCCTACAAGCAAATCACTGCCGTGTGGAAAACAGTGAATGAATCCTGTATGAGGGCAGAGTCTGGCTTGGGGCAGACTAAGGTTGGTGGGCAGAGCACTGCTTGCCTAAATCGAACAGCCTCCACTGCCACAGGGGATGCGAACAAGTGATCTTTCAAGGGAAATGGGTCTCCCATTACTGGCATTACTGAAGAGCCCCGTTTGATTTCCAGCATCTTCAGGTACGACTGGAAATATCCCCTGCCTGAAACCCCGGAGAGCCTTTGCTAGACACTATAGACAGTGCTGAGCTAGAAAGACTAATGGTCAGACTCGTTATAAGGCAGCTTCCTCTGTTTCTATGCCAAGCAGACAGAAACCAAGGTTTTAGCCCTTAAGGCACATATGAATGAATGAGCAAACTGTGCTCCTACTTCCTAAGCGCTTATATGCACTCAGCAAAATGGGCACATCTGCAATTCATAGCTTATTTACAAAAGCAACCCAGGGGATTTGCACCTCCAAATAGGGGACTCGCATGCAAGTCTATTGCCTTGAGTGAAGCAGCTTTTTGCGCTGATGACATACTTGGGAGTCTAGAAAGGAGACTGCTGAGTGGTGTGTGGGTGTGAGAGAGATTAAGTGTGGAGGACACGCCATCTGCGCAAGTGAGATCAAGACTGAAATCTTACTTTTATTAGCTGTGGCTACCTTCTCTGCTTTAAAAATGTATCTAAAATAAGGGGTAATTGAGTTAGGAAGGCAAGAACTAGGTAGTGGTGTTGGTGTTGCATTCGACCCCTGCTTTAGCTATAGATTCATTGTATGCTGTTGAAACAAGTTGGCATCCAGCCTCTAGCTCTCCCTGTGTGAAATGGGAACAAGAATTGCCAATTTCACACAGGGGATCATGAGCTCAAATACCATGAAGAATTGTACAGTTGTTTGCCATATACTTCCTGCCAACCTAGCAGTTCGAAAGCATGTCAAAGTGCAAGTAGATAAATAGGTACCACTCCAGTGGGAAGGTAAACGGTGCTTCCATACGCTGCTCTGGTTCACCAGAAGCGGCTTAGTCATGCTGGCCACATGACCCAGCAGCTGTACGCCGGCTCCCTCGCCCTATAGAGCGAGATGAGCACCACAACCCCAGAGTCGATCACGACTGGACCTAATGGTCAGGGGTCCCTTTACCTTTACCTTTGCCATATACTGCTCTCTAAATGGTAACTAGCAGTACAGTGGTTGTAAGCCATTGTTGTTGTTGTTGTTACTCACTTGCCCTTCACCATAAAGTCCCAAGGCACATTACCAAAACATAAAACATCAATACAAAATCAGTTAGAACAAGTTACCATTAGAAGAACATGATGGGTTCTTAAAACATGTATCTCAGTTGTCAAATGCCAGGGTAAAGAGATGTATCTTTAGCATGCAATGGAAGTTGCACAATGAAGATGCTCAGTGCACCTCCGTTGGAAGGGAATTCCATAAATTATGTTGAGATCATTTTTACAGCTGGTTCTGTCTTCTCTCATCCATGAGGAGGGCTCCAATAGAGGCTACGCAATTGCTGAGTCACATCTTCGAGTGGTGTGTTCTTGATACAAGTTGATGCACAGATTCTCTATGCGCTGCTGAATCATTTTTTAATAAGATGTACAGTAGCGTCTGGTTAGGGCTTGCATCCTTTTAAGGCTCCGAAATCCTATGCATATTCACTTAAACATTAAGCTGGTATCGATTCAGAAGACTAAATGTCTGTGTAATCATGATTCAAAATTAGGTTGCAGTTGTGCTTAGGAAGAATGCAGTCGTGCTTTTGCATACCATGTTGCAAGCCTGAGGCAAACTCATTTCAACTGAAATTTGATTTACGGGGCACACAAACAGGTTTAGCATGCCTGCGTTTTCCCCTCTAGTCAAAATTTCCAGTCCCGTTCAAACAAGCTCAGGCAGGACTGACATCACTTCCTTATCTCATTTCCCCTCCTTACCACATTCCTGCCTTTAGTCAGTATTACTGGGAATTTATTTACCTGTGCCAGGGTCTTCTTGGTGGTGGCTCTCCATTTGCGGAATACCCTCCTCATTACGGACTTTTAGGAGAAAGTTTTAAACACTCCTGTTTACCTAGGCATTTGATGGCTGAAAGACACTGGTCCTGACAACCCTGAAATCACTGGCTGAGAGAATATTGTTAACTGTTTTAACACTATTTTTAATATTATTATTATTATTACTGACATGTTTGCTGCACTGGGCTCCTTCCAGATGAAGGGCAGGATATAAACATAATAATAATAATAATAATAATAACAATAATAATAATAATAATGGTAGGATAATCCCTGTTCTTATTCAGCAGGGTTGGCTCCAATAGCCAACTGGAACAGAATTCTGCCAACAGAGATTCAGCAGGCACCTTTGGTTCCAACTTTTAAATGCCTGATTAAAAACTCTTCTATTCTGTCAGATTTGTGCAGGCCATTAAGAGTACATATTTCCATAATAATTATCTGGTTTCGGATTGTAATTTTTTATATGGTTTTTATTATATGGCTTTAATGATTGTTGTAAACTGCTCCGATATTCTTAATGAACAGCAGTAACATACCCCCGGGAAACATCTGTCCCGGGAAAACCAGGGCATCCTGTTTTTTCACTTGTGCACAGCGGCTATTTTGGGTGATCTCGACCTGAGAAAAGTGCTTCTTCCGGGGCTTTGATCTCATGCAGGTCATGTGACTCACCTGGGCATGTGGCCTGGAAGATGTGCATCCTGGTTTTGGGCCTGGACACATTGGAGGATATGGAGCAAATACATGTATTTACAAATAAAATTAAAATGTTGCAATTCCCTTGCACAAGACAAAAACCCAGAGGGGTAGGGTGCCGGGGCAGATGGTCAGCCCCAGCTGTCCCAGTCCTGTATGTATGGGGCAGAGAAGAGAGGGGACTACCACAGGTCTCTTGCCTGGGGCCCAGAATGGTACCAGGATACATCTCCCCACCTCCCTCACCACATTGTTTCTTTGAATAAGAAATTCCCTCCCTCTCCCCAGGCATGCCCAAGGACAAAGTGTTCAATCATGCATATAAGTAGGTTTTGAATATTGGAGGAGGGGGGGAGAGAAATTTAGATGACCAGGGAAGGGAGACAAAGTACAACTGCATAGAAAGGGGGCGAAGTTGGGAGTGGAAGTTGGAGAGTCTGTGGTTAGCAAAAGATTGATTCATAACATCCAAAAAATAAAAAAGCAAGTTAACATTCCAAGCAGCTTATTTAAAGTAGGTCTTGCATCCTACCTTGGCGTCTTTGACACAAGTCATCCCCATAACTTTTTTTTAAAAAATAACACTCCCTAGGAAACATTTTAAATAAAGTTTAAGTCGCTACATTTTTAATTTGATTTATTTTCTCTTGCAGATTTCTACATTATTTACTAACAGTAGTCTACAATGTTTTCAGAACTGAGACACATATCTAAACCAAACATGCATTTGGGCTTCTATTTCTGATATGTATATATAGTCAGTCTCTCTCTCTCTCTCTCTCTCTCTCTCTCTCCCTCCCTCTCTCTCTCTCTCTCTCTCTCTCTCTCTCTCTCAGAGAGCAGGCCAAATTCTGGTAGTGTAGCAGTGGAGAACCTTTTGTTTCCTTTGCCCAAGGGCCACACTCCCTTCTGGGCAACCTTCCAGGGCTCACATGCCAGTGATGGGTAGAGCCAGAGGCAAAAGTGGTCAAAGCAACAAATGTAAATTTAAACTTTGTACAGCAGGTGAGTTTCTGCCCATACTTTCACACGTCCTCTCTCTCCTCCATCCAAACAAGCAAGAAGCATTATTGGAGATCAAGGACATATTCCATCTAGGCAAAAACACTTGGGGCAGAGCATGGCCTGGGAAGTATTCCAAGGGCCAGGCACAGAGGACTGGAGGGCCACTCCCCCCCCATTTGAATTTGCCCATCTCCATCCCACCAGCAGAAGACCAATTAAGTCCTACTCAGTGAAGACTCACTTAAATTAAGGAATCTAATAGGAATTCCAACGAATTCTAACGGTAATATCCATTATTTTCAGCAGGTCTGCTCTGAATATGATAGCATGGAAACAACCCCAGTGATTTATAATGCACAGAGCCTCATTTTGTGAGCGTACAGACTGGGTCCCAAAGACAGCTTTCATTAACGTGCTTATAGGTAAAAGAAAAAAAAATCCCAAGCTTATAGCCCTAATCTAAAAGTGCATTCAAGTAACTCCCTTTGTGTTCCTGGCATTCAAGTGCTTCTGGGCTATTTTTACCAGCTTTTGGCAGACAGCCAGAATTGGTCATAAAACCAGTAGGAAACAAGGATTTGCCATTCATCTCATCATCAGCTGTTCCGCCCTCTGGTCAGCTGATGGCACACCAAGAAGAGGAGGCAAAGCAAAGGCAACGGAGGAGAGAGGAAAAAACCATCGGCAAAGAAAAATAAATGCTTCTCTTTATGCAACTTTAACTGCAGCCCTGCAGATTTCTATTCCCCTAGAACAGCTTCCCCAAAACATTTGATAATGCAGGGAAGTGGTGTGTGTGTGTGTGTGTGTGTGTGTGTGTGTGGAGAGAGAGTCCTAGATTAAAATTGGAAACATACTTTGCTTGACACCCGATCTATCTTTTTGAGTATACAGTATATGACAATGCAGCTGGGTAGATTTATAAATTCACTTGACAATGCAATCCTATGCATGATTACTCAGACGTTAAGTCCTACTGTGTTCTTTGGGGTTTGCTTCCAGAAAGAAACATTGACAGAGTGATGCTAGGCATGCTTACTCAAAAACATGCATGATTTTAATAAGATTTAACTAAGAGTGCACAGAACTGCATCCTTGTAGCTTAATCCGGCACATGGCTATGAAGAAGTAAATCCTGTCAAGTTCAATATGCTTGATGCTTAGGAAGGACTGCAGCCTTAATTGACTAAAAAGGTTATCCAATTATTATTTTTAATACAAGTGCTTACAAAGAATGCATATTATCATTAATAATTTGACTGAAATCCATATGAATAATAGAGCAAGGGTCCCTTGAGACATCGTTTTGATTGTACATTCATGATGTGAAGGGTACTTTATCATATTGGGGCAGTTAAACATCACTCCACTGTTTCTGCTTGGCAAATGTTTTGGGGCAGACATACTGCTTCTTTTCCAATCGGTGCATGTCCCATAACTTCCTGCTGAAATCCATTTATACCACCAATGCTCCAGTATTACTACTACTACTACTATTATTATTTATTATTATTTCTACCCCGCCTATCTGGCTGGGTTTCCCCAGCCACTCTGGGGACCTTCCAACAAAAGATTAAAAATAGATTAAAACATCTGTCATTAAAAACTTCCCTAAACAGGGCTGCCTTCAGATGTCTTCCAAATGTCATATAGTTGTTTATTTCTTTGACATCTGATGGGAGGGCGTTCCACAGGGTGGGCGCCACTACTGAGAAGGCCCTCTGCCTGCTTCCCTGCAACTTCACTTCTCGCAGGTTTCCTGGGGGAACGCAGGGGTACGCATACTCCTAAACATTTTGTGAATATTTGTACTTCTGTCTATTTACTGTATTTATTTTTCCCAATTTGAACTATAAAATGGTGATTTTCTTGAGTTTATTAGAAAAAAACCACTGCTATTACCTTGGCAACCCAGAAATGTGCCCTGACACAATGAGAGGCTGCAGCCCTGGGTTTTCAAAGATGAACACTCTAGCTTAAGCACTTTTGGATGCAAAGAAAGCAGGTCATATTATAGGCTGCCCAAAAATATGAGAGGAATGGAACAGCGAGCCTGACAGCAACCTCACTCTTTAATCTTGTAAACCACAAAATATTCTCAAAGTAACTCTGATTTTTTTCCCCTGCCCTCATATGAAGAAATATTTCATCCCCTTCCTGTAACTAGGCATGCAGTCTGATGCATCTCAGAGCTTGGAATAATGGAACAGCTACCAGGCTGTGTTTGATCGGGTGTGCCTGTTTCTCTCTCCCCACCCCCACCCCGTCTGGAATAATTGCACCTCATCCCATCCCTATGGTGATGACTCTAGCATCTGCACACTGCAATTACTTCCAGCGTAAACACTGCCAAAGGGCTTTTGGGCCCTACCTCCCACAGAACATCATTTCCTCCCTATGTCTGTGCCCACTGCCTTTGAGATATGGAGCAGTTGTGTTCAGAATCCAGAAGGGGTGAGACTGGCTGTCACTCAATGGAGATTGGTCCACTGGGGCAAACGGGGCACTGCCCCACCAACTGTCTGGCCCCACACTGCCCTTCTTACTTGCAACCAGTTTAGGGAGTGGCACTGGCCGTCAGCTTCCATCTTCTCTTCAGGCTCAGAGGAGGGCAGAACTCTCAGCTTTAACTATGATTTAGCATATCAGCTCCAGATATTGGAGGGAACTTGGGGAAGAATCTGCCTCCTCACTGTAGGAAGCCCAGGGGGTTCTTGTGTGCGAGCTCCCAGGCTGGTGAGTTGAGCCTTGGCAGATGCCCAACTATGCTAAACCTTGACGTTCCATGTAGCAAAATCCTCTGCCTGAGATGATAGCACACTCCCAAATGACTGGATTTTAACAACTGTCTAATTTCATGTTCTTTTCTAAGAGGGAAGTTTTGATTTCTGTAGGCTTGTGTTTTCCTGTCTCTCCCATTAACAGTGGCTGGTGATTTCAGCCTGCCAGTGATCAGGAACCCCCTTCTATAATAAGCCTTGAGGTGGGTGGGGTGCAAATTACAAGCAGCAGTGACTCATATTCTCTCTCTCTCTCCTTCCTCTTCTTGAGGATTTGGCTGGATAGGACTCATAGCTCCTGTAGCAGCTAGAAAGAAAAGTCTCCTGAAATTTTGCAGGGCTGCCAGGGGAACTAGCCCTGCAAACATTTAAGAGAAGACTGAATGGGTTCCTACTGACGATGTTTTCATATATTTGAATAAAAGGGGGTTGGACTGTATGATCTTTTGGGTCTCAATCCAATCCCCTCCCCCAAATGAAAAGTCATTGGTGTAATGAGAGAAACTGGATACCTGGTGTAATTACACACACACACACACACACACACACACACACGTACATCTACACATCCTATGGAACATGTTTCTCTTCACTAAATTCACAAAGCAGTTTAAGCTCAAACACTCAAATGTATGTGATCACAAGGACTAGACAGGGGTCAGCAAACCTTTTCAGCAGGGGGCCGGTCCACTGTCCCTCAGACCTTGTGGGGGGCCGGACTATATTTGGGGGGACGAACGAATTCCTATGCCCCACAAATAACCCAGAGATGCATTTTAAATAAAAGGGCACATTCTACTCATGTAAAAACACGCTGTTTCCCAGACCATCCACGGGCCGGATTTAGAAGGCAATTGGGCTGGATCCGGGCTCCGGGCCTTAGTTTGCCTACCCATGGACTAGAATCACATTCCTGTATGTGAAGCTTCTGAGCATCTGCAGCAACAGATGTCACTCAAGAGCCACCAATCTATTTAGGTTATGGGCACAATTTGATTTTTGAGCAAATACTGTGAACACTCCCTCCCCTCCACCGGTCACTTCTTTCTCTCCTGCCTTGCACCCCAGCCCTGGTGATAGACAGACAAGAGAAAACGTGTGTGTGCACATGCTATGTTGCTTTTGCATGGGACATGCATAAAAGTTGGATCCAGCAGACATAACAATGCCTTCAAAACCGCATAGAGTGGAAAGAGGAAGTGGGAAAAAGAGTCGTTCTTCCAACTTCCTCCTGCCGCTCTATATACCTTTGGAAGGAGAAAAAGGAAAGTACTGAACTTCACATCAAAGAGGCAGTGGGGATTCCCACTGTGCCCATGGGAACACTGGTGATTTCTACAGTAGCTTCTAATTTATAGTTAGTAAAGGTAAAGAGACCCCTGACCATTAGAGCCAGTCGTGACCGACTCTGGGGTTGCGGCGCTCATCTCGCTTTATTGGCCGAGGGAGCCGGCGTACAGCTTCCGGGTCATGTGGCCAGCATGACTAAGCCGCTTCTGGCAGAGCAGCGCACAGAAATGCCATTTACCTTCCCGCCAGAGTGGTACCTATTTATCTACTTGCACTTTGTGCTTTCGAACTGCTAGGTTGGCAGGAGCAGGGACCGAGCAATGGGAGCTCACCCCATCGCGGGGATTTGAACCGCCAACCTTCTGATCGGCAAGTCCTAGGCTCTGTGGTTTCTGTATCTATTTGAGCCATGGACCATGGCGTTCCTTGTTTCTTTTTTAAGAGTTTATTTTCATATTTTGCCTGTGTGCATGCAGAGGGGGAGTCTGTTGGTGCGGATGCAGTGCCACTCCACTCCAGGCACCATCAGGATTCACTTGTGCAACAGACCTCAGGACTGGACTTGCAAATGGATTTCAAACACAAAACTCCTGTTGCACTTTGGGTTGGGACAACTGCACAGAATAAGAGGCGGGCAATACTGCAGCTGTCATGGCCACCAGTTGCTGGCTCCCTGCTTTTCTCCAATCAGAACCTGAATAAAGCCCATTTCCATCAGTGTGTTCATGTAGTAGTGAGGGCTACATGTAGGGAGCTCCTTCAGATAAAGCAGCAATTGTGCTGGCCTTTGGCTGAGTGGGGAATGGGAGAATTAGCTCAAGCCCGCTCCCATACTCCTGACTGGTCTTATTACCAGTGGTGTCTGGTGCCCTTTGGGCAGACAGCAAGAGGCCAATGGTAGGCAGAGCCAGAGTCAATGGCAAGCAGAGCATTCATCTTCCTCCCTAAAGAGTTCTACAAGGGGCAACACTGAGCATAAGGATGAGGAAGCTGGCAGCCAGGCCACTGTCTGCACTAGATGTACGGTATTTTTCGCTCTATAAGACGCACCAGACCACAAGACGCACCTAGTTTTTGGAGGAGGAAAACAAGAAAAAAAATATTCTGAATCTCAGAAGCCAGAACAGCAAGAGGGATCGCTGAGCAGTGAAAGCAGCAATACCTCTTGCTGTTCTAGCTTCTGAGATAGCTGCGCAGCCTGCATTCGCTCCGTAAGACGCACACACATTTCCCCTTACTTTTTAGGAGGGAAAAAGTGAGTCTTATAGAGCAAAAAATATGGTAAGTAAGAAGGCAGGTAGGTGGGAGTTTACTGAGGATAGACTGAGGTTGGTGGGGCACTGCCCCATTCACTCCAATGCATTACTTTCCACTGACTATGACCGCTTTTTACCAAGTTATTTCTTGTGTGCAGTCTGGCAGCTGGATCAGGAAGAGGAGCCACAGTGATCACACACGTTTGGGCATCCAGAGACGGATGTATAGAAGAAAACTTCCATGCGCGTATGGCCACCAGCTTGATCAGACTGGTTATTTCAATGTCTTGCACTGGATTTCATGCTGTCCTTAAATGCACAGCAGCAGCAGAAGACGTTGCAGGTTTACTTAAAAAAGAGAGGTATCCAGTTGCTATTTAGCCTTGTGGCAGCCATAAAACACACATTTTTGCACAAATTATCAGCATTGATTTAACTTTGGGAAGTCATTAATTCACAAAACCTTCCCTTCCAGAAAGGTGTGGCACCCCAGACTGTGTCTCCGCTTTCAGCTCACATTTTTTAAAAAGCTTTCTGTGAGTTCTTAATTTAGAAGTTCCCCCAACTTTTGCTGCTTTGTATTCAAAGCCCCCCTTTCTAATAGTGAATATAGCAGAGTTATTGTTGATCTTTGGGGATTCAGAGATCCACTTTTAGGGAAGTGACTGGGAACCTAGAGCCCTTGGGTCTCTCCCCAGACCACATGCCTTCCTCAGTCACACTCCCCCACCCCCCACTGGCCCTGCTTCACATTCTGCTTGGGTGCTTTTGAAAGTGTCATTGGAACTCTGCAAATGCCCCTTGCTTGCCTGGATGGAAGACAGAGAGGGGTGCATGAACATGCATAAAACTAATATACCTGTAAAAAGGCAAAATTTGCATCCATTGCTCTGTCCACGTTTTCCTCTGGTCTTTCCCATTACTGGCATGTCACTCCCCTCCCAGAATGAGAAAGGGAGTGGAAGGAGGCAAGGAAGATTATACTCATGGGTGTCTGTTGGAGTGGGCAAGGGGGGCAATTGCTCCCCCAATCCCCATGTATATGCCAGAATCCCTAAATTCCTAGCTAGCTGGCTTTTCTATTTTTGATGTAAATTTCCAGCAGTAAAACCTGAGATATGAGGCGAAACATACAGGTGAAACTCTCCTTATTTCTTTTGCACAAAATTAGCCAGCTACTCAGTGATGGCTGGCGCCCATTGTGACTGGTGGGCCAGAAGGCTGGAAGCCCAAACATTAGCCAGTGCCAAAGCCAATGACAGGCAAAGTCAACTCATCTTAGCTTTGTCCTCATCCTCTTTCCCATTGAGCTTTGCAAATGGAGAGGAAGTGGTGGTGGTGGTGGAAGAGGAAGTTGACAGCCAATGCCACTCCCTGGACTGGTTCTTATCAGGAAGGAGGGCAGGTGAATGGGGAGGGGGCAGCTGAGAGCGGACCAAGGTTGGTAGAGCACTGCCCCATTAGCCTGAATGGGCCAACCTCCACTCCAGCTACTATCTCAACAGTGTTTTCAGCTGGTGAATTAAGTCGGAACAATGAGTGACATTTAAGAAAGCGGATCTGGCTAGCTAGGGTGAAACACCCATTGTCTTCTACACTCTAGAGAAGGAACTTCTTGGTTTGCTTTTGAGGCTCTTATGCTCGTCTCCCGTGCTGGAAAAGTGATCACTGCCCTGTACAAAACAGTTCAAGTATCCAGGATTTGGGGGGGGGGAGGTAACGGCTGTAATTGGGGGGTATAGTTCGAAAACAAAGGAGTAGCGAAACAACAACCGGAGTTCATGATATTTCAAACTCAGGTGTTCTTTCATACAAAAAAATGTGATCCCTCCCCCATTTATCAAATGACCCTGCCAGCATGTCAATGCAGACAGAATTTTCCATTATTATACCTATATTACATAGGGCAAGGCTGTGGCTATAGTGCATGGGTAATGTCAGCACAGCACAACACAGCGCTGTTGTACCCAGTTTGGATGATTTGTTTAATGTAATATCTGTACCCTGCTTTTCCAACAACAAGGATGAGCTCAAAGTGGCTCACAATAAAAACATCAAGACACTAACAAACATGACAACCCCTGTAGTATCAAAAACACAACAGCATAGGAAGATTAATAATAATAATAATAATAATAATAATAATAATAATAATAATACAATTCAGTACAAACTAAGCTGTTAAGATGATGATCCCACAAATGCCCATACATCGAGTTCTCTGGTCTTTTCAGACCTAAGACACTTTTTCATCCCCAAGCAAAACTTATGCGTTACACCTTCTAAAAATAAGGAAAGTGTGATTTTGTTTTTCAAAGAACAAGTTCTTGGGGGAAAAAGTTTTTCCTCTTTTTAAAAAAGAATGAGTGCTTTTTTTGGCTATGCAGATTCACACAGTCAATTCATTGACTAAAACTAAGCTCTTTACCCTGGCTTTTGACACCCAGACTGCATATTTTCAGCACCTGCCTTATTTCTGTGATTGTAAGTTGTTTTAAACTGTTTTTAAAATTGTGCTTTAATTGTTGTAACCTGTCCTGAGCATAATAATAAATGACTCATCTAAGCTTTCTTTAACTGTGACAGCTGTATCAGAATGTATTCTTCTACACAAGTATTTATTTTCTTATTGAATGTGTGGGGGGGGGGGTTACCTGCCTTTCAACCAGATTATTTTCAAGGTGAGTAAATAAAAATTAAGGAACTTGGATAGAGGACATCTGTCTTTGAATCTGGACATCCAGTTTCTTCTCCCTCCCTCCTCCCTCTTTCTTTTCTTAAAAAGAAGGATAGTAGTAGGAAGGGTAGGAAAGGACACAAGACAGAACACAAGAAAGACCTGCTGCACCATGACAGTGGCTCATCTAGTCCATCACCCTGTTCTCACAGTGGCAACCGGAGTGCAACAGCGCTCTCACCTCCTGTGGTTCCCTGCAACTGGTAATCAGAAGTATAGTGCCTCTAACATTGGAGGTGGAACATAAGAGCCCAGCTGGATAAGGCTAGTGGTCCATGTAGTCCACCATCCTGTTCTCACAGTGGCCAAACAGATGTTTCTGGGAAGCCTGCAAGCAGGACCTGAACGCAATAGCACACTCCCTACTTCCAGTTCCTAGCAACTGGCATTTAGAAGCTGACTGCGTCCCAACAGTGGAGGCTGAACACAGCCATCGTGGCTAGCAGCCATCAACAGCCTTATCCTCCATGCATCTATCTATTCTAAGGGTTCCCAAACTCTTGTCTGCAAGGTTTGCTCAGGAGCTCCCCAGCGTGATTCTAGTTTTGCAGGTTGAAGACAGGAGATGGAACACCCACCGCATTACATATTCACACCAACTTTTACAGTGGTACCTTGGGTTACAGACGCTTCTGGTTACACACGCTTCAGGTTACAGACTCTGCTAACCCAGAAATAGTACCTTGGGTTAAGAACTTTGCTTCAGGATGAGAACAGAAATTGTGCTCCGGCGGCCCAGCAGCAGCAGGAGGCCCCATTAGCTAAAGTGGTGCTTCAGGTTAAGAACAGTTTCAGGTTAAGAACGGACCTCCGGAACGAATTAAGTACTTAACCCGAGGTACCACTTTACATGAAATTTTTACTGCTTCTTCTGTTTCTTGCATTTTATTTTATTGTATTACAATTGGAATTCCATAAAATGCAGCAAAATAGCAGTGTGAAGGGAATAAAAGAAGAAGATAATTTGGCATCTAGCCCAACACATTGCAACTGCTATAATGGGCAGAAAATTCATTAAGTGGTCCACCAAGACCCTCCGTGATTTTTAAGTGATGAGGGAATAATTTGGGAACTACTGGTCTAATCCTATTTTAAAGCTACCCATGTTGGTGGCCATCACTTTTTCCAGTGGGAGTGAGTTCCGTAGTTTAACTATGTACTTTGTGAAGGACTTCCTTTCATCTGTCCTGAATTCAGCTTCATTGCTGAGAGTGCTACGAGAGCTGGAGGAAAACTTTTCTGTGTCTACATTCTCCACACCACGCATCATTTTATAAACTTCTATCATGTCGCCTCTTCTCTAAACTTAAAGGTCCCCAGTGCTTCACTGGACAGCCCTTGGTTCTCGTATGAGGAGAAAGGAAGAATAACTTTACTTCCTTCCTTCTTGTGGCGAAGTCTTGTGTGAGGGAGATAAAAAGAAACAGAAAGGAGGAGGAGAAAGAAAGAAAGAAAGAAAGAAAGAAAGAAAGAAAAGAAAAGAAAATGTTTTGGTGCAATTCTGAGTCCAGCACGGAAGACCAAGAATCTCTACACTACATCAAAGAGCAACTTGTATCCTACGGGCTCAAACCTCAGAGGGAGCGATTTGATTGGCCGCTCCTCCTAGCCTTCCAGCACCCTTTTGACAGTCCCAGATTCTTTCACAGAAGCCTCAACAAGTGTTGCAGATAAGCTAAGGAGCTGCGTGTGATGAAGGAGCAGGTGACCCAGCTGTGTGTGTGAGAGAGAGACCCATATCAAGAGAGTGCTAAACTGGAAATCCTGCAAACAACGACCATCCCAATCCATGTATCACCCCCCCCCCCCACAAAGCGTATAGCGCACACACCCCCGCCCTCCACTCTGCCTTTTCCCTGCTTAGTACACGCCGACTCCCTAAACTTCTGGTTCTCGCGGACCATGGGAGTCCGCGAAAACTTCTATACCGCAATAAATCTGTTCGCTTTTAAGGGGCTCTTTGGTCAAAGCCTTGATGATTTCTTCCAAGTTGCGGATCCAGCTCGAACCTGAACCCAAGCCCCCCCAAAGTAGCAAGATCGCGCCCCCAACCCACATAATTCCCACCCCATCAAGAGCATCTCCCAGACCCGGAGGGGAGGGACCGACACGTCAGATCGCCCGGAGGAGGGGAAAGGAGGAGGAGGGGGACCCCAAACCCGGATCTGTTGCGCTCGTCTCCGCCCCCTCCCTCTCTTTCTCCCTTCCAAGCGGCCTGCTCAGGGGTCTTACCTGGGGTTGCAATGGAAAAGCAAAAAGGAGCTCAAGCTGATTCCAACCCACCGAAGTAAGATACGAGTGGGCCGGTCCGAACTGAGCTCAGCTGAGAGGAAGAAGAGAAGAAGAAAAGAGGGAGCGAGGGAGGGAGGAAAGGAGCGCTGGGCAGGGCTGGGAGGGGCAGGGCATCTTCCGCCTCCTCTGCCTCTGTGCGCCCCGCCCAGCGCATTGAAGACCCACAGGCCACTCAGAAGCGCTTAGGGGTGGAGCATTTTGGTGTTGCGGAGAGCTGGTCCTGAGCGTCCGGTAGCTGATCTTTCGGAAGGGGCATGTGGGCGGGAGAGACGTGGCGACGAGAGAGCCCTAAGAGTCAGAGCCGTCTAGTCCAGCAAAGCGTCTCCCGTTCCCCACCCGCTCCGCTCCGGAACTCAGTAATAATAATTTATTATTTATACCCCGCCCATCTGGCTGGGTTTCCCCAGCCACTCTGAGCGGCTTCCAACAAAACACTAAAATACAATAACCTATTGAACATTAAAAGTTTCCCTAAACAGGGCTGCCTTCAGATGCCTTCTGAAAGTTTGGTAGTTATTTTTCTCTTTGACATCTGGTGGGAGGGTATTCCACAGGACAGGTGCCACCACTTAGAAGGCCCTCTGCCTGGTTCCCTGTAACTTGGCTTCTCGCAGTGAGGGAACCGCCAGAAGGCCCTTGGCACTAGACCTCAGTGTCTGGGCAGAACGATGGAGGTGGAGACGCTACTTCAGACTAGCTTTGATGACCCCTTGGGTCCCCTCCTACTCAATTTCAATGATTCTGGTCCTCGGGTGGCCTAGAGGGGCAGAGCATGTGCTTTGCATGCAGAAGGTCCCAGGTTCAATCCCTGGCCTTGGGCTGGAAACTAGCCATCCCTGAAACCCTAAGAAAAGCAGCTGCCACTCACCTGTAGACAATACTGAGCACGATGGGATCACTGGTGTGACTCAGTAGGGCAGCTTTCTGTGTTCCTCCTTTTTTCTTTTGTCCAGGTGTCCAGTACAAAGGTAGACAGCCTCTGACTGTGGAGGTTCCATTTAGCATCCCTATTTATACTAACAGCAAACTCGGTTCTCCAGAGGTGGTTCCTTATGTAGCCAAACCAGCATCATACATGTACAAAAGGGAGGTACATGGCGCATGGCACTCAGGATCTGGTGTGTCCTCAACTGAGTTAATTGGGCCTTCCAAGTAAGAATGGAACTGCCTGTGCCCATTTACTAGGGAGAATAAGTACCACCAGCTCAGCTGGGTGTACAGTACTTCTGAGTGAAATGTGCTACCTTATTAAAGGCAAGAAATTTTTATTTATTATTTATGTGTTTATTACAATTTTGACCCAGGATCTGATTGGTGCACCTCTCTCAGAATAGTCATGCAAACATCTGTTTTCTTGGGGTGAGGAATCTCTTGCAGACAGCTTTGAGTCAAATTGGATGTGGCGTTGGCACAGTTCACTATCTTGCTGCACTATCTTTTTTCAGATAGCAGGACATGGGACAGAATGGCTAGCAGCAGAGGGCAGAAATCCAGCTGGTGTCAGGTCCCCCAGTGCAGGTTCCCCAGGAGAAGCTCTGGCTGTTGAAGGGAGAGGCGCTGTTCTAGACAAAATAGTTGGCAACCCTTCCATGTGATAAAAGAAATGTCTAAAATAGTTTGTATGCTTATGTATAGGAGTAGGCCATAATTAGAAGTGGGTTGAAAATAAATCTGCCACTTTCATAATTCCTAGAATGCTGAGCATATACGGTACCTTTAAACCATAGTTTAATTTAAGTGTGATGTGCAACCCACTATGTTGGCAGCAAAGGTGTGGTGTTGTTTTTAAATCATTTGGAATATTTTGGATACTGAACCACATGATTTGAGTTCTGGGGCATGAACTGCGGACACATTCTCACTACAGTGGTACCTCAGGTTAAGTACTTAATTCGTTCCAGAGGTCCGTTCTTAACCTGAAACTGTTCTTAACCTGAAGCACCACTCTAGCTAATGGGGCCTCCTGCTGCTGTTGCGCTGCCGGAGCACGATTTCTGTTCTCATCCTGAAGCAAAGTTCTTAACCTGAAGTAATATTTCTGGGTTAGCGGAGGCTGTAACCTGAAGCGTATGTAATCTGAAGCGTATGTAACCCAAGATACCACTGTACTATATATTAAATACCTTTATGATCTCAAGAATCCTCATCACAAATAGGCCCAGTTTGCCGCAGCTAAGCTGGTCCAGATCTGGTCCATGCATGAATGTTGGTTAATCTGGAACTGCAAAAAGAGCAGAGAGGTTTCTTGCATCTTTAATACAAACAGATATATTATGTCTTAAGTTTTAGTGGACTGGAAGAAAACAATTTATCAGATCCATTAAGCATTATCCTCTCCTCTCCTCTCCTCTCCTCTCTAAAGACAGTGGGATAGTGTGGCATAGTGGTTGTACCAGCACCTTGGGGACCAAGGTTCATATCACTACTCTGCTATAAAGCTCATTAGGGAAGCTTAGACTGTACCAATCATCATCTAACCTTCCTCACAGAGTTATTGTGAGGATAAAATGGGAAGGTGGAGAACCCTGTGTGCCACTGTAAGTTCACTGGAGGAAAGATGTGATATATATGTAATAAATATGTACTTATTAGATAAAGGGGGAGGAGGATGTGTTATGAGGTATATATCCACTTAACATGTGAACTCAATGTACGTATAGTTCTAAGAAGGGTACAATCTTTTGTGTAGAGCCAGGCTATTAAAAACACATGTATACCTTAGAAAAAGTTTGGTTTATCATACAGAAATGAAAAGAGACAGAATATACAGGTGCTGCTTCTGACAGCAAGGGTGCAAATATGCAGGCATCAAATAATCATTCAGTATAGACACTGTAGGACGCGGGTGGCGCTGTGGGTAAAACCTCAGTGCCTAGGACTTGCCAATCGCATGGTCAGCGGTTCGAATCCCCGTGGCGGGGTGAGCTCCCGTCGTTCGGTCCCAGCTCCTGCCCACCTAGCAGTTCGAAAGCACCCTTAAGTGCAAGTAGATAAATAGGTACCGCTTTATAGCGGGAAGGTAAACAGCGTTTCCGTGTGCTGCTCTGGTGCCGGTTCGCCGGAGCAGCTTCGTCACGCTGGCCACGTGACCCGGAAGTGTCTGCGGACAGCGCTGGCTCCCGGCCTCTAGAGTGAGATGAGCGCACAACCCTAGAGTCTGTCAAGACTGGCCCGTACGGGCAGGGGTACCTTTACCCCTTTACTTTATATACACTGTAATAAGAATTTAAGGTCTCAAATATATACAGTCATACCTTGGGTTATGAACGCTGCGGGTTGTGCGTTTTTGGGTTGCGGACCGTGCCAAACCCAGAAGTACCGGAACCCAGAAGTACCAGGTTACTTCCGGGTTTCGGCGCTCGTGCGTGCGCAAAACCACAAAATGACATCATGCGCAGAAGCACCGAATTGCATCACACGTGTGCGCAGATGCGGCGCATCAGGCTGCAAATGCTGCGGGTTGCAAATGTGCCTCCCGCACGGATCACATTCGCAATCCTAGGTATAACTGTAAATTAAATGTTCATAAATTTACACAGCAAACACATACATAAGTTTGTAAACGACTTGTCTGAAATAGTACAGGAGAACAATGGTGAAACCACTTTGACGCTCCCAAATTGACCTCAAATGTTTCTCTACAAGGAGGAAGGAAATAGGAAAGCCTCTCCATTGTCCTTTGCTTACTGGTCTTTAGGGCATCTTTGTGTATGAATAGGGTGAGCCTGTGACCTGGATTCAGGAATTAAAGTATTTACCATCACAAAAGATGGCCAGGCTGCCCAAGTGAGCAATCACTGGCCATTGCCAGGTATCCTGGCAGACAGGATTTCTGTTTTAGACCACCTCCTGTGATGTATATATGATGTTTTTGGGGATGGTCTTGAGCTACAGGGTGGGCAATTTCAAAAGTCTATATAAGGGCTTGCACACCTTTGTTCTGGGTTCCTCGTCCCTCCTGCATGTGGTGAGTGAGGACCCTGTTGCAACTGCTTTAATGAAGATCAGGCTTACTATTCAATATTCTCTGGTTGGTCTCTGTTATTTTCACCTACCGATAGGGAACCCACTTAAGGACTCTATATGGGCTCTTGGGTATCCCATAAGGGAAAAGGAGCAGATTTTGTTTACATCAACACACACCTTGATTATAGAGAAAAAGGGATCCCTAACTATGCCAAAAGTATGGAGAGTGAGTGCAGCAATTTGTGACAGATTCACACGAAAAGAAATAAAAATAGGGGAGGAGTACATGTGATCTATGGGACGCGGGTGGCGCTGTGGGTTAAACCACAAAGCCTAGGACTTGCCGATCAGAAGGCCGGCAGTTCGAATCCCCGCGATGGGGTGAGCTCCCGTTGCTCGGTCCCTGCTCCTGCCCACCTAGCAGTTCGAAAGCACGTCAAAGTGCAAGTAGATAAACAGGTACCTCTCCAGCGGCAAGGTAAACCAGAAGTGGCTTAGTCATGTTGGCCACATGGCCCGGAAGCTGTACGCCGGCTCCCTTGGCCAATAAAGCGAGATGAGCACCACAACCCCAGAGTCGGCCATGACTGGACCTAATGGTCAGGGGTCCCTTTACCTTTACATGTGATCTTGGAGCAAGCAGAACACAAAGACAGTGATTTGAGATCTGTGCCTTCTCCAAGAGTTAAGCTCCCCTCTTCAGAATCCTATGCCAGGAAGGCAACAGTCTCACACCCATTCTTTGGTCTGTGAGCCAGCAAAGTGAGGAGTGGTCCTTCAAATCACAGTGGAGCTAAGTGGGGTTCCTGATAGGGCTCTGAGCTGAAGATAGAAAATTCAGGCTTTAAGTATAGTTTAAACCCAAGTAAACTCTATGGAAATGGGAGAGGGCTTTGTTTAGTGAGCGAATAACAACACACCCAAGTCCTTTGAATTATTGTTTCTTCTTTCTAGTGCACTATTCATAGAATATGCCTGTTGTCTTTGTCCATGGAGTTTTCTTGGCAGGGATACTGGAGTGGCTTGCCGGTTCCTGCTCCAGGTGGATCACGTTTGGTCAAAACTCTCCACTATGACCTGTCCATCTTGGGTGGCCCTGCACGGCATAGCTCATAGCTTCTCTGAGTTATTCAAGCCCCTTCGCCACGGCAAGGGGTGGCAGCAGTCACAAAATTAAAAGACGCCTGCTCCTTGGGAGAAAGGCGATGGCAAACCTAGACAGCATCTTAAAAAGCAGAGACATCACCTTACCAACAAAGGTCTGTATAGTTAAAGCCATGGTTTTCCCAGTAGTGATGTATGGAGTGCCTGGCGTGCTCTGGTCCATGGGGTCACGAAGAGTCGGTCACGACTAAACGACTAAACAACAGCATCATTCATAGAATATAGCGTTAGAAGAGACCTCTAGAGTCATCTAGTCCAAATCTTTGCAAATGCAAGAATCGCAACCAAAGCATCCATGACCGATGGCCATCCAACCTCTGTTAAAAACCTCCAATGAAGCAGAGTCAATTTCTAGGATGGGAAACTACTATCCTGATTCAAGCCTAAGCAACAATTTAAATTAACAGCATACTCTATTGCCACAAACAGCTAAAAACATGATGATGCCATAACAGCCCTGGGTTTGAATTTGTTAGTTTTGCTGAAACTCACTTGTGCATCCTATTTAAGCAACGGGGTCCCCCCCATGGTAATTGTCAGGGTTAGTAAAAACGACCTTGGAGAGAGGTGGAAAGATTTGAGTTGCATCTCAAGCAAGGAAACAAACAGAAACAAAGATTAGCAACAGGTGAAGGTTTCTAGAAACCACAAGACTTATGCAGTGGAGTTGAAAGCACCAAGAAACCCAGCAGCAGCAATTGAAGGAGAGGGAAGTGGTTTGATGAGGGCCTAACATTTTCTGTGTGTTTAAAAGAATTTTCTACATGTCTAGCTCTTTCGTCACACATATATATATACCACTTCCTCATAGTTGCCTCAGGCACTCAGTGGTGGCTCATATGCACTGGAGACTATTTTCCAGGGGCAGTCCTGGAATTACAAAAGCCATTGTTGTCCCATCCCAGGCTCTGAGCCTTCTTCCCCTGGGGGTTCCCCAAGTGGTGCCTCCCATCTCTCCTCTGCATCCAGATGGAGGAGAATTTTAATTTTGCTTGCATTTTAATGAGAAACTACCTGATTTGTACTTCTCAGATCAATGTGTGAACTGACATGGCTGTCCTTCAAACTATGCATTTTCCCAAATTTTGCAATGCAAAAGAGTATGGTACATATAAAGAGACATACTAAGAGAAAATTGCATAGGAATGCATATACTAGTGAAAATAGCATATAAATATACATTGTATTAGGAGAAAATGCTTGCAAAAAGATGTATATTAGTCAAATGTGCATATAAAAATGTGTTTACATGAAAATGCTAGTTAATTCTGATGCAAATTTTTAAGAAGAAACTTGCCAATTGCTGCAAAAATGCAAACTGAATTTAAGATTGAGAACATGAGGAATGGAATTGACTGCAGTGTGGAACTTACTTCCAAGAAAACATGCATTGAATCTGGTTGCATGGAACCATTCCACTGGCCTTTTCTGTTCCACTCTTGTAAATCTATTCAGGATTTAATCCTGTTCAGCCTAGCGGAGATATTTTCCACTGTGCTGTGTTTGCAGAAGGCTCAGCCTTCCTCCTCCTCCTCCTCCTAGTCTTTTGAAGGTGTGTATGTGTCTCATAAAAATAAAAACTGATAGACTAAAGGCTGAAGCAATGCCCTAAGGAACACAATAGCAGCTGCATCAGTCCAGTGCTTTTTGAGACAAAGGATATGTTCTTATCAAGACAGAATATCTTTAAAAGCTGTCTTTGTTTCACCTTGGCAAGATTAAGAGCAATAAAAACTTTTATGCAGTGTAAGAGCTTAAGAAGAGTCCTGCTGGATAAGGCCAATGGCCCATCCAGTCCTGCAGCTTGCTCTCAGCATGCCAGTCAGCAGAGCATGAACACAATAGCACTCTCCTGTTCAAGATCTCCAGCAATTGCATATCCTCCAACTGTTCTCCAGTGAAAATTGTTGTTGTTGTTTAGTCATTTAGTCGTGTCCGACTCTTCGTGACCCCATGGACCAGAGCACGGCAGGCACTGCTGTCTTCCACTGCCCCCCGCAGTTTGGTCAGACTCATTTTAGTAGCTTCAAGAACACTGTCCAACCATCTCGTCCTCTGCCGTCCCCTTCTCCTTGTGCCCTCCATCTTTCCCAACATCAGGGTCTTTTCCAGGGAGTCTTCTCTTCTCATGAGGTGGCCAAAGTATTGGAGCCTCAGCTTCACGATCTGTCCTTCCAGTGATCCCTCAGAGCTGATTTCTTTAATAATGGATAGGTTCGATCTTTTTGCAGTCCATGGGACTCTCAAGAGTCTCCTCCAGCACCATAATTCAAAAGCATCAATTCTTCGGCGATCAGCCTTTTTTATGGTCCAGCTCTCACTTCCATACATCACTACTGGGAAAACCATGGCTTTAACTATACGGACCTTTGTTGGCAAGGTGATGTCTCTGCTTTTTAAGATGCTGTCTAGGTTTGTCATTGTTTTTCTCCCAAGAAGCAGGCGTCTTTTAATTTCGTGGCTGCTGTCACCATCCCAATGAAAATAGAGACGTTCTATTCTACACCAGGAAGCTTCTCCCACATTTGATCTTGCCACACACATAGATGTCATATACATGTATACATCTGCCGCCTTGAGCCAATTACAACCTCTCAGCTTAACCTACCTCACAGGGTTGTTGTAAAGAAAAAAATGTGTGAGGGAAGGGATCATGTAGAACACCTTCAACAGATAAATGGAATTAAATAAAAATTTAGCTGTAAACTGCCTTGAGTCCCTGTCAGGGAAAAAGGCAGGAAACAACAACGGAAACTGAGAAAAATCAGGAACCTACCAGACAGGAAATCCTATTGAGCTCAGTAGGGCATAGTTCTAAGTAAAAATGTTTAGGATTGCAGTATAAGGCTGCCCAATCTCTACGCCATTCGGTGGGATTTCATTTCTTCACGTGCCAAATTCAGACATAGTGTACAAAACTTTTCCTCAACCAAAGTTTGGCTTTCATTATGTGTTTTTTCTGCTCTTACTTTTCTACATTTTATGTTCTCTCTTTATTGGGAAATACAGTGCTTTTTTCTAAAAAAAAAATGTTTAGGGGTTACTCTCATTTTCCTACTCATATTGAAATACTGCCCCTCAATGAGGCCAAACTTAGATTCACAAAATGTTTAGGGGTATGCGTACCCCTGCGTACTCCCAGAAAAAAGCACCGGGGAAATACAACTCTGCACTGCTATGTTTTGTAATTTTGATTGCATTTTTTCTTGTTCGTACAGTACTTTCAATTTTACATTAATAAAAAACTTCATTTTTCAACCACAGGTTGTAAATATATTTAGTGGCCTGCATTTCTGTTCTGCAATGATTCTTTGTTTCATTAAGCATCCCTACCTCCAGCTACAGGCCTGCTTTTGCTTCTGTTTATTTAGAAACTGGCCCAATGATTGAAATATAATCCCATAATGTGCTTGCCATGTGCCACCGTGACCAAAGGCTGCAACTTTTGTTGCTGCACATTTTTGTTTAGCTTGGCATATGTATGTGTTTAATTCTAAAACTTGCCAGTTGAACCTCTTGCCTTCCCTAAAGCCCAGCTTTTATTTTATTTTTCACTCTGTCGAAGCTGATACAGTTTCTTCTCCAGCCTTTCTGCTGTGGTGCTTGGCTGCCCTCTAGCTGTGACAGATATATTTTTTTTTTTGCCAGAATCAATTCAACCACAATAGAAATGATGGTGATCACACAATTGCCTCATTTTCTCATATGATGTTTGGGCACATGTGGCTCATATATTAATCACCCCACATGCTCTTCCTACCAGCTTGTGATTCCCTGATGATGTTCTATCATATCTGCCAACACGTTACGTTGTGTTGCTCCTTCGTGAGCTGATTTAGGAGCTGATTTTTGTGAGTGTTTCTGTGTGGTGCAGTGGATAGTGTGTTGGAGTTGGATTGGGTTGATGAAGAAAGGAGGAAGGCCCAGGTTTAGATTTGTTTAGCCGTAGTGGGAAAGGATTTTGAGGCAGACATCCTGGCCCACACCTAGCAGAATCAGCAAGAGGGCCCACAAACACAGCAGGGCTTGTGTGCCACATTTTGAAGTACAGTACTGTATCTGGGACGCGGGTGGCGCTGTGGGTTAAACCACAGAGCCTAGGACTTGCCGATCAGAAGGTCGGTGGTTCGAATCCCTGCAACAGGGTGTGCTCCCGTTGCTCGGTCCCTGCTCCTGCCAACCTAGCAGTTTGAAAGCACGTCAAAGTGCAAGTAGATAAATAGGTACCGCTCTGGCGGGAAGGTAAACGGTGTTTAGTCATGCTGGCCACATGACCCGGAAGCTGTCTGCGGTCAAACGCCGGCTCCCTCGGCCAATAAAGCGAGATGAGCGCCGCAACCCCAGAGTTGGCCACAACTGGACCTAATGGTCAGGGGTCCCTTTACCTTTACTGTATCTAACGTCATGCACATTACCATTGTTAACGGAGAAATCTGAGGGCTCCCTTGGACAAAAAAACCCAAGGACACCAGCCAGGAATACCAGAGCAAAACAGCAGCCAGTAGGCTTGGTCTTTATTGAAGACTGTCGCAACAGGACTCCCACCTGCCATAAGGTGGAACAAAATGGAAGCCCTGAACAAAAGAGCCCCCAAACTTTTATTAGCTGCTTATCCCCATGTTACACCCGCCCCCAAACTACCTCACTCATACATCACGGTTACATCATGAAAGGGGAGGTCTGGTGGCAGTAATCTGAGCATCCTGGACCATGCCCCATGGTTCTCCTTGCCCTCCACCAAACACCCATCAAGTGTAACAAAAAAGATATTCACATTTCCCCATTTCCCAGCCAAGTTAATCACACCCTTTTGTCTTCATCTGGGTTTGTTATTTCTGGAATGGCTACCTGTCTGGCACTCAGGTATCAGGATGCCAGGGATTATCACTCAGGCAGAGGGGCTGCTGAGTAGCTGAGCTCACATGTCTATATGAATTTCTTAAGTTTTCCCTGTGAGCCAGTACATAGATACATTTATCAGTGAATTGTTACATTTGCAGCAAAGGCCCTTTGAATAGATAGGAAGAAACTGTGATGAAGTGTTTTGTGGGGACAAATCACAAAAGTCACAAAAGTGATTGTACTGATTTTGGTAGTGGGCTGCATGTGCATGATATCTGCTGGAGGGGCAACCCCCCCAACTTATACATAAATTCCTGCAACACCATCAAAACGAGTGCTGGTAAGGAGGTTATTTAAGACTAGAGTCTAACATAATTGAATTGCTTCACTGCTTAGTCAAGAAGATTATTGCAATTGTGCCCATTGTCTACTGGAACCTGTCTCTGATAACTCACTGCTGGTCACTATTCCCACCCTGCCCCTATCTTTTAAAATACTGATTTTATTTATTTTCATGGAACAGAAGGTAAATTTTGAGAAAACAATTGTTAGCACAGTAAACAACAAACAATTTTTCCTGATAAAACTACAGACTTTTATCATACCATGTGTTACAAGTTTCATTTGATTCCTCTAAGAGATCAAGCCACATTTTCCTATGAGTACTGGGTGGATTTCTGCCACAGTCTGAACAATTTATGTATTCAATAAACATTTGCCATATGTTATAAAGTAAATATGAATTGTGTTTGCCCTTTGCTTGTCACGATTTTTGAGAATTGGGAATGCTTTGTTCTAATTTACTAGTTTGAGTTAGATAGAGTTGTCATTCTTCAGGTTTTTTTAATCAGGATGATTGGTCCATCACCACAACATACTCTTTTTGAAGGGAGCTTCAGGATTCTATTCCAACCCTGAAGAGCTTCTACCAGTCAGTGTAAACAATACTGAACTACATGGGCCAACACTCTGACTCAGTATAAGACAGCTTCCTCTGTCTCTCTCCCTCTCTGTCACCCCCAGCTCCAGCCTGGACGGTTTATATATACAGTAGTTGAATCCCTGGCAGTTGGATTTAGAGAACACCATCACCTTGCTGGTAACAAACTCCAAATTATTTTTAATATGATTTGAGCTTTTTGGTTTCCATGCTTATTCAGTATCCAGCTATAGCCTGAAACCCAAACAATACATTATGAGAAATTTGTGGCACCCCCTTCTCCCTTGCACATAGAAAATTAGCAGGTCATGGAGTGGCTAGGTCAAATCACTTCACTTTGAGAGACAGCTTTCTATGTGAACTTTTTTTTGAGGGGGGAATGGAGGAATATTCATGGACCCTTTATTGGGTCCATGCACCACATAATAGCCCTTAATTCAAGGCACCGGGTCAGCAAACCTCCTTCTTTTAATTATTTTTGAGACTGGAAGCAAGTATGAAATGGATTTTTTATCTGCCAGTTAATTAGCATCCAGAAAACAAAAGACTGCTGGAGGATGAAAAAGCACTAATTAACAGGCTCCTTTTGGACTTTTTGGGGTGGAAAAAAAAGAACAAACTTGTGATGACTGGGACTGAAGAATGGGAAAACACTGCTGAGCAGATTGAGAAATAGTTGGATATTATATTGGAACACAGCTAGATGTTATCCTGGAGTGTATATTTTGAATACAGTGGTACCTTGTTTTACGAACTTAATCCGTTCTGGAAGACCATTCTTAAACCAAAACTGTTCTTAAAGTGAGGTGTGCTTTCCCTAATGAGGCCTCCCGCCGCCAGTGCCCTTCCATCGTTCAGATTCTGTTCTTAGACTGAGGTAAAGTTCTCAAATCGGGACACTATTTCCAGTTTTGTGGAGTTTGTAAACCAAATCGTTCTTAAACCGGACTGTTCTTAAACCGACGTACCACTGTACTTTGAATAATCTTTATGTACATAATTGGTAGATGGAGAATTGGAAGCCCTTCTTATTTCTTATCTCTCTTCTATGAATTCTAATTCTTGTTTTCTTCTGCTAACTCTATATTTATGTTTTCTTCTTTGATGTTTCCTATTTTGGATTAATGAAGATACACACAAGAAGGTAATGGATGGAAGATAAAGGGCCCTGCGTGAGGGACAGGGTAGAGAGGATCTTTGAAGGTGGGAGGCTGGGGAGAAAAGGGGGGAAGCTCCCAAGTGGGGGCTGTGAGGGCTCACCCTTCTTGTGTGGAATAAAGGTTAAGACACAGCCTTGATAGAGGGCTTTGTATTAATTTCTACTTCATCATCATATTTCTCTTATTCTCTCTGCTTTATTTTAATTTAGCTTAGTTTTGCTTTTATTGTATTCTCTGTTGAAAACTATCAATAAAAAAAAAATCGATTTTTTTTTTAAAAGCTGCATTCTTAGGTTGATGTGCAGACCAGTGAGGGTGGGGACGTCTGCACATGATCCCTGTACTGTAATCTGATGTTTCCCTGCAATGAACTCTTCACTGAATATGTGATTTTGTAATTTTTACAGCATTCCTGTGATTGAATCTGTGTTCCTGGAGTAGTTACAAGCATTGCTGCAATTGTTTTATTGCGTTGGGTCACCTTTTGATCTTATACTTTGTGTTGATATGCTGCTTTATAGTCCTTTTCTCGTTTCTTTATAAAATTATTATCAATTGATGGTGAAATAACCTCTGGTTGAAAACGCATGTGCGTTTCAACGTTTACCTAAAGCGGGACCAAAAAATATTAAAACTGCTAGGAGCTTGCTAAAGGCCGAAATTCAACTTGTAAAGCTGGCACTCAGGAAAAAGCTTCACCCGTTGAATTCCTGCCTACTGGGCCTCCAAATCCAGAGCGTGAGTAGAAATGTATCAACGTTCGTGGGTAAGTAGTGCAAACAAGACACACACAACTTATGGGGGAGGGGCTCCTCCTCCCCCCACAGTAGAGGAGGATGATTTTGGGGCGTGTGTGTTTGCGGAGGCTGAGGGGTCGGGATGAGGCCTTAACCAGCGAGAGGAGCCAACGAACTCTAAAGCGGAGCCGATTCAGCTCTTTAAAAACATGGTCTAAGACGCGCCCGCCCACTTCACGCGTCGTTCGCAAGAGCGCATGCTCCCAAACAATGAAAGAAAAATCCTCCCAAAGGAAACACCGAGACTCTCCTATCATTTTTTTTTTTTTTGCGTGCGCGCAGGCACTTGGCTGTGCGCACGCGCACCCGTCGCGCCTCCCCGAAGGTCAATCTTTCTTTCTCCCCCCCCCAAAAAACCACACCCCTAGCATTGCCCTTTTTCCGCTCCGCCTCTTCTCCCCCGGCTACTTCGATGATTGGTCCCTTTCCTGGTTATCACTGTCAACGGAACTCTTTTTTTGTTTGTTTGTTTCTCATTTTTATTTTCTGGGTTGGCATCAGCCGCTCGCCTGTATTCTTTCCGCCTCCTCCCCTCCCCTGCTTGGAGTGAGGCGATTTTCTGTGTGTGTGTGGCCGGTTTTTTTTGCGACAGGACGTTGCGGCTCTTCTTCTCACCGCCCCCCTCCCCTCCTCCCGCCTCCCTCCGTCAGTAGTGGGCGGGGAAACCCCGTGTAAGGGGTGGCCGCCATCTTGGACAGAGTGTGTTGTGCGAGCGGATTGAAAGGAGCAGAGGAGGGGCGGTGGCGAGTGGCAGTAACAGCAGCGAGGGACGAGTGGGGGTGGGGGAGAAAGAAAGGAGAGGAGCTCGCTGCGCGCGCGCAGACACAGGCCCCCACCTCCCCACCCACAATACCCAGAGCACGCGTAAGGCGGTGGTGGGGCCGGCGCCAGACCGAGTCTCGAACCCGGAACGAGAAGGGGAGGAGACCTCCCTTGTTGCTGCCGCCACAGCCGGAACCAAGCTGCCCAGTCACCAGTCCCTCGGACCCAGGTAGGTTTGTCGAGGCCTAGCCGGGTTTCAAGGCCTCGCGCGGGGTTGCCTGGCAACCGGAGGCGGGGTGGGGGGCACTTGACCCCTCCCTCTCTTGGCTGGGTGGTGGTGAAGGGGGGCTTTTGAGGGAAGGGTCTGCGGTGAGTCTTGAGGGCGGCTAGGCCTCCTCCTCCTCCTTTGTATTGCGTGTTAGAGGCCTGCGGGTGCCCAGGCCTCCCCTCCCTGCTCACCGCTTTGCAGGTGGGCCCACCACACCCAGCTCCAGAGGAAAGGGGGAGGCCTCCGCCCGTGCAAAACCGCCGCTCACGTTTGCCTCCCTTGGAGATGTGCCCTTTTCCTCTCTCTTAACTTGGCGGGGTGGGATTGAAAGACTCCCACCCCGATCCCTTGCCATTTCGCCCCCGCCCCTACCTGTGCATGTTTATTCGGGTGTTGCTCTTGCACAGGTGTTGCCCTCCCGGATAAGGTGGGCTGGATCCGGACTTGGTCATGTTCAGAGCAAGCCCCACCATAATCCTGCGGGGCTTCAGCATCGTTGATTTCAATTGCCAGCTTGAGCTCGATGGGCCTGAGTCAGGGGGAGGATGTGAGGAAGAGCCCTGCTGGATGAGGCCAAGGGAGGCCTATGTAGCCCAGCCTCTCGTTCTCAAGGGGCTAAGGGGATGCTTATGGGAAGGCTACAAGCAGGGTCCGAGTGCAACAGCCCTCATTCCTTCTTGTCATCCCCAGCAACTGGTGTTCAGAAGCATACTTGCTCCCAAGAGTAGGGAAGGAACATAGCCATTGATAACCCTACCTTTCATAAATTTGCCTAATCCTCTTTTAAAGCCAACTCAAGAGGCCACCACTACCTCTTGAGGTGAGTATTCCATAGTTCAGCTCTGGGCTGTGTGAAGAAATGATTTTGTTCTGCTCTGTCTGGGCTTTCCCAGTACTTAAGTTCTAGTATTTTATGAAGGGAGGGAGAAAGACTTCCTCTTTTATCCATTTTCTCCACATCAGCCTTTGTAAGTATTGAAGATGCATATCCCACTGGGCTCAATGAGCCTTGTCTCCCCACACCCCCGTGCAAAAAAAGTAAGGGTTGCAGCCTAACATGGCTACTCCTGGTTTTAATAGATGCTCCTCTGTGTGGTATTTGCTTCTTGCACTACACAGATTCTAAGTTGTTGAGCCCTGTGTCTCAAATATTGATAAGTGCCTTGCAGAGTGAATAATGCTGCTACTAGGGAGTGTGGTGCTCACCCCGGGTGTATTGGTGGGTGGTCTTTATTCCCATGGAATCTAGGTGTATTGTTAAGTGTAATGCCCTGCTAGAGGGTGGAATATGTTTGTGTGTAGCTTATATAGGCCTAAGGGGCAAGGAGGAAAAAATATAGGGACGTGGGTGGCAGAAAAAGAGAGAGAAAGGAGTACCCCCACCAATCTTTTCTTTTTGTTGTGGCCCATTTTGGCTCTGGGTTTACCAATTGCCAGTGTACAGACTCTGGCAGATTACTTCTGAGCCCTTGACAGAAAAAAGGTTGTTCACCCATATATGGCAAACTTCTTCTTATTTGAACTCTTTATGTGGGTCTTGAGGTCAGCCCATCTCTAAGTCTAAGGGGATAATACGACAAAAATCCAATAGATGTGTATTTGATTTGTATGCAGATTAATGATGGGTGATTATTTCTATAACAATTTTGTTATATGCACCTGTAAGTGTCAGGGTGTGTCTGAGGCACATCACCATTTATGACCAGTTTGCTTGAAAAGGCATTGTGGAAAGGCCTGTTATGCAAATGCGTAAGACAGGCATTGCAGACATTGCATTCTATGTGAATGCGTGTGTGTTTCATGCATGATGTTTTAATACATGGTGATAGTCTCTGTGATAATGAGAAAAGCTTGTGTGCCTTTAATTTGCACATTTGTACAGTTATATGCACTGGGAATCTATTATGCCCGGGAACATCGTGCAAATTTCCCTTGTTTGTTATCTAGACACCCTGTGTGTCCATGCACACATGCACACAATTTATAGCTCTGTAAAAGTGCTCATTATGTGCTAGTTGTATTATGCTGGCATACAACACAGTGAAGAATGTGCATTTTATCTGTGGCTTGAATAACAAACAGAAAATGTCTGAGATAGTGTAGTTGGGCTGCAGCCCTATACCCACTCACCTGGGAGTAAGCCCAAATGAACTTAATTGGAATAGATTTGCATAGAAATGAACTGTAAAATTTGGATCTGAACTTAAAAGGGTACCAAGTGGCAGTATGTGCATCATTTACTAGTGCTCTAATTTTCACAGTTTAGGTTGTGCAATCCTTACTATATAACTAACTGTAGTAGTACTTCCTCAGTAAGAGAAATAGCAGATTAAGTGGTTCTGTTTCTTAATGTGTAGGATGAACTGGGTGCATTCCTCCCTCTCTCATACTGTATGTAAACAGTTGATCCTTAATGAGGGATAGGCTGTGCTTGTTTATACACTCACTTTTTCCTATGAGCATTCAGGTTGAATGTACCTTAAGTAAGCCTTTAATATGTATACTTTAAGTTGAAATTGACATGGCAGTCGTTTGCTAATAATGAAAAGGAATTATTATTTCATATTAGAGAGAGCAAAGTTTTGCTTTATGGCTTTGCATAGTTAGAAAAAGAGTTTAATGTTGCATGGGGAAATCCTGGAATATATTTTTCACCCTATCAGCAGTGTCTTTTAGAAAGCTTCATAGAAGGGAACTTACCAAAAAGTTTGATTTATGGTTGCTAAGGCATCCGCATTTACCCTGCTTACATGCAGATTTTTTTTCTTCCACTGAAATGTCTGCTTTCTAATGAAATACTCAAAAGAAATCTCATTGAACTCAGATTCTAAGAACTCATGCTTATGTGAAATCCTTTGAGTTAGTTTCAGGAACTTCAACGGACACGAAAAAGAAACAAACGGGAATTGTCATCTGTGCATCCTAGATGTGTGTGCATCCTGGAGTGTGACTGTGTGTATGTGTGAGAATAGCTTCCCCCTGTATCTGCCTTCCCATGGGATATCTGCCTTAAACTCTGCATTTTGGGGAAACCTTGTCAGATTCAATTGCTGTGCCTCCATCTTGATGTCTGTGCTTAGAAATGGAAATGACTGCATGTATTTTAATTTAGTTGGTAATGAGCGTCTTGATTTTCACACAACACTAAGCCATAGTTTATTAAACTCTGATTTATTAAACCATGGCTTAGCAATGGTCTACCAATTAACTACAATTTGAAGCCTTTATTTGTTATTGGCTTACAAACCTAGTGTTAGGTGTAAACAGCAGGATTTTTTTGCCCATTCCACACTAGATGCTCACCTAGCTAAAGACATGAGGTAAGAGCAGTGGTAAGCCATGGTTTGTTCAATCATCTGTGGGACAACTCGTGGTTAACTTGCGCTATTAGCTAAGGCTTTAGTAAACCATGGCTTAGCATTATGTACAAACGTGGCCAGTGCTAGAGAGTTCATATTTTTTCCTATACTGATGTATGTGTTTTGGATTCATAACATTTAACATTCATAACATTTATTTGGATCATAAACTTTCTAAAAGGACAGTGGTGCTGTTACAACAGGCATACTTATGCAACGGCCATGCTTTTATACAGAGTTCTTATCTAAAACTGCTTTTTTAAGCACAATTGGGAATAAATTACATTGAGCCAGTGTTAGAAACTGAGATATGAAAGCTAGGAGCTAAATGGCACCTTAAACCTAGATTATGGGCGCAACAACAGAATGTCTAGGCGTACTTTTTTAATAACAAGAATACAAAGCTAAAAATGAATGAGTGGCTGGAAGTGGGGAAGCAGAAAAGGTCCTCCTTTCCTTCCACTGCAGACAAACCCTGGATTCTATCTGTACCCCCTTTCCTTCATATAAATATATCTTATATGAAGAGCCAGTGTGGTGTAGTGGTTAAAAGTGGTAGACTTGTAATCTGGGGAACCGGGTTCACATCTCTGCTCCTCCATATGCAGCTGCTGGGTGACCTTGGGCTAGTCACACTTCTTTGAAGTCTCTCAGCCCCACTCACCTCACAGAGTGTTTGTTGTGGAGGAGGAAGGGAAAGGAGAATGTTAGCCACTTTGAGACTCCTTCGGGTTGTGATAAAGCGGGATATCAAATCCAAACTCTTCTTCTTCCTCTTCTTCCTCTTCTTCTTCTTCTTTTTGGCACCACAATTAAAGCATATTAAATGCCTATATAACTGATGGCAGAGACATCCACCTTGAGTGTCCAGTTCGCAAACCTAAGACTTAAGGGTCCTTCAATGATCCCACTCCAAAATGTGTTCTGATTTTAAGCATCACTGTTAAGAGTCTGAGGTAGATAACACTTTAACATTCACTACTTAAACCATCATAACTAACTGGCTATTATATTTCAAATTAAATGTTTTACTTGGGAGGAAGCCTCATTGAACTTGGTAGGGATTTACTTCTGAGTAACAGTGGCAATTTTAATCTGAAATCTTAGGCGCAGTACTGCACCCAGAACTCAGAAACTGCTCGTGTTCACGAAAGTCTCGTCGCAAAATGCGCCTGGAACAATGGGAGTTTCGGACGCTGCATTGAGCTTGGTAGGACTTGAATAAGAATAGAGCTGCAAGTTGATTTAAGAGTACAGTGGTACCTCGGGTTACATATGCTTCAGGTTACATACGCTTCAGGCTACAGACTCCGCTAACTCAGAAATAGTACCTTAAGTTAAGAACTATGCTTTAGGATGACAACAGAAATCGTGCAGCATTAGTGCGGTGGCAGCGAGAGGCCCCATTAGCTAAAGTGCTTCAGGTTAAGAACAGACCTCCAGAACAAATTAAGTTCTTAACCCGAGGTACCACTGTATAGGGCAGGGGTCTGCAACCTTTAAGACAAAAAGAGCCACTTGGACCCGTTTCCGAAGGAAAAAAATCTGGGAGCCGCAAAACTCGTCAGTATAAAAATAACTTTTTTGTCACTTTATTATTATTTTTTTGTTTGACCCCTCAGAATTACTCCTCCTCATAGAAATAAACGTTAAATTAACAAGTTACCTTTTTGTGTGTGTGTGTTCTTCACTCCTCTTCAAAACAGTGACCAGCGTACATGCCCCCTTTCAATGCAGTGACCAGCGTACATGCCCCTTACAATGTAACGGGCGGGCGGGAAGGTGACGTTGGGATGGTGCGTGACTAACGCACGTACCGCCCCCATGCGACGTCACAGCCAGTACAGCGCCCGCCACAGTGGGGAGTGTCGGGGCGCACAATGCGCCTCCTCCCCTCGCTAGTATCCGCCCCGGAGCTGCGGCAAAGGTGTAAAAGAGCCACATGCAGCTCCGGAGCCGCGGGTTGCAGACCCCTGGTATAGGGGAACATTATTTCAAGTAATACCTGCTGCTTGAAATTTCTGAAGTTACACATTGGCCACACCCTAAGCTGCAGTTTAATGTAAAAGTATGTATTGTCCTGTGCCACTTCCATCACACAGGTTGAAGGTTCATATGCTGGAATGCTCTTTCACGTGCATTTATTCTCTCTCCCTTTCCCAGTGAAAAATAGCATGTCAGGATGAACCTAGCTTTTCTCCCAACATGCTAGTTTCTACAAAAGGAATCTCCTCCTCCATCTAACATATGATCTTCTCCTCTCCTCTCCCAAAGTGGTTTAATGCGGACACAGGCTTTACAGTCTCAAAGAGAACAGTGTCTGTGATGTGTGCACATGTTGCCAGAATCTTATGCCAAACAGAATGCAACAGATGAATGTATTCTTTCCTGAGGTGTAAGTCAGTCAAAACATTCTTGCATGCTGTGGGAATCTTAATTCACTTTCCTTCAACAGCTCTGATGTGTGTATCATATATATTCAGAATACATACAGCTCCTTTCAACCACTTGTCAAAGATAATAGGAGTTACAATCCCACAAAGTCTTGAAGGGCTGCAGTTTACCTGTCTTGTGTTCTCTTCTCCAGGAGTTAATGACTTCATTTGGATTTCATGGTAAACCGTGAAAGGTTTTGTTTGCTCTTGCTACAGCTGCAGGGAGGAGCTTTCACTTACGTTTTTGATTAACCACAGTTTAGAGTCCAAACTCTAAACAGTGGTTAATCTGAACTGTGATTTGTTGGAACTACAAGCGAGTTTCATAAACAACATTTTGGTGTTGGCTTGTTATAAATCATAGTTAAGCTGGTTGCATTTGGGAGACAAATGCTAAGCTGCGCTTAATTAAAATAAAATGGAAGTGAAAGCTTCCAGATTATTCGTTGTAGCTGTGCTAGAGGGGGAAGTGCAGGAACCTAAACTTGTTCCTGTTGCAATAATAATTATATCCTGACAACCTAAAGTAGCCATAAATAAATGAATGAATGAATGAATGAATGAATGACATTGTGTATTTATTAGCAGCCATAAGGGTACAGCACCAGGTAATAGTTAAAAGTCACCTTAGGTCACGGATATTCTCCCCAAAATTCCTCAGTACAGTACAGTCACACCTCATGTTACGTTTGGTTCATGTTACATTCTTTCAGGTTATGTCCTGTGGCAACCTGGAAGTACCGGAAAGGGTTACTTCTGGGTTTCGCCGCTTGCGCATGCGCACAAGTGCCAAATCGCACCGTATACCTGCGCAGATACGATGCTTCAGGTTGCGCTCTTTTCATGTTGCGAATGGGCCTCCAGAACGGATCCCGTTCACAACCAGGTGTACCACTGTAATTATAACTGTCACGACTACAGTTTTTGCACATTGTTAGGCTGTGGTCATAGTAAAATCCCCTTGAATTCAATGAGTTTCAGTCCTATTTGGTAAGGTAAGAATCCCCAGGAGTGTTAACTGGGATCAAAAATTGGACATGTTTGAGGCCTTTGTTAACACATTCAGTCAGTATTTGCTTTGTTTAGCAGTATTTGTTAATGACTGACCTGGAAACAAAAGTATTGATTTAGCCTATTAACTGAGGGTGGCTCCTCTGAAAAGGGATAGTGTTAATGTTGGTAATTAAAGGATGACCACTATCTAGGATTGCATTGTACTAATGTTTAAAAGACAAGCTTATGTATGAAACAGAATAGAGGCCCTAAGATCAATTAATGCTGATGTTCCCAAATTGTGGCTTATGAGCTTCATTCAGGTGGTCTGAATGTTCATAGTGATTTTCAGTTTTATTTTTATTGCTTCTGTTATTTCTTATATTGTATTTTTTGTGTTACAATTTAAATTCTGTGGAATTTTAGTTGTCATACAATAAAATGCAACATAAGAAATAAAAATCAACAAAAAATCAATTGAAAATTATACAGCATCTAGCACAACACATTAAAATTGCTACAATGTAAAACAAAAATCATTAAATGGTCTGCTAATACAACTGAGGTCCAAGGGGGATATAAGTTTGGGAGCTCCTGATTTAGTGCTTATGAATGCAACTCAGAAGTAAAAAGGTGTTTGTATGGAACAGAATATGCTTTTGAAGATTTTTCCTCTACCGAGTTATTCTGATAATCTTCAGAGTTGGTATTTTTTTGCCTTGTGAGTGACTGCTGCAAACAGTTAACAAAACCAAGTGTCATATGATACTCCCAATACGGACTAGCCTCAGTTGGTGTCATTCATAAATACAGCAGGCTGTCATGTGTAACAATAGAACACTGACTTTGCTGTGGTATAGTGCGCATGCTCTTCAGTGCAAAATTGATGAATTCAAATCAGGTGATGGAACAGGATCTTGTGCTTAATAGCTGAAGTTTGCTCTTGGGGAAATGTCTGAGTAGAAATTGAGGATGACATAAGAGCAAACTTTGAAGTTGCTGGTTTATTATAGCTATATAGTGGTACATTGGTTCTCAAACGCCTTGGTTCCCAAACACCAAAAACCCGGAAGTAAGTGTTCCGGTTTTTGAATGTTTTCCGGAAGTTGAATGTCCGATGCAGCTGTCAGCTATTGTTTCCGGGGCGCCTGCACCACTCAGAAGCGTGCCTTGGTTTTCGAACATTTCGGAAGTTGAACAGACTTCCGGAACGGATTAAGTTTGGTTTGTTTTTGCTATTTATTTAGCATTTTTGTTTTTGAGGCTTTTTGGTTAATTTGTTTTTGTGACTGTGTGGAACCCAGTTCAGCTACTGATTAATTGATTGTGTGACTGTCAAAATGAATAAAAGCTCCTCATTCAAACAATGATTATCATCAGTGCAGGTAAGGAAAAAAGTTAATTTTAATTTTTATCATCTGCAATACAGCCTTATTTATTTTATAATACAATACATTGCTTATTTCTTTCATTTTATGGATCAACAGTCTCGTTAGATTGTAAAATTCATGTTAAATTGCTGTTTTAGGGGTTGTTTTTAAGAGTCTGGAACAGATTAATCCGTTTTGCATTACTTTCTATGGGAAAGTACGCCTTGGTTTTGGAACGGACTTCCAGAACGGATTAAGTTTGAGAACCAATGTACCACTGTAAGTGATCCAGCAGTTGTACATTCTAGTATTAAGTCTATGAGAGGCTATCCCATTTTAAATGATTGCTGGTACCTGCTTCCAGCATTCAAAACTCCGAGAAAAAGGAGGACCCTTTTCTGCCTCCCCACTTCCAGCCACTCTGAAGACTTGAAAAGCGACCCTCTTAAGAATATTAGGGGGGCTGGCAGGGGAAGCATGGCTTTGTTTTTTGCAGTCTTCAAATGAGGACTAGACCATATGAAAAATGAATATAAGATTTTAGCTGCAGTTCATTCATTTTCAGCTTTGTATTCTTGTTATAAAAAGTATGTCTAGACATTCCATTGGTGTGCCCATAACCTAGGTTTAAGGTGCCATTTAACTCCTAGCTTTCAGTTTCTAACACTGCTACTTCATTTTTTTTTCCTTGACAGTTTGCAGCAAAGGAGATACTGCATTCTCCTTGGAAAATTTAAAACTTATTTCAGCAATACATTAAACTGGGAGGGGGAGAGCGTATTTAACTTACTCATAGATCTTTTATTGCTGTAGCTCACATGAATGTGCTCCCCATGGTAACATTAGCGACAATTGAAGTTTGCCTGGGTTTCCCCTTCCACTCACAGTTGTGGTTAATTTTTTATTGGGGGGGGGGGATGAAAGGGATGGCATGTTTAGGTGAGAGTGAAGGCTTTGGTGGCTTCTTCCACCCAAATTGTACCCTTACCTCCCCCAAAAGGAGCCTTGATGGACCCCTACCCCAACCCCTTCTCCAGTAAGAGAATATACAGGTGGTATAGCGAAGGGTGGGGGGAAGATAGAGAAATAGAGGGAAGGGTAGGGTCACAGTGCTTTTTCTCTGCTCTAATCCTAACCGTGCCTACTCATGGTTAGGATTAACCAAGTCCTATTAAACATGGTGCGGCTTAATCCCATGTAAATGGGACCAGGTTGGCAACCTGGAGTGCCTTTTCCCAGCTAGCCAGCCTCCATGTCTAATCGCTATTAGAAGATGCTTGCAGTATGGGGGCAGAAAAGATGGTCAGTAGGCTTTGGTTCACAGTACAGTGGTACCTTGGGTTAAGAACTTAATTCATTCTGGAGGTCTGTTCTTAACCTGAAACTGTTCTTAACCTGAGGTACCACTCTAGCTAATGGGGCTTTCCACTGTCCCCGCACAATTTCTGTTCTCATCCTGAAGCAAAGTTCTTAACCTGAGGTACTATTTCTGGGTTAGCGGAGTCTGTAACCTGAAGCGCCTGTAATCTGAGGTACCACTGTATTCTCTTCTCCCCTGCCCCACCCCAAAAAGAGTCTTTTTAGCATACACAGCCTACTGCTGTCTCTATAGGAGAACGTTGGGGGTGGGCAGGTGTGGCATTTAATGCTTGTAGTACATCATAGCTGAGGAGTGATGGGTTGCATTTTGAGAGCTCCCCCCTCCAACTTAGATTCCAGATTATCCTCCATGTTCCCCCTCTTTCCATAATCAGAGTTTTCTGCGGGGTAAGCGACTTGATTTCTGTGGGGAGCTACTGGGGTGGCAGCTGCTTTTGAGCCTGCAATCATGTGATATTGACTAGTTTGTGTGTGTGTGTGTGTGTGTGTGTGTGAGAGAGAGAGAGAGAGAGAGAGAGAGAAAGAGAGAAGCCCCTTATCCAGGCCTTGATGCTGCTGGGTTAATGGGCCCCCACTCTGAATCTGGAATGTATAGTGGTTCTTCTTCTTGCTGCTGCTTTGGTTCAGCAGCAGAGCATCTGCTTTGCATGCAAAAGGTCCAAGGTTCAATCCCCAGCGGCGTTTCCAGGTGGGGGCAGGGACGGTCCTCTTCCTGAAACCCTGGAGAGCTGTTGACAGCCTATGCAGACGATACTGGGATTGATCGATCAGTGGTATGAACTTGGGCAGCTCCCTATGTTTCCTTTACATTAATTACATTTTCGCTGGCCCCTTTCAATAAAAAACTAAGAAAATCACGGCTGGATCTGGCCAAAGGCCACCTAACATTTATGCAGGAGTTAAAGGGTTGGGGGCAGATGGGTTGAAATAGCTCTTTAAACCCTTGTTCAGTGGTCCCTCTAACCTCATATTTGAGCTGTGGGGAGGCTACAGAGTAACATTTGGGGGGCAGAATTAAGGGTGCTGCTCTGGCTCAGCATCTGTTGTGAGCTTTGTTGGTTGGGAGCTGCCTTCCCCTTGGAGGCTGTCTGCTCCCTGCCTAAGCTCAGTTAGTCTTGTGCTGCCCTGTGGCATGGAGTTCCAGAAGTGATCTCTGTGCCTAAAATTTCCTGTTGCACCTCATTGATTTCCACACTACTCCACAGACCACCTGATTTGATCAGCATCTCTCTCTCTCTCTCTCTCTCTCTCTCTCTCTCTGCCACGCTGCTGAGCAAATCACCTGGTCTGGTATCATGGCAGCAAAAAGAAAAGAAAAAAAGGTGCATAGACATTTTGTTTTCGTGCCCTCAACATAGGTCTCAGGTGTCACATGACACCTAGCTTTCCTATCCCAGTTTCTAACACTGCCCTTATGGTCTCCGTGGCAACATGAGCCTTGAAACTAGCTGCCCAAGTGCTACATAACTAAATTTCCTTTATTTGAGGGGAAACTACGGCAGAGTTGGTAAAATCACAACATTGAGGTAACCCTAATTACCATTGTCCTGTGCTCCACTAGCATGGAGCACCATTCTTACGTAGAATATAGGGCTATAATGAGCATTGCTTCCATGTTGGCAAAAATCCTACCCATTCATTTTGACTACTTGTAAGTAGCTTATGCTGTTTCAGACCTGGTGGCGGCGGCTGCTCTGATGGAGGCCTTAATTATTTCTGAGTAGATGATTGGTGCTGATAAGCCAGCCTGGCACTGGCCAGCTGTTTAGAGCTGAACTTACATCAAACCCACCTAGTATGTGCTGGCTGGAGCTGATGGGAGTTGTAGTTCGAAATGTCTGAATGGTGTATCGTTGGTGAAGGCTGTGATGAGCATAGGGATGAAAGCAGAAGCCCCTGATAAGCATTGTTCTTTCTCGGGCAGTCGGTGCTGTTGATTTCATGGGATAGATTGGGAGAGGATTTATCTAAAGAAAAGTCAAAAGTGCTGTTGGCTGCTCATAAAATCATGTTTAGTGTAGCATTTAAACTAAATACGAGAGCTGGACGATACCTGCTTTCCAACATTGTAATAGATCGCCAGCTAAACTTTGTGATAAGGTGGTATATTATGATGTTGGAAAGGAGGTGGGGAGGAAGAAGGCAGTTGCTGGTCATGGAGATAATTAGCATCACTATGTGCATCATCTTCTTCCTGGTGAGGGCAGGTGGGTGGTACTGCCCAAGGCAGTGCGCATCAGCTGAGGCACCACATGCCATGGCAGTGTGAAGCCGCCAGCCTCCCTGGAACTGCTAGCTGTGGCTTGCCCTGACAATATCCTCTTGCTGTACAAGTGGTAGCTACTGGAAGCCACCATTCTGCATGGCATGAGAAGGAATGGAGGGAGTAGGCAGCTTGCTACCACTCATACAGCCAGAGAAATAAATGAAGGGGCTGGCTGGCAGGAAAGTGCCACTCCCGAGGCTGGTGGCAGGGCTGCAAAGGGAGGGTTGGAGGGAGTGGGTGAGCATCATGCACCCTGATTGAAGTGCACTATGCTGGCTGAGAGCAGGCCCAGGGATTCATGATACTTTGCCTGGTTGGAAATTCTGAAATTGCTCTTGCGATTTTAACTTCAAGCCGGTTTCAAGCAATGTATCAATACATCACCCAGATCTACTAGATATTGCTGAAAAGTGCACCACATCATTCAGACATCATTCCTCTAATTACAGCTCCTGCTATTCTTGGTAGTGGATGAACCAAGTATTACTAGCATGTAATCACTAGCATTGAAGTGAAGCATAGACCTGGAGATGTAGACTATGGAAGAGCAATAGTAGAAACACGACTGAACTATTCTGGGGGAGTTTGGGACAGAATACTTGCAGACTCAAAAGTGATTCAGAAATAAGAGCCCAAGTTTAGTGTATTTTTTTAAAGCACCTTTTTGTCCAAGGATTTCTAAATGCTTTTTAAGCTGAACACAATTGTGCTTCACAGTAGGATTGTAAGAAGCCCTCTTTATGGAATTCATTCGGGTCTAATTCAAAATCCTGTTTTCAGGTTTGAACACAGCTATTGTTTCTGCTGCAGGTATCAAACTGAGTTTCACTTGGAGCTAGTGCTCTCCAGCAGAGAGAAACTGAATAAAACATGGGGATCTAGAAACCAGAAGTAGGGAAGGGGGAAGGGCAGCAAACTGGAGATGTTCTGGTCAGCTTTCTTACTTCCGTTACCCATACTTTACTCTCTTAATTTCTAAAAATGAATGTTATGTGAAGGGACTGGGAAAATATGAGCTATGGCAGCATAATGTGAGGTAGATATTAATTTGTTCTGAGTTCCTATTTCCCTGGGCTGATGTAGCACCATGGCTTGAGAGCATGAGATAGAAGATAGGCAGTTCCCAGACCAGCCATAAACTCAGCAGGTGGCCTTAGGCAAGGCTGTCTCTTACTCTGTTGGAGGGATAGGGGAACAATAGTTGTAAGGAATCCTCAGAGAATGCAGAAAGTGGTATGTGGAGGGTGATTAGGCAACTCAAGATCCCCTGCAGAAAGGAATATGCTAGGAAATGTAGTCTAAATGTTGGATCAGCCATCCAGTCCCAGCAGAAGTGGAGAAGCAGTCATTAGTGCATGCAAAAAAAGAGGAATGGAATTGGAGAAATGTGCATCCATGTCATCTCAGTTTTGCCTTTTTTTTAAAAAAAATAAAGATTCTTTCTAAAAAGTGCCTAGCTTGACCATCCTATCAGTGTCAGAAAGCTGGGCCAGAACAAGGTTACCAGTGGTCCAGAGGAAGACACTTGCCTTCTGTTGGACACAGAACGTAGTATAGTACTAGTTCTACCTTTGACCCCCCCCTACAGGGGAGATGAGCTTATGACCAAGCATTGTTATTTGTTCTTCCCTGTGAAATAGTAGCAGTAGCATAAAATAGATATATGCAAATTGGACTATTTCTGCTAAGCTAAATACTTTTTGTGTGTGTGTGGCACAGCACTTAAACTCCCTTGGGCACTCTGCATAGCTGGTCAGCATCTAATCCCTGGTGTCAACATATTCTTTAGCAGGCTTATCTGATCCTAAATCTCTGAAGTGCCTTATTAAGGTGGCTGATTTGCTTATGTTCTAAAATAGGTATTTCATTTTATGTTGTCATAAAATGGGATTGTATATTTGAGGGTAGCTCAGTTGGCCCAAGAGTGGAGTGTAGCTATTTGCATACAAAGCACCCACTACAGTTTAAATACTTAGTGGACTTGGTTTTGTTTTCAAACAACCTTAACCTAGTGTTCGGTATGGTAATCCTAGCCCTGGGGCAATGTTTTGTTAATTCAACATTATTCAAAAACAGACTTACATTGTATACCATAGATAGTATATTTTATATGCATTTCAGCCAAAGGTCCACATTCCCTTCTGGGCAACTTTCCAGAGGCCACAAGTCAGTGGCGGTTGGGGCCAGAGGTAGAGGTGGGCAGAGCAACAAATGTAAATTTTACTTTTGTACAGAAGGCTAGTTCACATTGTTACACCCTCTCTATCCTTCATTCAGGCAAGGAAAAGGCCTGATCAGAGTTCAGGGACACACTCCACCGAGGCAAAAATACTCAAGGAGAGTGCAGCAAACAGGGACCAGTGAGGGATGTTGCCTTGGGAAAGTGGGTGTGGCTGGGAGGGAGTGTGGCCAGGTAGAGAGACTAGATGCAGGGGTGGCCAACTCCCAAGAGACTGCGATCTACTCACAGTTAAAAACTGGCAGTGATCTACCCCATTTTGGGGGGTTGGGTCAAAGTTGCTGAGTTTTTTCAGGGAGGAGGTAAAATGTTGAGCTGTTTTTTAGGGGAGCCACAGTTGTTCAGCTTCTTTGTGGGGAGCCAGTGATCTACCACAGACGTCCAGTGATCTACTAGTAGATCACGATCTACCTGTTGGACATGCCTGGACTAGAGGACTGCTTTTAACAACAACAACAACAACAACGTTATTTATACCCTGCCCATCTGGCTGGGTTTCCCCAGCCACACTGGGCGGCTTCCAGCAAAATATTAAAATACAATAATTCATCAAATATTAAAAGCTTCCCTAAACAGGGCTGCCTTCCGATGTCTTCTGAAAGTCAGATAATTGTTTATTTGTTTGACATCTGAGGGGGGGGGGAACGTTCCACAGGGCAGGCATCACTACCGAGAAGGCCCTCTGCCTGGTTCCCTGTAACTTTGCTTCTCGCAGTGAGGGACCTGCCAGAAGGCCCTTGGCGCTGGACCTCAGTGTCCGGGCAGAACAATGGGGGTGGAGACGCTCCTGGCCCCTGGACCTGAGGTTCCTCATCCCTGACTTGGCGGCTTTGAGATGGCAAGTATCTAAATATTCAAAATTATTTCTAACATGTTAAGGAACTGCTAATGACTACTATTGAACATATATATTGAAGCATATGAAGGGTAAAAGATTGTGTACCATGGTATCAATGGGCATGGTGCTTTAGAGCAGTTTAAGCAAAAAAAAGTTTCTGCCCTGTTTCTGGCTGTTAACCAGAAGGTTGGTGGCTCAAGCCTACCCAGGGGCAACTGGGCAGGATTCCTGCATAGCAGGACATTGGACTAGATGACCCTTGGGATCCCTTTCATGTCGGAAAACTGTCTGGATGCAGCCTGCATTTGCAAGCTGTGGGTGGCTTTTCAGAGACAGAGAGGCAGCAGGAGACCTGAATGAATCCTTGCAGTATATATAGGTAGGTTGCATTGCAGGATAGACTTGCATTGAAAGGTTTGCACTTTTTCTAGGCAAAAGACACCTTGGAAAACATCTGTTCTTCCATGGGTTTGGAATCTGGCTGTCCTATCCCAGCCTTAATTCTAAACACTTTGCATTTGTCATATTCATGGCAATTAGTCACTAACATGTGCAGCCTTTATTAAGTCCTGGAGTTGGGTAAATGCTCTTGATGCTCAAGCATGGTTTCAGTTTCACGGTCTTGAATGAAAGTCTTTCAGAATACTTCTCACAGGGAAAGTTGGTAGTTAAAATAGTGGAATTGAGCCTTGAAAATATTGGAAATAATCCATGCTTTCATCAGTTCACCTCTTAGGTTTTCTGGGTTCTCTTCCTGGTCTGCTCTGCTACTGTTTTACCAGGAGGCCTGGCAGGTAGGTGCATTTGGAAAGTCTGCAGTATCTGGGTGTGTTCACTGTGGGAAAAGCTCTCATGACATTGTGTGCTGGAGGAAGAATGAGTTAACAAAGCTGAAGTAGCTTTTTGAAATAAAGGTGTTGGTGAATATGGTAACTTCTGCAAGGGATCTGGTGGACGAAATGCTGTAAGCTTTAAAATATCACTGTTTGAGCTCTCTAGGGACTAGTATTTCCTTGCTCTTTATAAGATTTTTGTATACATTAAAGATGGGGAGATAAGATGCACTATAAACTTAAACTCCACTGTCCCTGGGCAGGATAATTCCTGTTCTTCACCATCCTTCTCTTATTTCACTCATTGGCTAAAATCACTGACAGGCGGGAACAGCCAGGCTGCCTCATTTCACAGAAATTTCTTAGAACAATGCCTGCACATTTTGCTTTATAACTTTCTAAGAGGGTTAGGTGCTTTTTTTTATTTTTAATGAAAGCTCCAAGCCTGGAGCCCCCAGCAAAGGTCTTCATGGGCACCAGGTTGGCAACCCCAGTTTTAAGTGGAGATGCTGCCAGAGATTGAACATGGGACCTTCTGAACTCCCAATCCTTCTGCCCTTTAACCCTCCCATGAGCTTCTTCCCCAGTTCCCCTGAGCTCTGCTGCTCCATTCTTTGCCCCTTGCCTGCTCTGTTGCCCTCCATCATATCCAGGCGTAATATAGCCTGAATGGCTCAGTTGGTTAGAGTGTGGCGCTGATAGCACCAAGGTTGCAGGTTCGATCCCCATATGGGACAGCTGCATATTCCTACATTGCTGCATATTCCTGCATCGCAGGGGATTGGACTAGATGATCCTCAGGGTACCTTCCAGCTCTACAATTCTTTGATTCTATGAAACAATGGAAGCATTACCATGGGAAAAAAGCTTTCATGCATTTGGCTTGTGTCATAGTTAATAAATTTGAATCAAGGCTGTGGAGGTTCTTAGCTTCCCACTTAACTCTGTGGGTGAGAAGTGCTTTTCTACAACTTGGAGATGTCTTGTTGATGATGTGAAGAAAGTGGACAATAACTTACTTTTGGAATTATCTCTAGCAGTTGTTTTTCCTCACATTGCTTGTCCCAACATGGGATGTCCTCTTATTTGGCAAGCAAATCTGTAAAAATTGAAAGTACTCAATTTCCCCTCCTACTCTGGCTAGATAAAGGAATTTGTTCCAGCTACCTTCCAGAAACCTAGTACTTCTGGGTCAGTGCCTGGGTGGGAGGCTGCCTGGGAACTCTGCTCCTTTAAGTTCCACAGTGGATAGACAGTAAGCTTAGAAACACAAGAAGTATAGTTGTGGCCTAAAATATGTATTTATTTCATAATACTTGTATACTGCTTGATTGCAATGAAACTTGCAATGAAAATAAATAGGTAAATAAACCCAACTTTGATGTAGCATCCCCACATGGTCACCTGAGTCATGCTGTATTCATACAGGTGACTAGGTCAGTGGCCGTTGAAAGCTTACACTTGTTAAATATTTGTGGTGCTCTGAATTATTGTTGGAGCAGGCCTAGGGAGAAATCTTAGGCATTTGGAAGCTTGGCGCAGACTCCTAGAGGCTAGGTATCGTTACCAGTTCTGCGTATTCTATATCAATAAGGAATGCAAGCACAAGGTGACCTGTTGTATAATCCTGTGCTAATCACATGCGTTTAAAGTTCAATCCTTAGATTTCATTAGAATGTAGTTTCAACTATGCCTTTGATTTGCACTCTTGGTCCAAAACCTCAATATTTGTATTGGGTCTAGTGTTAGCATACATTGTTAGAGTAGCTCCTCTCAAATTAATCAAGAAGACTGACTCAAGTCCATTAATTTCAATAGGTCTCCTCTACATAGAACTTAGTTGGATGCCACCCATTTGAGTCCTTGTATTTTATAAAATAGAATTGTATATTCTCCTTCCCAAGATGACACAAAGCAGCACCCAACAAATACTTAGCTTGAAGGCTTGCAACAATGGCTGTAGCTAGCCAAGGGAAACATGATTGGCAAAGATAATTAAGGCAACAAAGGAAATCTGATGGCTTTTGCTGGAGTTATGGACAGGGAGGATGCAGCCCTGTGGAGCATCTCAAGTTCCTGAGCTTTAAGTGGCCCAGGAGAGAAGCAGCCTGGAGAAACGGGTGATCCACACTTACACACAAACATTAAATATTACCACAAACTGCATGCACTATCTGCCTTCTCAGATTTGTAGTGGGGAAAAGTAAATGGCAATTACGGGGTTTGCCTCTGTTCACACCAATGTACGAGTATGCAGATCTCCTTATTAGTTAATGAACTGTTGCTATTAGTGAGTCACATGAAGGTGGGATGCAGTTTGATGTTTCTCTTCAATCAGTATCAAGGCTATAGTATCAAGGCTGGTTGAACTTGTGCTTCTCTAGCAATGAGGCTGTGTTTTTAGGGATGTGGAATGGTTTTCATTTGAAAACTATGGTGTGGACTTCCTAAAATGTAAGAAAAGGCCACCAACAATTTCCCAGGCATTCCTGGTTGGCTCTTTTAAGCTACCAAACACCAAGACACACACCCCTGCTTCGCAAGAGCAGCTATTGTGATCTGATTTCATTACAGAATAGATGTGAGATTTGCAAGCTGTTCTGGTACCCTGCATGAGTTGTGTAGCTTCACTCTTCACTCTTGGTAGAAGCACAGTTAGACCTGCAATTGTAAATAAGTGCAGTATAAAATGGGCAGTAAAATTCCTTGTATAGGACGAATCTCACTTAGGGAATCTTAAATGTTGCTTGGTTTTTATTTTCTACCTCTCCTGGATTTCAGATCATTTATTTAAGCAATGATGTATGTGGGGTACATTGATGTTTCAGAAGCACCAGCGTTTCTCTTCTTGCTCACTGCATGCATTCTGTAAAAAAATATTAAATTAAATTTCACAGGGTGGCTGGTCATGGGGCAAATCTGTTTTACACTGAAGTGTCATTTCAGGCTAAAGAGAATGTTCAAGAGTGGAGTGCAAAGATGTGCATGGCAACTCTGTTCACTGTATTAAGATGACCACTTTTGATTAGAATTGTTTGATTTAAATTGTAGAGCCTACTTTACAATCTCATTTATGCTAGCTCTTGATTCTTTGTGGAAATAGTTCCCTCATCCTTCTGTATGTGAGGGACAAGTGAGTAGTAGTACTTAGTTGGATACAACTCCTTGGTTGCTACACTGGGATAGTCTAGTTAGTCCTGATAATCTACTATGGCTTTTTGAAGGAATCCTTAAATATAAATTTTGTACAGAGAGGCTATTTGTGGCTAAGTAGATAAATAGATTCAGTTTACAAAAAGAACCAGCTAGAAAGAGCATCCAGTAAGCTCTCTGATTCAAGTAACCTCTCTGTGGGTGTTTAAAATAATGAATTCTCAGGTGTTCCTTTCCTCTCTATAAGGAGACTAGGGAATACTTCAATGAAGAGAAGTTTGTAATAGGCTAAGCAAAGCCAGAAGATGTTCAGCCACCTGTGAGTAAAAGGTACGTATGTTAGGGGCAGCTATGTTAGGTCTGTAGCTATCTTGGTAGTGAAGCTGTGTGACTCTGTTAGCAGTCTAAAAAAGTCTACAGGCAGCTATTATACTGTTAGTTGGCTACTGTTAAGGGATATAGTGCCTTGTAAAATAGCTGTTTATTTGGTTGCCTGAGGTGTTAAAAGTTGCTTGCCTGTGGCTGGACTGTGAGAAGCTTTTGAAAAAGTTGATCTCTCATGTAGTTTATAAGTGCCTACCATAGAGATATTTAGATGGTCAAGCTAGTAAATGTTATGGATTATTTGCAAGGCTGCTACAGTTGATACAGGCCAAAAACTAAATGTGCAGAGTAGAATCTAGACTGGAGTAAAATGTAGAGTGCAGCACCTATGCTGTGGATCAACTCTTTTAAAAATAAGTGCAGAACAGTGCAGAACACTTTTGTTTGGAAAGAACAGTGGTGGTGGAAGTCTGTGCCATCACTGTGGAAATGGAAGTTGGAGCAGTGGTGACAGAGAAAATGTTTACCATTTTGTCTGCAAAATATCATTACAGCTTGGATGTGACTGTTCATCCTGTCTCTGATAGGCAGATGCTAGCAGGCTGTGGTGAGTGACTGCTCATGTTCTTGTTACCTTCTGTGCAGCCTGGGTCTTCAAAGCATTGAGTGCTATAGTATTCCTGGGGCTGTTACTGATTGTTCAGAAGCGTTAAGTGTTCAGAATAAAAAACTGTTGCACTGTTAGTGTTTTTCCCCTAAAGGGGTTACCTCACAACTGTGGATCCCAAGTGTCCCTTGCAACTTTGGGTTTTGCAAGAGGCTAATATGCTCCCCATCACCACCACTTGCAGATTATTTGTGCTGGATTTGAGCAGGGACGGGGAACCTGGGATGCTATAGATGTTGTTGGACTTCGTCTTCCATCAACCCCACACTGCACTGACAGTGGTCAGGAATGATGGGACTTTTATAGTCCAATGACATCTGGATGGCCAAAATTCCCCCATTCCTCAAATTGTGATAACATTTATGGAAGGCTGTGAGTATGGTAATCAGAGAAAAATATTTCAGCATTTTAGGAGTAAAAATGACTTTTAAGTTCAAACTCTTGTAATCTGTGTTTGAAACTTTATCTAGGAACATATGTGAGCAGAACTGGATTCAGTCACCTTGAGATTTTGTAGTTCTTTACCTTAAGTCTGCTGCACTATTAAACATATACAGTGGTACCTCGGGTTACATATGCTTCATGTTACAGACTCCGCTAACTTCAGAAATAGTACCTCGGGTTAAGAACTTTGCTTCAGGATGAGAACAGAAATTGTGATCTGGCGGTGCGGCGGCAGCTGGAGGCCCCATTAGCTAAAGTGGTGCTTCAGGTTAAGAACAGTTTCAGGTTAAGAACAGACCTTTGGAATGAATTAAGTACTTAACCTGAGGTACCACTGTAATTTGGGAAATTGGTGGTAATGGCTTAGTGCAGTGGTTCCCAGTTAGGGGTCTGGGGACCCCTGGTGGTCTGCAGAATACATCCAAGGGGTCCGCGGCCACATCCCTTGCCTCTCCCCCAACTAATTTTTTTGTCATTTTTGCATGGTAATATCACAAATTTTATGGTCTGTTTTACCACTGTGTGATTTTGCAATATATTGGCCAAAATCTGTTTTGAAATCACACCGCAGTAGTGATTTTGATCTGGCAATTCGCAGCAATATATCGCTCCTTGCACGAGGGAGAGCAGAGCAACTGATTTCAAGGCACTGCCCATATTACACGAGGATCTCAGCCGATAACGCTGCTGATCTGAGCTTCCTTTCCCCACGCTGAGGGAAAACAGGGCAGCTGATCACAGAGATGCAGTGTGGGGGATCTGTGGAGTCCGTGGTTCCAGGCACGATTTTGAGAGCGGGCGCAAACAGGCACCCCACTGCAGGCTCCTTCATCAGAGTCTGGCTCTGTGGCAGAAGTCATTGTGCCTTGCCCAGGACCGGTACGAGGAGCAGACTGCGATGTCGGCTTTACTCATTGGTATATCGCTGGTGAAACTGCTACTGCTCCTGAGTCCCTCTGCTAGCAGCGTCCGCTGGAGGGAGCCCAAAGTTCCTTCCTCCAGCAGGCGCTGCTAGCAGAGGGACTTGGGAGCAGCAGCAGTTTTACCAGCAGTAGATCGCTGAGTAAACCCGCCATCCCACTCATATGATGGAGAGGGGAAACAAGCTGTATTGGTGAGGCACCAATACAGCTTGTTCCTCCCTCTGCATCTTTAAACTGCTAGACTGAAGAATGTTCAGCTGCCCTTGCCTCAGTCACGCATTTAAGGAGCCTCCAGTCCGTTGCTGGCTCCCACAAGTTGGCAGCTCTGTGAAACTGCTCACCTGAGGGGAGCACAATTGCCGCTCTCTGCAATGAGCAGTTAAAGGAGCCCCGAAGCTCCAGGGCTGTCTCAGCTGGGGGGGGGGGGCGTTCCCTCCCCCGGGCTGAGCAGCGCAAACAAGCTGCATTGTTCCAGGCCATGAGCCTGGGTGAAACTGCCTCAGCTCTTGAGGTGAGAGCTGAGGAAGTTTCACCTGGTGTCTTGCAGGTAGAGGCCAATGCATATTGTTTTTTCAGCATTGTGGTATATCACCAAACTGCGATGTTTGGCTGGCGATACACCGCAGTGTTGAAAAGCTGATATTCCCCAGCTCTACCACCTGATCCCCATGACTTCTCCTCTCATCCCTGTGCCTGATCTCCAATTTCAGACATTGTGATATTTTGGAATATTGTGATGTTTAGCTGCTGATTTATAATAATAATGAAAACCAGACATCGCTTGGCCCTAGTCTGTTTTTTAGTATACCTAAAATCCTTGGCTTATTAGGGGCTACCCCACATTTTGTTGAAAACACTGCTTTGTAGAGGTAACTACCATAGAGTTATCAAAATCTTCAAAAGTAGATTGTCTGTGGCTTGACTTTTGAAAAATAGGGGGTCCTCAGTAATTGGCTAATTGGGAACCACTGACGCAGTATGTGATAACATCCTCTCTCTTTTTTTTCTAGTGCCACCATGGCAACCGCACCTTACAACTATTCCTACATCTTTAAGTACATCATTATTGGTAAGTATAAATATAAACCAGGTCTTTGTATGTATCATTTGTTTTACTTGGTGGGTAAGTTTTTGTTAGAGGGTTGAACTACTGTTAGCATGCTTTGGTGTTCTGATAGGCCAGTAATCTCTCTGTACTTCCTTTCCAAAAGAGCAGTAAGGAGGCAGTATGAAAAGAATTGCTATATCTATTTAGAACTACAGATAAGAAAACTGTAGCTTGCAACCTTTGCTTAAAAATGGAAGCAGCTCAGTCTTCTTTTGTTGCTTTAAAAATTGTATTCCTTGCATTAATTTTGTATTTTTTACTTTGAAATATCTGTTGTAATACTTACTGGATTGTTGAAATTTTTATTACTTTTGTATTTCCTTTAAAAATTGTTTTGAATTGCTGATATGCTCTTGGTATCACTGTCTTGCTGATTGAAGGAAGAACGAAGTCTCAGCTTCACGGGGTGGGTGGTGGTGGAAATCAAATGATAGTCCTTGTGGAACAAAGCATTTGTGAAGAAAATTTCCAACCCGCATTGGATTCCAGGAGAAGAAACAATGATAATACATATATTGCTATTATTGATTTGATTTCTCACTGATCCTTCACCATCAGGGCGGGTTACAAAAATAGATTATTACAACTGGTTAAAACAATTTTGAATTAGAAAAATAGGACAAGTCCTAAAAAATATCTTTGATGTCAAATGCCAGGGTAAAGACATCTGCCAGCATATGGCAGAAGCTGTATCATGATGGTGCTGGATGTGCTTTTACTTGGAGGGAATTCCTCAATTTAGGGGCAGTCGCAGAAAAAGCCTGCCTTGGGCCACTACTCCCCATACTTTCTGAGGGTGGTAGAGCTACCAAGAAGACCCTCTCTGCCTAGCTTAACACCCAAGAGGATCTAGAGGAAAGGGGTTGGTCTTTCAGGCGTTTGTGGCCTAAGTCATTTAAACACCAATGTGAGCACCTTGAATTGGGCCCTGAAATTAACTGGCGACCAGTTAACTATGAAATGCCCAGTGTATTTCAGTTAATGACAGCCGCCTTCAAAGATACAGAGTTAAGCAATACTAAGTTCATGGCTGTGATTGGTTGTTTTAAACTGCTCTGAGGGGCTTAGCCTGCAGAAGCAGGACTGTAGGCTATGCAGCCTCTGCAAAGCTCACTGTAAACTTCATTTGGGGATATGCCATGTTGGGCAAGGAATTCCTGTTGCACAAAGCTTTTTCTCACAGTGCACCTGTAAAAGCACCTGTAAAACTTCATGCTTGATAGTCATGAAGTGGAGACTGAGAAGGTTGCTCCGGGCCATTTCCCTTCATTTAGTTGCTGTGGCTTCTTGTGCTGTGATTTGCTCAGTGCTTGGCACACATGACCCATTGGCCTACAAATAGTCATATGGTGGTATAAAGCAGGGGAGAGTTTATAGTTGACATTGTATATGTCATTGGGCCCTAAACTTGCAACATGGCTTATGTGCTGTTTACACCAAGCCTTAAATATTTTGTTCATTCTTCATGCTAGACTTGGCTTAGGTTACTTCTGAGTGAGGAAGAACTAAAGTGTCTGTGTACTAGTTGTTGGACTACTCGCTGCTATTCTTAAAGTAGCTGATCTTGTATTAATGTTTAGCAAGCCAGTCTTAGACTTGGGAGAGGCCTAGGTTCAGCTCCCGTCCTGGTTGTAAGCTCTCTGTGTGACTCTGGGTTTCTCCCTCTTCAACTCAACTCTGACAGCAGAGTGGCAGTCAGGATGAAAATGGATGAGTGTTCATAGCCTTGAACTCTTTGGAGGAAGTGCAGGATAATAAAAAAACCCTCTGTCTTATAAAATGTGGAAGGAATGGAGGGGAGAAACATTTGCACTAGATGCTGAGGTTAATAGTTCTAGTGCTGTCTGTTGCAGTGCTGTAGCAGTGCTTTCCGTTTCATTTTTTAAAATTTACTTTTATAATTCTTACTTGTGAAGTGTTACAAGCAACTGGTGCACAGAGATTATTCATCAGTAGACTGTAGAACACAGAGCTGGCCCTTCAATAATGTGAGGTGAGGCCCCTGCCTTGGATGGCACTTGAGAGAAGTGGTTTTGAAGAGTCACAGCTGCAGCCACTGCCCTGCTGCTGCTTTTTACATGGTGGGGTTGCCATAGTTGCTGTATAAAGTTGCAGCAAGGCAGGGGCTTCTCTTCGTCCTCTTCCTCTTCCAAGTGCCACCAAGGCCTTTCTGGACGGCCATGGCGAACAGGCTTGCTACTTTCATAACTTATGTATGAGAGCAGCTAGCCTGTTCACTGAGCACCTGGAAATCAGCAAGCTACTGCTCCGTTATTGCCGCTGCATTACACAGCGACTATGAGGACCCACCTTGTGGAGCAGTGTCTTCCACCTTGCCTCCTCCTCCTCCTCCTCCTCCTCCTCCCTTACCCACCCATTTCTACACTCTCTTGACTTTCCTCTGCCCACCCCTCCAGCCCATTCCCTTAATTTTTGGCTTGGTTGCTGCCTCCATTGGATTGCATATTTCAAATGTTGCTGGGCTACGTATTTACTTGAGTCTAAAGCATACCTTTGCCAAATTACATTGTGAAAATTAGGATGCGCATTAGATTCGATGGTGCATTAGACTCAAGTAATTACAACAGTGCATAGTGATGATCCTGATTTACCTACTCAGAAGTAGATCTGGGACTTTCTCTGCAATTAAGTGGGCTGTGTAACCCACTGAGTTAGTGTGTGGGGATGGGAAATAACTGTTACTGTTTTCCTCAGCTCCTGGGGAGGTTTCTATTGAGCACCCTAAAGCAAGGCAGAGGGGGATAGTAAGCAAACCCCTCTCTCCCTCAGTGAAAGCGCCACGAGGGAAAAGCCCCCCATACCCTTTTTGTCAGCGAGCCGATCCAAAGCGTGGTTCCCACCTGCCTCAGCTCCTCTACACAGGTGGGGCCCAGCACCTTCCACACTGCGAGAGAGAGAAAGGCGAGCTGCCACTGTGGGGCCTGTTTTCTTGGTGCATGCCTGCTCTCCTGCTTTGCACTGCCACACTCCAGGGCCCTTCTGCGGGATCAGCTGAGTCAGCCTGGCAGCTTCCTCTGTTAGAGGGAAGCGGAAGTGGACGCTGTTGCGCAGGAGGCTGCAGTGAATCCCACTGGGTAGGGCAGGGCGACTTTGCTGTGTGGTTTCCTGAGGGGTCCAGGCTGTGGTTGGTGATGGAGAAGCAGAGGAGGAGGAAGAGAAGGCGGGCTTCTGGGCAGGTAAGGTGGCCGGCGGGAGAGCGTGCCAGCCACATGTCTAGTCCTCAGCGTGCCCAGGCGGTGAAGGAGCCTCTGGGTCACAGGGGTGGCAGGATGGGGGCTGTAAAAAAGGAGGCACCCCCTCTCTGCAAGTCAATATAGTTTTGGCGGTCAGTAGATCTGGGCAATATTTACTTGAGTCTAATGCACACATTTTTTTGCCAAATTACGTTTAGGACACACATTAGATTTGATGGTGCATTCAATACAGTATTTATTGGATTTATGCTTCACCTTTTTATCCCATGAGCTCAAGGTGGTGTACACAGATTCTCCTCTTCCTCATATAATCCTCACAACCGTCCTGTGAAGTAGGTTTAGGGGTGGGGGAGGAGGAGACGGAGAGAAGAGAGAGAGACAGGCCCAAGGCCACCCATTGAGCTTCATGTCTGAGTGGGGGTTTGAATTCTGCTCTCCCAGGACCTAGTCCATCACTCTGGCCACTATATCACACTGGCTGTTCAGTGTCATATCATCCCTGACGATTGATCATGCTGGCTGAGGGCTGGTGAGTGCTTGGTGTTGTACAAACGCGCTATACCGATGTGGAAAATGTCCTAGTAAGGCATTCGGGAGGATGCATGTTTAGGTGATCCTCAGGTGCCAAAATGTTTTAGGCCGGCCCTGTGTGAATGACACATTATTGCACAGTCATCTTCTGTGATACTAAGTTTCAAGCACAGTGATAATAGTACATGGCTTGTTACTAAGACTTGTTTCTTTCTTTTCTCCCCCCCCTCCCTCCGCCCTGTCCCGTAGGGGACATGGGTGTAGGAAAGTCTTGCTTGCTCCACCAGTTTACAGAAAAGAAATGTAAGTCTCTTCACATATTGACCTTCAAGTGATTTTAGATGGTAATCCACAGCATGCCTCTTCTCTCTCCTCCTTACACAAGTTGATTTGGGCTTTTCTTGTGTCTTTGATCTGCCTGGCTCTATTTGTGAGAGTGGTCCAGCATGGCTGAGGCAAAGACACTTAGCAAAATTGTTTAATGTGCCACTATTACAGTTGGACACTATTTTCAGTCTCTGTCTTAACTGGGGTTGGAAGAGCATCATGGGTTGACAAAGCTTCTACATTCCCTTGAGGCCACATGACTTCCTTATGTGCCTTGTGCTGGTTTACTTAAGATTGACTGCCTGGTCAGCAGTTAGGTCCAGTATTACTTTTCCCAGCTTAGGCGTAGGTTTTAACTGGACTGTAAGTTACCAAAGCCCTTAAAGTCCAGCTATCTTTCTATCTTTGACCATAATTTTTAAAAACAAGGCATACCTTAAATTTGTTTAAGAACAAAACAGATAACGGAGGTCAAGAGCTAGTGTGGTTTTTGGCAGGACAGTTGTCTCTTCCTCATTCCTGATGAGAAAATGAAACTGAACAGCTTGGGGATGGGATAGTGTTATATAGAAAAAAGATAATAATTTTGTTAATGAAGTACAGAACTTTATAGCAGTTAGATTTCCTTTTTCTTTTTATTGGGATGGGTGAGATGAAATCCGAAGTTAATATTAAGCAGGTTTTCAGTTTTACATGCACATGCTCAGTGTTGCTATTGAGAGCTCTAAATGGAAGTACTGGTCGCCTGACTCTCTCTCTGTCTCTCTCTCTCCTTTTTGGCAACAGTTATGGCAGATTGTCCCCATACAATTGGTGTTGAGTTTGGTACAAGAATAATTGAAGTTAGTGGCCAAAAAATTAAGCTGCAGATCTGGGATACAGCAGGACAGGAGAGATTCAGGGCTGTTACACGGAGCTACTACAGAGGAGCAGCAGGCGCTCTTATGGTCTACGATATTACTAGGTAAGAGGCCTTCTTGTGCTATAGACACCCTTAGTACATTCTTATGTTACCTACAGCAGTCATACATCAGCTGCTGAGGTTAAACTCACTACTTTCCTAGCTCTTAATAGGACTAGAATGACACTCCTGGATCAGTTGGGGGCTCCTTCTCATCAATATCTTTGCTCTCAAAAAACGGCCAGTCAGATGTCTCTGGGAAGCCTACAAGCAGGTCATGAACACAGTGGCCCTCTGTCATTATTGTCCCAGCAATATTTCCCAGAATCCCAGGAATTTCGGCTCTGGACATGAAGGTGCCATCTCCACTGTGAAAGACCTGCTTCCATAAATTTAGCTAATTCATTTCAAAACTAGCAGCAGTCACTACATTTTATGGAAGTGAATTCCAGAGGTTAGCTATGCACAAAGTAGGGTATTTATTCTCTTGTCTGCTGGAATCTACTGTTTGTTGCTTTAGGTGACCCCAAGTTCTAGTACTGCAGTAGAAAGGTGCTGGTGGTGGAATGGCCTTTTCTGCCGACTTTATCAACATAATGCACCAAGGCTTTGTTTGTTTGTTTGTTTTTGCTGATATTTCTGCAAGGGGCACGTGACTCAAAACAGATTTTAAAAGCATGGTCACTTTTTAGAAAAACAAACAAACCTAATTAGATCTTTTCAGGATGATATAAGTGTCAAGTCATTATCTTGATTTTAAGAGGAACTTTAGCCAAGGTTGCGGCTTTAACAGCTGCTCCTTTCTTAGCCCTTAATGTTATGTAATACCTGTAAACACTTCTCTTTTTTTGGCCTTGCCCAGGAACAACAGTCTGGAAAAGGAAGAGCAATATTCTTAAAAGTCAAGTATCTGGGGTTGTTGAGTTTCTGGGCTTTGGTAGCTTGCCAAAGGTTCTTTGCTAGTAAGTGGGACAGAGACACATTGGCTCATCAGGAGCATCTGGTTTTGGGAATACATCACTATCTCCTGTGCATCTAACTTCCTGTATGGTGTCATGGAACTGAACTGAGTGAAGAATGCCCCATGGAAAAAATATGACTATTTTAGTCCTATTTTAGTCTATTTTAAATAGGACATGAAGCCTGTTGCTAAGTGCAAGAAGTTGGGAGTACTTGTCAGCTCCATGTTGGGCTAATAAATAAATAAATTATGGAGTCTAGTTATGGGATTGATATTTTACTGCCTTTATAGTAGGGTGAATTGAAACCAGAGGTTTCTAAACTAAGTTTAACTATTCTAATTTTGGAAAAGATACAGAGCAAGCTTGGGAATGAGGCACATTGGTTAGTCCTACAAAAGAAGAGAATGGTTTTTCAGATCATTGCAAACCCTAGCAAACAATACTTCACCATTCTGTATCTTAGGCATATGTGTATGTTCCCCAGACGCACAAGATCAGTGTTCTCCCCGACCCCACCCTCCAGACAATAGCTCTTTAAGAGGAGATTTTTGCACCATTTTGTCTTAACAGATTTCCCCTTGAAAATCAGGGAAATGAAAAACAAGCAAGAAATTCTGTTAACAGCTCAATTCAATTGCCTAAATTGGAAGTAACATGTTCCTGTTGTGTCCAGTACCATCCTCAAAGTGTAATAGGAAATAAACTGACATATTATGCTGGTGTGACCCTATAAGTACTTAGTTTTGCCCTTTCTGTCTTCTGCAGAAGAAGCACGTATAACCATCTAAGCAGCTGGCTGACAGATGCAAGGAACCTAACTAATCCAAATACTGTGAGTTTGGCTGTTTAAAAATGGTTGCATTAAATGTAGGGCTGTCAAACACCCTTTGAACATCTGCCTTTTTGTTGTTTACATTTAAAATCAAACAAATATGACATATTTTGATATCTTTGGGAGATGTTGAGAGTGTGATAAGTAGCAATTTGTTGATAAAGACACAAAGTTACCACTTAAACTACTACAGTACTTGCCAAATGGAAAAGCTACCTTTTAATTTATTTTTTATTTCCCATTACATCAATGCATCAAAATGGGGTTGGTTTGAAATCAAGGGTGCCATTAACGCTCATCCACACTGAACTGGCTTTAAATTTGCTACCAGTGATTAAATGGTTAAAGCGAAGGTCGTGGCTTTGATTAAAAGGCCTTGTCCCAAAGCATGAAATCAGAACACAAGACTAAATTGCCACCCTGTTGCATAAGCTGCTGCTGGTTGTCATCTTATGAAGTATAATTCCCCCAAAATTATAAATGAACATAATTGCTGCCAGAAGGAGTACAGTGTGAAGGTAATGGCAAGAGTCATTAAGGAGAAAAAGAAAGAAAAATAGTTGGAAAGAGCCAACCAGGGTGGATATGATTTAAATCAAATCGATTTAAATCACTACTGTAGTCAGTAAGACTTGATTTAAACCTTTTTTTTTTTTACAGAAAGACATAGGATTTGGTTTGGGGTGTTTTTTTTTGAGGCTAAATACCACCCTATCTCTGCCGTTGAAGTTGGTTTCCTTCCACCCTGTGTAGCATCAAGTGATTTGAATACATCTGTTCCTGATTTGGTTCTGTTCTCCACAGAAGTTAGTTCTAGCTAGCCAGGTTCACTTCCTCATTAGTGTGACTATTTTATTGCATAATAGCCTTTCTTGAATCTGAATGGCCCTGCAGTAATAAGAAGTTGAAGTGTCACTTAACATTCACACTTGAAGTTCTGGCAGCATTTGATTTTGGTTTTCCTGATCTGTATAGCCTTGCATAAAAGGATTATCTTTACCAGCTCTACTCAGGCATGTCACAGGAGGGCTAAAGTGGCAGCTGCAGGATGCTGGAGCCTAGGGAGTAGGACTAGCATGCAGCTGTTGACTTCTTGCCTTCAACAGGCACTGCCAGTTTATCAGCAATCTTTTTGTGCCTTATTCCGGATGCAGGTGATAATCCTTATAGGAAATAAAGCGGATCTGGAAGCGCAGAGGGATGTGACATATGAAGAAGCCAAACAGTTTGCTGAAGAGAATGGTGGGTGTTGCTACTCCAGTGCTGTGAGTGTATAGGTTGGATTCTAGGCCATGGTAACTCCCAGAAGCCGTTTTGGGGAGCGGGGAGACCTCAGCGATTCAGGGCTTGAGTTGTCTCACTTACAGATCTGGTTATGCAAACTACTGACCCTGGAGTTCTTTGGGGACTCTTACTTGTGAGGTTTGGTATGGGGCACTTGCTATTCCTGCCTATGCTAAAGTTGTATTTTGTTTCTAAACAGGATTGCTGTTTCTTGAAGCGAGTGCTAAAACGTAAGTACTGAGTCTTGATTTCTTGAAACCGAAATTGCTTATGTGGATTCATCCATAATCTGCTTTGAGGGGTACTTTGATTTTTAGTCTCTGTAGCTTGTGCAATTATACCCCCTTGGTATCTTCCCAATCTTGCTGTCACTACTTGCTCTTTTCCTGGAAAAGCATTAGGTATTGCTTACCCCTTTCTTCAGTGTAATTCTTCACTCAGTTGTTAATTAACTGTCTACTTCCTCACATTAGTTGCTGTGTTCATTGCTGTCACATGTCTGACTTTTGCTCATTAGAATACTAATATACTTTATAGTGAATCCATAGAAGCTTAGCTAAGCCCCATAAGGTGGCTTTGGTGTTGGGGAAACGAGGAATCTGAGTTCTGTTCCTTGTTGACAGTAAGAAGCAATTCTGGCATGTTCAAGGGTTTGACTGACCCCAACCCTGTTGTTGCCAACCACAGCAATTCAAAAAAGATAATATAACAGCTGTGTTCAGATGTCACAAAAAACCATGGTTTATCATGATGGGAAGGAGCTAGAGTGAGCTTTGGGCTCACACATTCATCTTTTGGCATGGCCTCGAGGAAGAGAGTGGAAGTTTTTGCTTCATTTTTTTAACTGTCGTTTGTCTTTGTATCAAGCAAACTGTGCTTTATTTTAACTGCACTTTATTGAAACAAACCATCTTCAAACCATGTTTGTTTCAAACAGGGAATAGTTAATCTTAATTGCAGTTTAGAGTTTGGGTGCCGTGCTAAAACTGAGGTTTACTTTTTAAAAAGGAGGCTTTCAAATCTCCCTGTGGCTGTGCCAGAGGAGAGGAGGGAAGGAGTGTGTGAGCCATAGTTTCACTGCAATTTGCTCCATCAAGTTAAACATAATTTATCAATCATTTGATGTTTTGGGATCTTAGACTCATGAACTTTTCAGGAATTTCTGCCCTGTGAACTAGAAATTCTTGCTCTAAAGCAAGGTAGTGCATGGTGGAATTGAAGTGCTCCATGGAACAGATGCAAAAGGCAACATTGGCTACAGGAGTTTGGGGTCCTTCAGGCAGGGCATTCTCAGCTGGCTCCATTAACCTGAAGTAGGGTGTACCAACTGAGAATCCTCTTGCATCTGCTTTCCTTGCCCCATGTAAAAGTGAGAAGAGTAATCCGGGGTTAGTTGGGACATGTGGCAGGAAGGCGTGCAGGAATCCACACCATCCTGATGTCTGCTATGGACACTTGGGCTGCTGTTGCAGAATATCTGAAGCACAAAAAATGGTCATTGCAAGATGTTCCGTTGATGTTTCCATAGTGGAGGCGGCTAAAATAGATGGGTTGTGTAACCTTAATACCTATGAAATATGAATGGAAACAAGGATAGAAGCTCTGTGCTACATTGCTCCTGGATAGTTAATGGTGGGTATGTGAAATTCTTTGTGCAACAGGCTTTCTATATACATTCTAAGTTAATATTGCTGCTTTCCCTTTTATCAGAGGAGAGAATGTTGAGGATGCATTCCTAGAGGCTGCCAAGAAAATCTATCAGAACATCCAAGACGGGAGCCTGGATCTAAACGCTGCAGAATCTGGTGTACAACACAAGCCTTCTGCTCCACAGGGTGGCCGACTAACCAGTGAACCCCAGCCGCAGAGAGAAGGCTGTGGCTGCTAGTGACCTCACTTCTCGGCTCTGTTTCTGACCTTTCACCTCTGTTAGGAGCAGTGCTTTTGGCTGCTTCAGTTTCCTCTGTCCATCTTACTGGGTTTAATTAAAACTCCTGAGGCAACAGTTTAACACAGCACTAAACTGCTAAAAAATAAATAAGAGAAACTTAGATATAATCAGGTTATCAAAGGCAAGTAGAGTCATACCCTCTCCCTGCATGGTAAATCTAGAAGTCTCCCCCCACCCCAGTCCTTGTGAATAGGTGTCACCAATACATGATTTACAAAACAGAGCACTGATGGTTGGACCTCATGATTTTTATTATTATTCTTTCTCTTTCTGCAGGGCTTTGTCTCTTGTAAAATTTAACTTTACTAGCTTCAGCCTTTCCTCGCAGTCTGCAAGTGGTCTGGATCTGTCCTTTTTAGTAACAAAAAAAAGTTGATTTGCTGTGAAACAACCTACATGATTAGAGTGGGATCCTGCATAAGATTCCTTTTTTAGTGGGAAGGATTCCCTATTATGCAGTTGTTGTTGTTGGTGGCGGCGGCGGCGTGGGAGCACTCATTGCAGGAGTGTTAGCCTTCATCCATCTTGGCCTCCCACATGGCAAGTATCTATCTTGTGCTTGTGCTCTGTAGCTTGATGCCACCCACCTCTTCCTTCTCCTTACCATTTTTACCTTTTGTGGCCCTTGTTAACAGAACGTAAATATGTATAAATTTTGAAGGAACAGAGCTAACACTTTAAAAAGTACATTCTGTGTATATGATCTTAATGAAATAAAAACAAACTGATTTACTGGCACTAGAATAGGTAATATATTGGTCTGTACAGTTCAACCTAATAATGACCACATCACCCCCAGCTTTAGTAACTGCAGTTCACTGACCATTGGCTTGATTCCGTGGTGTTGGCATTTGGAGGTTGTGCTTAGGAAGCTGGTTCCTGACACAGTGCAAAAGAACACCTACCCCAGTGTAATAGTATCTGTCCTATCTTGGCACTGTCGTCAGCCTATTGCTGCTTTTGTTTAATATTCCTGGTCTTGTGCAATTGCTGGTGTGCTAATATACTTTTCCTCTCTCTTTGGGAAGACTTTTTGCATTAATCCAGCTTCATTTCCTGCCTTATTGTATAGGAAGGATGGGCTGTTGGACATCTTACACTTTTATGAAAAGATATATTCTCAACTGGACTGTCAAGCATTTTACACTCTAGGGATTTTGAACCATACCGTGGCATTTGACACTACAGTTGACATAGGCTTAATTTCTGCTCCTCCTCAGTTCTTCCTCCATGCTGTGGTTGCAAAGAACTTTGAGAGAAGTAATTCAGAGCAATTGTGTATATGCAGACCTGTCTGTCTACTTGGGTTGGAGCCACCACATATGTAAACAATCTCAACTGTACGGTAACTCTTCCATAACAACCTGCTATTTAAAAGAAAAAGAGGGCAACAAATGGGTTAAGCTTGATTGGGCTTCACTATGTTTCACTATGTTTCACTATATTGACTGCAATGCTTCAAATATAGCATAGGTTTTTTTTGTTTTTAGCCCTGTAAAGACACTAAGCAAGGCCATGTTCAACTATGTAAAAGCAAAGGGTGATAACCAGCATACTGTACAGTCAATGTTAAATAAAAGCCAAAACTGGAATGTGCAGATGATTTAAGTGTTTGGATAATGTGTACACTGTCCCTTTGTGTGTTTCCTTTTTGTTTGGCTCTGGATAGGTTTCTCTCCCCCAACCTAAGATTCTTAAAATAGATGGGTATTACAAAAGATGCAGCTTGGATTGCACCATGTGGGGTTTTTGCCCGGGGACCATGACCAGTTGATATACAATTTTAAGTTTGGGCAAAGGCAATCACTTTCTGCAGCTTGTTGGTGGTGCAATACCCCCCCCCCCTTATATCCTCCAAATTATAAGTTACAGTAGGTCTTTGTTTCTGTGACAGGACTTATTTGGGCTGCTGTACTCATTTATTGTAACAATGCTATTATCTAAATATTTGTAAATAAAGTACCTGTATCTAGATAAATGACAGTGGTCGTTCTTTGAAGATGTGCAGTCAAGAGGGTGTGGATTGTGGGTCACATGAAGCAAGTATCCCTTTTTATATGAACCCACTAGACCACAAACCTGTTGTAGTTTTGCTATATTATTCCATGTGTGAAGGTTCTAGACCCGTGTAATATTTGTCACAGAAGGTGATAGATGGCTTTATTGTATAATGTATCAAACTTAATCCTCCCTAGCCTGCTCTCTATGAATATTTATGGTAGTGTGAAAGCAAAAAACCCCGCCATCATTCTAGGTGAGCTGCTACATACCTATGTAGCTGAAGCACAATCAGCATGCTTGCCTTTAGACTTTAAAGCCTTTTGCAGAACACTTAGTTAAAGCACAGAATGTTAAGACCAACAGATGTGCTGCTTCACCATCAACCAGTCCTCAAGTCTAGTTGCAGATCTTCTTTTTTATCTAAACCTGTAGGGAAGAGCCTAAAACCTTATTGCTATAAACAGGCAACAACCAGAAAGGCTGCTAGAAAACACTCATTTATCACTAATGTACATTTCTGTGGATTAATCTTGGCTGAAAGGTAGGCTCTCCAAATAGAGGAAACTGTTAGAAAAAAATCAAGTTCCCATTTTAACAGGGGCAATCCTCACACATGGTGGAATGGTGTTGAAAATCCCACCCAATGCAGCATTACCTAGCCCTAGATTTGGAATGGTGGAAAGTACAGTTCTCCCTCTTGAGCTTTGCTTTTGAACTTTCTGGTTCTACTTGCTCTTGGATCTCGTCAGTCTTAATCATTAAAGTTCATTGGAGAATATCACTGAAGAATTGTGAAGTTGCATAATCAGTTTGATGGAAGAAAAACTGATCTTGAAAAGCACATGTTTTATTATTGTTAGGTAAAGGGGGCTCACTTCATTTTTGTAAGTGCAGCATTGCTTAAGTTTCAAGTATGCGTGGTGGATCTCAACATTCAGACCAGTAAAAAATAGCTAAGGGTTGTTTTGTATTCCACCCTTTTATTCAAATGGTAGACACCACTGAAATTGTTCTCGACGCTACAAACATGAGTCTGACCAGACTGCGGGAGGCAGCAGAAGACAGGAGTGCCTGGCGTGCTCTGGTCCATGGGGTCACGAAGAGTCGAACATGACTAAACAACAACAACAAAGTAACGTCATGTTACTTCCAATGAGTCTACTTAGAACAACCCCTAGTGAGCAAACGTCAGCTTCTGCTATGTTAATAAAGTTTATGCTAGTTTTCCACAGTAGCTCAAATGGACAACAGCCATTTGCTGTGGCAGAATCCACTGCAGTCCTGGATCACAGAATGGGAGTGGAAAGAGAGAGAAATAGAGGAGAAAGTTACTTTTTATTTTAAGAGTTTAAGCAGGAATTAGAATAAAGTACTATTTGAGGTAAACTGCAACAGAATTAAGAGCTGAGACAAAACGTGTGTAAACTGAGAAAAAGCTCTGTTGGGGGGGGGTGAGGAGGGGAAGTGAGGTGAGACAGCCAGTCTGTATAAAAGTTAAGTCACATGACCCTGCATCTTCTAAGTAGGTAGATGGAGACAACCCCCATACCTTAAATACCTCGTTCATAGTGGGGAGTAAATTGCTTCTGGTGGAAATATGGAAGCAGTTAATTGCTGCAAAATCTAGGACACATTCAAATCCCTTAGGTGGGCAACATTTTCAGAGAGCCTTGATCCCTTACAGGAGCTAGTTTCAAAAAGTCACATCCATTGCATTTGTAAAGTAGGCAACATTCCAGCTGCGCACAGGTTGATATTTCTACACAAACACACCATGCAGGCAAAGAATGCATGACACAAGGGTATCTACCCAAGGACTAGATACGTAAAGCAGCCTAGGAAGGCTGTACTTTGCTTTTTGGCCTGAGGTTTCCCATCCCTGCCTTGCAACATCCTAGATATGCATAGGAACCTGGTGGAACAACCAGTCACTAAATATTTATGTTTACAGAAAGCAGAAGAAAACGCAAGGTGTATTTTTTTGGGGGGAGGGGATATTTATTTTTGTAAAAAAAAAAATCAACAGAATACAAATTTTCACTAAAAATGCTTAAAAATCTTATGCCCATTCACCCACATATAAATAAATGCATGCACCCCTACCCCACAAACAAAAGGATGCAGACATCAATGGCTGTAACTTTCAATACTGCAAATGCTACACTCTAGCTTGCATTGCAGAAGTGCTCCATAGAAATAAAAATTCAAGTAAGTGTGCATACATAATAAAAACACCTGAGTTCACAACTAAAATGTCTAGGAATGTTAACAGGGACTTGGAAACCAATGAGGTAGTCTTCTGATCCCTTCAAAGCCAGGCTATTGGCACGGGCTGCACCAATACAGCTGCATTTTGCTGCTTACCTATAATAATAATAATAAACTTCAGTGATTACTGTAAAATATGCTTGCTGCAAATGGCAAGCAAGGTTACAATCATACCAATTTACTGATTGATTAACAAAGGATTTTCAGTTAACTTTTTAGCAGAAGTCATTTCTTAAGCATGAAAGGTGATGCTGGTCTGGCTGGAAGTAAACTGAGGTACTGTGTTGCCTCAGGTTCTGGGTAAGCTGTCACCTTCTGAACTGCTAGCAGAGCTAGGAAAAGGGGAGCTGCTTACCATGAATTAATTATTCTCTGCATCTAGGAAGGGCAGTCCAGAAGGCTGGCAAGAGCACCTCCCTCTAGGTGACAAGATAGGGTTCAATCCAACTGATGCTCTCCAGTGGAAGGGGCTACCTAGCTTCCCCCACAATGTACAGTACTAGAAAAGCAAGGTAACCCACCACATAGCTTTTATGACTATAGAAAAATAATGAATCCAACACAATGTGCAGCAGGGAGAAGTAAAGATCACTACAGCAAGGAGGCCGCTCTAGAAACAGATGAGGTCTAAAGAGATGATAATGGTCCACTAGGGAGCAGTGGGGATTATGCCACCCAGAAATGCTTTACCTTTTGGAAGATTGGTTCATTCAACATTACACACCCTGTCAAACTCTGTGAAGGGTACTGTTATAGGCTTAGGAAGACCTTTACTCCATTGGGAACTGCTGGTGTGACCTCATCCAGGGCAGAGGTGCTATAATTTAATAGTGGTCTGTATGTGGGCTTGACCAACAATGCTGGAGATAAAATCTAGGGGGGAAAGATAGTCCTGAGAGACTGAAAATGTCTTCAGGTTCTCTGACAGCTCCCTGGCATTGCTTCCACTAACACCTCAGATTAGGTGGGAGAGGTCCTCCGCCTGGTCCAACCCAGGCGCTCTTTATTCAGGGCTGATGTGCCATTGCTTGAAGGCAAAACTGCTGCCAGGAGACCATGGGCAGAATTCCATGATTTGGAGACTTTAAGGAGTCCTGCTCATCACTCAGTGGGGGTGTAATCTTAATTATGTGCTTGTAAGAACAACAGGCAGGAGACTGCAAATCTGGAGGAGCTATGGAGGAACAGTTAGATGAGGGCAATTATGTCCTCTCCTCATTTTCCTGTGGCAAGATGTGACCTTAGAGTGGTGTCTCCCCCTCCCCCTGCTTTTGTGAGCTTTTCCTGCTCCAGAACAGGGAACAGGCTTGGATCCTACTTAAGGTTCTGGAATGCCCTACAGTGGATGTAAAAGAACCTCATGCACTGCTCTCCACAGGTTACCCTACCCCAATGTGGGGCTACGCAGAGTTGTACAAAGCAGATCGAGGGCACCAGGATGGGGAAGGCTGCCATTAGCAATTAAAAACTGTAAGCATAAGTGTCCTAAATCATGAGCATGGCCTCAGTGTTTGATGCAAGATATAGGTGTGAGTTGTAACTCCCCCCCCCCGCCCCCCGAGTTACATGGAGGAAGGCTGATTACACAGATGCTAGACTTTCAAAAAAAAGTGTCATACTTAGAAATAAGAACTACATACTCCCTTGAATGAGGTGGCTAACCTGTGGCCCTCCAGGAGTTGCTGGACTTCAGTTCCCATTACGCCTGACCAATGGCTATGCCACAGACCAATGGAGGGCCACAGTCACACTGCCCTAGAAATTGTGTTTATATTTCAGTCTAAATTTTAACATTTATTGATCAATTCCACACATTCCACTGTTATCACCCCACCACTCTTACCTACTGGGATTATGCCTTGGACTGATGAATACCTGGAGATTGTGTTGAAATACCTGTTGATGTCCTGGAAGGAGATCTAGAAAACTAGAAAAGATGTCCCCATTCAATGAGCAAAAAAACTGAGAAGACAACACATTGCAAGAGCCCTTGACTTTCCTTTCTTCTGGGATATGGATAATAGCAGCATAATCCCTATGATTATTATTTTGATTATATTATTGTAAGACTTACAGCAGGCTAAAATATTTGGTAAAATATAAAAAGAAAGGATACACAAAACTTTTATTCAAGATAAGCATTCAAAGTGAATAAATTCATTGCTCAAAGTAGTACATCTCCCAGTCCCTTCCTCCTGTGTTAAACTCTGTGCTGAAAACCCTTACAAAATATAAACTGCTAACAAGGTGGTTCAGTAAAAGGATATAACTAGAAGCAAACTTGTTATAGTCTAGGCAATTGGCTCTGCAGAGAAAGCCTGTTACTGGAGAGTCTACTAAAAGGACTTGAAAGAGATCCATGGCAGTTTATTCCAAGGCAGCCATTTGGGAAGCTTTTTCTTAACCACTGTAATATGCATTTTATTTTAGCTTTGGTTATTGCAACCATCTCACAAAACAAACAGAGGGCAAGAAGAGCCAACAGCAAAGAGGTAAGGAAAAAAGCAAAATACAAACTAGAGTGATTAAGTAGAAACAAATAGGAGAGAAAGGATACTAAGGAATTTAAAGAAATGCTAAACAAAAAACTGATCAGAAACAAAAATAGGAGAAAAAGAACATATCTGCTTTGAGTGAAAGCAGGGACTGAACTAGAAGAGAAGCAGCTAAATTTTCAAGACACACACCCCTGCTTTCAGAGAATCAAGAGTGAAAAGCCTGTTTGGCTCAGTGGGCCAGATCCTTATCAGCCCTTATCAGCCCAACTTTGATAGATGGTTGGGATGTCCCTTGTGCAGTGCTTTCCCAGCGCCCAGCAGCCAGGTGATTGTTAGGGCATTTGGAAAGCACTTCGCAAGTCCTGTGCTCAGTGCTCCCCAAGTGCTGAGCATAAGACTGACAGGACTGCTTTCTGCAGGGATCAGTTCCACAGTCTATCTAGCCACATCTCCACCTGCCCCACAGCTGACATCAGATGGGGGACAGGTGGGTGTAGTTTGGGAGAAACAGTCTCAGTGAGATGAAATGTTGACGTATCAGGTTATGCATGGAGGGACACACATTTTAACACAAAGCTATCACAAAATCCTGTTAAAAACCAACATACAATTAAGCTCCAAATTTTTTAGAAAATATGCATGTGAAAAGCCAATGCATATTCAGACCACAGAGAATTAATTTCTGATATTCAAGCAAACCCAAGACATGGGGAGAAAGTTTTCTACTAGTTGCCTCCAGCCAGAAAGAACTGCTTCAACAGCTGTTCTGGGAGGGGTAAGGAGGGAAAGGAGGACACTCTGGACCCTGCCCCCAGCAGAGGAACAAGAGCCATTGGCTATTTTTTTCTGGTGTAAGCCACTGATCATCACTTGATCAAAAGGCAGGGTATACTTTAAAATAAATGAAAATAGAAAGGCTCTCTCCTACACAGAAGCAGTAAATCCAAATCAATGTGGAAACTTACCTGGTTCATTGTGAGAATTGACTCTTCGTGCAGAGAGTCAGTTAACCCTGAGGAGTTCAAGGACGGAAACTGCGAGTCGGTTGAAGTACTGCTAACTAGTTCATCCAATGCATCAACTTGCCTCTTCAGGCTATGGAGGGTGCCCTCAGTCTGCTGTTTTCCTTTAATTAACACCTCCACTTGCTTTGACATGCACTGACGAAGCTGAGCCTTAAAGAACACACTGAGTTAACTGACTGGTTTATTAGATAATTCTGTGCTATATCAATAAAGGGGTGCATAAAGGTAAAGGTAAAGGTACCCCTGACCGTTAGGTCCAGTTGCAGACGACTCATCTCACTTTACAGGCCGAGGGAGCCGATGTTTGTCCGCAGACAGTTTTTCTGGGTCATGTGGCCAGCATGACTAAGCCACTTCTGGCGAAACCAGAGCAGAGCACGGAAATGCCGTTTACCTTCCCGCTGGAGCAGTACCTATTTATCTACTTGCACTTTGACATGCTTTCAAACTGCTAAGTGGGCAGGAGCTGGGACAGAACAACAGGATCACACCCCGTCGGGGGGAAAAGGTGTACATACTATCAAGGAAAACTATGACCCCCACAATAACTGGAAATATTAGCCCCCTGCCCCACTCAAAGGCTGGGAACCTAGTACATGAACTGTTGTGGTACCTTGAGCCGATCCTCATGGTGCTGCAGCTGTTCTCGGCGTGCTTTTCCACGCCATTGTTCATCCTTGAGAGAAAAGAGAACAGATTGAAACAGGTGGCCTGATAAAAAGATTAAGGTAGGATTTGCTGGTTGGTAATCATCATATAATGAACATAGGACAGTGACATCATAAACTAGCAGGGCTATGAACACCATGCAGCTGCAGCTACTCTGCTTAAATACAGAACCCTACTTACAAGTTCCAGCAGCTCAATGAGTTCAGGATTTATTTATTTAAAACAGGTTTTAGACCTCTAGTTTTTTATTTTTAAAGAAATAGAAACAAGGACCGTAAGTGGCAGAGATCAAAGTCTAGGAGCCTGAGTGTGGGGGGAAAGCTTCCTGCGTTTGTGTTTCCAATGCAGGTGTACCACAGCAGGGAAGATGCAGGAGTTGGTTGCTTCAAACTGAGATTCATAAGACACACAATACAGGAAGAATGATTCTTGCTTGCATGCAAAATTGATGGTCTGAAGCAGCTCTGATTTTTTTAACACTGATTTTAGTAGGGTTGTGTTTACCGTGATGTGGACTTTGGAAAGGTCCAGCTTTTCATCGAAGCACAGCATTCTTCCCTCATTATTTGTGAAAGGATAATTTTCCTTCAGACTTTCCAAGTCACTCTGAGGTCTTCTTTCAATCTCAAAAGTAGTCTCCAGTTCTCCCAAAAGCTTTTGAGGGGATTGACTCAGATCCTTCAAACCGGTTCTCATTTTGTCTTTCACTTCCAGCTTAAGTGACTTCACTGTCCCTTTCATCTCTTTGTGTTGTTTCTCTAAATTCTCTTGACTCTTCATCTAAGCAATGGAACACAAGGGTGAGACAGCAGGATTTCAGAGAGGATGCTAAGGATTAACAGCCAATTAGCAAACCAGACCCAATGCAGACACCCAGCAGGCCCTATGTGATCAGCTGCAGAAATGAATAGGGCCACTGGTGGGGCTCCTAATCTGGCTAGCATTGGAGGAACTGCTGCTTATGTGAGAATAAGGTAATGGTAAAGGGACGTGGGTGGCACTGTGGTCTAAACCACAGAGCTTAGGGCTTGCCGATCAGAAGGTTGGTGGTTTGAATCCCCGCGACGGGGTGAGCTCCCGTTGCACGGTCCCTGCTCCTGCCAACCTAGCAGTTCAAAAGCACGTCAAAGTGCAAGTAGATAAATAGGTATCGCTCCAGCGGGAAGGTAAACAGCGTTTCCATGAGCTGCTCTGGTTCGCCAGAAGCAGCTTAGTCATGCTGGCCACATGACCCGGAAGCTGTCTGTGGACAAAAGCCAGCTCCCTCGGCCTATAAAGCGAGATGAGCACCAAAACCCCAGAATCGCCCACAACTGGACCTAACGGTCAGGGGTATTTTTACCTTTACCTTTTTAAGGTAATGGTAACATCACAGGTGAAATTTGTCTTTCTTCAGGCCTCCATTATCTCAAAAATTGCAACAGCTGCATCCTGTAACTGCCATCTCTATGTGACTTGGCTTGGTTGTGTTTGTGGCAATAGCCCCACAAGTAATTGTATGGAATCTGCTGAGTAACTGAACAACCTATGTTAATGGCTGGATGACATAGTAGTCAAAACTTAGCTATTTAATCATGTGGGCACAAAATTGGCCAAATGAAAACTAATTTATCAAATTACAAAGACACCCTTAGCCACTTCCATACAACCACCCTTTAAGTATTAAAAATATAGGCAAGACCTACTGCTGTACACAATTCCAGCTTGTACTGTTGGTGATGACGATTTCCTCCTTATGAGGAGTTTGATTTCTTTGGGCATGATAAAAAATGGCACATAATCCAACCAGAGTGTAAGCCAACAGAAAATATTTGAGCCCAGGCTTAATTCTCCTACTGAAATCACAGCTTGGAGCTACAGATTTTGTAGCTACATTACAATAATTTTTTATGCACATGTAACTTGTACTATTTTAACCTTGCATGTTTGAAGGCTGGCTGGTTGAAATTGTGCAAATTAAATGCATGCAAGAACAGCTTTTAAGCTCTTTGCCTTGCTTACTAGGCAATGCCTTTCAGAGTGCTGGCTTTGGAAGCCTTGGGATGGTTGTACAAGGTCTTGCAGGCACTCTGATGGCCTTGCAAGATCTTGTGAGAGCATCCCAGAGCCAGTGTGCTGGGTGGGCCTTCTCAGGTAAAGAAAGAGAGAATTTAAAAGCTCTTTGGAAGGTTAGGGATGCACATGAGGGTGTGGCTCCAAGGGTTTGAGTATGTGTGTTTTCATGTATACATAGAACCCTTGGAACCAAACCTCTGTATGTGTAAAAGAAGCCATTGCTCTTGAGTTATAAAGTGAGCAATGTTAGAAGTCAAGCCTGCCTTGAAACTGTTCTTGTGGAAGCATTCAAAATGATCTTAGCTGGATCAAATTCCATCTAGTCTAGCAACCTGCTTCCTTCCCATAGGAAATCCCCAAGCAGAGCATGAAAGTAAATAGATGTCCTGTGTTGTTTGTTCTCAGCGATTTGCTGCCTCTGAACATGGATGGCTGATAGCTTTTTCCTGGAGGAGGTGAGGTCTATCAAAGGCTATCTAATTCTGTAGTCATAAACACATCTTATGGCAACAAATTACATAAATTAATTCTGCATTTTGTGAAGTCTTCCCTTATTGCTCACCCTGAATGTGCATTTCATTGGATAATCCTGAGTTTTAATGTTTATGGGAAACAGCGAGGAAAACTCTCCATCCACTTTTTTTGCACTATAGATATACAGGCAACGACTGATTAACGCATGTCCAAAAGACATGTGATTGCACATGTGCGCACAGTGCCAAACCCAGAAGTGACTGAAAATGTCACAAAACATGTCACTAAAAGGGTGACGTGGGCAGTGCAGGGCGCACTTACATGCGCTCTGTTGACATGCACAAGGGCCAGGAACGGAACCCCCACATGAAATGGTCATCGACCCTACTGATGATCCCTATTCTTTTGTATTTAGTGTAAAAAATACAAAGGAAGGTGGGAAGGTAGCCCACCTTTCTGCAGGATGTAGCGCATCATAGAGAGGCAATTTGTTGGCTCCAAGTCCTACCTGTGACTTGAGCTGCATGTACTCTACTTGGATCTGGCTAAGGTCCCTCATAAGCTGCTTTGCTCGCAGGTGGTTGTCTTGTGCCACTTGCTCTATGGAGGCAACTTCTTTTTGCAAACAGCGGTTTTCCTGTTTTTGTTCCTAAAATAAAAATTGGTGGGTGGGCATGTTCACAGTTTTATATTTTGTTTTCCTTCAGATGAACAGTTATGCTCCTGTGAAACAAAAACTTGGCATGATAATTACCATCCAGGTAACAGTGCTTTGACAGGGCCCAACCCATGGCAAATGACATTTAATTATGCACATGTGATTGCAGCAGCTAATAGAGTGACCTGTGTAAAGCATAGCTTTAACCTTGCAAAGGAGTCAGAAGATGGCTTTGGGTGAACTTTCCCCTCCCCAACAGTAATGAGTGGCTGGGGAAACACAGCCAGATGGGTGGGGTAGAAATAAAATAATAATAATAATAATAATAATAATAATAAGAATAAGAATACTGACCTACCTCACAAGTTTTCATAAAGAGGAGGCCTACAACATAGCAACAGTGGGGCCAGCTTGGGATATAGTGAATCCTGTGCTTGTTCAGTCCCTCGCTGGGTACCTCCCTCCAATACACTCCCTTCCCTCAATCTGGTGCAAAGGAGATTTAGATTGCAGCCTAAATTGGTTGAATTTATATTCCATTGAAATGAAGCAGCCAAGTCCCATTGATTTCAGTGGGAATCAGGTTCAACCAACTATCACAGTTTTTATTACAACAAAAACAAAACCACGTACATGAAGTGCTCTCTCGAGTTGGGCCTTCTGCATCTTGATGGCTTCCTTCAGTCCTTCTATTTGCTTTTCAGCCTTTTCCCTCTCAGTTTGAATCTGATCATGGAGCACTGTTTCCTTGGCTTTTGAGAGTTCTAGCTCCCTTTGGAGGGATAAAACCTCACCATTTTTTTCTTGCAACTTCAGTTCTTTTTCAGAGAGCTGATGTCCTGGAATCAAGAAGATTCATTCAGCCTATGTCACCAGAAAAGCATGTACCAAATTTCAGTTCTCTATATAGTGAAGAAGTACTTTTGCAATTTTAAAATATTACATACTGTATGCAATTTTAATTTATTACATGTACATCCTTCCCTTTCGCTAAAGAGGTTAGAGAAGCATTTAAACCTCTCTCACAAGGTTCTTTTGAGACTATGACTATCCAGGGATTGTACAGTTCAGTGTGTAGCTCAATCTGAGAGTTCCACATCCACAATGAGGCCATAATACTACAGAGTTTATATTAGGACTTCTTCATATACTTTTTTTTTTTTTAAAAAGTAACTTTATAAAAATGCATCAGTGGCTGTTGCAGCCTTTATCTCAACGTACGGGTTTTGCTGACTGTTTCTTCAAGAGCTCTGCACCATGACTCCTCCTCTTGAAGCTTCTGGATCTGTTCTTCTTTTCCTTGAACTTTAGCAATTGCTTGTTCCAGCTGGTATTGCTGCTCTGCTAGTCCTTGTTCCAACAGCTGTTTCTGATCCTTCAGTTCAGCTGTGCATTTCTCTAGCGTCTTTTCTTCATGTTGTATGTCCTCCCTGAGGTGATGAAGGACCTGGTCAAGGACAACACGTCAAGAGTGAACCTTCAATTGCAAGGGGTGGGGTGCAGGGGTGGGGATTGACCTTCACAGGCAGCTGCTCTTCTTTCTGTCTCTTTAGTTATATAAAAGCTCTGAGCTGAAAATTTTCCTTTTTCAAAGTGGAGCTTGATACATTTTATGCAAGGTATTTTAAATTCTAATACAGTATCTCAGGGTTAAGTGGGGCCAGGGAAGAATGTCCCCTGCCCAACCACTCCATAAAGACGCTACTTGATGAAGACATTGCTCTTTCTTGCCATCATCACAGAGCATCACAACCAGGTGGAGGATGTGGGTGGACTTCTGCTGGGAGGGAGGTCAAAACAGTTCTTTTGGGTTGAGATACGGTGGGTAAAAAATCAGCAGCTCGCAAAATGTACAATAGGAAACGCACAAGGCCAAGAAAAGGCAAGCACTCAAGAGACAACAACAGGACCAGGGGATTCTCTTGCTTGCTCCTTCCAGTATGGAATATGGGGATGTCATCCATCATTCTCAGATAAACACTTTGATTACTGTATTTAAATTTAGGAAGTAACTGGGGAAAGGTCACAGCTCAGTGAAAGAACACATGCTTTATATGCAAAAGGTGCCAGGTTGATTTCTGGCCCCTCTAATCAAAAGGACTGGGAAAGATTCCTACTTAGATCTCATAGAGCTGCTGCCACTCAGAATATGGATTATAGTTCAGATTAAGCACAAGGCAGCAGTTTATGCTCCCCGAGATCAGAATATACGTTCTCTAATTGAGCTCCCACTCTATAAATGGATTTACTTAGAGCTGGTGTCTTTAAGATGAGTTATCCTTATATTCTAGAACTAGTCAGTTTGGATTCTTTTAAAATGAAGAAAACAAGCTGAGCAGATCATTCATGAGAGAGCAACACATACCATCTCCTGTTTGCTCAGTTGTAGTTCGTGCTCTTCTATTTCCCTGCAAAGCTTCTGCAGCTCGTTCTCCTTCCTCTTCTGTATTTCCTGGCATTCCCTGCACTTTCTTGAAGATTCTGTTATGGTGTTGTTCAGAGCTGCTTGTTCTTGAAGTAGCTCCTCTTTTTGCTTTGTGGCATTTTTCACATCCTGTCATTTCACAGCAAGAAAATCCAGAAAACAAAACACAAAAAAGGAAACACATGCAAATAAATGTTGCACTCCAACATGTTTCAGCCGTGAGACTTCAGGTACCTACAAAATGCACCACTGCTGCCAAGCAATGATGTCATGCATGAGCTAGGCTCACACCATAGGTGAAAAATTGCAGTCACAACTCTCAAAATGGCATATTTGTAGATGCCTTCTCTCAGCCCATGTATGTTTATTCGGAAGATGAATCCCTTTGAGCTGAACACCACCACCACCTATTATTTATTACTTTTGCCCCACCAATATGACTGGGTTGCCCAAGCCATTTTTGGGCAGCTTCCAACATAATGGGAGATAAACCCAAGTTAAGCACGGAGAGGATTGGGTTGTTAATTTTTGATAAAGGCTTCCTCTTTCAATACAGTTGTAGGCTTCTTATCGTTATACTCCAATGCTACAAACCAACCTGTTCCAATAGCTGAAGATGCTGCCTGGAATCATTCAGTTCAGTCTTCAAAATATTCAGTTCCTCCTTTTTTTCTACAGAAAATACATTTTACAGCTCGTTGAAAGAAAATACAATAATCTAGGAAGGTGCAAATACTGGATATGGAAAGAAATTCCATACATTAGGCATATATTTAAAAAAGATGACTATTTTGTTGGAATCCAGAAAGCTATTATTTACCATGAATATGCTTCTGTAAGTCAGTAATGTTGCCATTCAAAAGCATTTTGTGCTTTTGTAGTTGGTTAATATCAAGCTGCAGTTTTTGGACCTCTAAGTCCATTTTCTCTATGCTGGTGAGAGTGGCTTTATTGTTATCTTCGGCAGAAGCCAAGGATCTGTAAAATGGCATAAGATAAACTTTTACTCTGGGTTCATGTTGATATTTTTGACAAGTTTAAATTTCCTTGCAAACATTAAAATGGGAATACAGAGCGGTCATCACCAAAAAGATCTCAAGTTGACCAGGACTTTTGAGCCATAACAGCTATTTTAGAGCATATTAGTAAAGTTTATACTGCTAGTTTCCAGTACACAGGTTCCCTGTCCCTGGTATATAGCAGTCTGGTGATTGGCTACTGCATGCTTTTATTTAAATAAACACTAGTGGCCCCATGAAACACAGAATCATAGAGTTGGAAGGGACCCCAAGGGTCATCTAGTCCAACCTCCTGCAATGCAGGAATCACAGCTAAAGCATCCATGACAGATGGCCATCTAACCTCTGCTTAAAAACCTCCAAGAAAGGAGAGACCACAACCTCCCGAGGGAGACTGTTCCATTGTCAAACAGTTCTTACTGTTAGAAAGTTTTTTCTGGTGTTTAGTTGGAATCTCCTTCCTTGTAACTTTAAGCCATTGGTTTGAGTCCTACCCTCTAGAGTAGGAGAAAACAAGCTTGTTCCATCTTCCATTTGGCAGCCCTTGAGATATTTGAAAATGGATATCATATCTGGTCTCAGTCTCTTTTCCAGGCTAACCATACCCAGCTCCTTCCACCGTTCCTCATAAGGCTTGGCTTCTAGACCCTAGATCATATTGCCTTCCTATGCACATGTTCCAGCTTATCAGAGAAAAGAAGTACATTCTCTGGAGTGAAAGAAGCACTGGTCTACCTCTCACTTATTCCCACACAGTTCCCATCCAAGCTTTTCAAGCCTAACCTGATGCTTGCATGTTCATGCCAGATTCTTTCCAAGTGTCATACTCCCCTCTATCTTCTTTATACTTATTTTCCTCAAGTGAAAAGTTTTCATTTCCCCCCATCAGATTTCTGCCTACAGGCTAGGCCACAAATGGAACCTGGGGAGTGACCAGAAGGCAGTGGATAATCTACAAAATTGCTGGATGGAAAAAGACTTAACCCATTAGTGGACGCCTCCTTTACCCAATCCAGAGAACAAAAATCATGCCACAAAATCACGGAATTATCCAAAAAGAGAATCTCCTTCATAATACTACAATATATTTTTTCTAAGCAACATTTCCCCTTCACCTTTTGGTTTGCGACAATTTCTCCTCTAGACTCTCACAGTTTTCTTCCAGCTTTTGCTTCTCAGTGCTCAATGCCTTGATACTGTTTTGCAGAGAATGGAGCTGGGAACTAAGCCTCTCAGTGTCTTGTTGAGCCCTCTCAAGAAGTTGCCTTTGACGTTCCACTTCCCTGCACTGCTGCTGAGATGCTTGCTGGAGAGTCTCCAACTCAAGTTTCTTCTAGAAATTAAACACAAATGAAACAGTGGAGCAGATTGGATTTTACTTCACAGTGCTCCTATTTGCCATGCTTGCCTTGTGCCTAGTAGGACATAGCTTTATGTACACTATTATTCCAGCTCCTTTGTTTTAGGATACATACTTATGAAAGTTTTCATAAACCTGCACTCTGACTGCCCTACTGATACTTTGAGTAAGTTTGAGAAACCACACTTCCTATGTCATTTCCATATAGCCTACCTATGGGATAGAACTTATAAAGGTAATGTGTGAACATAGATCTTGCTGAGATAAAAGATGCCTGCAAGCTGCTCTGTAAAATGTTTTCTCTCTCGTATGAATCATGGCAAATTGAACCCTCACTTACCTCCAGGACTGCAACTTGCATTTTTTCCAATTCATTAACTTTTTGGCTTTGCTGGAGTTTTAGGCCTTCTAGTTCATCATTTTTGAGGCACAACATTTCAAGAACATGCCTGAGTTCTAATAATTTGACAGCAGAAACAAAACTAGGTAAGTTCCAAATAAGCCAACTGAATCATACACAGCCCCCCAGGATCAGTTTCTACTATCTCCAGTTTAAACATCAACAATAAAAAAAACCTCAGATAATAATGCTGGGAAAGACCCCCCTATTGGGACTGGGGCTGGGAACCTGCAACCCTCCAGAAGTTGCTGATATCCAACTCCAATCATCCCTGACTTCACCATGCTGGCTGTAGTTGATGGGAGAAGGGAGCTGGAGCCCAATAACTTCTGGAGGCTTAAGCTCCTTACCATACTGGGCCAGACAGGCTTAAGCCCTGAATTGGTAGAGGAGAGCTTTATGAATAATTTTTTCATTGTGAATTTACACAACCTATGAAATCACATTCTGTTCAGATTTGATCCTCATTTGCAATATTTATACAGAGGGACAGAGATCCTGCAAAAGTTGTAGCCTTCCAGCAGGTGTGGGGTCTGAAGGTGGGATTTGTCCCACGTCCCCTGTCAAAAACTAAGATATGTGCAACTAGCCAGAGGCTGCTATAGAAGAGACTTCAAGTAGCTCTGTTAACCATGCAGAACTGTCAGCTCAACATTCCTCACATGGTGTTAGTGCTGTCCCATGCATTCTCATGCAAAACTAGTCTTGGGAATAGGTTTAAAACAACATTCATCTTTATTTCAAGGTTTTAAACTATCCGCAATCAAATAACCTAAGAAGCAAGAAACCTACGTTTAAGCCAACTGTTTTTGGTCTCTCTTCTTAGTTGTTTCTAAGCAATTAGCTTAATCATTGGAACAGCAACCCACAATCTTGTCACCTGGTTGTTTTTGCAAAAATGGGTATATTGTGAAGAAAATAGGAATCATTTTAAGCCAAACCTGTCTTATGCTTCATTATTTGTCCCAGGATGTCTTGCAATTTCTCCTCCTCTTTTTGGATATCCTGAGTTACTAGAGAAAGTTGGGATCTTTTCTCACTTAGTTGGGCATTGAGTTCTCCTTTCTGAACACTCAGATCCTCTAGAAAAGACTTTACTTCCTAAGCAAAAGAACAAAAATTGCCATGCTTAAAAAGTATGCTTATACAGACAGTACAGTTTAGGGATGGGTGAATCTGTCAATTTTAGTTTCTCTCAGTTTTCTTAAGTTCTCTTAAGTTTCTCTTAAGTTCTATTCTCCATATTCCACACCAGTTTCCAATTTTAAAAAAGTCCTCATGTGAATTCATCAGCATTCTAATGACTTTCTCTTAATATACATGTTTGTATGTAATTTTCCTGGATATACACATTTTTGCAATGCTATTTCCCTGACAGTAATGATTTTATGTACACTTTCCCTAGTATATGCATTGTTTTATAAACTATTAGGCCACGGAACTGTATTGCAAAATTCAGAGAAGTGTGATTTTCAAATAATGGCTGTGTTACAGTTTGCATAACATTTTAGGAAGAGTGAATTAGGTAGATTCACCTATAAGTGAGATCAGAATTGAATTTCTCCTCCACCACTAGGTGCAGTCCTATGCAAGACCCATTAGGTTCAATGGAACTAACTTCCAGGTCAGTGTGAACAGGACTGCAACCTTAGCATGATAGCCAATGCTAATTCTACTCAAGAGTAAACCCACTGAAAATAAAAAATGACTAATTTATGCACAGTACTTTCAATGGGTCTACTCTTGAGTAAAACTAGCATTTGATACAACCCCTAATAATCTTACTTACAAAATTCAAATTGTTGTAACTATCAGCTGGACATTGATTCACAATTTTTGTGACTTAAGACAATGGAATAGTTTCAATATAAACCTTCAAAAGGGAACAGTATCCAAGAAAAATCCAAACTGGCTTCAAAATAAACAAGAAACTAGAAAACCTTTATTTGTCGCCGTTTTTCAGCCACTTCAGCTTCGCCATGCCCAAGAGCTTCTGTTAGGTCAGCATTTTTCTGAGCAATGCTCTCTTGGAGGAGGAGGAGCTCTTTATTTTTTTGACCAAGCAGTCTGTCCAAAATTAGCAGCTCCTGCTGTTGAGCTGCAGTCTACAAAAATGAGGAGAGGAGGAGGGAAAAACACAATGTGGGTCTTTATCGGTCACACTTTGGGACTATGCACTCCCTATGTGACCTCTGAGATTCTTTGAGCAGAGGACACTTGCTATTCTCGAGAGCTGATTGAGTGTGATGGCTGAGCTATTGGGCTAAGGGGATTTTGCTTTGAAGTTCACTCCTGGTTGTGAACTCACAAGGTAGTCTCAGGCAGTCCATTATTATGTCTGTAAATCCCTAACCCCCCTCCCTGTTCCCTTCCTAACTTTAATAAAGAGATAAAACAGTAAGTCTATAGGATTGTTATAAGGATTATTGAGATAATACATTATTTTTATATTTTGGGAACACCCTAAAGCACAACTAAATACTTATCATCAACATCAGCACCACCACCACCACCACCACCACCATCACTACCACCTATAAGCAGTGTTTCTCAGCAGGGGGATATACCCCCAAGGGGGCATATGAACATCTCAGGGTGGGATTTTCACACACACACACACACAGTATTAGTTAAAAAGCAACAAAGCATATTAAAATAAAAAAGTATTAAGTGTTAGGTTCAGAAGGTGAGGAGACTGTATGCAGCTTATTACATGATCTGCATGCCATCACAGTTGCACATTTGGCATGATCTTGCAAGCACTGCACCGGATGATATACTGTGCACAGCAGTTTATCATGCACAATGCACTTTTTAAAAACTTTTATTATTATTATTAAGCCCTGGATTTTCTTTCGAATTAATAGTCACAACATTTTGACCCCTTTGAAAAGTCAGTTAGAGGAGCCAGGTTTGAAGGGAGGGGGTTGTTTTATGTTAGCTAAAAGGGGTCACAGATTAAAAAGAAAAAGAAAAAGAAAGGCTGAGCTTCAGCAGGGGAAACAGGTGCAGGGGCCCTATGAGTGTGAAGTCTGCTGTTGGCAAGCAACAAACAAACAGGCTCTCTCATGTACATTTTATAACATAAAGCTATTTATATTTAGTCAATGTATCTCTTTTTCTTTTCTACTGATTTACTGTGAGATCACCCTAGACTAAAATATGAGTTTTCAAATGCCTCATTGTACATCTATCTACTTTTCCTATGTGATCCTCTTTCACTCTGCAAGTACCAATTTTCTAGTTATGCCTTTCTATTCCCTTTTCCTATTCCATCTCACATCCAGCTCTCTTCATGCTTGCATCTGAGCACCTCCATAAGACACATTTTGTTCACTATGGCTGCTTTCAAATGACTTTCATTCACTTTCCTCGGCAACATATCTTGTGTTTGCCTTTAGGTTGAAAACCTGATAGCAAAGCCTGTGATGTTTTAAATGTTTCTACAGTACTTAGTAACTGTAAGTGCTTTATTTTAAAAAAGCAATGTGAGCTAATAAGATTGATATATTTCATTCTCTTTGGTCAGTAAAAATGACTTCTGCCCTTCTCATGAAAGCTACTCTTGGGCCTGGCATCTTGGGCCACTTGCATTTCAAAGTGTGGGTGAGGAAGGATTTGCTGTACCACCAATTCTACTCACCTGATCCTTCAGCCTCATTAGATCACTCTTTTTGCTCCGAAGAATATTCTCTGCTTCTTTAAGAATTTGGAGGTGGTGATCTTCATTACCTTCTGCAACTTGTATATCTGCCTGCAGCTTCTGAAGGCTAGAAAAGTTTAGAAGCAAAAAATGTTTTTTGAGGAAATGAAAATACGCTGTGGTCCAGTGTTGATCATCTGAATTGCTGAGCTAGTCAGCCACATGGAACTGTCACTGGTTCAGTTCATCTCAGCATCCAACAAGCCTCTCTTGCTGATGCCACATGCCCATTGAAGCACACTGCTGTCAGAAGAGAATTTCTAGGGCCTGGTGTACTGGTAGCCACTGAGAGCAGCTGACAAATTTATAGAGGAGAGAGGATAGGAATATCTAAATAGGTGGGCCTGGTGTGAGGCTCAAATGAAGAACAAAGCTCTAGTTCAGGAATGGGGAACCCTGTGTTCTACTGAAGGCCTCATTTACTGTTGGGGTGACATATGTCACCAATGGGCAGGGTCATCCCTTTTATTTCTCTTTCTGCCACCCCCTTTCTAGGACTAGAATCTAGTCTTTCACAACACCAAGTTTGAACAGTGAGGACTTGTAGAGAGGTGGATACTGTCCAGGTGTAGGCATATTTCAGAGGTAGTGACAAATGTATTTGTTTATGTGCGGCTTTTTGGAGTATCATATTATGAGCATTTGTTGCAGTATAAAGTAGCAAGAGGATTTTTTTTTGAAGTGAATTAAAAACAAAAACTCTCATGGACTGCCTTAGCTAACATGAAAAAATGATCTTTCACATACTTGAGTTTGAAACCAAACCAATTTAACTTGCCTTTCAGTCAATATTTCAATCTTCTGGCTCAAGGATTGAAATTCAGAATCTTTTGCAGATATAACTTTGTTGATTTCCTTCAGAATCCCTTCTTGTTCTATCTTGTGCTCTTCTAGGTCCTTTGCATCTGCCTGAAGCAATCTGAAATGCATTAAAAAAACTTTTTCTAGTGCTGATTGCTTTTGAGTAGCATTGCAATGATAGGTCCAAATTCTTATAGGGTTTTTATTCTTAAATCATGGGCCATCAAAGTTCCAAGTTCTAGAATCTAAGACAAAAGAACAAAACTTCAGAATCTTCATGCAGCCAACACCCTCAATACACCGATCACTTTAAAGTGAGTACATCCTACCTAGCTGCTTTGACCCCACAGCTTATGTCTGGAAGACAGATGATGTGGTGAGACATGTATGCATGCAGAAACGGACCTTTCTCATCAACTTCCATTAACTTTATTGAACATGCTCAACTTTTACCGGGCTGCTGGAGGGGTATATTTCCTCTACCCCATCCCAGCTTTAGCCTGCTAATATATCCCTGTTATGAGACAATTGTTCTATTTGTCCTACATAAGGATCCACACTTTGAGGCCGAGTTTGCCATTAGTATATAGGATGCTGGCTCAAAAAGGCTCCAGATGAGGCATATAATAAAATGACTAAGCACACCATGAAAACAAACCAACACTATTAATGAAATATTGATGATTTTACCAAAGCAGCTGCATTATAAAAAAATTAAAACAATCATGTCATTTGTAACAGGCTCCCAGCTGATCCAGAAACCAGGGTGTCTTTGTCTGCCTGTCACTCTAGTCCCTTTCACAGAGTAGCTGTTACATAGTTACTGTGGTGAATGAGGGGATCCAGTGAAACCATAAACAAGTGTGTAGCTTCTTTCTTTCTTCAGTCATGTGTGGTGCATCTGCCCAGAAGCCACAAGTGCCTCCTAAACCACAGCATGACCACCCTTGCTATATAGGACCAAATAATGTGATGTTAACATTTTTGGTTTACCTTAGTTGCTGATCTGCATTTACAAGCTTCAGAGCCATCACCTGAGCCCGCCGTTCAAGCTCTTCAGCTTCTTTCTCCATCCGAGACAAATGCTGTTTAGCACTGTTGTATTTCTGAATAGTCTCTTTGGTCTAGAGAAAGAAAAAGCATTAGAACAAATATCTCCTATTTCATATACTACTATTCTACTTGTAGCCAAAGTGTAGAGATGTGGGGAGTTCTAAGATCTCCTTTGAAATTCAAAGTTTCTCTGCATCTTCCTGAAACAAAGTAATAAAAATCCTTACTTTCCCCCGAGTATTTTCAAGTTCAGTTTCAGCTTCAGCAAGAAGTCTGTCGGCCTCCCTGAGTTCTGCCTGTCGTTTTAGGAGAGTCTTTCCTATGCATTCTATTTCATCCACAATGTTTTCATGGTGCTGGAGAGATTTCTCTAACTCCAGTTCTGAAATCAGGCCACTCAGGTGCCCATCAATGAAGTCTCTAAAACACAAGAGGGTTAAGAAGTTAATGCAGAAAGTGAATAGCCATCAATAGCTTTTTAAAATTCTAGATTCTCTTAAGGAAGGTGACCCAAACAAAAACCCACAAGTCCCACTCCCTGTCTTTCCCTCAATTTTAGCTGATCTCCCTATATAGCTTTCTAAAAACAATAACAAAAAGTGGCTGACCCCTGGGAACTCAAGCACTGTTTTCCCCAATACTGCAACCCTCTACTATTACTTTCTCCACAGCTCTAAAAAAAAAAAAAAAAGGGGGGGGGAGCAATTACCCTATGGGTAAAGGATCTCACATTGGAAGAAATCTGTGGGCAAAGTAAAATAAAAGATGGGCAGGCAAGTTCAACTGGGCGGGGGGGGGGATGACTTGTTTGAACCAAAATAGGACTGTGTCATGGTAAGCAGGTGGCAATTCAACTTTCACCCCCAATATATTGTAGTCTGAAGTGGAGGAGTTGGGCTGAGTTGCAAGAAGAAAAGAAGACTATGCATGTGATGGGAGATTTCTTCTTCCTGAGACCCCAGAAAGTCACTGCCAGTCAAAGTAAGCAATACTGAATCAGAACTGGACAATCTGATTTGGAAGAAAGCAACTTCCTACAGGGAGTTTTTAGATTCTCCCTGCTGAAAGCGCATACACAACAGGCTTCTGTGGCACTGTTGAGTGGAGAGCAAAGAGGGAAAAATACTTAGGAGACTTGTTAAAGATTTAATACAGCATCCTCACTTCCGCTTATTCCGTTTCTGGGCTATTCTACGCAGCTCTGCTACTTGGTACTCCAGCTCTTCTCTTTCATTCAACAGATCTTGAATGCCCTGATGCAATTCATCCATCTCTTGATCATGTTCACGATGAGAGGATCTAGGACAACTGCTTTTGGGTTGAGACTTTAAGTTTTCTATGCTGTCTTTTAGCCTTGAGATTTCGTTCTCCTGCAACAGATGAATATAAACAGTGCAATGAAACGGGTACTCTTGCTGATTATATAAGGGAGCTTCACTTGCTGACATAATGCTTCCAGCTTGTTCACTGCATGATGTGCATTGAGCAGTGGTCTGATTGACACAGAATGCTAAACCATGGTTTATTAAACTATGGTATATTAAACTGCAGCTTAGTGTTATGTGTGAACCCAGCCCAGCAGCTTAACTATGGTTTTATTAACAAAGGTTAAAGATTGCTTATTAACCAAGGTTTATAAAGGACTGTCCCTGATGAAAAGCTATAAAGCTGTGAGTTGCAAAAAAATCAGACTGCTCTAGAGGCTTTTGCTGGTGCTTTTAACTATTCTGTGATGTGTTAAACCAAAATTTAAGTGAACATCTGCCAGATGCCTCAGCTTCATCTAAGTTTTATTAATTATCATTAAGCATTGTGTGAATCAGACCAGAGAAAGATCTGAAATGAAGATACATGTCTGAAAAGATGTGGAAGCACATGGCAGAGACAACCTGGGAAGTCACAGTTGGCCATGGCTCTGTGCACTGTATATTTAGATATGAATCTCAGCATCAGTTATTATAGTGTTCACTACATGAAAGTGAAATAGAAATAATAATGCCTGGAAAACTGTGCTGCAGGTAACCATTTGTACGGCAATTGCAGATATATAAAACAAAACGGATATATAAAGACTTCCAAAGAGAAAGAATAAACTCCCAGTTTTATATTGATTCACTACCCTGGAATTACCTACAGTATTGGTAAATACTTATTTCTAAGAATATACTCACAATTTACTTCTACACAAAATGATGCACTGCTGGCAACATGTGTTATCAGCTGGTACTTCTTTCCCAATATGTGCAAAGTACATTACTACACATCAGAGCTTTTCAAACTGTGTGTCATGACACGTTAGTGTGTCGGTTGCAGTGTGTAGGTGTGTTGTGTGACTGCTCCACCTGGGGCTGGAATCTCCGGTTTGCTAGTAGAACTGAATTACTGTGTTGCGAAATGATTCATGTCTAAAAAGTGTGTCACCAACATGAAGTTTGGAAAGCTCTGCTGTACATATTTCCTTGTTTGAAAGACTCAGCAGGAAAAAGAGTCTTCTTTATAAAGCTGAAATCAGTTGGTCTTAAAAAATTATAAACTCCTGGCTAAGTCCCCAGTTTGCTGACTAAGGGGCCCAAGGAACTTCTAGTCGCTAGTGTAAGTGCTGCTCTGCCAGTGAAAATGTAGGTATCTCAACAGGATGACACTGAAGTCCCCTTGGCCCCCACCTACAGAAACTCCACTGGTGTAGTCATTTTACCAGCAGAGAGGTGGAAAATATTGAAGAACACGTCCTAAACATCTTCATTTCTCAATCACATCTCAGAAACCAGCTCTGGGGATGACACAGTTAATTCCCTCCCATTGCCGAAAATGGGAAGGCAAAATACTTACTCTAATTTCAAATGAGCCAAGAATCTTACCAAGTTATGATGCTCAGGTATGTTGCAGTGATGTGTTCCAAAAGACATTGAACAGTTAGCAGGAAGAGGGCTATATACAAGCTGAGCTCCAGCAGGACATGAACCATATATAACTGTAGTAGCAGCAAGTGGTCCTCCATTGGCAGAGACAGGAGAAGGTGGGCCACACACCACTGTTGCTGGAGGGGCTGGAGCACCATCTGGAAGTAGAGTGTAAATGATGGAGCCAGGGGGTGGCACAAAAGATGAGGCACTGTGAATCTTCACTTCTCCATTTTCTTGGATCCCTGAATTTTGGGTTTCAACAAAAATAATCCACGTTAAGAGATTAAAGGCATAGTTTAAAAGCCCTCAATATAAGATGGGGACAGAAACATGATAAAAATGATAAGATACATAAAATTAATAAGTTGATTATATATTTGATGTTATTTTTTCTTGTTTACCTGTCTAATTTTATTGCAATTTTATGAAATGCTTTTATGTGCCATGATGAAAATATTTTTTTTGGGGGGGGGGCTATTAAATAGGCCATACTTATCAAAAAATAAAATATAATAACAAATAATCCCTAGAATAGCAATACATAAGAGCAATATATATGGAGCTGCTCCTATGCAGTCAGGATATTGGTTAAGAATGGCTACAAAAATAGGGTGGTCTGCCCATGCCAGGCTTCAAAGTAGGAAGGCAGAAAGGGGTTCTAAGAAGACAACTATCTTAGCTTTCCTCCATGCCTCTTCAGCTAGCAAGAGGAGAAAAGGCCAACCTGGTGACTTTCCTACACCAGCAGAGAACAGTTTCTTGCTACACAGCTATGAACAAAAGCACAAGAACAACTGCCAGACACGGGAAGACAAGCCAACTGACTTACCTCCATTGGAAGGAGAATCTTGCAGGTCACTCCTGCCTGGTGCATGCACCAAGCACCCTCTGGCAGCAGGACACATGGAACATTCCTTCTTGCTCTGCCCTTTTTTTATTGGGGTCAACATAGGACACTGCAGGCCAACACCAGAATCCTTGGTACTCTGAGATGCAGGAGTGGATGTCTTTAAGAAAGTGAAAGTAAGAATAATGAACAATTTGTGTTGAGGCAAATATTACATGGAGAAAGTCCCTGCTGCCATCTGTGTGCTCTTTGATAAGGAACTGGGAGAGTTCAAGGCAAAGACAGGTGAACAAGGGCCATTCATCAAAGGAGCAAAAAATCTAAAGGCACTAGCAGAAGGAAGGAAATACTCTCCTATGTGCAACTTAGATAAGCTAGTTAATAGTTTGGTCAATGCCAAAGTGAGCTCTTCCACCAAGCGAAACATGTCTAACTATCTGCTAAAAACATTTCTGTTCCAGCAAACATACCCAGGCATGCATTTTTGACACATGATTTTAGTAGATGTAAGTCCTTTAAAAATACTGATTTTATTTTATATTTTCATTTTTTAATGTCTCTTGTTTCCATTTTTGATTGGTATTTTAAGTGAGTATTTTATACTGTCTTGCAAATCACAGAAAGTTTTTTTGTTCTAGTAAGCGGTATTTACAATGAATAGCCAACACTAGGACAACACTATGCTGCCTGAAAGTATATGCTTCTTGATCAATATACATGGACACAAACAGAAAAGCATGCAACAACTATCCATGTATAAATAAACAACAGCAGTGATTATATAAATATATAAGCCTATTAAAAGTGGCAACTAACGTGACTGAGATTTGACTAAGTAAATTTCATTTTGAGTGGTGGCTTGGGTTAAACTCCAAGCAGGTGTAACACACACAAAGCAAAAAGTTAGACTTGAGCAACATGTTTGGAAATGCACTGCACAAAAACTGAAGAATTCTATTAATAAAATGAAGGCAGTCCATGTCTAAGCATTGCTTGAAGCTATTCAACAAACTGTTAGTATTTGTAATGTAATTTCATTGGGAATGTATTTCACAAAGAATAGATGGTATTGGAGAAAGGAGATGGCAGCTGGCAGTTGGAAGTTAGTTAGTTATCCTACGTAGTTCTTTCTTCACTGTGAAGGTGACAGGTGTGGGGACTTCATGCAGACACTGTCTGGAGGATTTTGTAAATAATACTTGTTGTTCAAATGTTGCCAGCCTGACAAGTAAAGATTTATATTCAGCTATTTGTGCAAGGCATATATATTTTCATCACAAATAGCTATCAGAAGCTGCAGCATTTCTTCTTTCTCCAGGTTGTGGCATGTTTCCACATGTCTGCTATCCAAGGGGGTGAGGGAATTGGCTGAGAAAGGGAAAAAGCAAGAATTTGGAGAAAAGCGTAAACTTTTCTTTTTACAACTGGGCAGTATATAAATTTTGTTAAATAAATGTGTAGTTTAGGCCTCAGATTCAGAAGGCTCAAAATATTTCAATGGTTAACTTTGGAGAATTCCTGTTTTTAAGGGGCTCTCCTTGAGGCAAAGGACTTTGAATAAAATGACCTTTCCCAACTATATTAATGGAAAATTACAAGTTATCTCCGAATATGATTTTTCTAAATTAATTTAAGTGCTTCTAAAGCAGGTGGGGAAAGATCTCCATATCTGATTCCTTTCCATCATTTGCCACTCTAGTTTTCATACTTGCGATGATGGCACATAATACAGATGGCCCCTCCGTTGCAGTGGATTCATTATGCTGGTGATAGCGTCATTCTGGTGAGATATAGCATGCCTGAGTGCAGCAATTTCATCCAATATGCTCTCAATTTCTTCACTATTGCCTGCAGAAGAATTTAGATTTTTAGCCCATTATATTTGTGAGGACTACAGTTAATTAAAGAACCCCCCCCCCAAAAAAAAATCAGGCTCAGCATTCCATTTATACCAATACTTCCTTTGCTGGATGGAATCTCAATAGCTGAGATAGTAGTAAGGAGGTTGACACTCAAAGCAGTGTTTTTAAACCTGCATCTCAGCAGTTTAAATGACTTCCTTTCATACACTATTTTCTTTTTGCTGACATGCGCGATCTCTAGCAGCCCCATGCTTGGGCAAAAAAAACAACAGGGAAAATAAACTTAAGAAGGAAGAAAAAACAAGGGCTGTATCCAATGCCGGTCTTATGCAGAGTAGATCCATTGAAAATAATGGGCATGACTTAGATCCATCAATTTCAATGAGTCTATTCTGAGTATAACTTAGTTGGGTAGACCCCAATTGTTTCTTTAAAAGACTCTGAGACACAACACTTACCCACCCCCGCCCCCGCCCCACTGGAAGACAAATTATGAGAAAGCTGCTCTGACCTAGAGAGGCAGTAAAAAAAATCTAGGGTGGAACCTCGTCTGCCTGCCTAGGTCTACAAAGCAGGACTACAAGACCTTGCTGGTCCTGGACAATGGGTGGAACAACACATGCCTGGACAGAGAATGATGGGAAGACATCTGAATTAGTTTGAAAACATGCTCCAGGAAAAAATGGAAGGAAAGCATTACCTGTCTGAACTTGATCTAGTACACGGTGCAGTCGGTCAATTTCTGTTTTTTGGCATCTCAATAGCTGCTTTAATTTACCAATCTCCTCTTTCTGAAAAGCAGAAGCTGCAGTCTCGGCATCAGCTTTTCCCACTTCACTCTGAAACTATTAAAAAGCATCTTAGTCATATTTTCTCATGTTTTGCCCTTGTGTACATTGGAGTAAAGCAACATCAGAGTGCACAATGTAAAAAAAATGTAGACGAAGATTCTACAGGCCATTTTGATCCTATTTTCTGAAAAGGGGTTTAAAATGAGCAAGTCTTGGCCTCACATACCATGTCCTGACTTCTCTCTCTCCAGGCAGATTAAATCATTACTGGCTCAGTCAATTTGAACATTTGTATATCACTGAGATTTTCTGTCCCTTGAAATCAATATATCTGACCAGGACTTGAATTTTTAGAACTCAATGGGAGACACATCACTAAGCCTCATAGTTTTCATATTCATGTAAGAATTTTTCACTCTTGCCTCTATTTCGTGTTTCTTATCAATGTGTACAGTAAGGGGACTGATAACTTACCCATTCCTCCTTTTCTTTCAGAAGTTTCTGCAACAATTCTATTTCTGATTCTGCTCTGGCAAGATCTTTAGAAGCTTGAGTAGCAAGCATACAGAACTTCTCTGCTTCCCGAAGTTCCTACAGAAGAGGAAAAGGTGTTTTACTTAGCTTATTTGATGCAATTGTTGATGTTTTGTATTATTATTACTATTTAATAAATTTAGTAGTTGCCTGTCACAAAGAAACTCCAAGTGACTTACAAAATTGTACAATCATTAAGTATAACAGAAAATAAAAAAGAAACATTACAATAACAATCATACATTAAAACACAAAACTGTCCCAATAAAATAGCAGCAAAACATATAATAAACAAGATAGTATTGATTATAAGAAATCAATACTTTGACCAGAGCAGTGGTTCCATCCCTTCTCTGTTCCTCTTTCACTATGCTTATTCTAGGTTCTCATTACAGTCAGGTGCAGAGCCTTCTCTGTTAATAATAACTACATGATATTTTATTATTAAATGAAATCAAGAAAGTTGCTTCCATGCAGAAATGTATACCTTAATGATAAGAATGACTAATAGAGACTGAAACACACTATGTGGTGCAAGAGAAGTAGTTTCAATTCGGTCTTACAATTTTACCAATTATGTACCTCACTGCGTTCCTGATTAATTTTGCATACAGTTCCACGGAGTGACCTGAGCTGATCTTTGGCTGCACAGAGATCTGCTGCTGCTTGTTTATCTGAAGTAGATATCACTCTCTTTAACTCCTGCAGCTCTTTATCAATGTCAATGAATTGCATTTGTGCCTTAGCATCTTCCACCTTTTTCTGAAAGAGAGGGAAAATGCTATTCAACAGATGTGACAAAACAAACAACACACACACACAAATATATGTATATCTTGCTTTCTTCTCTGGTAGGATGCACTCACATTAAAATATAAGCAAATAGTGCAGTATTTTTTAAAGTGTTGTACAGAGGGACATGCCTTACTAGTCACAGGCTTTTTAATAGGAGTAGCCCTACCCTATTCTCCAGATATTCTAGTTGTGCAAGAATTCTTTCTTTCTCCTCATCAGCCTCTTGCAGCTGTTGATCTGTTAGGCCCTGGATTTCTTCCATATTCTTCAGCTTTTCACTTAGATGCTGGATTTCATTCTCTAGTTGATGTACTCTGGCTTCATTCTGCATCTTCTCAGATTTAATCTGAAGTTGAAACAAAGGGAAGATGATGAGAGCTTGAGGATAGTTGTAATCTTTCCTAGGGCATAAAGTTAGCAGCATGTGGAATCTTTTGCAAAAGCCTCTGCTTTTTACCTCCTTTACAAACAAGTACATTTGGTCCTTTTCCAAAACTGCAAATAGTAGACACACGATGAAAAAGGCAACATAAAATCATCACCAATTTGAAGTTTTCCAATATAATAATTCAGGGTCACCAATGCACACGATCACTCATGATTCCATATCAAAAAAATGCCCTCAAGGAAATATAATCTAATTTCAACAGCAAGGCAAAGAAGAGAAAAACAAGGTAATTGGGATGGAGGCGCAATCCTATAGGAGTTGTCTCAAAAGAAAATTCACTGAGTTCGGTGGGGTTCACTCCCAGGAATTATGGCAAATAATTGAAGTCTTAGTTACCACTCAAGGTAAGTACTTTATGGAAAAGTTTGATTTTGAGGAGGGACTGAAGGAAGACAGACACAAATCATGCAAATATTCATGAAGGATTGACATGTATTTGACCATTAAACAAGGTTTCTGTCAAAATAATTGTGGCAATTCTTTCCTTAAGAATTTTACAGCGAAAACATTTGTGGACACCTGATGAAGTAGACTCTAGTTTATGAAAGTTTATACCACAGTAAACTTCTCTGTCTTTGAAATACAACAAGACACTTTGTTGCAACAGACCAGAATGGCTATCTCCTTGGAAGTTCCTTTCTCTCTCCTTTTGGTAATACAGTGGTACCTCTGGATGTGAACGAGATCCGTTCTGGAGCCCCGTTCGCATCCTGAGCAGAACACAATCACGGGTCGTGATTCGCCACTTCTGCGCATGGCGTCATTTTGAGCGTCTGCGCATGCGCGAGCGGCAAAACCCGGAAGTAATCCATTCTGTTACTTCCGGGTCACCGCGGAACACAACCTGAAAATGCTCAACCTGAAGCTACTTTAACCCGAGGTATGACTGTAGTTGGTTCTCTTACTTTGGCTTCTGCAGCTTTGTTACAGGCCAGCTTGTATTTTTCTTGTGCCTCTTCCAACTTAGCTTGCTGGGATGTCATCTCCTTCTGAAGCTGTCTCTCTCTGGCCTGGATGGCCTCATATTCTTGATGAGATTGAGCAAGGACCTTAGCAAACTCTTTCTGTAGATCTGCAAGGCTTTTCCCTAAAATATCCTTTGCATTATGGCACCTGAAATAATCAGTTATACAAAAAAAGGAAAATGCGTTATGGAGAATTGCTACCTAGGCTTACCATCAATGCTCATCTGAAGACCTGTGTCTTATGGCTAAACTAAATGTTGGACGTCTTTGCCAAAACATCTAAAAAGCAGTGGCAGAGCAGAATTTGAAGAGAAGTAGCAAGTTGGTAGGTAAGAGATACTTCTTACCCCATTCACACTCCCATGCCCAGACTGTTATTTTCCAGCTACAGCAAACACATATCTGCAAACTCAAGATGGGGGAAAAGTGAGGGGGAGGGAGATAAGGGTTGTGAAGAATAGGGTCTGTCAGTTTTTGGATGTTTTGTGAAGACTGAGATTCCCAGTTTCAAGTCTTTCCATCCATTTTGACAGCAACATATTACTTTGAGACTGAAGGCCATTTCATACAACTACAAAAAAAGAGAGGTGTTCTGCAGAGTGTTCTCCATCTGAAAGAGTGATGCTTATCTTCAAACACTGACAGATACACAGCTGGGAACTGCCTAGGCATTAACTAGCCAAGTGTTTGCAGCTAGAACTCCCCTTCTGATAAAGGTATGAAACCTCTGAATTTAGCTCACCTGAATTCTGCCCCAGTCTGTAGATTTTCTTTGAGTTCTCTCACACAAGCCAAGAATTCGTCAGGATGAATTAAGCTGTCAACTGCATGATTCAGTTGATTTTGAGTATCTTTAAGCTGCTGCTTCAAAAGGTTATTATCTTTCTGTAACAAAAGAGATTTCAGAGGTCACTTTTACCATTATATACTTTCAATGATTTCTTCTTGCATTGACTGTATAAGAATGTAAGAAGACTAAACATAACACTTATTTCACTGCATTTCTTCACTAGCATAGCTGACCTGTGGAGCTAAATGACTAGTTGCTACAGAAAACAATCAATAAATAAAGCATGATAATTTCCCCTATTAACTCTGGATGATTTCCAAGATACAACTCTTGTTAATCTTTAACAGACACACAAGAAAGAATATACAAGGTGGTTGCATGATTGACTTTCAACAGCTGGAGCCTTTTGAAGAAGGTTATATATCAGAATGCCAGACATGCTCTCTGAAAAACAAAAAAATATGAAAAAAATACTGTACCTGTAGCTGTTTAAGATGAGAAAGCAGTTTATTATTTTCCTGTTCTCTCTCTTCTGATAATTGTGCTTTTGTCAAGGCATTTTCTAAAGCTTGCCTTTCTTTGTTGAGCTCAGCCTGGAGAGCAGAGTGCTCCAGCTACCCCATCCCAAAAAGAAAAAAGAAAAAAATTCTCACTTTCCTCTACAAAAAAACAATGAATTAGGTAACATTTGAATAGAATATGTATTTTGCAAGGACAGCTCGTTCTTCTAAGGAAGACATTGACAGTCCATAAAACAAGCAAACTTCTCAATTTCCATTTGCCCTATTGTCATGACTGGCCTCTTTTATGCATAATGATATCAGGCTTGAGTAGCATGCTAGTATGAACATGCTGCTCAATCCTAATATGCCATTAACCATGGGATATTGTATGAGTTGCCAACCCAGCACTTGTGGGCATACATTGGTCCACCAAAGTTTTCATGGATGCCTGAGGATCATCACCACCATCCCTTTTGCCACTGCAATTAGGCTTGAAAAAGCCACATTGTAGCTAATAGAAGGCTTCTTTCAAGTCTAATTACAACAGAGGAACAATTTCAGAGGCAGAGGGTCACAGTTGGCAGGGGAGTTGTCACCCTGATGTCACCTCTTACCAACTGCCATAAGGGTTGAAAAAATTGTTACTACCTAGAATTTTTCAAACCTAAACGCAGCAGTGTGTGAGAGAGATCTTCCTTGAGATAGCACCTAGAAAAGGAAGATAAACCTTCCCTCTCCAGTTGCACTCCCCAGGAGATCATGCCCCACCTATCTTGGTGGGGAGGGTGGATAAAAACACTTTTTCAAGCCTAATTGCTGGGGGGAATGTGTGCATGCATGTGCATGTGTAGTTGCAGTATGGGGTGGGTTGTGCCCACAAGAGTTTTTCACACTTCAAAATGTATTCATGGGCAATGTACAAACCGTGACCATGTCTTGATTGTCCTAGTACTATAAATCTGTCCTGAACCTTAATCAATAATTTAGGATGCTGTATGGGTTGGGTTGGGTGGACCCTTTACTCTTTTTGATTGGGCCAGCCCCATGACCCTAGTACACCTCCCTTGGGCCAATGCATTTGACACGCCTAGATTAGCCTCTGCTACCAAGTTGAATCACATTTAAGAGGGTCAAAACTCTTTCTCATGGAACTAAAAAGGTTCATTGGGAGAAAGATTGAGAACATCAACATCTTTCTGACAATACTAATAGCTGCTTTTTGATTGGTGGGTGACAAGGTAACACAAACCTAACAGGAATCCTCACAGCAGGAAACTGTTCATTGAGTAAGATAAAGTCCCCCAGCTTCCTCAATCACAATGCTTCAGCAATTCAACTCCTTGTCTTAGAATCATAGAATTGTAGAACTGGAGGGGACCCTGAGGATCACCTAGTCCAAACCCCTGCAATGCAGGAATATGCAGCTGTCCCATACAGGGATTGAACCTGCAACCTTGGCATTATCAGCACAGTGCTTTAACCAACTGAGCTATGTCTTCTTTCCCTACTGTGTTAAAAAGCCAGAGTCCAATCAGTTTAAGCTACTGGAAGAGCTGGCAGGACTACGGCAGCAAGGAAAACCAGACAAAATGTCCCTCAGCCACCCATCTACCTGAGAGCTCTTTCCATTTCACTATGACTACTACCAACCTGGATTCTTTACAGATAAGTTTTAGAAAAAAGAAGTCACGTTTTGGAACCTATATGGATTGGGAGAAACATGAAAGGTATAAGGAAAGGAGACATTTCTCTCTGAATGTCCACTTACTTGACCATGTTGTTTTAGCCTCTGCAGTTCTTCCTCATGCTGATTGGCTTCAATGTCTCGGGCTTTCAGTTCAGCCTCCAGCTCAGCCTCATATGTGATATGTTCCCTTTGAGTCTCATGCAGGGCTTCATTGAGCTCTCTTTGTTCTTCAAGTGCCTGCTCAAGGTCTGAAATTTCCTGGAACCGAAAGTGTGTTTTATAATTTTGAGTTCATCAGTTATCCATTAAATTGGTTGTAGCATGTATCCCTGCGAAACAGAGACTGTGCCCCTACACATCTACCATGGGGGCAAGGGGTGGGGGGAAGGGAGCTAAGCCACCCCTGCTGCTGGACTGGAGGCGTACCTCCCCAACATACTATTTTGAAGTCCATAGGACAAGATGTACAAAATTGTTGGCAAATGTGGGTTTCCCAATTCTGCATATTATCCCAGTGTGTGATGTGACAGAAAAATTGATGTTTGCAGAGGAAAAGTGGGATGGGAAGGATGATCAAGCTTTCCCTACCAGCTCCTCCCCCCCCCCCCCAGTGATAGAAAACATCCTGGTGTTGCCAGGATGACAAGTAGGATGGTCAAACATGCCAAGGTCTACAGAGCATCAGCAGTTGCTCTGATTCAGGAAACTGCAATACCATGATTAGTGGCAGGCGGTTGTGAGCTGCCCACCAGCTATTAATACAGTTTAAAACAAACAAAGACAATTACACTAAAATAAAAAATGACCTCATTTAATCACATTTTTGAGTAGGTCATAAATACTTTTTAACCATCAAAGGCAAGGGTAGAGAAGTGGATCTTCAGCACATGACAAAAGCTGTAAAGTGAAGATGCTGGATGCACTTCAGTCAGGAGATTCCACAAATCTGGAGCCAGCAAAGAGTATGTCTTCTGCTGGGCCACAACCACTCACCCACCAACCTTATGAGTGTGGCAAAACATTACTCTAGCATAAAACTCTGGTGTTTAAAAGCTTGCATTGGCTGCCCATATGCTACCAGGCCAAGTTCAACATTCCTATATTAATTTAGAAGACTCATAACAACTTTGATCCTTAAAGACTGATCAATTCCATATATCCCTGTCCAATCACTGAGGTCTTTGAGGAATTTAGTATTGATTTAGTATTGTGGGTCCACCCCAGTAGAACTGCCACCTGGCTGAGATCCAGCAGGCCGCCTTTCTCTTGAACTTCCAGAGGTTAGTGAAGACGTTCTTAATTTAGTAGGCATTTTTTTCCTGATGTTTCGGTTAATTTTAACTGATTTTATCGCCATTTTAACAGTTTTGTAACTTCACTGTACACCTCTTAGAGACTATGGTGTTAAGCAGTACAGTGGTACCTCGGTCTACGAACAGCCCTGTTAACGAACTATTTGGTTTACGAATTCCACAAACTGGAAGTAGGTGTTCCGGTTAGTGAACTTTACATCGGTCTACGAACGGAAGCCGATTGGTGGAAGGGTACTGGCGGCAGGAGGCCTCAGTGGGGAAAGCGTGCCTCAGTTTAAAAACGGCTTTCGTTTAAGAACGGACTTCCAGAATGGATTAAGAAGTTCGTAAATCGAGGTACCAATGTATATAAACTGTTGAAATAAATAAAAAGATTCTGGCAATCTTAACCTCATTGTTTTGTCCTGGTTTCTAAATTATGTTTGCCAGTGAGGAAAAGCATCAGGACTTTTTGGAATATAACAGTTCTTGCATCTTACTTTTCTCAGGTTTTCTGCATCCATAGCAACTATCTCCAGCTGGTTTCTCTCCTCCTCGAGTTCTTCCAGCCTTTGCAATAACACCTCTTTATCCCTCTGCAACTCCTTGCATTCATCACTGGTTTGTTTGGCCTGACTCTTAACACTCTCTAGATATTCCTGTAACCCAATGATAATTCCTTCCAGGTCTTTCTTCAGTGCATCATTTGCTGCTATTTGGCCTGTGAATGGTAGAGGAGAAAGAGTTAAGAAATACGAAAAAAGAAGTATTTCAGTTTGCAAGGGAACACCAAAAAGTCATGAGAGCTATCCCTGATTATCTGAAGGTGAGGTGACATCACTGAGTATGTCTCAAAATAGACTTACATAGGAGACACAAACTTTGATTTCAGTATCTGAAGTGACAGCATATTTGCATTTACCCAACATTTATGTTTTAAAGAAGAAATCTGGTCCAATAAGACTGGCAGCCAAGTACATTTTTACTGTGCTTGTAACTCTCTTAGATCAGCACAGTAACATTAAAATAAAGTGGGGAAGGGAGGGAGAAATACAGCACTGGATAACCAGGAATTGCAATGACAATGTTTTCCCCCAGAAACTATACATTTTTTCTTTAAACCTAGCCAGTAAAAGTTCACAAATTTTAAGTTAGGTGGAAAGTTCCATTTCTCTTGACCAGGATCTCATCATTTCTCTAGGTAGTGCCACTTTTCCTCACTTTCCTAACTGCTCTAAGAGAAAATCAACAAGAGTTCTTCAGGAAACTAATCTCCAGAGACTTCCACCAAGAGTTCTCATACTACAAATGGGAAATAACGTCAGGATAAAAAAATTCTACTTGACTAAACAACAGTAGTAGGTATCTTACACTAGTAGGTGACCTCACTTGAATCCATCAAATAAAGTCATCCCACAAACCTCTTCAGTGAGCTGGAAAGATAACCTGGATGCCATTTATGGGTTTCCTGCTAGGAGAGGCAGAATGCTGCTTTGAGGCTTTCAGAATTTGGCTGGTATTGGTGTGCTCAGAAGGGAGAGCCAAGGTGATGGAGTTTAATCTCATGCCATGTATTAAGGATAGCTCCACATTTCAAATAACAAACATGGTTGCTGCATTTATTAAGTGAGCACTTCCTACAGCAAATACTTAAAAGCATGCATATGTACTTCTAAGAACTGTTGTCTGTAGAGTGTAAAATCTGTATATGCTATGTAAACTATGGAAAAGCCCAAAGCCTCTGAGCTAAAGTCTGTTTTGAATAACATTTTTACCATCTGTGAGCTGTTGCTCCAGGTCCCTAATTTCCTCAGTTTCCTTTGCAATCCGAGACAGCATGTCATCCAGGCGACTTTCAAGATGCTTGTAATGCTTGTTCATCATGTCAAGTTGTTGTTCTTTGCTTGCTTTCTGAGCCTTCATATGAGCCTGTGAGTGGAAGTTAAATGGACATCTCAGGGCAGTAGTTTAAAAACAAACAAAGCACCCCAAACAATCCTGATCTTCCTGCACCCTTGCCACAAATGTTCTACGGCAGGGACGGGGAACTTTCTGATGATGCTGGACTACACCTCCTATCATCTCTGAGCACTAGCTATATTGATTGGGGCTAATGAGAGTTGGTAGTTCAACAACATCTGGAAGGCTAAACTTTCCCCATCTCTACTTCACAGTACAGAACAATGAAAGCTATCTTATGCCAAGTCAGGCAACTGGTTAATTTAGTATTGGCTGGGGCTCTCCAGGGTTCCTGATGGGGTCTTTAAAGCCCAAGAATGAAACCTGGGACCTGCATGCAAAGCATGTGCTCTACCATTGAAGTATGTTGCTTTGCCTATATGATTAACCTAATTATGTAAATGGACAATGTTACTTCAGTCACAGGGCTTTCAGCTAGATGGGCTTCAAGTTTCTTACAATTCTGACCACAGCATATATAAATTCTTAGGAGCAAACAATTTGCAGGAAGTTTGAAAATGATTGAAAAATCTTTTATTTTATTTTATTAAATGTATATGTTTTTTATTTTATTTTGTTGAACGGTCGAAAAATCATTTATAAGCAGTATATCCTTCTGGGAGAAGCCCACAGGGATCTACTTTTGTGAAGCTGGTAGGCCACATCATTTCTCACACCTTTCTCCAAACTATTTCCTTCTGCATTAGTTGAGTTGGCTTTGCACACCTGGAATTTCTACCTGGAAGAACTTTTATTTTTAACATTTGAAGCCTGTTTTTTAAAACAAAATCCTTAAAGTGGCTAGCAGCTTACATAGAATTTATTAATCTGTGCTCTCTTCTCTCTCTTGCCTCTATACATACCACTGGTGCCATCTGTGGAGGGGCCATGGGGGCAGGGCTCCCTAAAATTTTCAAGCAGCACTGCCTCAAAATTTTTTTTTTTTAAATCCACTATGATCCTCAAAGGGATGCACCAGTAGGAAACGCTGGCCCGTCCCTTTGATGATCACCAGGCCACCTTCCAGGAAAGTGCTCTGGTGGAGATTGCGAGAGTGGGAGATTGCCAACGAGAAGCATCTTCGTACTGGCTTGTCCTCTGCTAGGGGTGTGGTGAAGGGGTGTGTGGCATGCTGAGTTGGCCTGGATGAGTTGCGGGGGTGGCACATGTATGTTGTTTTACACACATGACAGGCCCCTGCAATGTTGGGAGCAACTCAGCATGCCCAATATATACTGAATGCCTAACCAATATGAGACTCATGCATTCCTTGTAAAGTTGAGCACTAATAATAAAACATACCATTGTGACAGCTTCATTCAACTGTGCCCTCAGATTAAGCATGGTAATTAGGAGATGGTGCACATAGTATCTTGTAAAATTGAAGTGTAATTCTAACCTTCACTCCCAATGTCACTGTGCTAAATGTCTCTCTACCTCCAAATAGGGAAGTATACAGTGTGATGACATCAGGGTATAATGTAACTTGTATTCTGCCTTACAGAATGATACAACTCAACCCACGGGTGCTGTAGCTGCAGCCCAGTGCTTCTTATACACTACCATTCTCCCCTTAAGTTACACAGACCATTCTGTAAACCCTTCTCAACCCAGTCAGACTAACCTCATATGCCTCTCTCCAATGGGTGCTAAAGAAATTGGATACTAGATCTTCTGCATTAAAATATAAGCCAATAATTTCAGTTTCATGCCAAAATATTATTTGTATACTTCTCCCCCCAAAATCTACAACCCAGATTTTATTTTATTTTGTCAATAGCACATTTATTCAAGCTGCTATAACCAGTGTCAACTGAACACAGCTATGTGTACCATTTCTCTTAAGTACCATACTTAACCCAGTGGCGTAGCGTGGGGGGTGCAGGGGGGGCGGGCCACACCGGGCGCAACATCTGGGGGTTAGGGTTAGGGGGCGCAAATCCACGGGTTAGGGGGCACAAATTACTTGCCTTGCCCCGGGTGCTGACAACCCACGCTACTGACAACCCAGACTGCTTAACCACAGTTGAATGAAACTGTTACAATGACAAGTTTGGTTATAAGCTTGATAGTGTTTGCTTGGCTTAGAAACACAGTGTCAAATCTTACAGGGCAGACTACTTCCATTCATGGTTTTAGGCATCCAACATGCATCCAACATGGTACATATTTTTTATGAACCAAAAATAGCAGAGTGCTAATTGGCAAAAAGAGTACAGAACCAGCCCCCACAAAAAATAGTTAATACAAAAATGCAATCCAACTATCCGATGGTACTTTTAAAATAAATGCACAACTCCACCAATTACACTTAAAACAAAAACCTTATTAGTTAAAATCCCAGGAAAAAGCATGCTTTCCTAAATACTGAGGTAATGCAAAACGGCTGAAGCAAAAGTTTCACTTTATCAGACTATCCCCATACCAAATCTTCATTTAATTTTCTGAGCAGATAACAAAAGAGGCAAATGTCCAAATATCCATAATAAGCCAAGTCAAGTTTGTCCTGTTTTAAAAGTATCTATAACTTAGCAATGTTATCTTCTAAAATTGTATGCTGCTGTTGAGATTCCTCAATGGTATTTTGAGGGAGGGGAGAGGGAGGCACTTACAGCGTTTGCTTTGTCTTTTCTTCTTTTCAAATCCTGTGTTGAAAGCCCCACTTAAAAGTTGGAATTCATTGTGAAAGACGAGCAGTACTAAAAAAGTACCTCAGCTCAAACACGGTTTCTCTTAATCTCTATCTAGTCTCTAGTCTCGTACACCAAACTTTTCTGTTTGACAGTTTCACTTTGGTTAGGATGTGGTTTGAAAGGGGGAAACTAAGCCCCAGGAGCTGTGAGAGCTCTTTGTCAGGCCTGCACAGTGGTAACATGCGCTCCAATCCCTACTTGTTTCAGCTAGCTGGGCTGCGTTCTGTTTGCTTCAAATCACAACACAGGAAGCAGTGCAGGCAGCCAATCAACTCTACAGCTTGTAACAGGCAGCTCCACTCTCCAAGAGGCTGAGCTTAAATAAAGCAGTTTCCTTTCATTTAGAAAGCCTCCCTGAAACGCACGGAAAGTTATTATTGGAGAGACTGAGGTCTTGGACTGTTGACTTCACAATTTCTTTTTATAATCAGCCTCTGAGCTTCAAAAATAAGCCAGATATGAATGAGACTTCAAGTATATCCACATAACTGGAAAGCATGAAAGGCTATACTAACTTTTTGTTTTGCAAAACTTTTTTTCCTTTTTGCAAAATATGGATCTCTTAACATTTATAGTTTGTTTGTGCCAACATAAAATTGTTTGGTTTATTAAAAGGAACGCATCTTTTTAATGAAACTAATATTTATGGGGGTAACTTTGTATCAGATTCTTGTAGCCCAGTTGTTTGCATGTTTAGCTAGAAGCAAGCCCAACTAAGCTTGGTGCAACTACTGTAGTCCAAAGTGTGCACTGAATTGCAGCCTTAATTATGCATAACTGCTCTCTTGGGACAATGGAATGGTCTGGTCTGCCTAATGAGAGCTTTGTGACACCAAGAAGCTTATACAGTTACACCAATAAATGTAGGTCCAGTTTGCATTCCTTATTCTGTGTGATCAATTAAACAAAGCTGTCCACACCCAAAATAGTTAAAGGCAACTTTAAAATATGAGTCATCTTGAGATTAAGAAACCAGTCAATCTACATTGTTTTAGAAGGAATGACAATTTTTCTCTTAGGGTGTGTCTGCATCACATGCTGCCTTGCGGAGAGAAGGAAATCTGTTACTTCTCCTTGTTTCTGTCCTGCTAAAATATTTCTAACCAATGTGAGGTTAGAACTTAGCCTAGGATGTGCAGCAGACTGCATCAACTTTTCCTGAGAAATAAGACTTTGTGCATACTATTTCAAAAAACCACAAACTCATCTGCAATAGCTCAAAAAATATGTTTAATAACAAATAATACTAAGCTTGGTTGGCTTACTTAGCATAAACATGCTTAGGGTCATGCCACATGGTTGCTTCTTAAGACAAGGGCACAAATGAATCATATTTGTGTGTGAATATGGATTGAAATGTCATGTGAGGGTAATAGAAGCACCTGAATAGAGGGAGGACTATAGCTCAGTGGCTGAGCATCTGCTTCGAATGCAGAAGCTTCCAGGGTGAATCACCAGCATGTTCAGGTAGGGCTGGAAATGGCCCCTGCCTGAAACCCTGGAGAACTGCTGCCAGTCAATGTAGACAGTATTGAGTTATATGGCACAGTGGACTTCCTCAGTATAAGGCAGCTTCCCACATTGATTTAAAAAGGATAATGGCTAGAATACAAAGAACTATTAGGTGAACCTTGTGGAACATTTTGACTTTTTTTTTGGAACAGCAAATCTCCATACTCAGTTTCCAAAGCAGTTTGCCATGCAGACTGAGGATGGCTGATTGACCATCTTGAACATGCATAGTCCATTATCTGGGATGTTCTCACATGGTATTTTTTATCTGTCACATGATCTGAAAGACTGCAGCCATGTTTTTAAAAGAACAATGTAGAATGGGTCCCTGAGGCGACCCAAACATTCCTTCTGGAGAAGGCAGGCAGGCCTGGGAAAAAAGTACAGTGGTACCTCTGGATGCGAACGGGATCCGTTCTGGAGCCCTGTTCGCATCCTGAGTAGAATGCAACCCATGACTGTGTGTCTGCACAGGTCGCAATTCGCCGTTTCTGTGCATGTGTGTGACATCATTTTGAGCGTCTGCGCATGCGCGAGCGGCGAAACCCGGAAGTAACGTGTTCCGTTACTTCTGGGTCGCTGCAGAGTGTAACCTGAAAATGCTCAACCTGAAGCATATTTAAATCGAGGTATGACTGTATCTCCTTTCTCAATGCCTAGAGATGAAACATAGCAAGCTGACTAGGCAGTAAATCTCTTTCTGCATTCGCTTGCTGTGCACAGAGAAAGGGAAACTCCTGTCACACACCCAAAATAAAACAAACTGACTATGTAGGAAGAGATGTATTCCTGCATGGCTAGATTTCTGCAGAATAGTATGGAAGAAGCAAGCTTGTCTCAGGAAGACTGTTTGGGTGTGGATGAAAAAGGCCCAGTGGGCCAGAGGCTCTCCATACCAGATACAGAAAGAAGCAGACCTTGAAGTAGCTTGCTTCCAATCCATTTATTACTTGAAAATGTCGTGACCAGGACTCCAGAGTTCCAATATCAAATTAATAATTGCCCTGGCTGTTGGAAAACTGGCACTGGGCTTAACATTGATTCTTGGTACACCAGAATATGGACAATAATATTGGCTAAGAAATTAACATGTTAGGACAGAGCAGCAAAGGGCAAACACAATTCCTATTCCTTTTATAACATAGGGCAAATGTTTATGTAATACATAAATTGTTCAGACTATGGCAGGAATCCACCCAATACGCATGGGAAAATATGGCATAATCTCTTAGAGTAATCTAATTCAACTTTATTACACAGCACGACCAAAGTCAGTAATTTTATTGGGACATGTTGCTTATTGTTTACTGTGGTAGCAATGGTTTTCTCAAAATGTAACTTCTGTACCATATAAAATAAATAAAAACATAAAATGATCAAATTAATAATAATATCACCCTAAGATGCAGTACTAATACATATTCACCACCCCATGAATGCATATATTTTCTTTTCATAAATGAAGCTTGTTTCATTATATGAAGAAAAGAACCTAGGGAACGGCATCTGAACCTATGAACTTTTCTGATGATGTTTCAGCAATGTGCTAGTTAAATGTCAAACACTGTATACGTTTATTAAAATATTTTTGAAACAATTCTTTAGAAAAAATATATTTTAATGGGCAAAGATACTCCACTGAAATTTAGCAGAACTCTTTTCCTACAATCCTGTGGGCACAGTGTCATTTACTCTATTACTCAAACAAAACTAGATTCTAATTTTATTCCTGCTAACTGGATATTTATGCAATAATTTATTTGGCATTTCCTATTAATACTATATATATTGAATTCATGTATATATGTGTGTGTAAAACTTACATGTCTTGGGTCTTCAGGATCTAGAGAATCTATAAAACGCTGCAGTTCTCCTAACTCCTTCTCTTTTTTGGCCATGTCTTCCTGCTGCCTTTCCATCTCTTTCTCTAGTTCTAGAGCTTCTTCTCGTAGTTGATTTAGGAGAAGTATCTTGTTGCTTAGCTCTTGCCTAAGACAATCCTTTTCCACGTCTGACATCTAGATTTGAACAAACAGAAAACACACCTAACTAAGACTGAGATACAAAGGATTCAGAGACTACACAAGCTGTATGGTTTAAAAATATGATTCAGTGATTTTCCTTGTGAACTTGAATTCTGCAGTGTGGGCCCAATTCTATAAATGCTTACATAGAAGTTAGTCCCAATGCAGCCAATGCATCTCAAGTAAACATCCACAGGCCTATCAGTCTATCACTGCATTTCACAGGGAAAAGTTATCATCTATGAAAACCTGCCTTTTTCCTTAGTGCTACATATGGCCAAGTGTTGGAATAAGGTATGCAGCTTTACTGTGCAGCCCCCAAGCATTAGATTGGAATGCTTGAAATTTGGCAATTATGCACAAAAAAATAAACAGGTCTTTTCAATTGTTTCAGTTTATTGCCACATTGTTGTTTATTAAATTTGTATACTGCATTAATGTGTATACAACATAAAAATACAAACTGAGAACACAAGATACAGAATGAAACAAAAATGAATCAATACCCCCCTCTCACAAACACATTTAAAAGGCCATAGTTACAGAGAAATGTTTTCACCTTGTGCCTATAAATATGTACAGAATGCTCCAGGGGAGAACCTAGCAGGGGAGTAGAGGCTTATATACATACCTTTTTCTGAGCCACAACATTTTGGACTAGTTTAAGCTCCTCTGTTGCTTTTAAAACACGGTGCTCTGCATTGGCTACTTCACCTAGCAATTCTGTTAATTTTTCTTGGGCTGGGAAAATGAGAAACAAATGATAAAGACATGCCAATTGCAGCTATCCAGTGCCAACATGGACATATGTTGCAGTTATGGTGAATGTCTCCAGAAGGGTAGAAAGCAGCGGTCACAATCCAGGGAAGTGCACAGGAAAGTTTGTCGATGCTGCAAGTCTTTTAGGCTATAGTGCTATATACACTGATTTGGAAATAAATTCAACTGAAGGCAATGGAGCTTGCTTCTGAGCAGGCTTGGATTGCATTATATGTAGTCTTTTATGTATATGCTTACATAGATTTACTGAATGAGATCTAGCAGGTCAAAAATTAGGAAGGTGTTAGGAAAAAGGTCAATCGTGAGCCAGTTTGAATGGAGTTGCATTCAAGTGACTGAATAATAGTGCAGACTAGAGCTGGGTCTTGGGCCTAAATCTGGGCCCCAAATAACCACCCAGAGAACAGCAGATGAGGAGGACAGTGACAAACAGGTCCAGTACTGTACCTGGCCTGCTTCTGGTTGCTACAGCATGTTTTCTTATTATATTGTAAAATGTTTTATAAACAAGAGATAACCGACTAAACTTGTACATGGTTGCACATGGTTATTTATTGTTACTAGATAAACATGTTATCCTTTTCCATAACCAAATGATTCTTATTCCCAAGTAGAAGTGTTTACAATTGGGGTGGCAGAAGCAAGCCACATTTTATTTCTGTAGTCATGATGGTGCCATGATTTGGCTTTAAACTGTGGAACATGCACAGAGCATTTCCTTTTCATCAGGGTTGGCAAACTTGTTTGGATTTTGCTTTAACATAACACTGATGTAACACATATGGCCACCTCTCTTTAGACCATTAAGTTCAGGGTCTAAAATTGCTGAACTGCTCCACTTTGAAGGAGATCTGAAGCTCCTTTGGTAAAACCCATTCCTTTGGCCTACTGAAACCTACTGTAATGGCTAGGAGTGTAAACTGGGAAGTCTTGTATTCAAATGTCACCTCAGCCCTCGCCTCACTAGATTGATACTCAGATGCTGTTGAGTCAGTAATTTAACTGTCAGCTTTAACATTCAGCAGAAATCAAGAGCATCAGATGGAAGACAATACACACAGAGTGAAAGGTTTTCTACATTTAACTTTGCAAGGGGAGGGGAGGTTGGAAGTACCTCCTTTAACCTTTCTCTCTTTTTCTTCTAGTTGTGCATCTAGTGACTGAAGAATATTCAGTTTCAGCTTCTGAATCTTTTGTTCTTCTGCTTCTTCCAAATTTCCCATCTGCATCTTCTGAGCCTTGCTAGGGATATAGCCTTCTACAGCATACATGTTCCTTTTGTATCTAGATTTCCCAATGTAAGGGCTTTCACCCGGTACATCATCAAGTTCAACATCCTGAAATAGGACATAATAGTACAAATTCAGCCAGACTGGAGTGCTTTGGCAGTTTAGTGCAACTGGAGATATGCTCTTCTACCATCCTCACAATCAGTTTGGAGTTGAGGAGGGGAACAGAGTGTCAGTTCTGATTTTGTACTTTGATTCAGATGTGCAGCACAAGTTTGGGATCAAGTAGGCTCTCTAAAACTGAAAATACTATTTTCAAATAATTACCTCTATTGGATAATAACCTAATGGTTCAAACTTGGCATCAATCTTATAAAAAGCCAGTTCTTGCTCCAGCTCATATTGTTTCTGACAGGCTCGGGTTAATTCCACTGTCTTCTGCTTTAGCTAACAAACAAACAAAAAAACAAACAAAAGGTTAACAAATTGTGTCTTATAAACATATATATTTAAATGGAATGCCAGTGTCATGGGTCGCTATATGATCCATGCATGAATGACACAACACAAACATCTTTATATAGTAAAAATACAGGGTACACTAGTCAGACTTGCATAACAAAATGCATTTGCTTTAGATGTTGCATTTAAACAGATAGTTAAACAACACACACACACACACACACACACACACACACACACCGGCCATGACAAAGCAAGCCAGTCCCAGCATGCACTTCGAGTATTTTCAAATTGTCAGCTATGGAGTGGCTTGTCTGCTATGGAGCGGCTGGCAATAGTTGTATGCAAGATTTGCTGCATCACAACGATTTACTATCTAATGCAAATCACGTTAAGGTATCTGCAAATGGTATGTCATGCACAATGCTGAAAATACATGTACACTCAAAATAAAAAAGAATTAACCAGTCATTCACTTTACTGTAGTATTCAAATATTGATAAATCTGATACTAAAATAAAAATAGGGCACCAAGTGCTCTAGCCTCATTATTTCCATTTTTCTGAACTGAATAGAATGAGGCACTTACTCTGTTAGCATTTCCCCCCCTCTTTTACTTTTAGAAGCTAGCAGAACACAACAAAAATAAAAATGTGTCTTGGTCATTTTTTTCCAGTTAATTTTTGCATGTAAGTTGTACTGGGACTACTGCCTTCTGCAGATATAATACTTGATGATGGTAAGCACAAACCATGTTTGTAGCCTAAGCCTGGTTAACAGTCAAATGCAGCTCATCCTGCCCCAGAGTACATGCATACTCCAGAGCCACCTGGGAGACCTTCTTACTATGAGTGGTGGAGAAACTGCCTTAACTTTGACTTGATCAAGTGCAACTATAACACTTAACCACAGCTCACGCAAACCTTGGTTTCATATATTGATTTGTGCCTAACCATGAACTATGGAAAACAAACAATGCTTAAGAATCATAAATGCATTGGATCCACCTAAATCTGTATGTACCTTTACCTATAATCACAAATATATTTGAAGAACCAAACAGACTGATGGAAACATAAGCAGTATCAATCTGAAACTATCCTATTATTTTCATTTATCTGGAAGAGAAGTGGGTGCTCTCTCTCTTTTGACTGTTTTATTGTTGGATACCTGTAGGAGAGCATGCAGCAAGGTTCCAATAGGTAGCAGTAGGAAGAACTGAAGGGACGGGGAGAGAAAAGGGTAGAAACAGGAAAGATTAGAAGAAGGAAAAGAATTAGATTTCTAAATCAAAGTATCCAACACCATGCACAACTTCTAATTTAGAAAAATATTTGACACAGGGAAGTGTTTTTGGTGAACAAATAATGATAAAACAAGTACAGCTTTCACATTATTGAATAATTCGAAACAGGACCATGCAAAGAAGCACTATGGGTTGCAGCCAAAAATAGCGTAGTCAAGCTTATACACACAGAGCTACCTTTAGTGAAGAATAAAGGCTCAGTCAGCAATAAAGGAAATGGATCAAACAAACCAAGATACAGGCTAAATGAAAAGAGGAGCTAACTAAATCAGTCACCAGAAGGACAAGAGAAGACAGTGCTGAAAAATATGCGTTACCAGATCAAGATACTAATAAGATTAAACTGTTTGTTCTGTTTATTCAATTGGATGTGTGTGTTATCTACTGAATACAATCCATTGAAAAAATCTAGCTCCCATTGATTTCAGTGGGATAATGACAGTGTGGTCATAAAGACACACAGCTTACAAAGCCAGTTTTCAGTAAGCCCAGCTCTGAAGAATCTTAATTAAAAGGGAAGACCTAACTCCCAGTAATTATTGCAGACATGACAAATAATGATTTAATAAAGAAACTCAAAGCTTAATTAGCCATTAAGGTTTTTAAATACAATCCTAATTTTTCATTTCTGCATACAAAATCCACCAAACCACCTGTGGATTTTACATCCAGAAATAAAAGTTGGGGCTCTGTTCAGAAGCACATTGAATGTTAGAAATAAACCATAGATACAATGGGATTTATGGCAACAACAGAACACATGGCTTAATGCCCAACCAGAAAACATTTAAATCCATCTATCTGAAGACAAAAAATGTGTACTAAAGCTAGAAAACATTTAGCTTTCTAATAATTTTAAACATAACACATACAAATATAATGATAATATAATGATGGCTATTGTCAAATAAACCAAATAGAAAGCCAAATAATGAGATTATTCCCACGACTTGATATACAGTGGTACCTCGGGTTAGGTACTTAATTCGTTCCGGAGGTCCATTCTTAACCTGAAACTGTTCTTAACCTGAAGCACCACTTTAGCTAATGGGGCCTCCTGCTGCTGCCGCGCTGCCGGAGCACAATTTCTGTTCTCATCCTGAAGCAAAGTTCTAAACTGGGTTAGCGGAGTCTGTAACCTGAAGCGTATGTAACCCGAAGTACAACTGTACTGCTGTAGTCCTTCTGGAGTCAATTGTACTACCACACTGTAAATGTTAACCTAGTGTCTTTCAACAGTATAAACAGATAAAACAGTATCATTCAATGCCATAAGAAATTTCTAGAGATATTCAACAGTCTACTGGGATTTTAAGAACCAAGGTTGCTTTACCAGCTCATTTTTTGTCTCTAGTTCACTCTCCAGGTCATGACAGCTTTGTTTCTGTTGCAGATTTTTTTGTTTTAATGATTTGTTAAGGTCATCTTGTTGCTGAAGTTGTTCACCCAGGTCAGAGTGTTTGGTTTTAAGGTCTTCCAACTCTTTCACAGTTTTCTCCAAGTCCTTTTCTAGATTTTCTATCTCTTCTGCAGAATAAGGCAAATCAGCAAATCATATACACTCCTTTTGCCACATTTACTGATCACTGACAGAAAAGGAAACCAATGACACTAGTGGCTTTTCCCAAAGATGCATGTGGTTAAAGCATGCAAATTACTTGATGGGCATAAAATCAACACCAAGTCTCACAGTTTAATAGACAGAAGGAAGAGGTTTTCCCATCCAATCTAATCTAGGTTCAGGTGAGAAGATACCTACCACCCTCACACTTGTTTTAAAAAAGTCAGGGAAGCTGGAACTCCTCTGAAGCCCTGTCACCACACAGCAGACAGGTCAGATAAGAGCAGTTGTCCTTCTAACTGCCAAGGACAAAGATTCCAAAGCTTATTTGCATAAGTTCTGCCTATTGTAGGCTTTCTCAAACTCGGCCTTCCAAATGTTTTTGGCCTACAACTCCCATGATCCCTAGCTAGCAGGACCAGTGATCAGGGATGATGGGAATTGTAGTCTCAAAACATCTGGAGGGCTGAGTTTGAGGAAGCCTGGCCTATATGAATAAGTGGAAGAGCCAACCTATTTCTGAATGGTGTATGACTGTGGAATAACAACTGTCTCTGCTCAACATAGAGAACATTGGGGACTTATGAGGCAGGGCCACACGTGGTAGGGACATTGGAGGCAGGATTTGTGTTCAGATCCACCCTTTCATTTAAAGATTCAGATTCACATGCTCAAGTGAATGCCTGAACATGCCTTGTGCTTTTCGTAGATGTGATACTCCCAAAGTAAAATTATATCTACTGCCTATATATTTTGAATCTTAGGTCACTTTACAAACTACCCATGTGTGCTGTCAAGAAGACAATAAAAAGAGTCACATCCAATCATGGCTTCCCAAGCAATTGTTGTTACTCATGTTTATTATGGCTTTCTCACTTTCCTTTTTTTGGCAAGATTTAAAACATTTTTACTGTACTTATAATAGGTAAAGTTAAATGGACCCCTGACTGTTAGGTCCAGTCATGGACGACTCTGGGGTTGCGGTGCTCATCTCACTTTACTGGCCGAGGGAGCTGGTGTTCCGCTTCTGGGTCATGTGGCCAGCATGACTAAGCTGCTTCTGGCGAACCATACAATACAAGTTAAAAAATAAACTAAAGAAAATGAACATGCAGAGTCCTCTCTCACAGGTAGCTCTTAATACCTGTCTTACATAGAAAGTGGTGGACCCTCCCAGCTTTCAGCTGAGAGCTTTCCTTTATTCTTCCAGCCCCTCATCATGTAAGATCTCAACAGGAATTACTTCTGAGTAGACATGTATTAGCTAGAACTGTTGTTTTATAATCCTATGATTATCATATTTACCTAAATTAAACCTCTCAAGAGCTTCTTCTCTGTCATGGTTTGTCACTGGCTGTCCCTCAAGATCTTCCAGTGACCTCAAATGGAATATGGTATACAGACGATAATGAGGAAGGTTTACAACAGGATTGTCTGCCAGAAACAGAGAAGTCAAGTCTTTAAGAGACTTCAGTTTAGCTACCTCATGGAGCTGAAAGAAAGGAGGGGAGGTACAAGCATTAGATATTCTTTGAAGCATGAAACATATTCCATTTTCTGCTTATAGACACATAATCTAACATAAAATATTAAGTCAATTATTTATGTTAAAACTGAACCCAGACCAGTGAAATCATACTGTGTCAGTGATAACAAGGCATTAACAGTGTTACACAAAGGCAAAAAAACACCAGAGCTCCTGAGTCAAAATGTTAGGAGATTTCATTTGAGTGCTGAAACATGTGTTCCCAACAAGGGCGTATCTTTCCATGAAGAGATATGCCCCCCCATCAGAACTGTTTCTCGAGTTTTCATCCAAGTCCTAAACACAAGTATTGTTCAGAGTGTTGTACAAAATGCCTCCAAGGGCTGTTTCTAATGGTGCAAGAAACTTTGTGAAGGTCTTAAGCTTAAATAATTCAATGAAGCACATCCAAAACTTAAAGCAAAACTGAATAGTTTTGACTCAGCCCTAGTTAAAATGGAGAAAATATATCAGGTGTGGGGAACCTTTGACCCTCCAGATTTTGCTGAACTGCAACTCCCCTCATCCCTACCCACTGGCCATGCTCGCTGGGGCTGATGGTCAAAGGATCCCAACATCTGTGACACATGGACCTGAATGAAGACAAAAGGCCTCAGTTCAATAGGTTAAAAAAAAACTTCAGGAATCCTTTAGCATATTGTGTCTGCTGGGGCATTCTAAGGTGACTGTCATGGAATCTCAGTGCTCCACTCTATGATAAATTCTAGGACAGTCACTAAGCTCATACAGGGAACTGATGTATACAACCTTATTGTTGCTCCACTTGGATGGAGAACACACCCACTCTCCTCCAGCTGCGCATTGCTGGAGAGAGTGCCACTGGAGAGCCATGTGCCTATCAGGGGCACTCAGCCAGAATTACTAATCTTCTCACTGAAGAACTCCTGAAAAGCTCCAAAGGCCTTCTGGAAAATAGTTTTGCAAGCTACTGCCTTAGCATATGTCAACATATAATTCTAATCATCATACAGTGGGAATCTCTGGGGGGAAATCCTCACACTGACACTTGCTCTAGGCTTTATGGAAAAATTGCTGGAACTATATGATTGTCTCTCATTTTCTAGTCCTCTTTACATTTCATCACATGAGAAATGTACCCTACTTCATCTTATCTTCCTTTAAAATCATGTATTTCTGTGATTTGTCACCAGATGAAAGCATTCACATGTGCTTGGAAGGCTCATTCTTTAAAAGTAAAGAAATAATAATTAAATATAGCTAACTGGTACACATGGTTATTATCAATCTTCTACAGAGACAGCGATTTTCAAATGTCTATAAGTGTTATCTTAAGGAAAAGGCTTAAAGAAAGAAGTAAGCAGACAACAACTAAAATCCAAAAACAAGGAGTGTTCTGCAAGCATCGCTCTAAGTTGAAATCACTTACTGATGATATTTTGTTTTTTCTCAAATTCAGGATGCGCAAGGACCTGAGTTTCTTCCCTACCCATGCTGGGATGTGCTCAATCTCATTCCCAGCAAGGTTCAGCTTCTGTAAATTCTGTAGATGTTCAATACCTTCTATTTTACTGGTGAACAGAGAGAAATATTGAAGTTATATATTATAAGATGAACAACATCTGTATACCTTTAAGTTTCTCCTAGGACACAGGGAACATTTTCAAACCATGACTTCTAAAACCAGGAACAACTCTCATACGTGCTCACATCTGGCTTCATAGTTTTTTAAAAGGCTTAGCCACAAACACTGGAGACCTGTTGAATATTCTACTATTTCTTCCTAAACCTTTGGGTTTGGAGTCATGGAATCCTAGTGCTCTGCATCTGTATGTTTTGTTTAGTCTACAAGCAGAAAATGAGACTCCAAGCCAAAAAGCTTTGAGGAATTAAATTTACAGCAAGCACAAGAAAGAATAAGATGCAATAACAATAGATGTTTGATAAATGATTATTTCATGTAAACTGAGTTCCTCCAAAACTATATGCAGCTTTTCGGCTTGATACCTGGTTTGGTGTTTGCATAACTGTTTTCATTTTGCCATTTTAAAACAAATATAGAATAAAACATATATTTAGGGAGGACAAACGATAGCTATCAAGATACTCTGCCAGTAAATAAAATTTCTGAAATCAGAAAACTGTTGCAATATTGTTGGGGATTTTCAGGAATGTTAAGCAAAACTTCATCAAAATATTATTGTAAATACTATTGACTGTTTGGAAAGGTTCTATTTTACGCTCCAAAAACTATACCATTCTAATCAGCATATGGTAGGAGGGAAATTGCTTGTGCCCTTCTCTGCTTTCGTTTGAAAAGGTTTATCATGCCTGCGTTGTTATGCCTTGGTGTTGTTGTTTTTTTTAAAAAAATCCACACAACTCATTGCTCTAATCCACATTTCATCATAGAAAAGCTGTTTCACCAAGTGAGGAAGTTACATCAAATGTAGTGTGTAGAAATCAATGGGCAGCCTGATCCAAAAAGATAGTTAAATGGTAGCATTCAGGTTTAGGCAACTTAACTTCACAGAGCTAACTGTGCAATCCTATTCCATGATGCTTACACCTAGGTAAATGGGGTTAGGATTGCAGCCTGTCATTTTAAATACAGACACTTGATAATACCTGGTCTGCAAATCTATGTTCTCGCTCTGACCTACAAACAAACAAACAAACAATTTATTATTTATACCCTGCCCATCTGGCTGGGTATTTCAAAGCAGTGGCATGCAGCAAAATTTTCTGTAGGGCAACAGTAAGGTCAGAGGTGCCAGCTTGAGAGAGTAATTGTGGGGAGGACATCATGTATGTGAGCACTGCGCCTCCCTCCCTAAGCCATGCAGAAGATTCCCAGGTTTTGGGAAGGAGGCACCAGGGGAACATTTAGGGGACTAGCCTAGTCCCCCTAGTCCACTGACCACTAAAGGAGCCAATTCCTAGGGGCCATGGGGACTTTGGACCCCACAATAACACATTGGAAGCTACGCTTTGGTTTTTGAATGTTTTGGAAGTCAAATGGACTTCCAGAATGGATTCTGTACGACTTCCAAGGTATAACTTACATATCCAGAGTGAGCAAGAACACAACCAATGTGGTATAGAATGTGGCATAAGACAGCTTCCCATGTTCTACCTCTACAATCACGAAGGATTTTAATACCTTGATGCCATTTCTCCATCAAATTATGAAAGCTGCTTTGCTAAAAAAGTACCAGGACCAAAACAAAAGCACTAGAGCTACAGACTCCTACAGCCTGGGTTATTTTTAGTTCTCTCTTTGGTGGAAGCTGTTCCTGTTTCATGGTTCACAATCCCAATGTAGCAACATTTTGCAACAATGAATCTTTTAATGCACCATACTAAGAAAACAGTATTTTGCTATAATCTTGCTTACCATATTTTGTTGAATGATAGATTGAGGTCACGTAGCTTTAAAAGTTTGTCTAGTTTTTCAATCTTCTCAATCAGATTGTTACTGAGATTGAGGACCTCGAGTTTACCACACTTCTCGAGATTTTCTAGGTACTGAAAATATACACAAGATATAAAACTACTAGAATAGTGTTGACAGTGAGATAAAACAGTAGCCTTCTATTTTTCAGAGCCATGCTGACAAACAATTAATCATGCTATCAACTGAGATTAATAATCGAGTGTAATTGTACCAACTGATTTTGAATTTTTTTTTAAGTTTAACCCAAGAGGCATTTAAAAACTTATTTTGAGCATCTTAAATATTTGGAGGCAGCTTCTCAAGTGGCCAAATTCAGAGATGTAAAACGGTTGTAAAAAACCAGCTTTATCTCACTCTGATACTGAGAAAGAAATTGCAAAGAAAGACATCATTACTAGGTTTTCTGCTTACCTTTGGGCATAGCCACGATTTATTTTAGGGTGGCAGACTTTATGTTGGAGGGGGGCACAGAACCAAGTTATTTGTGATGCAATTGGTTAGTTAAATATTTTTATTTACTTATTTGAATTGGGGCAGGGGCACCTTCCCTCCCCTACAAACCTTTGGCTACACCCATGTGGTTACTCATCATTTTAAGCAAATTAACTCAATGAATTAAAGTTATTTTAAGCTGTGCCTAATTCCCTTCAACAGGACACCACATTTTATTTTTTCTTCCAATTGTCTTATTCACACTTCCTGGTAAACTATAGTCAATGATTTGCTGTGAATGTGCTGATCTTGGCCAATTTTTGCTCTTTCCAACTCATGCTAGAAAGAAACAAATTGCTGGTGTAGCTTTACATTCAAATCAGGGATGATGCTTTGTTACACTACCCCCAAAATCAGGAACTGGAGCCATGGTTTGTTCTTGGTTTACTGACTGGGGTCCTTTAATCAGGGACATAATGCTAAGTCACGGGTTTATTTTGTTTTCTCCATGTGCTAGTGGGAAACAATATTCAGGGTAAACCATTAACTATGATTTACTGCAGAGATAGCCAACATGGTACCTCCTCTAGATGTTCCCATTATCCCTTACCATTGGCCACGCTGGCTGGGGCTGATGGGAGTTTTAGTCCCACATATATAGGGCATACTAGCAACTCCTGGTCTACAATGAAATGTGAAATATGCTATTGTATTTAGTTTATTAAAATGGTGTCAGGACTTATTTGGGGAGCCTCCTGCCCTCTCAGAATGGGATCCAGCCAAGTGAACTCACTAGGAGTCTTTTTGTTTACACTACTCTCTTCAGGCACAGAAGGAAATAAAGGTGTAGAACATCAGCCTCTGTGATTTGCAATTTGTATGAATGCTCTGCATTGACTACTCGATATAAATTCTGGAGAGCCTGGTTTTCCACCCTTGCCTGGGCTGTAGAAAGGTTATTGCTTTTAGATAAAACCTCTAAGCTAGGGAATTCACTTCTTCTGGTCTGGATAATTTGCCTTGATAAATAGCCCCAGAAGCAAGTCATTGGAACAGGGAGTACCAGCAATATATAGTATAAAAAATTCGACTGTATACTTTTTAAAAGGCATGATATAAAGTCAAGGACTCTATGGGTAGTTTTTGTAGGCAAATTGGAATGTGCAGTGGTAGCTCTATATGCAGCAATTTTTTTGTTCTAGGTGAATAGACACAAGTGTGACATTCCCCTGAGTTCCATCAGGGGGAAAGGTGAGAGGAAAAATAATAATAAACATTATACCTTAAACTTCTTTCCCCCATCTTTGGCAAGGGAAAGATTTAGAGTAGTTACGCGTGCCAGATTTTCCTGTTTGGACAGCTTCTTGATAAGAGTCTCAGTTATGTATCTGATACCTGGACTGATAAAGTTGTCATCTGAAATGAACAATAAGGTGTTGCTGTGTGTGACAATACAATAATAGAAAGAAAAGCATTCAACTGAAAGTTTTGTCATAAAGGACAAAATATCTGATTGCATTAAAAAGTGCTTTTAGCATGTTCATAAAATATGTAGTATGACAAAGCAAACCTATTAGTGAGTTGTTTCTATCACTGAGCTAATAACTTAGGATACTGACACTTCCATCATGAACCTCATAATGGTCTATGTTTATTGACCATCAAACTTGCCATTTGTCCCCTTTGCTTTCCATTATCATGTCTCTTTACAATAGGAGTGCCTAACATGTAGCTCTCCAGATATCATTAGACTCCGATTCCTACTAGCCCCAGCTAGTATGGTCAAAAGTCAGGGGTGATAGTAGCTGCAGGGCAAAACATCTGGAGGGCCACAGGTTCTCCATCCCTGTTTTAAAAGTTCAGTAATTGTCTTTTCAAAGAAGGGTATTATCTTTCAATAATTCTTTTTCTATTTTTTATGGTTCCTTCTATTTCCCCTCACTTCTTCTCCTGAACTCTCTTCCTGAACATCTCTTACTTTAAAGGCATTCTTAAAAATTACTTTTCCATGAAACCTTTCGGCCTAATGCTTAGATTTCACTCCCAACTGAAACCAAGCAGGCATACCCTGACAGAACACTTATCCCAACATGAACATACCCAGATCCTATGTTCCAAAGCTGCCAGTCTTTGTCTTTGGCCTAGAATGCCCCCTTTCAGAGCTTTCTGTGAATTATTGCTGCTGGGAAAACTGCTGCCTGCAGCTTACTACCCACATGGGTGCAGCTAAGTTCTCCACCATGGCAAGTCCAACTACCCAGCATTGCTCCTCTCTATAAGCACTATGCTAACTTCTCCACCATCCATTAATGTGGAGAGTAGGGACAGAGTTCCAAATAATACAGCAAGATAAAAGAAATTAATCTAACAAAAACAAAAATAGAGAAAGTCCTCTCTCAAAGGTAGCTCTTAACTCTTGTCTCACACAGAAAGTGGTGGACCCTCCCACCTCTTTCCTTTCTTCTCCCAGTCACTCTCTCAGGGTCCTTCCACCAACCATGTTATTCTCAGTGTGCCCTGCCTGGTGCTGACTTCAACAACTTTTTGCTGCCACATTAAAACATGCCATAGTTTTGGGCAAGGTGTGCTGGGACAACTGAAAAGCTCCTCTCCTGTGTCACCAACCTCTGACCTTCTTTTGGATGGGGCACATGGAGAAGGACCTCCGGTTCTGAACAAAAGAACTCTCTAGTGGGCCCTCTGGCACCTCTAAACACACTCAGCTGCACCTGCCTGAGAACATGTTGTGCTCTTATTATCTACAAAATGCTCTAAATAGATATTAGTTTCTGGAATGCTCTTCCTAGGGAGCATCACCTGGTACCTTCTGTTGATGTCATTTTCATGCCAGGTGAAACAAGGCATTGTGTTATTTCCTGTCTTGAACTCTTTTTTCCCTGTGTTATTATTATATGAAATTTTATCTTGGTATTACTGTTTTTATTTTTATAATTTGTTGAGGTGCCTGGAAATACCGTGCTCTATAGTGGAATACATAGTTATCAAACAATCAAGAAATAAAAGCTAGTTCAAAAGCCATATTCTATTGTTCCCCCACCAAAATAAAATCAAATCCGGGCATATGTCTAGATCTAAATGTAAAAAATGTATAGTTTAAAATGCTATTAACTACTATACCTTGTCCAACTGAAGATTCAGAGGGAATTCCTGTATCACTTTCTTCAGGTGCATTTCCTTGACGCCTTTTCCCCTTTGTCAGATAAGTAGCTGGAATACCTCGTCTGCTCAACGGAGATGGTGACCTACTGCTTGAACTCACAGTAGACATTGGACTCCGAGTTCGAGATGAAGACAACAGTCTCTTTCTAAGTGGTGCTCTTTGTGGCTGGCCTTTCCTTATTGCACAGAATGCTGCATAGTATTAGGTGAAAAGCTACAAGCAGACAAACACAAGATCCTCTTTAAATCGTTTCCAAGGGCATAAAAATATTCATATAGCTGCTCAAATGTAATCTACAGATCTTAATTACTGGTTATGTTAAATGAACATTAAAGAAACTTTCTTTCAGAGCTTTTACAATTCTCATTCTTCATCCTTATTTTTAACTGTTCTTTCAAAAAGTGAAACTCAAAGTGACTTACAAAATGAACTTTAAAAATGAGGATAAACCAAAAAATAATAAGGAAAGCCACTAGTGCACACGTCCCTCAGTGCAACTTGCCTAGGCAGCCAGAGCTAACTCAAATTTCATGCCTTCTATCTTTGCTTACTTACCACGTCCTCAGTTTGCTTTCAGGAAGCTGTGGTTTCCCACCCCACCCCCACTAGTGCAGAAACACTTTAGCTTATATGAACAGTTTCTGTTAGAGTTGTAGGATAAGAAAACCAGCCAAAGAAGCAAACTACCTTAGAGATTCCTCCACCTACAACTACTTTCTTGAGGAAGAGTATTGTCAGTTGCCTGCCTATTACAGTTATAAACATGAATGGCAAACATCAGGACTGTTTTCTCCTTAACTGTTTCAGCAAAATAGGAGGCAACATAACACATTGCCTTTCCAAGAATACCTAAAGGCAGTTCAAACTGTTTCTGTTGCTAAAGCACATCTACTATCTGCCATCTCATTTGGACAGTAACAAAAAGCAGATCACAACATTAATTTTAGTTCACTTGATATATAAAGCATGCACCTTTTGATGACTCATATGGTCTCTGCTGTAGGCTCTTCAAAGCAACCAGTCATATTGCCCAAAGCTAACTTAAAACTAAGGCCATTGTTTATTAAACTGCTACGCTAAGGTACTTCTCCCTAACATTCTCTGCTGCTATGAGTCTGCAGAAGGAAAGGAAAGTACACTTTAACCTCTGCCACCAGTCAGGGATCCAATGGCCAGGGAAGACCATACCTCTTGACTCCTAGGAAGCAGGTAAGGCAAAAGGTAAATGACCTCTGGACGGTTAGGTTCAGTCAAAGGCGACTATGGGGTGTGGCACTCATCTCACTTCAGACCAAGGAAGCCAGTGTTTGTCCACAGACTGCTTTCTGGGTCATGTGGCCAGCATGACTAAACCACTTCTGGCGCAACAGAACACCATGACGGAAGCCAGAGTATACAGAAATGCTGTTTCCCTTCCCATGGCAGAGGTACCTATTTATCTACTTGCACTGGTATGCTTTTAAACTGCTAGGTTGGCAGAAGCTGGGACAGAGCAACAGGAGCTCACCCTGTCGTGCAGATTTGAACTACCAACCTTCTGATCAGCAAGCCCAAGATGCTCGGTGGTTTAGACATAAGTGCCACCCGTGTCCCCTCTCCTAGGAAGCACATCATGGCAAAAGAGAAATGAATGTGGCCCAATTCATTGGCTGCAGAAGGAGAAGCGGCACAGAGCTTGCTTCTGTCCTCTCTGGCAGAAATAACACTCAGCTCCAACTGCCAGTTGCCCTGAGTGTGCACAGCCAATTGGTCTCTGCCAAAGGCTTCTTATTTGTGTGAATGTAAAGGCGGGGAGGCTCAGTTTTCCAGATCAAATACAGCAGGGACGTCCAACTCCACAGATTGACCAGAAACACCCCGGGATCAACCAGTAGATCACTATTGACCTGTTGGACATGCCTGAAATATAGTATTAATGCTGAGAGAACAAGAACATCAAGAACTGGTGCCTAAATTTGCTTCTTTCCTTTCCCCTACCCATTATTTTTCATACATGTCTATTAGATTGTGAGTTTGCAGGCAAGGACTGAATTATCTTTTAATCTCTCTGCAACACTTGGAAACAATGGGTTCTTTATAAGGTAAGAATAGCACATGTATTATTTTAACTAGCTTCTTAAACACTTGTATAACTAACAAAACTAACATTGTGAGGCTGAGATGAAAAAGAAAATTCAAAAAAAGACTAATTTTGGGGGTTTTAGCCAATGCTAATCCCACTCAGTGTAGAACTATTGAAAATAATGGACAAAAGTAACTTAGATGCATTAATTTCAATGGGTTTACTCTGAGTAGCAGTGCTATTTTTCTAGAAAAAGAGATGATGGAACTTACAATGAACACCTCCCTTGTTCTCTTAGAATGGAAAAGGTGCTCACCTGAGAGGTGCAAGAACTGTGTTCTGGCAACTTCCGGCTGAAAAAAAGCCCTGCTGAGTAGAGCTCAGTTGACAAAAACCCTTTTGTCATACATGCTCTAATTTATTTCACCTAGATTTTAATACTCATAATCCTACATATCCTGCAAACAGCTTCATTGATTTGTTTAATCTGCCCACATATTATCTTTCTTTCATCTTCACTTTTTCTTTCCTAGCTATTTAACATTGTGGTTGGTGGTTAAATACTTCAGACTGGTTTGATACTGCTCTTTATCCTTGTTTACTGAAAGCATCATTAAAAGACACATCACTCAGAGTAGCTTATTTTTTTAAGAGCTGTCTTTTTGATGATGCTTTATAAAACAAGCCAATGTAACTTCAGACAGAACTTTGTTTTCATATCCATATGATGTTGGACAACTATCACCATATTGTACTTCACAATCCCACACACTCCTAGAAGTAGATTGTCTCCAAAATATGGAAGACATGAAACGCTCAAAGCAGAGAGGTTGAAGAAGCTGGGAAACATGAACAGCCTCCCCCAACAATGTGGCACTTGAAAGAAGGGCAGATTATTTATTACATCTTTATCCCAATCATTCTTCAAGAAGCATTGGGCCACATGTGATACAAAGGCATTTCCTAGAGGAAGCTTTTTTTGGAGTGTGTGTGAGTAGGATTTGCAGTGGCCCAAAGCTTATTTGGGGCTGCACACCTCCAGTTCTTTATTCATTTATATGTGTATTATTAGCATAGGGGTGCTATGTTTAACAGCATCTTGTATCAAAACAGTGTTGGAATGGACATGATGTTATTGTGCTTCATACAGGGCAGTTTCCCTCTTGTGCTTCATACAGGGCAGTTTCCCTCTTGTATTGCATGTTTTCACTTATTCTGGGGTGGGAAATCCCCAGTTTTTCATTCATGTGTGGCATGAATGAAATATTAAATATTAAAGTCCCTTGTGCAAAAACAACACTTTTAAACAGAGAAAATGCTGTTGCTTCTGGTCATTGTGATGTATGAAATAGGGTAGCCCTGTGATTATATTGGTGTGCAGAACAAGTACCTTATTGAGGCAGCTTATTTACTATCCTTAAAAAGAACTGCTTCTTTTAATCATGCTGCTCTATTTAAATTTTTTACATAAGAAATTGGGAACTAGACACCAGCCTCGAGCTCTTAGCATGCTGTCTGTTCACCAATGAAACGTCTGTCATGAAAGGCTTGCAATCCTATACTCGCATATTGACAATAAATTCCTTGCACTCCATGGTTCTTACTCCTGAATAGACATGCACTGTAGATTGCATTGTAGATTCTTAACTGTGCTATACTATACTCAGGTAAACCTGACTCAGTTCAGCGGGAGCTTTAGTTCATTCTCCCCTGTGGGTGGGGTTCCTCATCTTTTCTGGATTACCAAGAAAGTTGGGTAGAAAATAGGGCTGCTGCTGCTGCTTGAATTTGTTGTTTTAATTTGCTACATTAGTGTGCATTATTATTGCATTTCATTTATGAATAGCTTTCCATGAAACACCTTGAAGAAAGTAACAATAAAAACACCAATAATAAATCATCAGTAAAAACAATTTCAAATCCAAGACAGACACAGACTGGGATAAAAATCTCTACTTTAAAGGATTTTTGAAAAAGGAAGGTCATAATAATATTTTTCTATTATTATTATTATTTATCACCATCATTTATTTATTTATTTATTTAGCAGGACATAGAAACAGTGGTATAGGATAATCATATTTAAATTGCACTGATATGCAATGAAATTATTATGATTATTTTTTAAAAAGAAGACTGACATGTAATGCAAGTATTTTTTATTATGAACATTATTTTTAAATTGCACTTCTCTCTTTCTCACTACAGTCATACCTTGGCTCCTGAACTCATTGGTACTCAGACCTTTTGGCTCCCAAATACTGCAAACCTGTGAGTGTTCCGGTTTGCAAACATTCTTTGGAACCCAAATGTCCGACAGGGCTTCCGCGGCTTCAAATTGGCTGCAGGAGTTTCCTGCAGCCAATTGGAAGCTGCGCTTTGGTTTCTGAACGTTTTGAAGTTCCGTTCGACTTCCAAGGTACGACTGTATTCTGTTTGCAACCCTGGAACACATGTAGTGTGCTTTATTTTAAAGGATTTGGTTGTATTCAGCTAAGTTCTACACTGAGGACACCCACTGAAAATAACAGATCTAAGTAAGTTATGCTCATTATTTTCAGTAGGTCTGTTTTCTCAGTAGGAACTATTATTATTGATTTATTAATCACCTTATAAATCACCATCTCAAGGCAATTTACAGATGAAACAATTATAACCAGGTACACTTAAAACAGAAGGGACGCAGGTGGCACTGTGGGTTAAACCACAGAGCCTAGGACTTGCCGATCAGAAGGTCGGTGGTTTGAATCCCCACAACGGGATGAGCTCCCGTTGCTCGGTCCCTGCTCCTGCCAACCTGGCAGTTCGAAAGCACGTCAAAATGCAAGTAGATAAATAGGTACCGCTCCGGCGGGAAGGTAAACACCGTTTCCATGTGCTGCTCTGGTTCACCAGAAGTGGCTTAGTCATGCTGGCCACATGACCCAGAAGCTGTACGCCGGCTCCCTCGGCCAGTAAAGCGAGATGAGCGCCGCAACCCCAGAGTCGGCCACGACTAGACCTAATGGTCAGGGGTCCCTTTACCTTTACTTACACTTAAAACAAAAACGAAACCTTAACAAATGAACACTCGTAGTAATACTTGTCATCGCATATGTGACAAGTGCACACAACCGGAGCTTCTTTCTGTTTAAAAAGGAAAGGTCAGAGTTTATTTTGTTCCTTTTCTTCCTCTGGCCCCACCCCCTGAAACTACTCTTACCATTCACCCTGTTAAAACATAAATTTATGCTGAAAGTGTGTGAGATAGAAATTATTTATTTATTATTTATCAAAGTTGCCCGTTGTTTATTATTGATTAATTAATTGAGGAGCACAGGGCGATTTACAGTATAATGATCCTGCCCACGGCAACCCTAAACCACTTACAACCAGACAGACAATAAAGCCCACTTAGATACATTAAAACCATGAGGAAAGAGAAACACATTTAAAAAAAATCCCATCCACTTACTTCTAAAAGTCAACAGAAATCCAAATAATCAAATATCTAGAAAGAGAGAGAGAGAGAAAATAAACTAATCCTTCCTCCTTCCCTTAACCTGTGTGGGGGCCCTGAGGTCCGACACCCCACACACCTCCCCAAAGAGAGTAAGGGCGTCCCGACTCCTCCTTTCCCTTTGGATGCGCTGAAGGGACGAAGCCACTCAACCGCAGCCGCCCAACGGCCAATTCCCGCCTGCGTTCCCTGAGGGCGCCGCTTTGATTACTCCCGTCGCCATGGCAACCCCTCAGGGCGCGGGCAGAGCCTCACCGTCACGGCTAACATCGAGGGCTTGCGGGGGAGCCGCTGCCGGGCTCGCTCGTGGCCCGGCTCGCTTTTATATAAATGTCTTCTCGACCGTCTTCCCCTTTCCTTCTTCCCTCCAGTTTTCAAACTTGATGGAAATTAAACAGGAAGGCAGCGGCTCAGCGCTCGCCGGTGAGGATTTGCCTCACGCTGACAAGCCGATCCTTTTAACAGCCCGGCGACGCCATCTTTGACGGCTTTGAAAAGGAGAGAGAGAGAGGGTTGGAGCGCGGGGGCGGGGCTTCCCGCAGTGACACGCCCCCGCCCCGCCCCCGCTCGCTGTCTCTTTTTAACTGTTCTTCGCCCAGATATAGGTCGTTGGGCGCTTTCCCGCCTTTTATTGTCAATGTCTCCGCCTACTGTTTCCGCGTCTCTTACTATGGCTCTTATAACTAACTAAAGGTAAAGGTACCCCTGCCCGTACGGGCCAGTCTTGTCAGATTCTAGGGTTGCGCGCTCTTCTCTAGAGGACGGACACTTCCGGGTCACGTGGCCAGCGTGACATCGCTGCTCTGGCGAGCCAGCACCAGCGCAGCACACGGAACGCCGTTTACCTTCCCACTATAAAGCGGTACCTATTTATCTACTTGCACTTAAGGGTGCTTTCAAACTGCTAGGTGGGCAGGAGCTGGGACCGAAAGACGGGAGCTCACCCTGCGGGGATTCGAACCGCCGACCATACGATCGGCAAGTCCTAGGCACTGTGGTTTTACCCACAGCGCCACCCGCGTCCTTTATAACTAACTAGCCCCCTCTAAAGGCGAGTCTTGTTGAGTTAAATGGGGCTGCAATGTTGGATCCACTTACTTTGGAGTAAGCCCCATTTAACTCAATAGGAGTTACCTCAGAGGAGGCTTGTATATAGGCTGGCACTGTTGTTTTGTTTATTTGTATTTATTTCAACACGCGGGTGGCGCTGTGGCAATAAAGCGAGATGAGTGCCGCAACCCCAGAGTTGTTCGCGACTGGACTTAACTGTCAGGGGTCCTTTACCTTTACCTATTTATTTCAACACACGTATAAGGGGCCTTTCAGGGCGAAGCCGCCGAAGGCTGCTTGCAAAATGCAGACCCTCTGTTTGGGAAAAGTGTTGTACAGAACATGTTCTCTCTCTCTCTCGATATTTGATTATATATAACACATTAGTTTTTAATGTTTGATGTCTAATTTTGTTTTAATTTGTCGGAAGTAGCCCAGCGTGGCTGAAGCAACCCAGTTAGATGAGCAGCATATAAATTATTATTATTATTTACCTATTTTCCCCCTGAAACAACACATGTGAGGGAATATGGTATTTCAGATAGCTTGGACCTAAGTCATATGGGGCTTTATAAGTCTTAGGCCAACTATGTAGCTGTTCATGCAACTTAAAAATCACATTTGTCTTTTTTTGCAGTCTCATCACTCTGCAATCTCATGTTCAGCTTGTGATGAACTATAAATACTCATTCTGAAGGAAGGGGTGGTGCCTAAGGGTCTAATTTATAGTGAAAGGCTAAAGGATGGGCAAGAGAGGAGATGTTGGAAATTCTAAAATGTCCTGAAATTCAGTACACTACTACATTTCCTTTAAAGCCAGTAAGAACATCCCATAAAAATATAAAAAAACATAGCTATGCCAAACAAAGGCAGAACCATGCTACCCTTCAAATTATGGGCCAAAGTTAAGGGCCATGGGAAAATAAAAGTATTTACCTGGTGCCTAAAGACGGATTAAGACGGCACCAAGTGTGCCTCACTGGAAAGGGCCCACCACTGAAAAGGCCAGATCTTGTGCTTTCACACTCTGAACTTCCTATGGGGCAGATGAAGAAGGGCCTCAGATGGATGATTGCAGGGTCCAGGTTGGCTCATGTGGAGAGAGTTCCCTATTTTTTAATCTATTCATTAATGATCAGCAACAGAAATTAATTGCTGTAACAAGTAATTAGGTTCTGTGATAATACTGATTTGTAAGTAAGCATATATAGTTATTGTTTATTACTTACAAGGGTGCATACATCAGGCTACTCCATCTAGGCACTGAGCAGGCTGAGACCTGTTTAACTTCAGCAATGTGGTTGCCACATGAAGGCCTTTTACGGCCTAGGACCCTCGTACCTACGGGACCGCCTCTCCTGGTATGCCCCACAGAGAAACTTACGGTCTTCGAATAAAAACATCTTGAAGGTCCCAGGCCCCAGAGAAGTTAGGCTGGCCTCAACCAGAGCCAGGGCTTTTCGGCTGTGGCTCCGATCTGGTGGAACACTCTGTCACAAGAGACCAGGGCCCTGCGGGACTTGACATCTTTCCGCAGGGCCTGCAAGACAGAGTTGTTCCACCAGGCCTTTGGCCAGGGCACAGCCTGACTCCCTCCTTCGGCAATCTTCGTGGAGCTCTGGCCCAATGGTTGCCAGTGGCTTGAATTAATTAATTTTATAACGAATGATTTTAGACTGTTGTTTATGCTGTACTTTTGTACTGTTTTATTGTTGTTAGCCGCCCTGAGCCCGGCTTCGGCTGGGGAGGGCGGGATATAAATAAAATTTATTATTATTATTATTATTATTATTTTATAATATTTTAACTAAGATATATTGTAATGTTTCAGGCATGAATTTGGTAATATTATTGGTTATGAAAAGTATTTTCTTTTTTAGTTTGCATTTTGGAAAACATGTATATAAATGTGTTTACAGTGTTATGTATTGCTTTTTGTTTCTTTTTCTTTTCTTGTAAAATTCAATAAAAATTAATAAATAAAGAAGCTTGAGGTTAATTTTTTTTTAAAGGCCTTTCAGAGCCTACACTTAGACTATATCGAACAACAGGGCGATAATCACAACAACAGTGAAGGAGATCCGTATTGTGTGCAGCAGTGCTGGTGGTGGGAGGATGCCACTGTTTTTGCTCACCTCACAAGCTCTCTGGTTTCTGGAATGCAGTATGCTGAAAATGGGCCTGAAGGATTTCACACAACAAATTTTTGTGGTGGTTCCATGCTGCAACATTTTGTTGCACTTTGTAGCAGTATATTATCAAATGCAGTATTGTTTACAATAGATCTCCCATTCCTGAGTACTGTGTCCCATGTGTTTGGATTTTCTTTCTTCCACATAATATTTTTCTAACCTGTGAGGACCCCCAAGAAAGCTAAGATGACTCCCCTCTTTGCACATGACAAGGGATAACTTTCTTACTTTTCACATGGGAGGGAGAAGTGACCTGCTAAGTGTGAAGGGTATGGGTATGATTTCATTGGTCAATGATTTCTTTTGCAAACAGTCTTTCCTGTAAATGTTGGTTAAAGTATTTGTTTAAACTTGCAAAATCTTGCATAACATCTGTTTTCCCAGGACATTCCACTTAGCGTGCACAAATCAAAGACAGACATCTACAGAGGCACATGTCTACACAGTTATACTATATTTAAAAAAGCGGAAGACAGCAAGCTTACAATACCAACTTTGTTCTTACACTAAAAGTCTAACACCCACAAAATGAAGGCAAGTGCAAAATTGCTGCTGGGGTGGGTGGGTATGGCCATACGATCTTAGAATTAAGGGAAAGGGTCCCTCTGTTCAGCTCATATCACAGTCCATGGTTCTTTCAAACAAAAACTCACTCCAGAGTTTATTCACAAGCTTTATTTAGATGCTCAGACAACATACGTTTAAAGCACATGGCTCCCCCAAAGAATCCTGGGAACTGCACTTTACCTCTCATGGAGTTACCATTCCCAGCATCCTTAACAAACTACAGTTCCCAGGATTCTTTAGGGGGAATCACATGCTCTAACTGTATGGTGTGTACACAGCCTGGCATGTTAGTGTGTCCTAGATACCGCACACAGTGTGGCAATAATGGCTCTAGGTTTTACTGGAAGTAAGGTTCCAGCATCAATATATAGGCAGTAGTAAGGAATCTTTTTTTGATCAAACTGCGGGAGGCAGTGGAAGACAGGAGTGCCTGGCGTGCTCTGGTCCATGGGGTCACAAAGAGTTGGACACGACTAAACGACTAAACAAAGGAATCTTTTTGGACGCGGGTGGCACTGTTGGTTACACCACAGAGCCTAGGGCTTGCCGATCAGAAGGTTGGCGGTCCAAATCCCTGCGACGGGGTGAGCTCCCGTTGTTCGGTCCCTGCTCCTGCTAACCTAGCAGTTCGAAAGCATATCAAAGTGCAAGTAGATAAATAGGTACCTCTCTGGCGGGAAGGTAAACGGCATTTCCGTGTGCTGCTCTGGTTTGCCAGAAGCGGCTTAGTCATGCTGGCCACATGACCTGGAAGCTGTACGTTGGCTCCTTCGCCCAGTAAAGTGAGATGAGCGCCGCAACCCCAGAGTCGTCCGTGACTAGACCTAATGGTCAGGGGCTCCTTTACCTTTACCTTTAAGGAATCCTTTTAATCCCAGAGGCCACATTCTCTCACTGCAGGCAACCTTCTGGATACGTACATGTCAGTGCTGAATGAGATCGGAAACAAAAGTGGGTGAGGCTAGATGTAAAAGCGAGCAGAACAATGGATATGATTCTTATCTTTATATGGTAGGGTATTTTCCAGCCATGCTGAAGCCAGAAGTTTCTACATATACTCACCAGCATACAGTCAAGTAAGAGGCATAATGACACTTCAAAGACACATTCCAGCTAGGCACAAGCAATTAAGAAGGGTCTGGAACAGGGTGTGGTGAGGTGATATGGCCTGATGAAAGTGGTTGTGGCTGGAAACAGTTCCAGGGGCCTGATAGTAAGTGTGGAGGGCTGCATTTGATCTGCAGCCTTAAAGCCCCACTTCTCCTTTTGATGGATTGAGAAATGAAATAAGGAGGTTATCAAAGTGGCTTTCCTAGTTTTAAATAAACAAGCAAATTCTAAAAAGGCATATACATAAAATAACAATGAATAAAAGATGTTAAGCAACTGTGTTGTTGTTTTTAAAAAAACATGTTTAATGTTTTTAAAAACATATGTTTAGTGTGGTACTATTAGACAGTTCAATAATTGTGTAATCTTTATTTATACAGTGAGTTTATCCTGAGACATATTTTCTAACTTTTAAACAACACAGTTGACAACTATTAGACAGTTCAATAATTGTGTAATCTTTATTTATACAGTGAGTTTATCCTGAGACATATTTTCTAATTTTTAAAAAACGCAGTTGCCTCAACATCAAGCTAGACATAGAAAAGATAAACCAAAATGAAGCATCATGTTCCAGCCAATCTCTGCAAACCTTTCAAAAGAGGAAGATCTTGCATTACTTCCTAAAAGGTTTGTATTCTCTGGGGAGGAAGGAGTGTCTCCCTCGACAATATCTTCCTCTGTATGCACAAGATTAAAGACATACAGAAATGAAATCTCCGAATTAGGTGCTCCTGTTTGACCCAGCCAACTTAATTTTTTTCTGGAATAGAGAAGGGGAATTTTTCTGTGATGAAATGAAAATCCTCTTCAGATATCAGAGATCTGATGAATGATTAACTTAGAGAAATTTTGCTAGCAAATTCCATTTACAGAGTTGCAGGCAACCAGAACACCAAAAGGCTTGTCTTCCCATCAGTCTCAGCTGCTCAGGGCAAACATGAATCTTCTTGGTATTTTCTTATTTCTGGCCTTTTGTGGAAGAGGTTTGACTCAGGAGCAAACGTAAGTAAGGGTTGCTTGTGTCTGTTGTTGTGTTAAAATGGGGCAGATGCAGAATGGGGCTGTCGGGTTGCTAACTATGACAAGATTGCAAAGAATTCTCCAAGAGTATTGCTGGATTCCATTTACTATTGCTGATGCAAAAGTGGTGCTTTTGATTTTGGAAGCCTTAGGTAATATGGACCCTTTGCACTTCAAAAAGCCTCTTCTTCCATAGCTTTGTACTGATAGTATAAGGCCAACAGTAGGTGGTCAGACGCGGGTGGCGCTGTGGGTTAAACCACAGAGCCTAGGACTTGCTGATCAGAAAGTCGGCGGTTCGAATCTCCATGACGGGGTGAGCTCCAGTTGCTCGGTCCCTGCTCCTGCCCACCTAGCAGTTCGAAAGCACATCAAAGTGCAAGTAGATAAATAGGTACCACTCTAGCGGGAAGGTAAACGGCATTTCCGTGCGCTGCTCTGGTTCACCAGAAGCGGCTTAGTCATGCTGGCCACATGACCCGGAAGCTGTACGCCGGCTCCCTCAGCCAATAAAGCGAGATGAGCACTGCAACCCCAGAGTCGGTCACGACTGGACCTAATGGTTAGGGGTCCCTTTACCTTTACCTTTAGGTGGTCAGAGCCAATGGTTGAAAGCAACAAGGCAGGCAGATGGGGGCTGGCTGAGAACAGGCTGAAGGTAGTGCGGCAGTACCCCATTTGTCCTTATGCACTAGTCTCCGCTGCTGCTGCTGGCATCACCTGAGACCCTGCCTCAGGTAAGCAGCACCTGCCTCAGGTAAGCAGCACCACCCTCATTCCTGAGCTCCTTGCCCAAATATGTCCACCAACTAGCCTGTCATGGTACAAAAAGGCATTTGGAGATGTGACGCTCAAATTATATGCAGTGCTGAGTCCTGGGTAGTTTACTCCTTGCTTGTTTTCTCTTCAGCTGCTTTCTCATCAGACCCCCCTCTCCCTCTCAAGATGCTTCCCCTCCCAGCAGGGGAACAACTATAGGGTCTTGTTTTTTTTCCAGAGGTGGAGAATCTTTTTGCCCACACAGGGCCACATATCCTCATGAGCAACCTTCTGGGTGTCAGAGGCAGAAAAGTGGATGGAGTAATATATGCAATGCTTATGTTTATACTATTGTTTGTTTGTTTTATTTAATTATTAATTAATTTGTATTCTACCCTTCCTCCCAAAAGAAGCCAGGCTGGCAAACACATACACAACTTAAAACAAAGACAGAAATAATTTAAAATAGTTAAAACATTTTAAAAACAATTATAATTTAAAACATCTAAAAGCAGTTTACAGTAACAAACATTCTCCGAAATAGTGTTTCCAGGGTTGCCAGGATCAGGATTATTTGGTTTGCAATTCCCTGGGTGAACAGCAATGTTTTCAAACTCCTCCTGAAAGTTATTAATGATGGAGACAGATGCACCTCATCAGGGAGAGCAGACTACAAATGGGGGGTGGGCCACCACAGAAAAGGCCTGTCAGGGATCAGGGCCAACCAGAAAAGGCCTGTCAGGGATCAGGGCCAACCAATAAGGCCACACCTGCGAATTGTAGGATTTGAGATAGTTGGTAGAGGGGAAGTCACCCTTTTAAGTATTTGGGTCCCAAGCCAATTAGGGTTTTAGAGCTCCCATTGCTTGGTCCCAGCTCCTGCCCACCTAGCAGTTCGAAAGCACGTCAAAGTGCAAGTAGATAAATAGGTACTGCTCCGGCGGGAAGGTAAACGGCATTTCCATGTGCTGCTCTGGTTCGCCAGAAGCGGCTTAGTCATGCTGGCCACATGACCCGGAAGCTGTATGCAGACAAACGCCGGCTCCCTCAGCCAATAAAGCGAGATGAGCACCGCAACCCCAGAGTCGGTCACGACTGGACCTAATGGTCAGGGATCCCTTTACCTTTACCTTTATCTAAGCGATGTACAAGCTCAAAACTGAGTTCAAAATGTACAAGCTCAAAACTGCGGACAAATGCCAGCTCCCTCAGCCTATAGAGTAAGATGAGCGCACAACCCCAGAGTCGTCTATGACTGGATGTAATGGTCAGGGATACCTTTACCTTTAACTAACACCTTGCATTGTGCCTGGTAGCTCATGCGCAGCCAGTGCAGTGCATTCAGGACAGTGTCACGTGGTCCCATAAGGCTGCTCCACTTATCAATCTAGCATCTGCATTCTGCAGTAGCTGCAGTCTCTGGACCATCTTTAAGGGCAGCACCACATAGTCCAAGTGGGAGTTCACAGGAGTATGGACAACTGACCCTGGGCATAAGCACTCTTAACTGCAGAAGCAATTTGAGAATTGAGTGGCAGCTGGAATCCAAGAGCAGCCTCAGACCACAACCCTGATTCTCCAGGGGTGATTCAATCCCTCCCTACATTCCAGGCTACATTGCAGCAAGATGAAACTCAGATCTTCACGCAGGCAAGCAAACTAGGCTGTGCCAACGCCATATCTTTAAAGCACCGCCCCCCCGAAAAACCCCATGGGAAGTGTACTTTACCCCCTTCAAAGCTACAGTTTCCTGCACCCATAACAAACAACGGTTCACAGGATTCTTTTTTTTGGGGGGTGTGTGTATGTGCTTTTAAAGGTATGGTGCATACTGAACCACAAAGGCATTGTTGCAGCTGAAGTCAATTAAATGCATGGAGCAATGCCAGTCATGGCCTAGGGAGAAGGCGTGACCTGGATAGTGTCGCAAGGGCCAGATAGAGTGGTCTGGAGGGGCCACATCCATCCCTAAGGCCTGAAGTTCCCCATCTCTACCACATCTGGGGCTGGGAAAAACAGTAGCTGGAGGGAAAATAGTTAAGAACCCATCTGCACAATATGTTCTCCTTTCTTGGGGGGGGGGGGGGAGTTGCTTCAGTCAGCCTTCACAGTTATGTTCCTCTTCCTTTTAACCAACCTCAGGCAGGGGAAACCTGCACAGGACTCTATGTCACTTGTATTTTCAGCTGTGTTTTCAGATACTCTTTCGATCCCCCTGTGACATTTTAATATTGCTGTCAGACTGGTTCTGTTTGTCTTATTTATTTAAATGATTACGGGCTGACAGTGTTGTTTACGTGATTTGTGTAATTCACCTTGAGGGCTCCTTTCATGCCAAAAGCCAGGTAAGAAAGAATAATAAAGAGGATAAGGTCAGATACACAGTGGCAGCCAGCCAGCCAGGGTAAGATCAGGAAGACGATATGCTGATTGCAATATGCTGACTTATCTGACAACCCTCATGGAAACAATGGCCATGTGATTTTGGGCAGGAATTCAGCCCTGCAAAGCCTGCAGCACTTAAGGATATGAGGCACCTTATTTCCAATATTTCTTTCTGGTTGTGGATATTCAGGTTTGGTGCAAGTACATTTTGGTGAGAGAACCCCAGCAGAGATCTGAAATCACAAAATATGCAGCAAAGTAAAGTATGGAAATATAGGCTGTAAGACCTTTAAAATATGCACTTCAAATTGAGTTCCAAAGGTTCCCTATTCCCCTAGCATTGAAAAAAAAAAAAAGACTACATGTTTGATAAGTTTAAAAATGTGCTTTCCTTTCTTTTTTCATAATTATTTTTATTAAAGTTTTCACAATACAATAAAACAATATCTAGAGCAGATAGAATTGAAAAGACATGAGAGGAGAGAGAGAAATGGGAAAAGAAAACAAAAGGAAAAAAGGAAGGAAGGAAGGAAGGAAGGAAGGAAGGGGGAGAGAACAGAGAGATAAGAAACATTAGAGATAAAGAGAGGTGGTTCACTATCATGTTGTGCAGGCATGGCAACTCTAGGGGGCAACTCAGCACCACCGATGACTTCCTTTAGCACCACATTTCCCAGGCACAGGTCTGTGTCTCAGTGGTTTTTCTTTTGTCCTGCAACTTTCCTCAGGAAAACTCACATTTCACCATTCAGCAGTAAAACACAGTTTCGCCTGGGGAAAGCGGGGAAGCTTGGATACAGAGCTTTAAAGTCCAGCACAAAAGGCAGTCTGGATGAGCCCTAAGTGGGGCAGTCTGCCCTCTCTTCCGAGCTACAGCTTAGGGTTGGCGTGCCATCCCTGAAGAACCTTTACAATGATCTCCTTGCTATGGATCCAGCCTAATGCCCTTTGTTGTAGGATCAGAATAGCGGTTGGGAAGGCACAACCTGAACCACCTTAAATAGCTCAGTTGTGGAGCAGATTTCCTGTAGCAGTTGTGAGCGTGGTTTTATTTTGAGAGTATTTTCTCAGCTGCTATAAAGTGAGATGTGAATAAACTCAGTGCAGAAGTGAATACGTATAACTAGGATTGCCACCTTTTCAACTTGCCTGCATAACTGCGCCTCTATTAGCAGTGGTGGCTGGCAGCATTTGGGATGGAAGGCCTGTGCCCTGCTTGCTCTAAAGTCACCATAGTCAGTTCGGGTTTCTCTAGGGGAGCCAGAAGTTCTTACCTACCCCAATTCAGTAACTAATAGATGCAGAAGAAGAAAAAAGTACTTGAGGGGTTATTTACAAGGATGTGGTGAAGTATTACCTGCCTGGAGAAGAACAGGAAGAGGCAGTTCTGAGAAAAAAGGTGTTCTTATAGGGTTTGGTCAGTTTGTTTTAAATATGGAAACTGAGCACAGTTTATCCTTATATAAACGGAGTACATGGGCCCCCTGCTGTTGACTGTCATTTAAGTGCTTAATAAACCTACCCCACCCCCATTTTTCAGACAGTACTTTATCAGCTTTCCTTGGAATCCATAAAAAAAATAAAATGATGCCCCTTTCTCTTACAGTTATGTCGTTTCTTCACCCAAAATGTTCCGCGTTGGGGCCTCTGAGATGGTGGTGATTCAAGCCTTTGGATATGAACAAGAGTTTCCAGTCACAGTATCTGTGAAAAGCTTCCCAGATAAGCAAACTACTTTCGCCTCTGGTCGTGTTCAGTTAACACCTGCCAATAAGTTTCAAGGAGCTGTAACGTTAACGGTATGTAGTACAGCATTTCTGATACATGTGTGTGCTTGGTTTATAACAATGGTGGGGAACTTCAGGCCCTCCAGGCCTCTCTATGTGGCCTTCAGAACTCCCCACAGACCTTACCCACCACTGGCCCTGCTTTGTACTTTAAAGCGTTTTTGTCTGGCTTGAATGTGTCTTTGAACTATAATAATGCCTCTTGCTTGCCTGGTTGGAGGACAAAGTAGGGTTATTAGTGTATAGAAAGTCACCTACTGTACAAAAATACATCCATTCACTTTTGCCTCTGGTCATGCCCACCATTGCAGGGGGTGGCCCATCCCATAGATTCATAGCTAACTGGGAATTTGAACCCTGGTCTCCTAGGTCCTGGTGTTATGTATTGAAGTTCTCACCCTGGCCACCAGGAGTATCGTGTATATAGTTTTCACTCAGGTCCACGTCAGTTATTTTAGGCGGGAAACCCTGGGTTGTTGTTGCTACAATGTTGACAGCCGGCTGCCTATAAAAGCAGACCGGCTGAGCTGTTTGCTGTTCAGTTCTGTTCCAGCTTGCAAATAAAGAGCTGCTTTGCAGAAATCGCTGTGTCGTCTGCTATGTCTACCCACTATTTAACACCTAGTACATCAACCTAATCATAAGTCCATACTAGCTCTCTTGTACTCTTTTAATTATTTTTTGTTCGTATTTTTGATTACATGTGCTTGCATGTGTATTTAATATAGTTTATTTATGTTCGTGTGAAGGCTTTGCCCAAAAACATTTTAAAATGTTTAAATAAATAAATCATGACTTAACATATGCAGGGCAGTACCCTTGCAACCACAAAATGCTATCTGTCACTGTTTTCCTCCAATGGGTTACTCTGGCATGCATGTTTTTAAAACTATTCTCTATCACATTTCTAGATTCAGCCAAAAGATTTGTCAAGCAGAGACCCAAAGAATTCAATTGGGCATGTGTATTTGGAAGCCATTTCTCCACACTTTACAAGAGAGAAGAAAATGCCTATTACATATGAGAATGGTTTTCTCTTTATTCAGACTGACAAACCTGTTTACACCCCGGATCAGTCAGGTAAAGTCAGCTTTCCTTTTGCTAAACACTTGGTGGCAATTCACATTATCCTGATCTTGTTTTATTTAAAAGTCCCAAACATTTTTAACCTATAGCACTGAATCAATTAATAATTCAACTTGTGGTCTTCCAAACTTCTTGTGTGTGTTCTGCTATGTGTCATTGACACAATAGCACAATAATAGTGCAGTAGTAGTAGGTCTCTGTTGCAGAAAAGCAAATACTGTAAATTCCCTCTCTTGAGTTTGTAGTTACTGCATGTGTTACTTTAAACCACACAAGACACTGTTTGTCCAGTGATCTAGCCAATGATCTCTGTCAAAGTTAATTCCACTCCTACAAGCTTAGCTATTTTGTTGTTTCTTCCAACTTATTGAGACAAGATGTCAGCTACTTTCTCTCTTGCATCTCCTCTCATCCTGTAAGTCGTTCCAACATGAATATATCCTTTGAACTCCAGAAACTGCAAGTGATTATTCCAATATAATTCATCCAAGCTACAAGGTCTGCTAACAGTCCCATATTGTGGCCATTTCCTCCTTATTAGCCTTCCACCAGCAGGCTAAAACCTTCCTATTGAGATAATTGCTGGTTCTAAATGTGTTTTGATGTATTTTAACTATTGCATTTAACTTTCTTTCTTTCTTTCTTTAATTGATGTTTTTAAATTTTGGAAGTTGCCTTGAATCTCATCTTGGGGGTAAGGCAAGATATAAATAAAAAAATAGAATCCACACACAGAAATGCAAAGCTTATGCATGGTGACGTCCTGCTACTTAGGTGATACCTAAGTGTGCATCCTGACTCCCCACCCCCCGAAAATGACATGAGTGTAATCTGTCTGGTGATTAATTATAGTTAACATTGGTTGCTGTTGATTGCCATTGCACTGCTGCTGTGGCTGTGTGTGTTTCTTTTGCTATTGGTTGATGGTTTTCTTGTGCTTATGATTTTGTTGGTAGCTGCCTTGGGAGGCCCTAATGGGACTGAAAGTGAGGGAAAGATTTCCTTATAAATAAAGTAAGTTAAATAAGCATTTTTACATTACAGTGAAGGTCAGGGTCTATTCTTTGAATGAAGAACTGAAGCCAGCACAAAGATCTGCCACCTTAACATTTGTGGTGAGTCTAACATGCAGCTAGACACATTTTGTGCCATATCAAAAAATATTAATTTTTGCAGTGTGAAATTAGCTTTTGTGCACTTGTGCATATGAGATTTATTAAGGAGCTAGGCAGCTTATTTTTAAAAGGGGCAGATGAGAAAAAATGAAAAAGAAGAAGAAGATGGTGAAACCAGTCCTCTTGAAGTATTTGTAAACTTTTATTAATATTGTATTATGGAACTAATTACTTGACTAGTCAAAGGAGTTTATTGACTTATATTGAACTCTAAAGCATATATGTAGGTGTATGATTGTTATAATTAGAAAACAAGCAGAATATCATGCAGTTATGCCATAGTGCATGTAAAAAACTCTTTCCTCACATTATCCTGTGCACATGTGAAAAATTCTTCTATTTCGAACTGAGGCAGGGCTCAGCTTCATAATTATGCCATGTTGAGTATGCGAGTGATTTTAGCAGGCACTAACAAGCGTATGGGGAAGGTGCCTGCTTGATTTCAATAGGCAGGGAGTTCCAAAGTACAGGCACTGCCACACTTTGTCGTTCAAAGCAGTCAAAGAGCACCAGGAATAGTAAGGAACACCAGGTGTCCTTATGTGGCCTGGAATAATCATTTCCGCCAAGAACTTGAATTAGCAGCTTTCACTGAGCAGCTAGGGGAATGCTCAAGCTCTTGATGGAATATAATTGTGGTCTTTCGTTGCTTCATTACAGTCACACCTTGCATTGAAAGCACATGGCTCACCCCAAAGCATCTTGGGAACTGTAGTTTGTTAAGGGTGCTGGGAGCTGCAGCTCTTGTAATAGGTAAGTTACAGTTCCCAGATTCCTTTGTGGGAAGCCATGTGCTTTAAAGTTCATTACAGATAGTTTAAACATATGGTGTGGGTGTGATAGCCTTGTCCAGTTCAAAAATATCCTAAGTTGGAGATAATTCATTTAAAAAATTGGTAAAAAGATTCAAAAGAGCATACAGCCTTTGTGGATTTCTGTACCTGATTATCCTAAGACATATATGCTATCTTACTCATTTGGATAATTAACATTGTGCCATAGCTGTAAAAGCTGTTTTTATTTTCTGTAAAGGATCCTGATGGAGTAGAAGTGGATATTATCGAAGAAGAGGACGTCACTGGGATTTTATCTTTCCCTGACTTCAAAATCCCACCATATCCTAAGTAGATCTGTTCATATTTTAAATGTTATGGGTTGAATGAAACCTTTCCTTTATTTAGTATGAGGGATGTGTGCTCAGTCAGCTTTAAAGTCTTTTTTATATAGCCTGAATATAGTGGATTGACCAGGACTTATCCCATGGTGCAGCGAATATTTGTCACTACTGTCAAATAATTTTGGAGCCTTGACATGGTGGAGGGGGGGTGGGGGTTTCAGTATCATTTTACAAATCCATTCATTAGATAAAACCTCTCAAAACTGGAGACCAAATATTGAGCGGAAGGGAAAGGAAGAAGGCTTGTCTCCACTAGTGGTTGATATGATGGGGCAGAGGCACTTATCTGACCACCTGACAGGTGAGTTGCTGCTCATTTCTGGAGGGTGAGGGGTGAGGTGGTGACAAGCTCAGCATGGTGCAAACACGATGGCTGAGCCCATCCAGCACTCCTGTTGATACTTCTGCACCCTAAAACCCTCCTGACTGCCTTACTCCATCCCATCCCAAAATTATTATGATTAATAATTTTATTATTTATACCCTGCCCATCTGGCTGGGTTTCCCCAGCCACTCAGGGCAGCTTACAGCATATATAAAACATAGTAAAACATCAAACATTAACAACATCCTGATACAGGGCTGCCTTCAAGGGCTCCCAGTAAGAGACAGTGATCCACCTGCTGGACTGTCAGGCAGGGGTGGACTTTGGTCTTTCAAATCTCAGCAGCACCCTCTGCAAGTCCAGAATTCGATGTTCTATTGCCTCTTGCATTCTGCTCAATTCACGACATCACCCACCCCCAGGCTCTGTACCCAGCGAGGCAGAACTGGTTAAAGGTAACCACCCCCCTGACCATTAGGACCAGTCGTGGCCAACTCTGGGGTTGCGGCGCTCAACTCGCTTTATTGGCCGAGGGAGCCGGTGTACAGCTTCTGGGTCATGTGGCCAGCATGACTAAGCCACTTTTGGCGAACCAGAGCAGCGCACGGAAACGCCGTTTAGCTTCCCGCCAGAGTGGTACCTATTTATCTACTTGCACTTTGACGTGCTTTCGAACTGCTAGGTTGGCAGGAGCAGGGACCGAGCAACGGGAGCTCTTCCCTAAATCTGCCTCTGTGTTAGATAAGGACTTCAGCCCCACCATGACGTCTGCTGCTAGGCTTCTCTGTGGTATAGGCTGAATAAATTTAGTTTCCTGGCTATAAAAATCCGCTTGTGGTGTGGTGATGAGCAACAGTGGAAATGCAATTGTGGGGCAGGGGAGTTGGACCATTTCTCCCAACAAAGTCCCAGCAAAATCTCCCCTGAGCCATTCTTTGCACTGCAAGGGGCTTCTGTCCAGTGTCCTGTTCTCTCAATGGTAAACCAGATGCCTATGGGGAAACCAGGAAGCAGGACCCAAGCACAAGGACACTTTCCCCTCCTCTGGTTTCAAGAAATGGTATTCAGAAGCCCTGCTGCCTTCAGCTGTGGTGTTTACAGAGCAGAGGTTTCCAACCTTTTTGAGTCCATGGCTCCCTTGACCAGCTACATTCTTTCTGTGACGCACCATATGGGGAAACATGCACGAGCCTCAGATGCCCTGTTATGTCACCCCTTGCCTGCAGAGCTGGCACCCCCTCATTCCTTTTTGAACACCCTCCCTTGGGGAGTGTTCCCTCAGCCTCCTCCCTTCTTCTTGCCAGTCTTCCGGGCAGCTCCCGCAGCTGCTCCTGGTCTCTGAGCCATGCCCCCTGCCCCAAAGAGAGGTGCCTCCTCACACTGACCCACTTTATTCTGAGGCCACCTCAGCTCCTGGCAACCAGCACCCCCTGGCCAGCCCCAGAGGCACCATTTGCCTGGGGAGCTTGTTGCTAGAGCCACTGTAAGCCTCTGGGAGACAGAGAAGCAAGAGGGCATCAGAGGAGGGAGGGAAGGAAAGAGGGATGGAGATCCGTGTTGCTCGCAGCACACCTGACCATCATTCAAGGTGCCCCAGGGTGCTACGACACACTAGTTGAAAACCACTGAGAGCATAGCTATCATGGCTAGTCGCCACTGATAGGCCTCTCCTCTTATGAATTCGTTTAATTCTTTTTAGAAGCCATCTTGTTTGGTGGCCCTTACTACAAGTTCCATAGTTTAACAATGCATAAATAGCAGCTTCAGTGGAGATTGTTCCATTAGGGGAATGGGAACATCAGTCTACCTGCCCTTACCCTGCCTTACCTGTTTACCTTAAAAGTAAAGGTAAAGGGACCCCTGACCATTAGGTCCAGTCGCGGACAACTCTGAGGTTGTGGCACTCATCTCGCTTTACTGTCAACCAATCCAGAGAACAGCATTGTCTGTCAGCTCCCTCCTCCTTAGTGTTATCCCTTGGGGAATTCCACATGGAGGAGGATGGAGACAAAACTAGAATTAGTTGACACATTGGCTCTAGCGATACCTACTTTTGCCCCCCCTTTCCAGCTGCTTTCCACCCTACCAGTCCCACAGAACAGTTTTAAGGGGAGGAACTTTGGTTGGAACTACAGCTGTGAGGAAAATACAGTGGTACCTCAGGTTACATATGCTTCAGGTTACATACGCTTCAGGTTACAGACTCTGCTAACCCAGAAATAGTGCTTCAGGTTAAGAACTTTGCTTCAGGATGAGAACAGAAATCATGCAGCAGTGGCACAGTGGCAGCAGGAAGCCCCATTAGCTAAAGTGGTGCTTCAGGTTAAGAACAGTTTCAGGTTAAGTATGGACCTCTGGAACGAATTAAGTACTTAACCTGAGGTACCACTGTACTTTGATTCTTCTTCCCTGACCACTGTGGTCTTCCTGGAACTCCAGCTCCACCTTGATTGCTGTTTAGATTTTTTTTAAAACCATGCATTTTAATGTCACCTGTGCAGTTAACATCACATCACATCTCGTTTGGCCCTTACAAAATCCCTTAAAGATACAATAAAGGGGATGTGCAGCACTCTCAATGTACAGTGGTACCTCGGGTTAAGTACTTAATTCGTTCCGGAGGTCCGTTCTTAACCTGAAACTGTTCTTAACCTGAAGCACCACTTTAGCTAATGGGGCCTCCTGCTGCCGCCGCGCCACCAGAGCACGATTTCTGTTCTCATCCTGAAGCAAAGTTCTTAACTCGAGGTACTATTTCTGGGTTAGAGGAGTCTGTAACCTGAAGCATATGTAACCTGAAGCGTATGTAACCTGAGGTACCACTGTATTTGAAAGGGTCAAAACATGTTTCCCTTTAGCCCTCTAGGGGGTGCTGGAAATTCATTTTGTGTTTGAAAGCAAGGAGCAACATAACTGGTTTCTTCCTTAAGGAAAAGATGACAGCTCTGTTTTTTTAATGCTGTTCGCCAGCCCTCTCTAATCACATGCTACATTGCACTGTTTCAGTGTGGTGGCTCAGACTTGACTGACTGCAGTCATAGAATCATAGAATTGTTGTAAGCTTCATTGTGTGGACCCTTCCAAGTCTCCCTATTTTCCAGGAACGTCCCTGATTTAGAGAAGCTGTCCTGGTTTCTGACTTGATCCCGGAATGTCCCGCTTTTCCTTAGGATGTCCCTATTTTCATTGGAGAAATGTTGGAGGGTATGGAGTTATCTGACCCCTGAGCCGTCTGAAGGCAATCCTGTATAGGGAGGTTTTTTTTTTTAAAAAAAAGTTTAATGTTTTGTTATTCTTTTATATATGTTGGAAGCTGCCCAGAGTGGCTGGGGCAACCCAGTAGAATGTGCGGGGTATAAATAGTAAAATCATTATTCTGGAATGGGATGTCCCTATTTTCATCGGAGAAATGTTGGAGGGTATGAATGGGCACGATTTCCAAAAGAGAGATACTAACATTCACAGACCCCATCTATGCATTCATCTATACATTTAAAGCAGTTTCAAAGCACATGACACAGTCATTGCCTCCCCCCACAAAATCCTGGGAACTGTAGTTTATTCAGGGTGCTGAGACCGCTATCCCCATCAAACAGGTACAATACTCAGAGTGATTTAACTATCAATCTGTTCCCAGCTTTGAGAGGGGATTGGGGTCTCCAAAGAACTCTCTCACACTTAACAACACCAATGTGGTTCAGTGACTAGATCAGGGTTGCTGAGGTTTTTAGGTCCCACAGCACATTTAGATTTTGGAGCGAGTGGTGTGGGTGCCACCCCCCTGGCAAACTTTTTGCTCCCCCATTCTGCCTGCCATTGCCCTTCCCCAAAACAAAAAGAAATGAAATGCATGCACACAGACTACGTTTTCCAAGCAATCAATGCACAAGCCAGGTCCTGTAGAATTAATCCCAGTGCTGAAAAGCACACAGAGTTGAAAGAGGAAGTGGGCAAGAGAGTCACCCTTCTAATTTCCTTCTTAAGCTCTGTGTAAATTTCAAAGGATTAAAAAAAATAACTTTCACCATCTCAAAGGAGCTGTGTCTCTCTGTGTGTGGTGAATCAGGTTTTGTGAGTGCAAGGTGAAGACCTCAAGGCAGACCCTCCAAGTATTCCTATTTTTCAGGGACAGTCATGGATTTACAGAAGCCATCATCCCAGTTTCTGATTTGATCCCAGAATGCCCTGCTTTTCCTTAGGATGTCCTAATTTTAATCAGAGAAATGTTGAAGGGTATGGTAGGACTTCCCTATTTTCATCAGAGAAATGTTGAAGGGTATGACAAGGGTGTCGTAGGGCCCATGGTAGGGTTGCCACTTTTGGTTGGGCAAAATAAAGGACAGGTCAGGCAAAATACGGGATGGCTTGGGGGGCGGAATTGGAGGCTAAAAATTACTTGGTGCAGAAACGACTTCAAAGCAATCCATTACAATGGCACACACAGTTAACAGCGGTTTATTCAATAGAAAAAGCAAAAAACAAAAGCACTATAATTTACAACTATAAGAAAAATATTGCATATTACATGCCATAGTTGAGCTTTGTAATGCTAATTGGTTTGATACAAACCAGCATGAAACATCACAGTTGCATAGTGTTCAGCCCAATCAATTGCAAGCTATTTGTAACCTCAAACAATACTGGAAGGGAATTAAGCAAAATTAACATCTTGCCAGTCAGCAAGTCATTCTGTTTTGAGAATATAGTCTCTCTTTCTCTACTTCACCTTCCTTGTCTACTTTCTGTCACTTCTTGCTGCATTAAGCAGTGGTTTGCCTTCAAATATAATAGGGAATGGAGTTGGGATTTTGCCACAAGACAGGGAAACATATAGTTTGTTGGAGTTTTGGCACATAGGGGCATGGCAGGAAAAACACACTGGCTACTACACGCGCAGCAGAGCTCTGCTTGGTAAAACTTTGTAAAGCTATTTGCTTAGAGGCAAGCCTGGAAGGAACTTCACAGTAACAATTCCCCCAATTTCTTGGAACCGATCTGAAACCACAAACATTTGTAAAACGTTACTGAAAGGAAATAAAGCGAAATTAACATCTTCGTTTCTGTAGGTCACCCTCTGTCTGTGCAGTTTTGCAGAGGAGGAGGAACTAAAATACAGAGAAAAAGGTGTTGAAGTCTGAAACAGCACAGAGGACACTTTTCTGCAAAAAGAAAAAGAAAAAGAAAAAGAAAAAGAAAAAGAAAAAGAAAAAGAAAAATGCCCTAGCCTAGCCCATGGGCACAACTTTAGTGGTTAGAGGCTTGACCAGGGAAACTGGGTCCAAATTCCTGCTCAGCCAAGAAGTTCAGTGTGTGGCTTTAAGGCTCCCTTTCCCCATTTTTTTTTTTTAATTTCTCTTTCTCCCCATAGATTTGGTTATTGGACAATAAAAGCCAAGTATCAAAAGGATTTCACAACCTCCGCCAAAACAGGGTTTCAAGTTAAAGAATATGGTAATGTGGATATTTATATAGATACTATAAAGCCAATTCACTAATTCTCTTTTTGGGGGAGGTATATTATAATATTCTTTGAACTGGTAATGAGTAAGATGGACATATTTATTTGTTAACTGTTTTTAGATGTCCTTAGATGTTTGTAATGTTTTGTTTTGTTTTTAATTGTATTGTTTTGTTGCTCGTGGTTTGCTGCCCTAGGCTCCTTTGGCGGGGAGTGGGGGCAGGAAGAGTGGGATATAAATTTAATGAATTTCATCAGTGGATTAATTTCATGAATGGTTAAGCAGTTGAGGACTACCATACCTAATTATCTGTTTAAAGTACTAAACGACTTGTGCCCCAAATATCTGAGAGACCACGTCCTTCCTTACAATCCCTCTCAGGTGTTAAGATCAGCAGAGGGAGCCATCTTGGTAGTTCTGCTGCCCTCAGAAGTATGGAGGTTGGTGGCCCAGAAGAGGGCCTTCTCTTGACAGCCCCTAAGGCATGGAATTCCCTCCACACAGAGATATATTTGGCACCCTTGTTATGTAGTTTCTGGTTTATGCTGAAGTCAGACATCTTCACTCTGGCCTTTAACACCGTATAGATATACAAATATATAGATTAGCACCCACCTTATCCCCTTGACTATAATGTGTTTCAAACTGTTTTCATTATGTATTTTTTAATTGCTGTAACCAGCCCTGGGTGAGTAAGAAATCTAATTAATAATAAGCTCATTGGAAGCATGTTCTACAATTATGCAAGGAAAACTTCCAGCTGGTTATCAGCATGGAGAGAACTGAGAGAGGACATGATAGCACCCATTAGGACATGATAGCACCCACTGGGTGCTATCTCTCCTAATATGCACATTTTTATAAGTAGATTTGCCTGATATCCAGATATTTGAAAAGCAGCTTCCCGTATTTTTATATGTTATGTTCACTAATGACTGCATTAATAATATGCATACTTTACCCTAATATATGCATCTTTGTATGCATTACTTAATTTGAGAACTGTGTTGCAAAATTCAGAGTAGTGCCAGTTTTTGAAGGGTGATTGTGCTTCAATTCACATATTGTTTCAAAAAGTGAGAATCAGGCAAGTTTGCTTCTAAATTTGAACTGAATCAAATTTCTCCCCCTTTCCTGCTCTTAAGCAAGGAGCTGGTCTAAGCACATGCCTCCAACTCTGGAAGGAGGTCTGGTGAAAACAGGTGCTAGCCCTAGCAGTGAATGTTCTGCAGAAATAGATTTGATCTCTTTTATACAGTACTTAAAAGTAAAAGGGTTTAACTGAGCTTTCTTCCACTTCACATTTCAAGCATTGCCAAGCTTCTCTGTCATGATAGAACCAGAAAAGAATTTTATAAGCTCTCAGCAATTTGAACAATTCAGGATCATTATTAAAGCGAGGTAAGGCGGGCTTGTGCATATTGCATCCTTCTTGTTTGTCTTTGGGTTTGCTTTTTAAAAGCAATTATTTTTAATGGGGAGGGGGGCGGGATTTGCAATGTGAGAGTCTTGTCTTGTATCCTCTGCAAAGCTGTAGTGGATTCTGGAATGTTTTCTTCCTCTTAATTGTTTGTACTCTTGTTTTCTGCTATAATTGGTTGAAGTTGTTTATCTAACAAAATGTACCGGTATATACCACGTAATTGTAAATAAAAGGTTATGTTCATCTAACTTCTACTTTGAGTGGACACATTGAAATTTCTAGATCTAAGTTAGTAACGAGCATTAATTTCAGTGGGTCCTTTTTGAATAGAACTAGCAATGGATACAACATAAAACCTCTTAGCGGTTTACATACAATATAAAATATACATTAAAATTGTCAATAAAAATCAAAGTTAAAGAGCTTACAAACCCCAAAATAGAACTATAATGAATCGTTAAAACATACTGTATATTGAAGCTAAAATTATAGCTCAAAATACATGTTAATCTAACTAAATTCTACTCAGAGTAGACCCACTGAAATTAATCAACCTAAATTACTCTTGCAGTTAATTTCAGTGGGCCTACTCCAAGTAGGACTAATGTGACAGAACCCAGCGCTTCTGAAATTTCATTCTTTACCTCATTGTGATACATTTTTTAAACAAAGCAACAAAACCCTTCTTGTCTGAAATAAATCAGTTACTACTATAAGTTTAGCTCATAGTTTTCTGTGAAACAGTGTCAATAACTGGTGGAGTGATTTTGTTTTGAACTGTTTTTAATATTGTCTTTTAAATTGTAGTATCTCACCCTGTGGTGTTATGATAAAGGGTGGGTACTAAATTGAAATATTAATAATAGTAGTAGTAGCAGCAATAGCAATAGTAGTGATAATAATAATAATACTTTTACTTTGCTGTTATTTTCAAGATATTTTTACAACAAGAGATTGGCTAATGCTCAAGTTTATGTCCGTTTTGGAATAATTCAAGGAGCTGAAAAAAAGATGCTTCCCAGAGCATTGCAACGCATTGAGGTAAGGTTGGATCAAAAATAATTACATCAGGCCTCCTGTCACAGTTCCCAGTGTAGCTTCTGAGGTTTAGATCTGTCTCCAGGTTTACCCTGACAGTTACTGAGTGTCAGCATTCCAATTTTAAACTAGTACTATCAAGGGTATAAGGAAAACATGAACAAACCACAGGCTACTTTGGACTGAAATTGAGCAGACAGTACCTCATCACAGAACGGTTTTATCTTGGCTTGAGAAGCCAGGCCACATCAGTTGATGCCTTGTTGATTTTCCATGAAAGTAAGCCGTACTCTAGCAGGACCATGTAACATTTTAAAACAAAACAAAACACATTCGGACCAGCAATTTATTAAAAAGTCCAGATCTTACAGCATGGTCCTTTCAAGCAAGGCTTGTCTCCTACAGCAGTGCAGCCATGGAGTCAAAGGCATCTCTTCCAGTCTTTCTTCTTCCCCATCTTCTTCCTAGCACACCTTGTTCTAAAAGACTCTTCCTGTCACTGTGAACCCACATCCTGTCACCACGGCAGCCCCTGTCTTCCCACGCTCAGGCTCTCAGATGGGCTAACATGACATTTCGTCATTTTAATGCCTCGATCCCAGGTGAGGCCCTGGCTTGGAAAGAAAGCTTAGCCTGTATTTTCCCACTGGCCTGCAAGTTTCCCTTCAACATTCCAAATAATCAAAATCCTACAATTTATTAATTTCTAGGATTTGGGGTGTGTGTCCCCAAATCTATAATAATTAATATTTGTATTCACAGTCAATGCTTTTCATTTTTAAACCTGAAAGAGCACATTTTAGGGCTCTCCCAGAGGACCTATTTATTGAGCATCCATCCTGATTTGCTTGCACAAAGTTTACGTGGTGGTTTGATGATATTTGGACTTCATTGCGCTTTTGTTCTGATTTGCTTGTGTAGCATTTAAACATCTTCCTGCTAATTATTCATTCATCCTATGCTTTTCAGTGCATTTCCCAGCAAAAACTCTGGATTTGTTGTGCCAGTTGCATCATCATCATTATGTAAATTTCAATACTACCCTCCATCAGAGATCACAGGGTGGTTTACAGAAATGCACTTTGTTTGAGCAAACATAGTTCTGGTTTGCTGTCAGCTGTGAATGATGGAAGTGCACTTGAATTTCCCTATAGCGAACATGAAACTGTGTGAGGGGATTTTTGTTGTTGTTGTCATTTTCTGGTTGCCACTTCTGCATGTGTGCATGGAAAAGCTACCGATTCTAACACATATGAGAAGTTCACAGTAGACAGCTCACCAGTATATTTTGCCTGCTTGAACTTGAGCTTTTCCTACATCCATGCTTCAAAAGTAAAGGATAAATTTCACTTTTGATGTAGGATGAGGCTGAGAGGGGAGTCTTGTTATCTGAGCAGCCTAGGAGTTCTATATACAGTGGACATTCGGGTTGCGAACATGATCCATGTGGGATGCACTTTCGCAACCCGCAGCGTTCGCAACCCGCAGAGCTGCGTCTGTGCATGCGCGGATTGCGATTTGGCTCTTCTGTGCATGCGCAAACCTCCATTTAGCTCTTCTGCGCATGCACAAAGCACAATTTAGCGCTTCTGTGCATGCACGGCTGTCAAAACCTGGAAGTGACCCGTTCCAGTACGTCCAGGTTTTGGCATGTCCATAACCTGAAAAAACGGAACCTGAAGCGTCTGTAATGCGAGGTATGACTGTACACTGCCCAGGCTAGCATACTGGAGAGGTCACTGTGCAGTTTGACTTCATCCCCAGAGGTGCACTCTCTTGAAACAGACAGATGCAAACTCATCCATCAGGGCGAGTGGGGCACTTCCCCAGTCTCAGTCTGGCTTCTTACTGACAAGCAGTCCAGGGGGTGGCACTGCCTCTCAGCTTCCTCCTCTTTAGGTTCAAAGTTGCCCTTGCAGGACTCAGCAGGGATGTAGATGGGGACAAAACTATAATTTGTTGGCTCTGCCTGTCACTAGCTCTGGTGCCAGCTGCTGCTGGGCTCCCTGCCTTATGCTCTACCAGTCCCTAGTAGGCACCAGCCACCATTGGCATCTAGAAATGTTTATGAGGACGATTGTCTCATAGCAGGAATAGACAACCACTAGCGCATGAGTTGGAACCAACTGCAAAGTCTCTCCCAATGTTCTTTTCAGTAATAGGTGCATTTTTTGTGTTATTTTCGCTAATATATATATATTATATACAATACATGCATTTTTAATGTGGATATTTTTACTAATGATACACATTTATGTACATATATGCAGTTTGGACACTTCTGAATTAGAGAATTAAAAAACAAAACAAAACCATTTTGGTTTGTGCATTGTTTCAGTGTTAATTAAAATGCAAACCCAACTGAATATCTCCCCCCATCCCAAATCTCCACTCTTTAAAAATATATAAATGGTTTGACTTGGAAGCCAACCGTTTCCACATTTTAACTAACAGCCCAGTCCACAAGCCACTTAAACATCAGTTACTTGGATTTAAGATGATGCAGACCCGGCTTCCAGCCAGGTCCTCCCTTGAGTGGGTGAGAGTGCATGTCTTTGAACTGCTTCCATTTCCAGCTGCTTCTGGGAACTCAGTTTGAAATATTTGCTATTACTTGGGCAGATGCCAATATATTTTCCAGGCAAGAAAACATTGGTGTTCTTTAGAATTTTTCATTCTTCAGATCAGCTAAAAATGAGAAACGTACTTCAGAGTTGCCAGGATTTGTAATTCGGCAAACAACTGCCAACTATTTTGGTGCTCCTTTCAGGATTCAGAAGCATTTGTCCCAAAAACTAGGTCAACGAATGAAGTTATTTTTGTTCTTTTTAGTTTAGTGTCCTGATTTCAAAAGTGAATCAGTCAGCCATCCCACTGATGAACACTTTGGTGCTAGAAATGGGTATCATCGCAATAGTGTGAAATTGCTTATGTTGACACTGTGTTGCAGGATGCTATCCAAGTCTAATTGGTTGGCTGTATTGCTTTATGCCAGGGATAAGGAACCCACGGCCCTTTCAGTGTTGTTGTTAAAATTTCTATACCGCCCTTCATCCGAGGATCACAGGGCGGTTTACAATATAGGAAAAAATAATAATAATAACAACAGCAAACAAAAACAATACCCCCACCCCGTTTAAAAGGCCATAGATTGTTTAATTAGCTGAAAGCCTGGGAGAATAGGAATGTTTTTGCCTAGTGTCTAACAATATATAATGAAGGGGCCAGGCAAGCCTCCCTGGTGAGAGCATTTCACAGGCAAGGAGCCACTGCAGAAGAGGCCCTTTCTTGTGTTGCCACCCCTCAGGTCTCTCACAGTGAAGGAACATGAAGAAGGGCCTCAGGTGGTGATTGCGAGGTCCAGGTCAGTTTGTAAGGGGAGAGGCAGGCCTGGAGGTATTGTGGTCCTGAGTCTTTTAAGGCTTTGTAGGTCAAAACCAGGACTTGGAATTGTGCCCAGAAAGTGATTGGCAGCCAATGCCATTGGGCCAGGATTGGCAGTATATGCTGCATTCAACTAAGTTATATTCAGATTGGACTCCCTGAAATTAGTGGATCTATTCACCTTACAAGGCTACAGTTCCCAGAGTTCCCTGGGAAGAGGGTTGTACAGTAAAACCACCCTGAGAATTGTATATAGATGAGGGGGAAAGGAGTTCTCTCAGCAACTCTCAGCATTTTTAGCAAACTACAATTCCCATGATTCTGTGTGGTGGTGGGGGGAGCCACAATTGTTTAGAGTGGTATGATACTGCTTTAAATGTATAGTGCAGATGAAACATAACTGTATTTTTTTAAACCTCTTTGAAATCATAGGATGAAAGGTGGTATAGATTTTTTTTGTAAATAAAATGAATAAAACTGTCTCTGTGCCTGGATAGTTTCTGATACTGTTATGTATCTTGATCATCAGATGGAGAATGGATTAGCAGAGTGCAATTTTAACAGCAAAGTAGCTGTTGGTGAACTAGGTTACGGCAGTCTCCAAGAGCTTGATGGCGCAATACTTTATATTGCCGCTTCAGTGCTGGAATCCACAGGTAATTATCTCACATTCACACACACATACACACACTATCTCTGGCCCCACTTATGTCATATTGTGTGACCAGTGCTTTTTTTCTAGGGGGACGCAGGGGTACGCATACCCCTAAACATTTTGTGAATCTAAGTTTGGCCTCATTGAGGGGCAGTATTTCAATATTAGCAGGAAAATGAGAGTATTCCTAAACATTTTTTTTGGGGGGGGGGAGCACTGGGTGTAACCACACTTGGAATACCATGTTCAGTTCTGGTCTCCTCATGTCAAAAAGGATAGTGTAGAGTTGGAAAAGTTTCAGAAAAAAGGCAACCAAAATTAGCAAGGGGGTGGAGCAACTTGCCTATGAAGAAAGGTTGCAATATTTGGAGCATTTTAGTTTAAAGAAAAGTAAGGGGGAACCATGATATAAATTTACTATCTATTTATTGCATTTGTTAATATAGACCACTTGATATATACCACTTTACTTGTAGTAAAACCTCTAAGTTGTTTACAAGAAATATTTAAATTATCAATAAAAGCAATATTTCTTAAACAAACAAACCATGAACGTTCATTTATTTGCCAAAATTCATACTAGAATAGTTATTTATTTTGTTCTAAACAAAGCTTATTTCTGAAAGAAACTCAGGATGGCTAACATGACACAGGTGTTGTTTTTTGTATTCAGTCCTGTTCTCACAAGAAACATCTAATTTTTTTGCCAGGGGGCCATAGCGAAGACAGTGAACTTTTCAGTGTCCATTATGTTCTGTCACCTTACAAACTCACTTTGGTTGCTACTCCTCTTTTTGTGAAGCCTGGACTCCCCTTCTATATTAAGGTTGGTTAACATGACTAAAGGAAATGCACAGTCAGCGGAATTACCATAATACGTTAATAACAACATCATGAGATCCCTGCTCCCATGCAGCATCTACTCCTTCAAAAGAAAGAATCTTAGTTTGTGTCCAGATAAGGGGGCTTAAAGATGTAAATTGATTGTTCAGAGATTGCCAGCTAATCACCAGTAACAGGATCAAACAAACACAACTTAATTAGATTTCCCCCAGAAAAATTAATTTGCTTGTTTTCCTCTTCCCTCCCCACCACCTGCCATGTCTTTTTAGATTTTAAGTAAGAGGGCAGGGACTGTTTGTTTTTTTAATCAATTTGTAAGCCACTCTGGGAGGTTTTCCAGCTGAAGCGAACAGTATAAATGCTTTGAATGAATGAACGAATGAATGAGAATGGGTAAATCCAGATTAAATGAGGAACAAATGCAGGCTGGCATAGTGTTATTTTATAAAGTGCAGCTTTGGCACATTTTCCTTTAAAAGTTAACTAAATAAAATTTCTCCCTCTTTTCCAAATTGGAAAAGTATAAAGCATATGGTAGAACATTATTACTTGGTGTGATAGTGAGGAAGAAATGTTCCCAAATAAATCCACTTAGTTTGTGCAAATATTTGTCATCTCTCTCCCCACCCCGCTCTGTTTGGTGCCAGTGTTTCATCTGGCTGCTGCTCCTTTGGCAGATTTTCCCTTGATGCTGTTTCTTCGTGCTTCCTGGTCACATGGGTTGGTCCCATTCAATCAGGAATCCCACGGCAGTGAACAGGATGGCATCACAGCACCACATAGCCAATCATATTTGGCTATGTGATAGCAGGATTGAGGGCAACTGAAGGCAACCGAAAGTGAAGGCAATATACATAAATAAGCAAACATTTACTCAACAATTATTATTTTATTATTATTTACTAAATTTGTATACCACCCTATATCCATAGGTCTCATGGTGGTTCACAACAATAAATATGCCAAAAAATAATTGAAAATGGATGTTATTTTTGACACTGCTGTCATTGCCTGTGAAAAACTGTAGAGGGTTTCAGCTCAGATTTACAACTGAACTGGGGATCCCTTGATTGCTATTGTATATGTGGTAACAGTTACCTGTCTCTGATTCCTAATAATAAAAGAATACAGATATTTTGTACAAAAAAATGGTTTAAAACGTGGGTGATGTGCCTCAGGCCTTTGTGTGTGTGTGTGTGTGTGTGTGTGTGTGTGTGTGTGTGTGTGTAAAAGAGAGAGAGAGAGAGAGAGAGAGAGAGAGAGAGAGAGAGAGAAGAGAAGAGAATTTAGGCCTCTAAGCCTCACTATCTGGCCCTCAGACTCTCCCCAGGTCACACCTTATCTGGCTGTGCTTCATACCCTTTTTGTTTACCTGTAGAGAGGGTATAGTTCAGCAGTAGTAAGAGTATTAACAATTTTATTTGTTTAGCTGTAAGCTGGCAGCTAAATCAAATAGAGATGCATGCAAGGTAACATAATTTTCCTTGTCCAATAGCAGAATGCACACAAAATCACTTGATGTTATGATCCCCACCCCCTGCTGCGGATATTGTAAAGGTAAAGGGACCCCTGACTGTTAGGTCCAGTTGTGGACGACTCTGGGGTTGCGGCGCTCATCTCGCTATACTGGCCGAGGGAGCCGGCGTAGAGCTTCCGGGTCATGTGGCCAGCATGACTAAGCCGCTTCTGGCGAACCAGAGCAGCACACTCAGACAGATATTTATGTAGAGGACACTGGGTGGTGTAGCGAGTGGAATAAAACACAAAGAAATGGTGCCCCAAGGGCAATTCCTTATAGACGCCATTTGGGAACACTGTGGCTTGTCTTAATACATTGGCACAGCCTAGAAAATCTCAAGGATAGCTCAGTTGGTTAGAGCATGGTGCTGATGACTCCAAGGTTGCAGGTTCGTTCCCCGTATGGGACAGCTGCATATTCCTTCATTGCAGGGGCTGGGCTGGATAATCGTTAGGGTCCCTTTCCAACTCTACAGTGCTATGATTCTGTGATTCTGTGGATAGAAGCTTTCTCTCTCTCACAAAAATCTTTACTTGAGATTTAGACATTGACTGCATCCTAATCAGTATCAAGTTTTCTAGCAAGTGTATGTAGAACAGCTAACTTGTTTTTTGGGCGTTATGTGTCTGTGTTGTAAACTACTCAACAGTGCAAAGGTAAAAATTACACCTGTTGCTCTGCTCACTTTTGCCCCTAGCTGGCCCATGGCCCATGGAAGGTGGCCCTCAGGTTGAAAAGAGCTTCCCCATCCCTTCTTTAAAAGAAGATTGTATATTATAGTGAAATGATTTTGTTTCTGTGCTGATAGGTGCAGGTGAAGGATACAGCAGATGCCCCTGCTAGAAACATACCCATTGTCTTCACGGCTACTGCTTTCAATGAGCAAATGGAAGAGAACGTGTTAGTTCAAGAAGGTGCAGAATCTGGGAGAAGGCAAACAAGCCAGAACGACGGGACAGCTTTATTTGTGGTTAATATTCCTTCTGACTGCAAAGTGCTGGAGTTTCGAGTGAGTTAAATTCTTTTCGGGTTTCCGTTCTTGTACAGGCTGTACTTTGAGACTGTATATTTTGGCCTGTGTGCAGCGCATTTGGAACATTCCCTGCCCCGCTTTCTAGTTCAGATGGGTGACCTTGAAAACTGGATTTTTATATTTAAACACAGTGCATTACAACAAAAAATACTATTAAAAATATACTGAGTGTGTGCCCCCCCCCAAAGGGAAGGGGAGTGCCTGTCTTAAACCATATTTAGAAACTTGACAGCAAGAGGTGTTGGGAAAATGAGATGTGTTTAATGTTAAGACTTGAACTACAACATTTAATTGATTCATCTGTTATACTGATCATTGGTCTACCTTGTTTGGTATTGTCAGTGCTGACTTGTCAGTGGCTCTCAAGGCACCCTCAGGTTCCCAGAGTGTGGGGGAAGGAATGGCAGTCATGACAAAATAAGTGGACCCTCAGCTGATAGGAGATTATAGGAACAAAGGAAGCTGCACTATGCTGAGTCAGACCATTGGTCCACCTAGCTCAACATTGCCTACGCTGGCTGGTAGGGACTCATCAGGGTTTCATGTAGCCGGAACTTTAAGCCCTACATGGAGTTGCTGGGGTTTGAACCAGGGACCTTCTGCATGCAATGCTTATCCTCTGAGCGATTGATGTTTCCTAGACCTTCCAGCTTGTTGACTTGTACTTTTTTAGACTCTTATTGCCCCCGTGGACTTAAATTCATTTTGTTTCCCATCATTTCCAGATAAAAACCGCAGATACCAGTTTACCAGAAGAAAATCAGGCCAGTGAAAGCTACGAGGCAAAATCATATGCTTCCCTCAGTGGAAGTTACCTGTACATCGACTGGGCTTCAAACCACCAATTGCTACGTGTGGGTGATACCCTTCACATCAACATACACCCATCAAGCCACTATCTTGATAAAATACATCACTATAGCTATGTGGTACGCACAGAAAAAAACAACCCACTTGCCTCTTAATGTATTGTCTTTAATTGCATTGAATTGTCCCTCAAGCTTCCAGGTCTCATCCTGCCATTGCATGCCATGAAGCTGCCACCTCAGCCAGGAGATTTTGGGCGACACAAAAGACCAGCAAATTCACAAGTATCTAAATCTGTCTCTCACTATGCTTTCTTCAGTGTTATGTATACTAAAGCAGACACCAGTGTTGCTTACATATACGTCCTATGATGCCCACAAAGGGTCTCTCTTTTTTTTTTAATGATATTTATTGAGAATTTAAAATTACAGAAAGAGAAAGGAAAAAGCAAGAAAAAAGAAAAGGAAAAAAGGTATACAAAAAAAGAGATTAAACAATTTAAGTCAATAAAAACAAAAGTAAACAAAAAACAAAAAAACAAAACACCCAATACATCAGAATCAAAAAAACAAAAATAAACAAAAAATTTAAAAGCAAATCCAATATTCCCAAATCCTTATCTTTCATTAACTTGTTTCATTGACCTCCTCACACCTCCCTTTTTTGTATTCTAGTTATTAATTATCTCAGCAAATCCTTTCCATCTTTCACAATATTCTGTCATTAAATTACCTTAATCTATTTTAACCTTATCTTACCATAAAAAACCCTAAAGCTTAAAACTTAAATCTTATTTATACATAATTCTTTTAACAAAACATATTTATACATAATTCTTTTTAACATTTCTACTAAAGCCAAATAGTTTCATTCCAACATTTTTCTAATACTCATTAATTTTACAATGATTTTCTAAATGAATTTTTAAAACTTTCTTCCAATCTTCATCCGTCGTCTCTTCTTCCTGGTCTCGGGTTTTGTCAGTCCTTTCTGTTCCATCCATCTAGTCCATCAACCTGGTGACCTTCTATCCGAGGCTCTTAAGTCTTTCCATGTCCCTTCTGCAGGTCTTCTTCATGTTTATACCTGCACTTTACTTTATTTTCTGCTGATCTTATTCTTAATTTCCTTCCTTTCTCTTGGGGAGACTCCAGCTTGGCAATATCTTTATCCCTTCTCGACAAGTCAGCCCATTCTCCATAGTCAACACTGAAATCCAAAAGATATTTAAAGGCATGTTTCAAAGTCCCTCCAAGATTAAGGGCCCCCACAACTCCGAGCTCCCCCTGGCCCAAAGCCAGATCCGAAAAGTCAGAACATCCCTGCATAGGGAGATCTATCCAACTTCCCGATGCCCACAAAGGGTCTCTGTCACTCATAATGTGCATGAGACCTTTCACTGTTCCTGCTCAGGTCTGCACTGGCTCATTTTCTCCTGCGTTGAAACCTCCCCCCCCCTAAACATGCCAACATCTCATTTGCTGCCAGGATTGGACACCCACCTATCCTTTCATTCTGAACGAGGAGAGAAGTGCAAAGACCTTCTTCTAAGCAGTGGATATGGGGTTGTATCCAGTACCAGTCTTACTGAGAGTGGATTTGTTGAAGTTAAGGACCATGATTAACTTAGGTCAAATAATTCCATGGGTCTATTCTGAGTAGGGCTAACATTGGATACAACCCAATAGACTTGCCACACAACATGTTGTCCTGTAAATCACCTCCTGCAATGATATGTCTCAGAAAGATATGACACCTTAATACTTGTAGCTCTAGAGTACGTTACACTCTGCTAACTCTTTGAAATTGCCCTCTTCAATTTCACTGCCAATTACTCTGGCATTTTTAGGGTTTCATCAAGCAAAGCACGTTCTTGATTCTCAATGTCAGTTTTGTAGGAAGCTGCCTTATGCTGAGTCCAGTGGCGGAGCTTCATGTTCCGGCAACGGGGGGTGGGAAGCGGGCAGGGGCGGGGTTGGCGTGCATCCCGGGTGCATGGCGCACTGCCCGCAGGGGTGTGGTGCATGTCCTGGGGGCATGGCACGCCATTTGTGGGGGCGTGGTACCCAGCGTGGGCAGGAGGGCAGCCACGATGGCACCCCACCGGGATCGCACTGCTGGGGGTTGTGTGCTCCCCCCGCACTCCTCTTCCTCCGCCAGTGGCTGAGTCAGGGCCAAGCCCAGTATGGTCTTCACTGATTGGAAGCAGCTCTCCATGTTTCAAGCAGAGTTCTCTCCCAGCTTCCCTGGATCTCTCTCTCTCTCATCCAAAGCCCATTGTTTATAACTTAGTTCCTTTCCTCCTTTCCTTTAGATCTTATCCAAAGGGAAAATAAAAGCCCACGGGACTCAGGAGAGAGTTAAAGACTCCACTTATCAAAGTCTAAGATTTCAGCTAACGAAGGAAATGGTCCCTTCAGCCCGCCTACTTGTCTACTACATAGTTACAGGAGAGGGAGCTGCAGAATTGGTAGCTGATTCAGTCTGGTTAAATGTAGAACAGAAATGTGGAAACAGCCTTGAGGTGAGTAACGTGTAAGGGGTTGGTGACACTGACCAGTTTGGTTTCTCCCATTTTTCTTCTCATTTTTCTGAACAGTTCCCTACATCACTTTGAAATTTATTTCATTGCATCTTTAAAAAAGTTTAAAATTGTCCTCATGAAAAATTTTATGCGAACACCTTTTTCTAAAGCAACATTGCCTAAAAGCACATTTTTGCAAAATAATCTTGCAAAAAATGACAATGCATTTTTAATTCCCCACCTCCAACTAATATATGGATTTATATGTATGCTGAACCTCAGTAAATCATTGATTGATTGATTGATTGCCTTTCTCCCAGAGGTAGGACTCAAGGTTTGCTACTGGGGGGGACGGACTGAATTTCAAACCTCAGAGGAGTGTGAATTTCTCCATTGTGTGTGTGTTTTTAAAATATGAACACACTTTAGAGAAAACTGGGACCCAGTCAGGTACCATTGAAATAAATGGATTTCCTTTAGTGAATCCTGTTTTCCCCTCTCTTCTCCTATACAGGTTAAATTATCAACAAGTGAAAGGTCACACAGCCCAGGAGATTCAGTTTTGCTTTCTTTGAAAACCCAGTTTGACTCTTTGGTTGCTTTGTCATCTATGGATGTGGCAATCTACGGCATCACAAGATCAAAGACAAGGCCCATGGAAAGAGTTGCGTACTTGTGCTCCAAACAAAAGAAAACAAAACAAAAATCTGTTTGCATTGTGTTACACTGGGGGCAAGGAACCTTTCTCAGCCCAAGGGCCTCAATCCCTCTGGGGCCACCCTCCGGGGGCACACATACCCATGGTGGGCAGAACTGTGAATATAAATGTTAACTTCATGCAGTAGTCTAGTTACTACTACTACTTCACATACCTCTCTCTAGCTAGACAAACAAGGAGCATTCCCAGAGCTCAAGGACACATTCCGGCCAGGCAAAAACACTCAAGGAGGGTGCAAAGCAGGGCCAGTGAGTAATCTGACCTCGGGAGAGGGTCACATTTGGCTCCTGGGCCTGAGTTTCCCTACATCTATGTTTCATATTTACAGCATGCAAATTTTGACAACAAATATATAATATTTGAATAAGTTCATGTAAATATGCAGAATATAATATTGTTTGACTCCAACTCAATGAGTTGGCGATGCTGGCTGGGGCAGGTGCAAGTTGAAGTCCAATGGTAGTAGATGATGTGAGTTGTAGTCCAGTGGCATGTGGAAGGTCGCAGGTTTCTCATCCTTGTTTTAAATTATATGGTGTTTCCTAGGCCCTCCCACTCCCATTATCTCTAGCCAGCATGACCAATGGTCAGGGAAGGTGGGAGTGGCATTTGGAGGCTCACAGGTTTCTTACCCCTGATAATATAAGCTGAAAATAGTCCTCCCCTCTTGTCCTTTTCCTCCCCCCATAGGCACTTTTGCAGTTGGAAACAAGTGACCTTGGTTGTGGTGCTGGTGGGGGACAAAGCAATGTCGATGTGTTTCGAAGAGCTGGACTCACCTTCCTGACCAATGCGAATGCTGATGATTCAACAGAAACAGGTGCCCACCATCCCTTTTAACCACAAAGTGACACCTTTTCGCAAGTCCTCCCTAAATATCTGGGGTGTCAAGGCTTTTTCATTTTGCTGCCAGCTTTATAAAATAACGTTTCTCTCCATTGCCACTGGTTTTATCTTTGATTTGTTTCCACAGATGAAGCTTGTCAATCTGTTGTAAGATCCTCACGGTCCACCATCGAAGAGGAAATTGACAAAATGGGTACAGCATATGCCAGATGTTTTACTCAGTAGCATTTTTTGTGTTGAAGAGGGGAACCGAGCAATTTGTGGGAAATATATTTGGTTCTGTTAACCATATATATGATTTCATAGATCTAAGGGCTAGGGCATTGCATTATGGGTAACTTAAGATGGGGAGTGGCTGCCACAGATGGGAGTCGAGCTTAACATTTTGCCCAGAGGACAGGGACAGATAGATCTGTCTATTTCATCTTCTCTTGGTTTCTCATTTTTCCAAACTTATATTCAGTTCTCTACATTTCTGCAGCAATCTGCAATTTTAAAAAATGCTCATGGAAATATTAGTGAACATTTCTCCCATTATACAAAATTTTGTGTAAAGCTTTAACTAATATGCACACTTTTGAAATCCATTTTCCCTGCTAATGACTTTTAATGTTGTTTCCACTTATATATGTGTTTACTGCACAGAATTTCTCTATTATATGCATTTTTATATACATTATTTGGTTGGAGAACTGCATCACAAACTTTGATGAAGTATGAATTGCAAAGGAAAGCTGCTTTTCAGCTCATAATTGGTTTGAGAAGCGTAAATTAGGAAGTTTCTCATAAAAATGCAAACAAAATTAAATTTCTCCCTGTTGAGGAACTGTTGTATTTATTTTTATAGTCATGTTTTTCACAATGACGTCTAAACTGTCTTGTAAATTAGGGATGGAAGGATCCATCAGTTTTGGTTTTTCAATCTTAAATTCAGTTCTCCACATTCTATAGGGGATTTGGGAATATTAAAAAATCCTCTTTTAAATCCATCATTCTTGGAAGCAATATCCCCTAATATAATGCATTTCTGTATGTTATTTTTCACTTATATTTTCATTTTTATGCACACTTCCATCTAATATATGCATTCTTGTAAGCATTTTTTCACTGGAGTATTGCATTGCAAAACTCAGATGATTTCAAAGGCCAGCTTGTGTTTCATTGCACATCTTGTTTCAGAAAGTCTGAATTTGATAAGATTTAGCTTTAAATGCATACAGATTCCCTCCATCCCTAACAGCAATGTAGGAAGGCAGTACGCAAATTCAAAAAGAAATGAAAATGGGGAAAGGGGACTCCCATAATAAATTTTATCCACATCCCTAACAGGGAGATGCCCCAAACCTGAAACTGGTACTGATTTTACTATGCCATGAGAAAGAGTCTAGCATTATGTATTGTCATTTCAGTAACCTACTTTAAAAGACAAGACCTTCAGAAGTGCTGTAGAACTGGAGCAGAACTGTATCCCATCATGCAAACTTGTGCCGAGAGAGCCAACCGCATTAAGTCTGGTAGTCGCCTTTGCATAGCAGCTTTTAAGCGCTGCTGCGAAACTGCAGAAAACCTGCGGCGGAATGAAACTCACAAGGTTTTAATACTGGCGAGAAAAGGTAACATTACCACATGACACCGTTTGGAGGCATGCTACTGTTTCACAGGGGATTTTAAACAAAGGAAATGAATGGAACGAACAGATGTTTTGGTCAGCCAACCAAATTGGGGTCTGATGCTCAAGCAGTCATCCTGATCTGCTTGCAGAAAGCTTGGGTGGATGTTAGATGTTGCATGCCATCCTAAGCAGTGGATATGGGGTTGTACGCTTATCCAGGGCTCGGTTCCTCTGTTAAGAAGGTCAACAGAGACTGTGGAGTCTTTAGGATATACAGTTTGATTCACACACACACACACACACACACACACACCCCCCTTGGGCATAGGATGGAGGGGCTCACTGTATCAACACTCCGAAATATATTGCTTTTCCATTCGTCACAGCTCTAGATCCCGCACAGAGCAAGTCATGTCTCAACCCCCAGTTCCTGCAGCATCAATCTATTCCAGTTCACTCACATGCAACTCCTTAGCCTGGTCCCACTTGTTACACCTTTGATTCTTTCTCACTTAGAGGCAGCTAATTGCAGCCCAGCTCATTCCTTTAAAGTGGAGTACTAAAGTGACCATCTAGTCTTCATCCACAGATGAACATTCTTGACTGGTTCCCCAACCTTCCCCAAACTCATAACAGATTATATCCTGTCTTTACTGATTTGTTCATGGGAAGATTGTATGGCAATGAGCATTCATACTGCCTTCATCCTGATTTGCTTTTGGGGTGTTTACACATCTTCCTGTGAGACATTCATTCATCTCACACTTTTTAATGCACTTCCCCAATTGCAATTCCTCATTATTAAGCAAATTTGTTGAGTACTTTAACTACATAAACACAGGGTTCTAGCCAATTTTAGTCCTCCAAGTAGTACTACTGAATTTAACAAGCATGATAAACTTAGGTCCATTCATTTCAATGTGTCCACTTAGGGTAAACCTTAGTTGGATACAACCCCTAAAGTTTTGATCGAATCCTTATTGCAAAATGTTGACAGTGTGGAGATGCTGATGGAACTACAAAATTTCCTCAAGATTTCCCATTAGATTCTCCTAAACGTGCAAGTTTCCTACTATAGTTATAAATGTTTAGTACGTAAATAGTATTTGCTGTAATGCAATCAACCAGTCAATCGTTTTATTTCTATTCTGCCTTTCCAAAGTTAAAACTCAATGCTCAAGGTGGCTCACAAAATATAAAAAATTACATAACGAACATAACAGAAGTAGTCATACACAACAAAACATCAAAAAGAACACAATCAAATTGAACAATTTCCACATTTAACATCAACAACATTAGCAACCCCCCCCAAAAAAAACCAACACCCACTGACTAAACCTTCCCTCAGCTCAAGAGTCTGCTCAGCAGCCTCAGCTTTTGTAGCGGGAGTTAGCCAGGGCGCTGTTCTCCTAGGATAGGTAGAAAAGGCCTGAAAGGTCTTCCACAACCTATAGCCAAAGTGCACCTATTAAAAACTAGCCTCCACTGCCAAAAAGGGGCGGGGCAGGGGGGCGGGAGAGAAAATGCAATACAGTGGTACCTCAGGTTACATACGCTTCAGGTTACGTACGCTTCAGGTTACAGACTCCGTTAACCCAGAAATAGTACCTTGGGTTAAGCACTTTGCTTCAGGATGAGAACAGAAATCGTGCTCCAGCGGCGCGGCAGCAGCAGGAGGCCCCATTAGCTAAAGTGGTGCTTCAGGTTAAGAACAGTTTCAGGTTAAAAATGGACCTCCAGAACGAATTAAGTACTTAACCCGAGGTACCACTGTACACACTATATGGAAACTGATCCATACAAATGAGCATATCACCCTTGATCATTGGCCATGGTGACTAGGGCTGATGTGAGCGGGAGTCCAACAGCATCTCTAAGGACTACAGGTTCCACATCCCTGTGCTGGTCCTAGCAGTTCCTGACTACTGGCTGACTTTTCTAATTTTCTGAAATTCCTTTAAAAAATATTTTCCAGCCCTTGATGCCATGTTGAATTTGGATCCAGAGATCCGAAGCTATTTTCCTGAAAGCTGGCTTTGGGAGGTTCACCCAGTTCACAGGTACAGTAGTCTGGGAGAGACTCGGTCGTTTTGACTTTAGCTGTGGCCTAGGATGAAACTGCTCTCTTGAATGAGCTGAAGTATCTACTGAGAACATTTTCACAGCTAAACCCAGGAGAACTGCTGCCAGCCAGTATAGACAGGACTGAACTAGATGGATCAGTGGTCTGATAGTTGTCTGGTAGCTTCCTTATAGTGGATTGAGCACTGTCTCAGTGCATACGACTTACATGCAGAAGGTCCCAGGTTCAGTTTTTATTATTTATTGAATTTATATACCGCCCTATACCTGGAGGTCTCACAGTCCCCAGCTATTCAAGTAAGGATGGACAGATCTGTGAGTTCTGATTCTCTTAGTTCCTCATTTTTCAGTTCTCCGGATTTCTGCCACAATCTGTGATTTTATTTTTTATTTTTTTAAAAAAACCTGCTGAAAATTCACCAGCATTTTAGTGCAAATTTCTAATATACACATTTTTGCTATAAGAGAATCCATTTTTGTAGTATATTTTTTTAAAATTTTGGCTGCTGCTTGTTAGCTACATTTTTTTGATGTTTTTGCCTTCCCCCCTCCTAATAAATGCAGTTCAAAGGCTCTTCCTGTGACATTGCCAGATTCTATCACCACCTGGGAAATACAAGGAGTTAGCATTTCAGACAAAGGTATGTATAAAATGTCTCATTTTGTTGTAGCCCTTCTTAGTGAGCAAGTAAAATTTTGTATGAAAAATGAGACAACTGGGAACCTCTGAGATTCCAGCTTTGCTTAACCAATGTGTCCAATACACAGAGGAGAATTGGGATGTCTCCCAGGAGGTGTGTGTGTGTGTGTGTGTGTGTGTGAGAGAGAGAGAGAGAGAGAGAGAGAGAGAGAGAGAGAGAATGGTGGGAGATTCAGGATGAAAAAAGGAAGTCCTTCTTTGTATTGTGCATAGTTAAAGCATGGAATATTTTGGCACAAGATGGCTGCCAACCCGAACAACTTTAAACCCGTCTTCCCTTGCACTGCCTGGTAAGGGCATTAAGATCAGAAAATGGGTTTTATATACTTCTTACATGCCAATATGGCCTTCTAAGTTGTTTGTAACATCAATGATAAAATCCATACATAATTTAAAAAACAAAACAAAGCAATTCCATCAAAGCATTAAAAACATCCACAATGTTAACCATCATCATAAGGAATGGATAAACTTCCACGTGTTTGACTCATAATTCCATTCTGTTCCATTTCCTACATCAATCTGCAGATTTAAAACAAAAAGCCCTTCCTTCCCAAAAAGCATTTTAATGGTATTTCAATAAACATGTTAAGCTATTAATTCTGTTAGTACTAACCATATTGCTCACCCATATGTATAAAGTGCATCAGTAGTTTAAAAAAAGCATTAGTAAATGCTATTAAATACTGACTGGTTAATTAATTACTAAATACTAAATACTACTTACAAATGGTGTTGTTTGTTTGCTTGTTTGATTTTCACACAGGTATCTGTGTTGCTGATGCACTTCAGGTGCAGGTAATGAAAAACGTCTTCATAGATGTGCATGTTCCCTATTCTGTTGTCCGTGGAGAACAGATAGAATTGAGAGGATCTGTTTACAATTACAAAGGTTCCAGAACCAGGGTAAGGCTCTGACAGAAAATGTTGCTAACAGTTAGGGATGGGGGAAATGTTGGAGTCAGTTCACATTAAAAAAAAATTAAAATCTATCAGATTCGCACTTTCCAAAACAATATCAGAACCCAAGCATAGCCGTCCTTTGCAATTCACACTTACATCAATTTTATGATACGGTTCTCCAACCAATGTTTTGCTAAAAACTGCACATAAAAATTTAAAGTGTGCATTAAAATGAATATATTAATGAAAATAATATGTAAAAATGCATTTTTTGCAAGCAATTTCTCTTAATACTTTAGTCAAAACTGCTTACAAAAAACTGCTTATGAAGGAGAAATTTGCACTAAAATGCTGAGTAATTTTCATTAGTTTTTTTTTAAAAAAAGTTTTCTGCGGAGAACTGAATTTAATACAGTCATACCTCATGCTACATTTGCTTCATGTTGCGGCTTTTCAGATTATGAACACGGCAAACCCAGAAGTGTTTACTTCCGGGTTCGCCATGCGCACATGCGCAGAAGCCATCTGCACGCTTCACACATGCGCAGAAGCGCTCTATTGTGCTTTGCACACACGCAGTAGCGGCACTCTACTTACAGAATTTTCAGGGTGCAAACGGCACCCTGAAACGGATCATGATTGTAAGTAGAGGTACCACTGTATTGGAGAAATGAGAAACTGAGAGAACCAAAACTGAGAGATCCTTCCATCCCTACAAAGAGCATATTGTTCCCTGTAAGTGATGAGACTTAACCCTGGAAGAGCAAGTGAAACAAAATTTCGTAACAGTTCAAAAATTACCAAAATTTCAATTGTTCCATTGAGATTATGAATGCAAAATTTCTATTTTAAAAATCACTTTATAATGTAAATCCCAGTGGGTGCCTGTAGCACATCCAATAAGTCTCATTAAGCAGCCTCACAAAACTCTGTAATGTGTGTGGGAGAGTTTGCTCTTCCTGCTTAGTTACTATTTACACTGGGTTGATCTCTGCTATGTTGAATTCATTCACTGAAACATGTCCACATTTCATCGGATGCCAGAGCTGGGCACCCACCTTCCTTTCCATTCTGAATCATAAAAGAGGTGTGGACACTAGAACTGTCATAACTCTAGAACTAAGCAACATCCAATGAAGCTTAATGCTGGAAGATTCAGGGCAAACGAAAGAAAATACCTCTTTGCACATGCTTATAAGCTACATGTTACTGAGTCAGCTGATGGAAACCTCTTCTAACCCTTTTTGACACATGCTTTAGTACTGCACTAAGGTATCTGTGGGTGAAGGCATTTGCCTTTTCGGAGGCACGAGCACTGGACAGCACGGTATCCAAGAAACCATTTGCAGGCGTCGGGATCTCCAGGGATCATCAGTTGCCTTAGCAACATTCAAGATTCTCCCTCTGGAGACAGGCCTCCACACCATCAACTTTACACTGAAGGGTGATTCTGTCAATGAAGTCCTTGTGAGAACATTAAGAGTTGTGGTAAGATCAAGCTATTTTTCTTGAAAAGCCTTCCCACCCCTGCAAATCAGAAATGAATGATTGTTTATAAAGCACTCGTGATTTTAATCCCTCTCACAACATATTAAAGGGACAAGGGATGAGGAGGGGGGAAAGCAAACCCAGGACGACAAGTTCTTAGTTGCAAAATTCAACAGAATGCAAGTCACATAGCTGGGTCTAAGGACAGTGGAAAGGCTGCTGCTTCCTCTCCTTCTGGTAACCTTAGTGGGAGGGCATTGGTAGGTGCAGGAAAAAACTGAGCTGTACTTATACCTGTGGGACATGGGTGGTGTTGTGGGTTAAACCACAGAGCCTAGGACTTGCCGATCAGAAGGTTGGCGGTTCGAATCCCCGCGACCGGGTGAGCTCCCGTTGCTCGGTCCCTGCTCCTGCCAACCTAGCAGTTCAAAAGCACGTCGAAGTGCAAGTAAATAGGTACCGCTCCGGCGGGAAGGTAAAACGGCGTTTCTGTGCGCTGCTCAGAAGCGGCTTAGTCATGCTGGCCACATGACCCAGAAGCTGTACACCAGTTCCCTCGGCCAATAAAGCGAGATGAGCGCCACAACCCCAGAGTCGGTCATGACTGGACCTAATGGTCAGGGGTCCCTTTATCCTTTACCTTTACCTATACCTGTACCTGTACCTGGAATGATGGAGGGTGCCTGATTGCCACATCCTTTCCTTCTGGTGGCTTCTCAGTCCCCTTTCTCAGGGAACCTTTGTAACTTCTGTTGCTAGTTGTAATTTAATGTTTCACTCTGTTGATTCAGTTTTAAATGAACTGTAGCCACTGCTAGCAGGGGCTTCAGTCCCCAAATAAAGTTGTTGGGGTGTTTCGTGTGTGTTGCATGTACAACTGTGATATTTTAAAAAACTAGTTTTTGCTAGAGATTCTTGGGGTGGGGGAATGAATAAGCAAATGTTCCTTGACAGGCCTTCATAATGTTATCTCCCTATTCTTTGGTTTTAGCCTGAAGGGATAAAAAAGGAAATTCACGAAGGTCACACGCTGGACCCACAGGGTGTTTATGGTATGGCAAATTACCCTTTCCCCCCTCCCTTCCATTCAGTTTTCCTGATCCATTCTTTCTCTTTCAGATAAGCATTATCATGCTCATGTGATTTGCTGTTAGAACAGTCACTTGGGCATGACACGTACCTGGGAATAAGTACCTTTGATCTCAGAAGAGTCTCCTAAGGAGTAGACATGTAAAGGATTGCACTGTATGGATTACACTATTTATTTTGGAAGGTTCACTTGGCATTTGGGCACCTCTTCAGATATAACAAAATTTTACATGATGGTTCCTGAGATTAAGGGGTGGGTTTTTGTCTATATTCAGATACAATTGGATGCCATTTTAAATCAAGGCAGCAGGATGAAACTTTTAAAAATGCATTGATTTCAAAACTGAAGTGATTTTTTAATTTATTTTTTATTTGGTTTCTTAGACTTCATGAGCAGTGCCAGGCAGGACGCTGCTGGTATTTTACAAAGGGAACTAGCATGTGGGTTATTATTATTTTTAAGTCACTGCATAGCGTGCCTCCTGCCTCCCAAACTCTGCTGTGATCCTTTCCTTATAAGCCAGTCCCAATCCTAACTATATCTATGTAGAAGTGAGACCCATTGAATTAAATGGAGCTCATTCCCATGTACGTTAGCATCATTATAGCATTGACATCATATATGAGCACCCACAGTAAGAAGGGTGGGTGAATTTGCCAGTTTTGTAATCTAAAGTTCACTTTTCCACATTTCCATGTCATTTTGCAATTTTATAGAAGTCCTTATGAAAATTCATCAGAATTTTAGTGTGTGTTTCTCCTAATATACATGTTTTGTATGCAGTCTTATTCTAACACATACATTTTTGTGGAGCAATTTGTTTTCATGACTAGATGCATTTTTAAGTGCACTTTTCTTAGTACAGTATATGCATTTTCCATACACATTGCTTGGTTGGCAAACTGCATTGAAAAGTTCATATGAATGTGAATTCAGGCATGTCCAACTTTCAAGAGACTGAGATCTACTCCCACTATAAAAAAAAACCTGGCAGTGATCTACAAAAGTTGTTGAGCTAGTAGATCGCAATATACCCGTTGGACATCCCTGATTTAATTGTTTCAGGAAGTATGATTTATGTAGATTTGGCTTTAAATGTGAATCAAACAAAATTACTCCCTCAACCCTAGTCTGCAGGCACACCACATTGTTGAAGATCTAGGTCTGATCATTGCAAATGTATACCTTTGAAAGGCAGGATGGAAATGTGAAATAAATAAGGCTAACATAGTACACAATTATTATTTTTTAGCTCTAGCATTTTTTAGCTCTAGCTCTAGCTTTAGCATATGTAACACAATAAATTTCCATGGTTTCTCCACATATATTTTCAACAACAGGCACAGTGGAAAGAGAGCAAGTATTTCGTTACAGGATACCATCAAACATGGTCCCTAAGACAAAAGTTGAGAGGACTCTGAATATAAAAGGTAAAATGGAGTGGGTGGAGCACAGTTATTTTAATCACGTTTTCTTGCTGCTTTTAAGCCTCTAAATATTACAAGTGTTTTTAGCCTTGAATCAGGTTTCATGTCATTTATTTGTAAGGGAGGATAAGCTTATTGGTGGTTGCTGATACAGTGGTACCTCAGGTTACATACACTTCAGGTTACAGATGCTTCAGGTTACAGACTCCCCTAATCCAGAAATAGTACCTCGGGTTAAGAACTTTCCTTCAAGATGAGAACAGAAATCGTGCGGTGGTGGCGGCAGTGGGAGGCCCCAATGAGCTAAAGTGGTGCTTCAGGTTAAGAACAGTTTCAGGTTAAGAACGGACCTCTGGAACGAATTAAGTTCTTAACCTGAGGTACCACTGTAATGGTGGCATTCTGCTCATATTGGGATCAGTGGCAGGATGCCTCTGACAATTCCAGTTGCTGGGGTATATGATTGAGATATGTCTCTTGCCCTCATGCCCTGGTTGTGGGCTTTTCATAAGCATCTGGCTGGCCACTAGTCCCATCAGAATACTAGATTGGTGGCATGATCTGGCATGCCTTGTCTTATGTTCATATCTCTTCTGAAGACTTCTGTTTACAAATCCTGCTTCTCTACTGGTGATGATTGAAGCAGCTTATAAGTTGTAACTGTGGTGACTGGTGCCCATTTAGACGGGTAGGGAGTAAGGCAAGGGCCCCAACAGTAGGTGGCGCCAGAGCCAATGACGAGCAGAGCCAATTAATTCTAGTTTCCTCCCCTTCCTCCTTTTACAAGGGCAACCTGAGAGTAAGAAGTAAAATGCACAAGGAACACCAGACAAATCATAATCTGCTCAACAGCAATGCTGGTTGAAATATTTATTTACATTTATTAATTAAAGGGTTTTAAAACAATCTTTTACCTGTCACAAGGCAGCAGACGACAGTTAATATTTCAAAAGAGCAGTAACAAAGCGCATCTAAGCAGGGACATGAATTAAAAGTGGATTGAAACAAAAGCTGCTTTTAAAAGGTTGACAGTCTTGAGGAAGAAGAGCACAAGTGAGGAAGGCATAAACAACAACAGAACCTGCTCCCTCCCTGCCCATTCAACTTTGTTTGTTTGTTTCAGTTTGGTGCCTTGGCAGAAAAAGCAGTGTATAAATACAATGAACAAACAAACAAACAAACAAACAAACAAGCAAACAAACAAATGATAGGGTCATATACATTTCCTGGGGAAAGAAAGTCCACAGATACTGGGCCACCACTATGAAGTCTCTGTATCTGGTATCTAACCTAGGGGACAGGAAACCCTTTTCAGCCTGAGGGCCACATTTCCATGTGGGCAACCTTCTGAGGGCCCCTGGCTAGTGGTGAGCAGGCCCAGAAACAAAAGTGAGTGGAGCAACAAATGTAAATTTTAACTTTGTACAGCAGGTTAGTCTCCACACACGCTCACACATGCCTGTCTTTCCTCTACCCTAGTAAGCGAGAGTTTAAGGACACGTTCCAGCCAGGAAAAAAACATTATGGGTTCGAACCAAGGCCAGTGAGGCATGTGGCTTGGGAAGAGGACTGTATGGTCTGGCGAGAGTTCCAAGGGCAAGATAGAGATTGGAGGGCCACATTTGGCCCCTGGGCCTGAGGTGTCCCACCCTTGGTGTAATCTAACCTGTTACTCAGAGAATAGGAACAAAGTGAGTGTTAACTGCCTTGTGAGAAGTAGCTAACAGTAGAGCTCTCCTAGGAGGGTGTTCCAGTATCTGGGCCTCACCTCCATAAAGGCCCCATATTTTATACCAACTAAGCAGCATGGACACCCTCCATCCGCCCGCCAACAAAAAGGACAGGATTTCATGGTACCATTTTTCTTTTGCAGGAATTCTTCTAGGTGAAGTGATTAATGTAGCTGTCAGCCCAGAAGGGCTAAAACTTCTTGTCAACCTCCCAAAGGGGAGTGCAGAAACTGAGCTTATGAATGTTGTGCCGATCTTTTATGCATATGACTACCTGGAAAGGACAGACAGCTGGGACATACTTGGCCCAGGGACTATCACTCCAAAAGTTAACCTGAGGAGGAAGATGAAAGAAGGTAAATTAGTATTCCCTTGTGCTCTTTCAAGGTAAGGTAGACCTGAAGTCCTTGCATGATCACCAAAGCAATGTGCCTTGTGATGATAATTTAGCCAGAGGCTTATGACTGGCATAATTGCAGGGAACTTTGGCATTATCGAGATGTTGTTTGCTCTTTCTGGAGATAATAGTCAATGTGAATGATCTCCTTATGTTTGAAGTAGTGGCATGAGTGGAATAAACGTTGAATACGCTGCTTTATGTACCTTATAGGACTTGTCAGCATCCTGTCATTCCAGAAAAAGGATTTCTCATACAGTATGTGGGAGAAAGGAGAGCCCAGTGCCTGGTGAGTTCTCCATATATAGTAACAAATATAGTTCTTATTATATAGTAACACAATTTGACACAATGGGTTCTAAGGTTGAGGAGCAGGTTTCTGTTTGTGTTTGGACACCGTAGGATCCCATTTTGAATCAAGATGGCAGGCTCAACTTTTCAAATCTGCACCGGGTTAGACATCTCTCAAGATATTGTAAAACATTTTGCAAGAGGGTTCCTGAGATCAATGAGCAGGCTTCCATCTTTGTTTGGATACTATTGGGCACCATTTTGCATCAAGGTGGCAGACACAATCTTCCAGAGCTTCACCAATTGTCACTCAGGGTTGCTGTTGGCTTCTTAGAATTCCCAAGCAACATCAAGCACTTCTTGCTAGTTTGTTTACAGGTAGCAGCAGCACCTTGCCATCTGCTGCCATCTTTCTGTCTTAAGTTCACACCAAAAGTTGTAGCAAAATCACACACTTCCTACCTCTGGAGCTCCTGGTATAAGCAAAAGAGTGATTCACAGCAGCTGTGGTTATAAGTCCATGGGCTGGAAAGGTCACACATTTACAGTGCAATCCTAGACAAGTCTACCCCAGAAGTAAGATCCACTGGGTTCTCTGGACTTGCTCCCTGGTAATTGCATATCGGACTGCTGCCTTAGTGAATGAGTGAAACGTTTAAAGCCGTAGAGCAGCACAGTATAAGTACAGCAGTCATCAAGTTTGATGCTCAGTCAGAAAATTAACCTTAAATACTTGCCATGGGATACTTTATTTGTTTGCTCAGAATTGCAGAACCCAAATGTGTGTGTGCAGGCTGTGGGTAGGAGTTAATTTCAAAATTAGCAGCCAGCTCATATTTTCCTCAGGAAATATATTTGTTTTATTTTGTTGATGGGGCAGGCTGACAGCTTTTGCCTTAAGGATTTTGGGACAAGTGAGCCAATATGTGGCTGTTGATAAGAATTCTGTGTGCAATTCTCTGACGTGGATGATTGACAACTGTCAAATGGCAGATGGATCTTTCAGGGAGATTTCAAGCTACCAACCTGTAAAACTACAGGTAAGGAAACTGTTTTTTGTTTTTTTTTAGGAATTCATTTTCTAGCTAACAACTGACAGAAAATTATGATTTAGATGAGGCCTTTCTTGTTAGCACAACTAATCCGCTGTAGGGCTGACCCCACCATTAGACAGAGAGAGGGAATAGAGGTAAACAAACTTGTCAATTTGTTTCTCCAGTTTCTCAATTTTCTAACTGTAAACTTAGTTCTTCATATTTTTGCAGCAATTTGCTCTTTATTTACTGTTTTACAAAAGACTCTTGAAAATTTCTCAGCATTTTGGTGCAAATCTCACTCCAAGCAGATTTTTGTGCGCCGTTTTGGCTAATGCAATGAATTTTTGTATCTTTGCATTTTTGTTTTTTATTTTCACCAATATATGCATTTTTATGAACACTTTCTCGTAATATATACATTTTTGTACATATTGGTTAGAGAACTGCATTACAAATTCAGATAAGTCTGAATTTTGGATGATGGCTGTGTTTCAGTTCTCATATTGTCTCAAAAAGTGCAAATTGGATGGATTTATCTTTAATTGTGAAATGAACTGAATTTCCATCTCATCCCTACCTATAGGGCAGCAATATATGGAGGAGCAGCAATTAAGTTTTGTACTACTTTTTTGACCCAAAACACTGTCACCTGCCATGGGGATTTCTTTCAACAAAACAATTGCAATTTTAAGTTTTAATTATTTGCAGTTCTGAAAATTGCTTTGTTTTAATTTATGCTCAGATTTGTCTTGTGTGTTGCTTTCGTGAGGTATATCATAAAGACCCTGACTACACACAATACCTTTGACACCCGAGGTATGTGTTTTCAGGGCCCGGCCTAATCCCGTGTAGGTAATCTGTTTTAACTTCTGAATGTTAAATAGTTGCAACCTTCCTTGGGACCTGCTGATAAAGGGTGGGTAATCATTATTATTATTATTATTATCACCATCATCATCTGTCTGACTGCATGTTTATATATGTTGCTTTTTAAAAGGGCACACTACCTAAGGAACAGAAAGAAAAGACTTTGTATCTCACCGCTTTCTCTCTGATTGGATTTGAAAAATCAATTCATATCTGCCCATTGCAGGTGCGTGTAGTGTGATTACTTCCTTCTTCCCACAGACTGCATTTTTGTACTCCAAGCCAACAGTCAGATTCCAAGAATGCTAGGGATCCAGGGGCGTCGCAACGGGGGTGCGGGGGGGTGTGCGCCCTGGGTGCCATGTCTGAGGGGGTGACAAGAAGGCATCCCATGGAGGCTCGCGGCGGCGCGAGCAGCCACTGTGCCGCATCAGCTGTATGTGGAGGATCCTCTGTTTGTGGCTACAGCCGCGAGCAGAGGATCCCGGCGCCGGTGGCAAACCGCTATGTACAGTGCATGTGTGGCGTCGCACGCATGCGCTGTACGTAACGGTGCTGCACATGCGCTGCATATAGCGGTTTGCTGCCAGTGCCGCTTGCGCATCGTATGGATGATGGTGGGATCTCAGCTGCGAGCAGAGGATTCCAGCACCATCGGTCCAGCACTGGAGCAGCACCGCCAGCAAACCCCTATGTACAGCACGTGCGGTGTCGTTATGTACGGTGCATGCACCCTACGTAGCAACGCCACGCCCCGGGTGTCACGACACCTTCATTTGCCCCTGTAGAGATCAGCAGGATTTTTAAAGGAATGACTGGGGAAGGGCCATAGCTTGGTGGTAGAGCATCAACTTTACATGCAAAAGGCCCGAGGTTCAATTCTTGATGTTGGTAGACAGGGTTGAGAAACCCCAGAGAACTACTGCTATATATTGTAGATACTGAGCTACATAGACCAAAGGCCATTGAGGAAGGGTTGTAACTCAGTGGTCTGCTTTGCATTCATAAGGCAAAGTTCAATCCTTGGCATCTCCAGGTAAGACTGGTAATGCCCCCTGCCTGAAACTCTGGAGAGCCACAGCCAATCAGTGTACAGATCATATTGAGCTTGTTGGACCAATGGTCTGACTTAGTCTAAAGCAGCTTCTTGAGTTCCTTAAAGTACTCCGCTTTGACTAGTTCATGCCCTGGATAGTTTGATTCTGAGGTTTTGTAGCAGAACAGAAAAGCACCAAGCACATTTCCAATACAATGTCTTGTTATGTAATGGTTAGAGTATTATTCACAAAGCTCACTGGGCCAGTCACTATTGCTTAGCCTAACCTGCCCCACTGTGTGGTTGTGATGATAAGCTGAGGGTGGGGGAGAATTATGTTTGCTGCTGCCTCCTTCGTGGAGGAAGCGCGTGGTACAAATGTAACCACAAGCAAGGAAAAAATAAAATAAAATAAGAACATTTGGTTCTTGTCTTCACAGAGAATTGAAGATGCAAAAAACAAAGCTAAAGATTACTTGCTACAAAATTTTCATTCTGTACAAAGCACGTTTTCCTTGGCAATAGCTACTTATGCACTCACTCTGACAAGATCCAGGCAGCCTGGCACACGCGCAGCCTACTTTGCACTGAAGAGGGAAGCCCTTGTGAAAGGTAAAATCTCAAGTAACATCCATTTCCCCAACTTATAGCGATTTCCTCTAGTGATGGTGGCACTAGACCTCAGCTGGTGAAAAATGCAGCAGCCTGGAGTTACTTGCTGGGGTTTCATTTAAATCTCATATAACCCGTTTTAAAACAGCTGTGTTGGTTGTCAGCTTGTTTCTGAGCCTAATTCATGGGGCTCACATTAGTGTTTAAAGCCCTTAAATGATCCTGATCTCAATCAAATATCTGAAAGGCAGCCTCCTTCTCTACAGACTCCTTGGGTGTTGAGAGCAGCAGAGGGTGTCCTCTTCATGGTTACAGCACCTTCAGAAGTATGGAAAATGATTACCAAGGAGAGGAGACTTTTTCTGTGGCAGCCCCTAAGTTATTGAACTCTATCCCCACAGAGGTCTGCCTGGCACCTTCACTATACAGTTTTCACCTAATGCTGAATGTGCACCTCTTTTCACTCTGTCCTTTGACACTTGAGATGTGTATTCTTGTGATTGTAATTTGTTTTACAGTCATACCTCGGGTTGAAGTTGCTTCAGGTTGAGCATTTTCAGGTTACACTCCGTGGCGACCCGGAAGTAATGGAACACATTACTTCCAGGTTTTGCCACTCGTGCATGCGCAGACGCTCAAAATGATGGCATGCGCATGTGCAGAAGCGGCAAATCGTGACCCGCGCACGTGCAGATGCCGGTTGCGTTCTGCTCTGGATGCAAACGAGGCTCTGGAACGGATCCCATTCGCATCCAGAGGTACCACTGTATATGGTTTTCAATGTTGCTTTGCATCCAGAAGGTCCCAGGTTCAATCCCAGCCATCTCCAGCAAGGGCTGCGAATATGCCCTCCCTGAAACCCCAGAGAGCCCTTGCTAGTCAGTGCACACAATACTGGATTAAAATGGATCAGTTGGTATAAAGCAGCTTCCTATGTCTGTATGGAAGGCAGTCTATAAATGTAAATACAGTAAGCCAGCAACTTGCACACATTTAACTTGTGCACATTCAGCTTGGGGTGGGGCAGTGAACATTAAAAAGGGGCGGCACGGGAGTGGGATTCCAGGAAAAATGACTTTGGTAATCCCCCCCCCCCCCCGCCACTGAACCCAATGGGTTTTAACTATACACAATTTGGCTTTAGGAATAATCCCTAGAATGTTACCCCTGGATAAGTTACTGGCTTACTGTAATACATATGTACATACATCCAGGTGATTTTTTTTCTGGCACTGTCCCTTACTCTGCCCCTCCCCGCTGTGACTTATCCTCATTAGCCTTCCTTTAATAGCAGGCCCACCTATGTATCGCTATTGGAAAGAAACCCTCAACAAATTAGATCCAAACGCTCCGTCAGAGGACACTGCCAGGATGGTTGAAACTACAGCTTATGCCTTGCTTGCCACTCTAATGCAAGGAGACCAAATCTACGCTACTCCAATCATCAGGTGGTTGTCGGAACAACAGAGATATGGCGGTGGATTTTACTCCACACAGGTACTTCCCTGCAATAAATAAATGACCACAGGGTGGTCATTATTCAAAGAACTGTCTTCTTCCATGTCTGCAAACCATTTATGAATGTCGTTGGAGGCCTTGCAACAAGCCTTTTTGCCCTCAGAAGCACAATTGGTTGGTGAAGAAAGTCCTTCACACAGAGCATAGTTAAACTATGGAACCCACTCCCACTGGAGGCAGTGATGGCCACCAGTGTAGATGGCTTTATAAGAGGATTTGACAAATTCTTGAAGGAGAAAGCTATCAGTGGCTACTAAACATGATGGTTGTGCTCTGCTTCCATGGTTAGATGCAATAATGTTCCTGAACATCAGTTGCTGGAAACCACAGTAAAAGGAGAGCGCTGTTGTGCTCAAGTCCTGCTTGCAGGTTTCCCACAGGCATTTGGTTGGCCACTGTGAAAATCAGAGGCTGGACCAGATGACCCAGCAGACTCATCTTATGTTCATATGTGTTTTCAGTAGCAGCACCAAGGCTGTGGTGCGCTCCATTGCTTTTCAGCCAGAATATATAAAAAAATGAAAAAATTGTCCAGTAGCACCTTAGGTAAAGGTAAAGATACCCCTGACCATTAGGTCCAGTCGTGGATGACTCTGGGGTTGCAGTGCTCATCTTGCTCTATAGGCCGAGGAAGCCGGTGTTTGTTCGCAGACATCCTCCGGGTCATGTGGCCAGCATGACTAAGCCGCTTCTGAATAGCGCATGAAAATGCTGTTTACCTTCCTGCCAGAGTGGTACCTATTTATCTACTTGCACTTTGACGCGCTTTCGAACTGCTAGGTGGGCAGAAGCTGGGACCAAACAACAGGAGCTCACCCCGTTGTGGGGATTCAAACCACCAACCTTCTGATTGGCAAGCCCTAGGCTCTGTGGTTTAGACCACAGCGCCACCCGTGTCCCTTAGCACCTTAGAGACCAACTAAGTTCTTCAGATACCTGAAGAAGTGTGCATGCACACAAAAAGTATCTAAAGAAGTGTGCATGCACATGAAAGCTTATACCCATAACAAACTTACCGTATTTTTCGCCCTATAGGACGCACTTTTTCCCCTCCAAAAATGAAGGGGAAATGTGTTTGCGTCCTATGGGGCGAATGCAGGCTTTCGCTGAAGCCTGGAGAGCGAGAGGGGTCGGTGCGCACCGACCCCTCTCGCTTTCCAGGCTTCAGGAAGCTATCCGCAAGCCTTGCAAGCCCGGCGGCCCCATTTTTATTCTCCATTTGAGAAGAACAGTCATGGTGACCTACTTTCAGGATTGTTGTAAACACTGCTGAGATATTATATGGGTAGCATCCCAAATGTCCCTTTACAGATACCCTTAGGTCTGTTTCATTGCATATGCATATTGTGTATGGTATCTACAACTTGTTCTTAAAAAGAAAAGAAAAGAAAAGAATAGAAAAGATGTGAGGTGTGAGAAAGACCCTTCTCCCCCTGTGGCCCTGCTGATCTGCTCCTACACCTGGGCCAGATGTACAAGTAACCTGATGGATTATAAAATATCCTACAGACGTTCTTGTTATCGTGCATTCATAATGATTTGTCTTCATGATGATATCAGGGGCTGTTATATGCAAACCTACATTGTGCCTGAAAAAATTTGAGGCGGACATACGGTTTTGTACATGTTTTGTTCCCTATCATTCCCCATCATTGGGACCGCTTCTCCTCGTATGCCCCACGGAGGACCTTACAGTCCACAAATAATAATATCTTGGAGGTTCCAGGCCTCAAGGAGGTTAAACTGACCTCAACCAGGGCCAAGGTCTTTTTAGCTTTGGCCCCAGCTCGGTGGAGCGCCCTATCACAGGAGACCAGGGCCCTGCGGGACTTGACATCCTTCCGCAGGGCCTGCAAGATGGAGTTGTTCTGCCTGGCCTTCGGTCCGGGCCCAGTTTGACCCCCCTCTATGGGACCCTGTAAATTACCTCTTTGCCTCTTTTATTGGCTCATGTGGGACCAACATGGATAGCTGACCCTGATGAATACTTGAGGTTCCCAACCCCTGTGGTTGTAATTTGTGAGCAATCATTTCATTTTATCCTGATTCTAATATTTAAGCTGCATTTTAATCAGTTGTTTGATTGTGTTTTAATATATTTGATATTTGCCGCCCTGAGCCTGGTCTTGGTCAGGGAGGGAGGGGTATAAATAAAAAGTTAGTTAGTTACTATTCCTCAGCTTCTGTCAGGGAACTGCCATCAGTGCCGGAGGGAGAGAGCAAAATCCAGAGGGATTCCAGAGAGCGTCCCGGGATTGGGAGAGGCAGCCCATCTTCTGGGGAAGAGAATCAGCGTAGCACCAGTGGAGAAGGGGGGCAGATGGGGGAAGCGGCGAGGCGGTCCCATGACTCCTTGCCGGGGACCAGCGGGGAGAGTAGAGGTCCTCCGCTGCCTACGCCCTCCTTGCGCAGAAGGCTTCCGCGCAGAGAGAGTAGGAGGAGACTAGGCGTCAAAGAGCTTCTTTGCTGGAAGAAGTTTAAGAAACGCCCACTGACGGATTCTGCCAGCGATTGAGACAGCCACGGGTGAGTGGCTGTCCGGACAGAAAAGGTTCACTCAGGCAACCCAGCCAGGTGTTTGCACCGGCTTACGCACGAGCAACCCCTAGAACCATTACAGCTTCCTAGTAAAATCCTCCTTCCTGTTGCAGTTTATTATGTTCTGCTTTTGTTACACTTTAGTGCAAGAATTATTCTATAAGCAGTAATAATGTAGCAACATTGGGACAGCATCACAGAACTACTAAAAAAGGGGAAGAATGTGTGGACGGTCCAGTATAAATCCATGGCTAGTGCACAATACTTACATCAATGACATGTTGCAGACTACTCCCGTGAAACTCCACCACCTGCCTGGACTGGCCCAAAGACAGCTTTCCTTTTATCCCATGCAATTGTCTGGCTAAAAATGCCTTGTGCTCCCAAGCTTTTAATGAACAATAAGTGTTTTTATTGCCTTTATAGTTTTGCTGATTTTTCACATTGTGTTGCTGTTTCCTCCTTGTTAGTATGGTAGCACTGTGCTGTTTTTAATTGTATGTTGCCGCGGGAATATTTGGAAAGGCAGGACATAAATGTCTTAGTTAAATAAAACCTGGCTATGGTTCAGCTCCTAATTCCTAACCCCTTGCTGTATTTGACAGGACACAATCACTGCTCTTGAAGCCCTGACCGAATATTCCATCCTCGTTAAGCGGATGACACTGTTCATGAACATCAAAGTGGCCTACAAGAACCATGGGGATTTTCATCAGTACAGGCTTACAAAAAACAATTATGTTGGCAGGTCTGTGGAAGTAAGTGTATGAATTATAAATAACAAGAAACCAGGACCCAAGGTACTTGCAAGAACCAACCTGTGGTAATCCGTGGTCCAGGAATAGCTAGCCTTCCTTTTAGAAAACGCCATAACATGTGTTCTCCACTGGTTAATAGTTAGATGTTATTTTCTATAGTAACCTGCAATTCCAATGAGCAGTCATCTTAAGTCCTGACTATGGAATAGTTATTTATTTCATAAAATTTATAAACCACTTAATTGTAAAGAAAAACCTAGAGCAATTTACAAATCAAATAAAACAATAACATTGCCTATTGTTATTAGATCATATTAATAAATGGCTGTTTAAAAACAGCTATTTAAAACTTTCAAATAATAATTAAAATCAGTGATGCTAAAAAAACACAACAGATTAAAATATTTGTAAACATTCTTCATATCTGGTTAGGCTTGTCTAAATAAAAATGTTTTTTGCAGGTTTTAGCAAAAGAGTATAGGGAAGGTGCTTGCCTGGTGTCAATTGGCAGGGAGTTCCAAAGTATGAGTGTGCCACACTAAACAATGGATTTCTTACAACATTAAGATGGAATCATTAATCCTTAGGGACCCTTTTGAGTGCCTTCCTTGAAAGGGCCTAATAGATCCATTACTGAACAGGCAGTAGCATATCTGAATGTTGTAATATTTCTTAGACCTGCTACCTGCTATAACTGTTAACTCTTAACTTTGTTCCCTTTGTTCTTCTGAGGCTATGATTTAGTATTTTTAATGGGTTGTATCCAATATCCATGCGGAGGCTGCTGTTGGGCTGATAAACGAGGCAGGGCACACTCTTGATGTGATCTTTGCTGCAAGTGAGTGGCTCCCATGTCTGAGAAATTGATCCGTTGCCTACCTGGATGGGGTTGCACTCAACTTGATAATGAAACAGTCCAAATATTAAGCCAAATCATAATCTTTGTTTGACTTCCCATGCTCTTAGGTTGGAGGATTGCGATCATCTCTCATTTGCACTGCTTTCTTAATTAGTCCAGGTGGTTCCCACCTAATCCAATGTCAATCCTTCATTCATTTTCACAGCCTCTGAGTTCGTCCAGCAAGCGAGTTATATCAAAACGATATGTTTCTGTGTGGGTGATTATTTTCATCTATGTCTTTCGCTATTGATTCTTCATCATGCCTGTAATTATCCCTGTGACATGTCCCAAAATGGAGGAAATCTGGCTTTCTGCCAATTATTCCAGGCATATGTCCAAACCTCTCCGTTTCATCTCATACCAGAAAAGATAAGCCCGTACTTTGGTTAGAAGCCTTGGTTCCCATCTTCTGCTCTTGACACCCCCCTTTCTGTTCCGACATACCAGTCCATAATAAAGATAGTCTCTCTTCCACTGGAATCCTTTAACTCCCCAGTCGCTGATCAGTTAGCAGAGTAGTTTATCTCCCCTCACTAAGAGCATGCCCATGAATTAAGTCCGAATTATCATCTTAAAAACAGGAGTTCATTCGCTTGCTCATGGCGGCGACTTTGGAAAGTTGCCAAAGAGACCCAAGGTGTTTTCCACCCAGTGCCACCTGCCCCCTCATGTTGGGGGCAAGTGTTGGTCGATCTGCAGGTGAAGCTGCCCCTACGGTCCTGGGGTGGGGGGGTTGGAAGGATGATTACTCCCATCTCATCCTCAAAATATCCCGTGCGAAATGGCTCAGCCATGGCAAGCCAAACTGGAAGTCAGAATTGACACTTCTACAGGTGCCACATAAAACCCGTTCCACATTTATAAGAACTTGATTGTTTTGTATGGCAGCACCTGCACTTTGGAACTCCCTGCAACATTCTTCTTTAGACAAACCTACCCAGAGGCTTAGATAGTTGAGGTAATTTAAATCTGTTTTAGTATTTTAACTTTTGTATGTTTTTAAGTAGGGTTGTAAATTTCTCTCAATGTTATTGTTTTATCTTTTTGTAAACCTTTTTGAGTTTGTTTGTTGTTGTTTTTTAACAACCAAGTAGCATATAAATTTTATGAAATAAAAATGTTAGTCCTGCTCAGAGTAGACCCATTGAAACTGGTGGGCATTACTAATTCGGCTACATTAATTTCAATTGGTCTGCTCTGAGTAGAATTTAGTTGGACACAGTACTACAATTTGTACTTTCTTTAATGGTTGGCTGACTGTAATAGATGTTTGGCTGGGTTTTAATCTTTTTCAAAATGGCTTTGAAATGCCTTTTGAATCACCATCCCTTCTGTTTCCAATGTTAAAATGCTGAATTGCTGCTGCTTATGCTGCTGTGGCTAAAACAGCACCACTAGGACTGGGGGAGAAATTTGGTTTGGTTCGCATTTAAAGGCAAGCCTACCTAATTTGCCCTTTCTGAGAATGCATGAACTGAAGCACAGCCAAATGCATGTACTGGGGTCAAGTATGCATAAAAATGGCATATATTAGTTCAATGCATTTTTGTATGTTATTTTATTTAGGAAAATCGCTTTGCAAAAATGTGTGGCTATTAGGCAGGACCAGATACAAATATATGTCTGTTAGAAGTAATTTGCATTAAAATTTCCTGATGAATTATCACGAGGACTTTTTTTTTTAAGCCCACACACTTAATGAGGATCTAATTTACACTAACATCACTTTCTGCATTTTTTTTTTACGTATCCAGGCTCCTTTGAATGATGACTTAGAGGTTCGCACAGGCAGCAACACCGGCTTAGCAACAGTGAATGTACGTGAATTAAGCATTTTGGGTCACTTCCAGATGACCTGTTTGCTGAGGACTCATCCTGATTAGTTTGCAGGGAGAATTGGCTATTTAATGAACATGTGTTCTGATTTGTTTTGGGTGGGGGAGGTTAGATTACCATGTGCCAAATCATGCGTAATCCCAACTTTCCCAGTGCATTTCCCAATGCCTTGTTGAAAAAAGTCTGATATTTTGGAGGAAGTAGGTTTGTGATGGAAGGCCTCTCCCTGAACTATAATTGTGAAACGTGAATTTGCTGGTAATTTATTTGAACCCCATCTGAAAACAGTGAGAGTCTGGAAGCACCTATAGAAAGTGGGCTCCAGAGAGCAACCTATTGGACCTAAATACTGTAAATGAACTGAATTTATTTAGGTAAGACTCTCATCCATGAATAGATTGCTTTAGAAGTTCACTCTTCATCAGGTCTGAGATTTTCACACAAATTATGGATAGATATGGATGTCAAATACTTGGCTGGTGAGTTCAAACTCTCTTAAAATGTAACTTGAGTTCTGTTTTGTTTTAAATCTGGACTTGTACAGGTGAGGAGCGTATATTATAAGATCAGCACCTCTGAAGATATTTGTAACTTTGAGCTGAAGATTGCTATCAAGTCACCATCTGGTGAGAAAGTAATAATTTCTGTTTTAAAGTGTTTTGGATTATGCTTTTATCATAAGCCACCCAGACATCTTTTGTCTATAAGCATCATAAATAAATGAAGGTATGGGGGAAATAAAATAATTCATGAAGAGACAGGAGACATTTCAGAGTTTGGACCTGGTAGCCCTGTACTTTAAGGTGGTCGGTTGCAAGCAAGGTCTTCTGAGTTTTGAATTGAATTTTAAAATTTGTATCTTAACCTTTATCTGAAGAACTCAGGGTGGTTCTTCTGTACTCTTTCATCAAACTGTGAAGAAGAGGGGATTTTGCTACAAGCGTCTTTTCTCATGTTGCTTGCATGAATAAGTTCTTTTTTCTTATTCAGACTATTTCTATATGGCTTAATATGTAATAAGGTATCTGAACAGTGTGCAGAAAGCTAAAAACTATGATGTTACAAAAATACACAATAAAGCAATTAATACAAATTAGTAATGAATAGGTACAGACAGCGTTTCCGTCTTCTTTTAACACACCTCTCCACCCAACACCTCTCCGCCATCCACCTTGGCTCTCACCCATGGCCCAAAGAAACTCACCGATCACCCGTTCCAAATTCTCACAACGAAAAAGCTTCCCAGAATCTGCTGGCATCACCCTAGTCTCTCCCTATAGGTTTGCTTTTATGGGCAGGCACCAAGGCAGAAGGTGCTTCCTCAGGCTGCCCACAGCTGTGTCCCATTCAGCTGGGTGAATTTCTCAACGAGTCCAAAATATGGTAAATCTGACACCCATCTGCTCACCTTTCTCTGATCTCTGTACACCTCTCCTGTTCCAGGAGCTGTACCTATCTCAATTTCTTCTGCCGATCTGTTGGTGGTATAGAAGCCTATTCCTAATTTGCCAGTGATCTCCTGACCCTAATTTGAAATTTAGGGGGGCTGTGGGGGATAACATTCCAATAGCACTTCCTTTTTAAAATGGGATTTGGTGTCCTCAACTCTGCATTGGAGGAGTGTATTTGTGTTCAAATGCCATAAATCAAGGCTAGGAAACCTAAGGTCCCAGGGCCAAATGCAGCCCAGCAGGCCTCTCAGCCTGGCCCTTGAGATTCTCTCCAGGTCACACCTTTATTGAGGGGGGTTGGACTCCATAATCCTCAGGGTCCCTCCCAACACTACAATTCTATGAGTATATTCTGTGAGTGTTTTGCCAGGTTTGAAGGTGTCCTTGAATTCTGATAGCTCTTTCTGCTTGCCTGAATGAAGGTGTGTGAATATGTGTAGAACATACCCTAATGTGCAAAAGTAAAATTTTATATTTGTTGTTCCACTCACTTTTGCCTTGGCCTGCCACCTAGCACTGCCATGTGGCCCCCAAAATGATGTCCAGATAGGAATGTGGCGCTCAGGATGTAAAGGGTTTCCCCACACCTGCCTGAGTGATTCTGAAATCCTGGTTTGAACTGTAGGGCTGTATATTATTATTATTATTATTATTATTATTATTAATAATACCCTGCCCATCTAGCTGGGTTTCCCCAGCCACTCTGGGCGGCTTCCAACAAAATATTAAAATACAATAGTCTGTTAAACATTAAAAGCTTCCCTAAACAGGACTGCCTTCAGATGTCTTCTAAAAGTTTGGTAGTTGTTTCTCTTTGACATCAGGTGGGAGGGCGTTCCACAGGGCGGGTGCCACAACCGAGAAGGCTCTTTGCCTGGTTCCCTGTAACTTGGCTTCTCGCAGTTAGGGAACCACCAGAAGGCCCTCGGCGCTGGACCTCAGTGTCTTGGCAGAATGATGGGGGTGGAGACGCTCCTTCAGGTATACTAGACCGAGGCTGTTTATGGCTTTAAAGGTCAGCACCAACACTTTGAACTGTGCTCAGAAACGTACTGGGAGCCAATGTGTTGTTGTTGTTGTTGTTATTTTAAAAAAGCTCAGACTTTGGAACTAATTAGTTTCCTCCAGTTGAGTGTACAGAACCAGGACTCAGGGTTGTTGTAACCATTTAGGAATCTGTGTACTGGACAATGGATTTGAAACGCCTGGGTAAACACATCCTGCTGTTGCATTTGCAGAAATGAATATCGACGGGACGAGCTCTTCCTTCAGCTACTTGGATGAAGCAAAGCACTTGACGGCCTGTGCAAAGTAAGTCCAGATGACCCAAGAGAGAGCCTGTCACTCTGTGTGCCAGTTGTCAGAAATGCCAGGGTAGGGTGGTTGGGAAACAAGTGTCTTATTTTGGATTTGTTTATGTACTTCTGAGTTTTGCAAGGGCAACACTGAGGCTAGAAAGGAAGAGGCTAACAGGCAGTGTGACCCTCTGAACTGGTTATACATCTTGGCTGTGAGTCCTGGAAGACCTGATCCTTTCCTTGCAGGCCTTTCCCCACCTTGCCTGGGAGGGAGGGGCCGTGAATGACTCCAGCTACAAAGGCTGAGGCTGCCGAACAGACTCTTGGGCTGGGGGTTTTCGTGTGGAAGGGGGCTGTTACTGTTATTGATATTACTTTTTTGTATCTTTATTTTAGAGGTTATGGTTTATGTGAAAATGTTTGATGTGGCTGTGTACTTTTTGCTGTTTTATTTATTGCTTACGGCTATTTTTGTTACATTTGTAATTACATAATCCACCCCCCATGTTGTAAGGTGCCAGGTGCCTTGAGCATGGTTTGAACTATGGAAAGGTGGCATACAAATAAAATGTATGTGTGCATGTATGTATGTTTGTATATAAGAAGGCATGAAGTTGGGGGCTGGCTGAGGACTGGTCCTAATACTAGTCTCCATGTCAAAGGAGAACACATGGAAGAATGATTGGCAGCCGTGGTGTGTGGTGAAATAGTGAGTGGAGCCAAGAATGCATTACTTTTGCAGGGGGTGGGGTGGGGGTCTGTTGAGAAAGACAGGCAGTTAAACAGGAGTTGAAGAGATGAAAAGATGGATTTATATACAATTATAATGTTGGTGGTCAGAATAGCTGTTACAGAAGGGTTAGGGATATTAGATTGATCCATTCTTTTTCAGTAAAGGTAAAGGGACCCCTGACCATTAGGTCCAGTTGTGACCGACTCTGGGGTTGCGGCGCTCATCTCGCTTTATTGGCTGAGGGAGCCGGCATACAGCTTCCAGGTCATGGGGCCAGCATGACTAAGCCGCTTCTGGCGAACCAGAGCAGCGCACGGAAACACCGTTTACCTTCCTGCCAGAGCAGTACCTGTTTATCTACTTGAACTTTGACGTGCTTTCGAACTGCTAGGTTGGCAGGAGTAGGGACCGAGCAACGGGAGCCCACCCCGTTGCGGGGATTCGAACCGCCGACCTTCTGATCTTATATGATTGCTTATTCTGGTTTTCATTTTCCATTTAGATATATTTTTACTGTGCTACATCCATATAAGTCTTACTCAGATTGAAATCTATGGGCATGACTAACTTCCTTCCATTCATTTCATGGCCTCTAGTCTAAAACTTGTTTGGATACAACACCACTGATTTTTGAATTCATAGATTTGTTCTAGTCTGGGGAACCTTTAGGGCTTTCTGCCACCCTCCATGAATTGGAAATACATCCATTAATGTGCCCAGTGTTGGACCTTGGCACACTTGTCAAGAACCAGCTCAGCAGGATAAGTACATGTGTCTCCCAAATGCAGTAGGGCTGGCTAGCCATATTTTTTAAGTCAGCGTAACCGTCAAACCAGAGAGGATGTAGCATGGAGTGAACTTGTTGTCCTACATGGAGTGAACTTGTTGAAATTAATGGTCATGACTGATTTGGGCCCATTTCAGTAGGCCTTCTCTAAGTAGAAACTTAGTTACATACATCCCAAATCATCTAAGCCAGGGGGCCATCAACTTTTTTGAGTGAGTGGGCGCATTTGGAATTTTCGTGAGTGTTATGGCAGCAGTCACAAAATGGCTGCCATGGGGAGCATGGCATAATAGCTTCCACAACTAAAAGAGCAGAGAAAAAGACAGGACCACAACATAGTGCGGGTATACTCCCTTTGCCCTGGCACATACACCTGTCATCTATACGCTTCTCTATTCAGAATGAAAGAAGAGGGGTAAGTATCTGATTCTGGCATGGAAGCTGGGTGTGTTTAAGTGGGTGTGTATTCAATGGAAGGGATAGCTGGTATTCAGAGGCATATTAGTAATGAATAGGTAGAGGATGCATATTGGAACCAGAGTGGGAGAAGGTTGTTTTCTTTAAGGAATCAGGGTCTTGTTCTGCTTTCACCCTGTATAGGTACAAGCCTATCAGAGGAGAACCTCAGTCTGCCTCCTCCCATGCTGTGATGGATATATCTCTTATCAGTGGATTGGAAGCAAACACAGAAGACTTATCTATTGTAAGGAAGGTGGTCACCCCTGTTAAATAAATAACAACATCAGGACAGCTCTGCTGGATCAGGCCAAAGGCCCGTCTGGTCCAGCACTCTGTTCTCACAACAGCCAACCAGATGTCCCAGTGGAAAGTCCCTAAGCAGAACCTGAGATCTCCCCCCACTTGTGATTCCTGGCAACTCTGACTCTGGAGGGAGAACATGACCATCGTGGCTGGTAGCTCTGCAGTCCTATGCACCATGTTGTCCTGGGGCATTGTGAAAAATTTAAAATGGCAGTATGTTGTCACTTTCCACTGGCACCGGGTAACCCCAAGTCTGGGGATCCTCCAGTGTAAGAGGCGGTCCATCGGGTGACCTCTTGACAAGGCCTCCCTCAAGCTGAAACCAGCCCAGTTCAGGTTAGATTACCAGTTTAACATGACAGCCATTTCATGAAAACATGCAACCCAATTCCACTCGCACCATCATAGCCTATTTTTACGGCTTTCTGCTATAGATTCTGTGCTTTTTTTTCCTGGTAGTATGCTCTAGTATGCACTACCGACACCTTTTCCTGCCAGGGCCCAGTTGCTGCCTCTGCGCCCCAGGGCTGGCTGGAATGCAAGTGTCCACTCCCCCAGGAGTGTGAGAGTGGGTGACACAGCATGTGACAGATTGCCCTGCCCTGGCTCCTGGCCACATGTGCCCTGGTTGCCTCACTGGCAGAGCTCATGATGGTTGTGGCGGGCCGGGTGCAGGCACTGCCAGTGAGTACTGGAACCGTTTTTCCCTAGAAAGAAGGCACTGCATATGTTAATATAGTTGTTCTTGTGGTCACAACCAAAACTAGTTGCTGAATTCTCTCTCTCTCCCTCTCCCTGCTCAGCTTGCGAATAACATTGACCAGTTGATTGCAAGCTATGAGATAACCAATGGACATGTTCTGGTGCAAATAGACTCGGTAGGTTCTCTATGGCTTCTCTGTCCTTTTCATTAAAATAAAATGTTTCATCGGTTATTGTCATTTTCCAGTTCTTCTATGCCAGGGCTGGATCTTCTCCTAATTCTTATAATCAACCAGTATCTCAGAATTATCCACCAAGTTGTGCAACTGGTGTAGAGGGAAACTGATTTGGGCATAAACATAAGTTTTTGACTTTTTAAAGTGTTTTTTTGGATAAGGCTGGTCCACTTCCCAGTGGGTGGTGGTGCGGGCAGGCTACGTGGCCTCCGCACTCAGCGGGGGCTGGGCTAAGCCCCCTCGTCATTAGGGAGCCCCGGCTGCATCACGGCCCCCGGCCAGCCAATCCAGTTGCTGGGAGGCATGGCTTGCCCCTTTTAAGCAGTCGCACGGCCGGGGGATCCCCCCTTCTGGTTCTGGCTTCCGTGGATCTCCCGCCCTCCCGCCCTCTTTTCATGTGTTCGTCATATTGGCCTTGCTATGGACCTCAGTTGGTCGCCGTTGAGGGGCCTGGTAGGAATTTTTCCACTTGGCAAATTGGCACTGGCCATTTGGTTTTCGCCCACCTCGTAGCAATCGTCACAACTTTTGTAAGGTTTGGCTGTGAGGCATTGGTAAAAACCTGGTTTGGGGGAGGGGAGGTGTGGCCATCACCTGCCCCTCCATTTTAAAGGGTATTCCATTAAAGGAAGCCGGGGGTTGTGGTTCCTGTCCGAAGCCCAGGTGGAGGTTAGGGCCATGGCACGACCTTCCGGTGACCCTGGGGGGAGCTCTGAGTTGATGTACATCAGGGGTGGACAACTCCCAAGAGACTGTGATCTACTCACAGAATTAAAAACTGGCATTGAATCTACCCCCTTTTTGGGGGTTCAGGTCAAAGTTATTGAGCTTTTTTAGGTAGGAGGAAAGCACAGATTTTTGTGAATTCAAGCCTAAGCTCAAGGGAGAAAGAGCTTACTCACTGAGTAAACTCCATCTTCCGTTCTGCAGCTCATGCAACAATGGAGGGCAGGGCCGGATTCTATTTTACCAATGCTAAGGAAAGGGACCCAGTGATTGACCACGATCTACCCGGGGATCTACCAGTAGATCATGATCGACCTGTTGGACATCCCTGATGTACATCAACAGGGCTCCCCCTACTGGTGGTTAACCCTTGTGAGACTTCCTGCATGACGGGCAGGAGTCAGATATAGTCGGTTCAGTTCCAATGCCTAAGCCAATACCACTCACATTCTGTAACCAATAAAGTTGTGGCCTAAATTTTGCCCATTGACCCAATATGCAGTGTCCACATGTTATTATTCAACATAAGGGGGAGGCCTCGCGACATTGTTTTACCAGTCTGGTGTTTGTTGCTTGGGAGGAAGGGTAGTATTGACTTGTAAATCATTGTTATTATCATTATCATCACCAGTGTATTATTAATAATTAATTATGATCTGTTATGCCAGGTTTCCAAATCTGCATAGCGCATTCTTTCAGGTATCAAAGAAGGGGAATAGAGGAATGAGTTTTTCTGGGCACTGAGGCATCTTTCCTAACCAGTGAAAACCAATGGCTAGAAACTTAAAAAATAAATTAAAAATGTGCCAACGACTGAGATACTTGAGGCCAGACTACAATGTGATGCAAGCTGGCTATGACCGGATATCCCAGTATTTTCCATCTTTTACTCAAATACAGCTGCAGTTTGTGTTCCAAATTGCAGTGGCAGCGGGAGAGGTGTTTAGCTCTGCCTGATTTGCACATAAGTCAGACCATGGCTTAGTGCAAAATGTGTAGGCTCTAGAAGAGAAGATCATGGCCACTTTGCTTCTCCCTGGTCATTTTGCTGCTTGCACTATTATGCTGAGCTGAGCCATGGGAAGGTCCATAGCTCAGTGGCAGAACCACCCAGAGTGGTTGGGGCAACCCATTCAGGTGGGTGGGGTACAAATAAAAGTAATAGTAATAATAATAATAATAATAATAATAATAATAATAATAATAATTTTTTTTATTTATATCCCGCTCTCCCCAGCCGAAGCTGGGCTCAGGGCGGCTAATAACAATAAAATAATACAACATTCTAAAATCATTTCATTATAAAATTAATTCAATTCAAATTGATGGCAACCATTAGGCTAGAGTTCTGTGAAGATTGCCAAAGGAGGGAGTCAGGCTGTGCCCTGACCAAAGGCCTGGTGGAACAGCTCTGTCTTGCAGGCCCTGCGGAAAGATGTCAAGTCCCGCAGGGCCCTGGTCTCTTGTGACAGAGCGTTCCACCAGATTGGGGCCACAGCCGAAAAAGCCCTGGCTCTAGTTGAGGCCAGCCTAACCTCTCTGTGGCCTGGGACCTTCAGGATGTTTTTGTTTGACGTGCCATAAATCATAAGACAAACCTTGGCTACAGCATGTGGTTAGTTTGGAGAGAGCTAAACCATGACCCTGGGTTTGGACAACACACCAAGCCATTGCTTAGCTCAGCACTAACCATTCAGAGCAGATTTGGGGAGGGCGCTGTGATGAGGTTTCATTGTACGAATGGAAATCCTTATACTAATGGAAAGAGTGATTTGGATACTGCCCTGTGCTTGTAGGGAGGATGTTTGTGTGGAATTAGTGGGGGGGGGGCACAGTGCCCTGCATGGTGTCACCTTTTTGCCACACACCACAAGCAGATTTCATTGATTTTTTTTTTTTTTTGCAGGGGCTAAATTTACATTGCTTCCCCATGACTGTTTTGCATGAATGAAATTGGGCTCTCTGGACTTACAATGCAAGGAGATTGGGGGAAGATAGGCCCCATGGCTGGGGGGAAATTCCTCAAGTCAATCCATCCTAACTTGTATTCTGTTTCCAATAAGATTCCAGCAAATGAATTTCTGTGCATTGGGTTCCGAGTAACAGAAGTATTCCGTGTTGGAATGGCAAGCCCAGGAAGCTTCACAGTGTATGAATATCACACCCCTGGTAAGGAGACAGTTCCTCCAAGCCAGAGCTTTCCAAACTGTGTGTCACGACACGTTAGTGTGTCGGCTGCAGTGTGTAGGTGTGTCGTGCGAATGCTCCCTGCTCTTCTACTGGGGCTGGAAAGGGGTTAGTTTGTGAAATATACTCGGAATCGAGCGTGGATTTCATGCTCTTTATTCAGCTCATAGTAGCAAGGAATGGAAGTTCCCCCAAAATGCCTGCTTTATATACATTATTTACACAATGGGCCCCACATGATTGGCTAATTCCGGGATTCTCCTGTAGGCCAATCAGGTTGCGGATTCACTTCCACCTGGAGCTGGATTGGGTGGCTCCTGCGGACCAATCAGACTGCTGCATTCTGGATCCTATTGTTCTAGGACCAATCAGACTGCTGCATTCTGAATCCTATTGTTCTAGGACCAATCAGACTGCTGCATTTTGGATCCTATTCAACTCAGTACATAACAGTTTAGTTTGCTAGTAAAACTGAATTACTGTGTCGCGAAATGATGCATGCCTAAAAAGTGTGTCACCAGCATGAAAAGTTTTGAGAACTCTGCCCTAAGCAATGGACCATCGCTCTATGGCAGTATATAGCAGGCTTTGGGTGCAAGAGGTCCAAATTTCAATCCAGGCAGGTCTTAGAAGGACCTCTTTCTGAAGACCTGGAGGACCACTGCCATTGAGTGTTGACAGTGCTGGGCTAGATGAAGCAGTGGTTTGACAGGGGATAAGGCAGCTTCCCTCTGTTCCCTTTCCCCACTTGATCTTCACAGCTGGACTTGTGCTAGTGCTTGCATCCTTGAGCAGCTGCCAGGACTCTGGCATCTTAGGAGGGTCCATCATTGATCCCTGCCCTGAGCCCTCCCGGAAATAAAATTGCCTGGCCCAGCCCTCCAAGCAGCACGAGGTGACTGGGCTTAGCTGTCATTTTAATTTCCCACAATACCCTGGAGCAACACTATATAGAGGATATTACCGGGAATGGGGGCTGCCCCTAGCCACCTGGTGCTGCTTACACCAGTGCTGCCTGCGCTGGGTAAGACCATCAGAGGGGCATCCCAAGGGCACTTGAGCCACACCTCTGTCATGTCTGAAGCCAGTCATGCACCAGTCAGAGTGGTGTGATCTCCAGGACCAAATGTGACATTACATTAATTGCACGAATGCAGTTAATTACACAGGGTTCTCGGTTATGGAAATAGTTGCTTTGAAGAAGTCGGTGTGGCCATGGAGCTGTGGGGTGGGGGAGTTGAATTCTTTCCCTCTTTGTCATGATCTCAACAAAAATCTCCTCTCTCTAGTTGTTTGCTTTTCATGGGAAGCAACTCCCTTTGGTGTCAAGAGGAGTTTCCCCTGAAATGCAAACAGTAGCTTTGAAGAGGTGAGAGAAAAACTCCCCTTAGCCACACCACACTACTCCAAAGCTGCTCAGGCTTTGCATCTGCTGCTGTTTACATACCAAAAGACACATGTGCTAATTGCAGTCATGTCCACAATTTCACATCTTATTTGGTCCTCATTAAGGCTCCGATTTCTTTCTGAGTTTCTCAGTAGAATTGCTCTGTATTCTTGTTTACATCTTGGCTCGTGGGACTTTGGCAACCACCAACCTCTGTCTTTCTGAAACTTTGATTTCCCACAGATAAACAGTGCTCTGTATTTTACGATCCTTATGGAGAAGACTCACTCGTAAAACTCTGTGAAGGGGTAGAGTGCAAATGTATGGAAGGTAAAAATGTTTTCCTGCAAATGGGGATGGAATAATTTGCCAGCTTTAGTTCTCTCTGTTTGATTTTTCCAGTCTTCAGTTCTCCACATTTCTGTAGCAATTTGCAAATTTTCCTTAAAAAAACCCTAATAAAATTTCTTCAACATTTCTTCCAATAAACAATTTTTTAATCAGTTTTGACTAATATATTAGGAGAAATGGCTTGCAGAATGCCTTTTTGTATGTTATTTTCACTAATATATTCATATTTGCGCACATGTTCCCCTAAAACATAAAAATATTGTTTGGATGTAGAACAGCATAGCAAATTTCAGATAAGTGCACATTTTGAGGGTGGTCGTGTTTTGGTTCTCATATTGTTTTGGAAAGTGCAAATTTGATAAATTCGGCTTTAAATAAGAATGGAATCAAATCTCTCCCTCACTCTACATGCAAGTAAATTTCTACTGACTTCAGTGGAACTCACTTCCCAAGTGACATTGCTGCCAGCGTTTAAATTGCTAATATATTACAGGATCGTGCAGTGTGACTCATTGCATTGAGGGCCTTAGTGTGAAAGTGTTTCCAGCTGTTAATAGGAATTTATAAGTGTGAGCTACAACAAAATGTTCCAGCCAGCCACACTAACCTTCAAGCCATTCCATTCTGTTCCCCTCCCACAATAGTAATTCAGAATTCCATGGCTGCTGAGGTTGCTCAGCCTTATTGGGCTGTTTTTTGAGTCCCCTGCCCTTTGCTTTGTAGGAAGAATTAAAGGATTCTCTTGGTTCGCTGAACTGGAACAACTTAAGCAGAAATTGGGGCGGGGGGAAGGAAGTTGGAACAAGGCAAAAAGTTTCTCCTTGTGCTATTTCTCTGTTTTGCTCAAACATAGCCGAATGTGGCCGCATGCAGAAAAGACTGGATGGGTCTATAAGTTTCAATTCTCGGAATGAAGTGGCATGCCAGAAGGACATTGCATATGGTAAGATTTTGAGGGTTAGTGCATGTTATTCGTCCCCCCCCCCCCCATATTTACTTTCAGCATTTTTACTCTGCCTTTTAACTCAGGAAGGTTTCAGAAAGGCATAATAATAATAATAATAATAATAATAATAATAATAATAATAAATTTTTACTTATATCCCGCCCTCCCCAGCCGAAGCCCGGCTCAGGGCGGCTAACAACAATAAAATAATACAACATTCTAAAATCATTTCATTATAAAATTAATTCAAATCAAATTGATGGCAACCCTTGGGCTAGAGTTCTGTGAAGATTGCCAAAGGAGGGAGTCAGGCTGTGCCCTTTAAAAATAGTATGAAGGTAGCCCCTCCTGTCAGGCTCACAGTCTAAAAATACACGACACACAAGGAGAAAGGAGTGGGAGGGAGGAGGGGAAAGCAAGCACAAGTTCTTCCAAGTTATAGTTATTAAAGTTACAGCCAGTGTCAGTGGTGGTTATTGTGATCTTGGGCTTGATAAAGAACAGTCTCTTCCCTGAAAGCACCCTTCCTCCATCAGATCCAGGAACAGAACTGGTGCTAATGACCAAGCCAGGAGCACAGGGCAGTTCGTCCCTCAGACAGCTGACTTGATGACAGCTAGAATCTGACCAGCAGGGCAGTGTTTTAAAAAGAAGCTGGAATACAGGATTAGACAAATTCATGGAGGAGAAGGCCATCAATGTCTCCTAGCCATGATGGATATATTCTCCCTCAAGAGTCGGAGGCAATATGGGTTGCTGGGAAGTACAAGTAGGGAGAATTCTGTTGCAATCAGGTCCTGATTGTGTGTTTCCCGTTGAGACTTGTGTGCTTGTCATCATGTCATCCACTGTGAGAACAGGGTTGTGGGCTAGGGAAGAATAGGATTGTGGACTAGATAGGCCTACAACCTGATCTAGCAGGGCTCTTCTTATGTTTGTGTAATCATGGTGCCATGAAGCAGAAGAGGTACAGGCTGTGTCACAAAGAGACACAGTACCCTTAAGCACTTCCCCCTGTGATCTCCCAGTCTGAGGATGTGGGCCTTCTTACTTGACTCAAAGGCTGAAGGCTCCAGCTAGCTCCAGCTCTCTGCTGGACAACATCCCCAACAGGAGTGAATCCTTGAGCTAGTAGGGCCCACTGGGAACTGTCCATGGTCCTGACTGATCCAACCTTTGTTTAAAGAGACCTGACCAGTCTTAGCATGCTCAGAAGAGGTTTAGCCTCTGTCCGCATCCTTTGCGAGCTTCAAGACCTGTGGAAAAGTATATCCTGCACTCCAGAGCTGGTGTAAGATTCTAGGTGGTGGTGTCTGGGTCAGCTTGTTCTAGGAGACCTTCCATCCTGATCTAGCAAGATAAAAATAATTATCAACTGAATTATTTTATCTCTCAGTTAGGGCCTAATGATGCTCAGAACACCCCCCCCCAATCAAAAATGGGGAGAATGTAAAGGAGTAACACTGTGGTTTGGAGATGAGTACTATAGTATGATACAGTGGCCTCAGATTGTGCCTGATAATGTTTAAGAGCAAATTATGAGCATGTTCAGATCTCCAAGGCTGTTGGCAGCCGTAGTCTAGCATCTTGAGGGCAACATATTGGCTGCCTCCGTTTTAGTGTGTTCTGGCAAGCATGCAACATGGAAATCAGGTTCAGATATTGTATAATCTTACTGGCCAGTGATTTTGGGACCCTCAGGTGCAGCCTCCCTCCCATGTGAAAAAGGCAGGGTATTAAAAGTACACATTTTCTTGTATTGCATCTGATTTTCTTGGATACTCTGAAAAATGTAGAAATGGTTGCACTCTTAGGGTTTCAGGCTCCTCTGCTGGTCTTGGGATTCTATCAAATGCCCAAAATTTCCACACTCTGGAGATGATCTTTAATTTTATATTTATATAAGTCATCCTGTGTAATATTAAACTCAGGGCAGTTTGTAATGCCAATTAAAACAATAAGATGTGTGGACTTCCAGGAGAGAGGAATAGTGATTCGGCTGTCTCTCTGTTAGCTCCTGCTGACAGAAGATAATTATGTAGTGATTGATAACAGTGAGACAGATAGTCTGACTACTAAATCACTCTGTAGTTAAGGGTGACCTGGGAGTTAACCAATAATTACTTTTAAGAGAGGACTCCATATTCTATATGTTTGATTTTTGTAGTTGTTATTTTACTGTAATATGAGGAAATCTTAATTATTATTTTTTTAAAAAATCCCAATAAGATGTGCAATAAAGCAAATTAAATCCTGTAAGCCAATGGCCCAAATACCAACTAAACCAACAGTGAACATTAAATGTCTAGTGTTTAAAATTCAGCAACCTTTCAGCCCTTTTAAATTTTTATTTAGAATACTTATATCCTGCTTTTATAGCCCCAGGAGGCTCTCAGACAACTTACAAAAGACCCCCACAGCAAAAGTTGCGCTCAAACCTGGTTCAGGAATATAAGTAACAAGGTGCCAGGATTATTTAGGGGGCATTTCCTGCCCTAAGGCTGGTCTTCAGACTATAAAAAGAGCCCTGCTGGGTCAGTTCAAAGATCCCATCTAGTCCTTTCTCACAGTGGCAACCAGATGCCCCAAAGGGAAGCCTGCAAGATGTCCATGGGGGAGTCCTGGTGTTGCCCTTTGACCTTTTCCTACTATGCATCAGAGCTCGCTCCTGTGGCAGTGGAGTGGAGCTGAACAACTGGATCCTGCTCAGCCCACATTGGAGGTAGTCCTCTTGTGACTTTAAATACAAAACGTAAAATACAACATTTTAAAATGCAAGCAATTATTTAAAATTAAAATTCCCAGGAGAACAAAAATGACTTAACTGGACTTCCATCATCAGATGTCACAGATGAAAACATGCTGTCTGCTATTGATGGTGGGAATTGGTGATAGCAGCCTTCCACCTCTGCTCAGAGAAAATGCAGAGACTCTTACCGTCACTTTTAATGAACACACTCAAGAATGAACCTTTGTCCAGCACTGTTGTTGTTACTGGTTTATTATTATTATTATTTCTCCTCTGTAGTCTATAAAGTGAATATCCTGTCCTCCAAGCCAGAAGGAAGCTTTGTTAAATACACTGCAACTGTCCTAGATCTCTATAAAAGAGGTGAGAGCATTTGTTATCATGAGCTGAAATGATTCCATTAAGATACAACAGGAGCAGTGAACCCTGTGGCTTTCCAGTTATTGTTGGAGTCCCAATCCCCATCAAGCCAATGGCCAGAGATTTGTTTGTTTGTTTGATTAAATTTCTATACCGCCCTTCATCCAAGGACCACAGAGTGGTTTACAATATAAAAACACAAAAACACATAACATAGTAACAACACCCTACCACCGTTTAGAAGGCCACAGATTGTTTAACTAGCCAAAGGAATGGTGGGAGTTGTCATCCAGTAATCTCAGGAACACAGAGCCTAGGGCTTGCAGATCGGAAGGTCGGCGGTTCGAATCCTGTGATGGGGTGAGCTCCCATTGCTCGTTCCCTGCTCCTGCCAACCTAGCAGTTCGAAAGCACGTCAAAGTGCAAGTAGATAAATAGGTACCACTCTGGCGGGAAGGTAAAACGGCATTTCCGTGCACTGCTCTGGCTTCGCCAGATGCGGCTTAGTCATGCTGGCCACAGGATCCAGAAGCTGTATGCCAGCTCCCTCGGCCAGTAAAGCGAGATGAGCGCCGCAACCTCAGAGTCATCCGCTACTGGACTTAACGGTCAGGGGTCCCTTTACCTTTACTAATCTCAGGAAGATCCCCACCCTTCCCAAAGTGTTCCATGAAGAGAGCATGAACTCATGGCCATTTCCTTGTCTTTTGCCCCCAGCAGGTGTGGGAAACATTTTTCACCCCAAGGGCCACCTTCCCATCTGGGCAGCCTTCTGAGGGCTGTATGCCAGTGTTGGGCAGGGTCAGAGGCAAACATGAGCAGAACAACAAATATAAATTTTATCTTTATGGTTCTGTCTTGCAGAAATGACAGAACTACTAGCTGGCCTTTGGGCTCCTTCTAACCTCCTTCTATTTTTACTCCAGGGGAGGCTTTTGCTCAGAAGAACTCAGAAGTCATCTTTATTAAAAAGAATTCATGTGTCGATGTTCAGCTTAATCCAGGAGAGAATTACTTGATCATGGGGAAAGAGGCCTTGAAGATAGGAGATGGTGCCAATGCCAAGTAAGTAACCTTGGATTTACAGTGCATGATATGTAAAGAATATGTTTGGGGCTTTTTTAATTTAGAGAAAAGTTGAGGGTATCTTATGTAGGTGGGGGAGGGGAGAAACCTAAGTAGGGATCCCAATAAATAGCCCAATGAAGAGGGGGTGGGGAATGGAGTATTCAGGAAGAGAACAGGGCTAGCTGCTTAGAAACCTGAACAGGATACTCCATTCTACACATTAGGATTGTAGCAGCAATATTTGGGATGATGGGGAAGAGGTGAGGTGGTAATAGTGTTATTTTGGAGATTACCCAAAAGTATTCTTCACCTCTGCATTGCAAGAGAAAGAGTTGAACCCAATGTCAGACTATTTCCATTATTTTCAAAAGGTCTACAGTACAGTACAGTACAGTTCAGTTGGCCACAACCCAAAGTATTTCAGGGAGCAGTTTAAAGTTGGGTTGTTGTTGTTTTTTGGCAGACTGGGGTGAAGAGAGGAGGCGGAGAGAGCAACCATTCATTTCAATGGGTCTTCTCTGAGTAGAACTTAATTGGTGACAGCCTTTAAAATGTATAAAGTTAAATGTTCAATGGACATCTCTCCTTCCATAATGTATAGTACAGTTTTAGCACTGTGCCCTGAGCACTACCTACAGTAGAAAATAGACATGCAGGTTTTTATTTATTTATTTATTTAGTTAGTTATGGTAATATTTTTAGACTGCCTTGTGATGCAAAGAAGGCCCCCTACATGGTGTATGACCACCCTTGGAAACTAATGAAATTGCTAGAACAAATTAAGCATTAAAACAGAATGAATTTTTTTGCACCCGCTGAGTATCTGAACACTCTTCAAAGACAGTACCGTGTAGTGCATCTTGCAGTAGTGTAAACTGTAAATGACCAAGACACGCATCATTGGCCAGAACCATCAAATTTACTTTAGCAGTTTGTGTTCCTTCCATTATTTCACTTAGTTTAAAATGCCCCTTTCCTTCTCCCTTTTCTGTAGATACCAGTATCCATTAGATGCCATGACCTGGATTGAATGGTGGCCTACTGACTCATCTTGTGCTTTGTGCCACGACTTTGTAGAATTAATGGAGGAATTTGTGGAAGATCTCTTTCTCAATGGTTGTTAAACTACCAAAAAACTTTTGTGAACAGTCTTCAGACTGATCAAAGCTTGCCGGAACATGTTTTTTCCTATGGTTCTTCCCAGCCTTTTAAACAAGGAGAGCTGTATCTGTCTACATATAAAATAGCACTTATTTTTCTAGGAAGTATCTGAGAATCCAGTTTTTGTGTGTTTATAATACAATGAGCTTAATATAAGTGGGGGGGGGGAAGGTGTTGCATGCTTCAGTACTGTGGACAATGTATAATATCCAATACATAATACATTGCCCAACATGGGACTTGTCCACACTTCTGCTTGTCTCCTGCCTAGATAGCATAGGTCTGAGTGGTTCTTCCCTTGCCCTGCTCCTTACATAGGGAAAGGCTGCTCTTTACCACTAAATCAGAGCAAAAGTCAATCTGGAGAAAACAAGGTTTGCCATTTGCTCCGACTGAGTGCTAAAGAGCAGTTTTCCTCAGGGGAAGGCAGTGGGACATGAGAAAGTGTGGATGAGCCTAACAATCCTAATAATTATCCTAATAATTCACCAAGAATCCATCTCTATTCCATATGTTTTCCTTCTGCATTCAAAAGTTATCACCATTCATATTTTGTATTTTGTTCTTTTGTTGTTGTTGCTAAGAATATGCATTGCAGCTGTCTGGAGACATTTTAAGCCATTGTTGGTGTTTAGAAAATAAATGGGACTTAAATCATAACGATCTTGTCTTCTTGATTTCAATGGATCTAACCTCAGCTAAGCAGCAGAGCAACCCTAATTATAGAAAGCTGGTGTCATTTATGCCCTACTTAAGGTACCTTTTTTGTTGGCTAAGTTCCACCAAGGTGCTAGATTATATGAGTTTGCTCACTCATATAAAGGCAATTGGTGTAGGTCTCCTTGCCCTGTCCTGCCCCTGCTATACCCCCAGAATGCCTCTTTCAGCGGGACTTACACAGGTTTAAGTTCAGCTGGATAAGCCGGGGTGAGTGGCTTGCACCAGCCTATCTTCAGCTCAGCTGCGGTAAGTGACTTACACCAGTGTAGCCCTGGCTGAGTCGGGGCTCAGTCAGGGAAAGCCCAAGAACCACCAACAATCCAAACTCACTTATCCCAGTGGATCTTGCTTTTGGACTGAGCTCCAGGTTGAGATCTATTCCTGTAAGACAAGGATGGAGAAGATTTGGTTCTCCAGATCCCAATTCCCAGCACCCCACCCAGCATAGGTAATGATCAGGGACTTATGGGAGATGGATTCCATCAATTACATGGAGAGCCAAAGTTTTCCCATCCTTGCTGCATGGTCTACAAACTATGGTTTCTAGATCAGGGCCATTAACCCAGCAAGTGCTCCAAGCTTCTTTGGTCAGATTTGTTTATATGGAAACAAGTAAATTTGAAAAGATTGCCCTCCCAAAACGCCTAATACTAGTCCTTGAAAGCTAAAGTGTGGCAAGCCACTTATTTCTCTCTGAGTGTTTTTTTTTATTATTATTGGCTATTAAACCAAGATTACCCTTCTGGAAATGAATTGGTTTCCTATCTAGCTTTGTGTAACCAGAAAAAAACCCCAGTGGACTATTAAATGGTTGACCGCATTCCATTTGGGCACTGTGAAGTAGAAAACTGTATGCACTTCAGGCTTTTACCAGGAAACTTCCCCCCTGGCAGATCATACTGTTGTGTGTCTTAATTTGTAGTGGCTAATCTGCTTGCTGTGTGACTAATGTGAGATGAATGAGACAACACAGCTCTGTGTGCGAGGCTCCACAGTCCCTACTCACAAATTGAGCTGGTGGCCCACACTAGCATAGGAACCAACTCCTAGGGGCTGAGGTCCCTTCAGCCCCCCCATAAAATATTTGAAGGGGCCAGCCCCTCTCAAGTTGATGGGTATTGCCATTTAAATGGTGTGCATGCACTGCATCTTCAGACAGATTATGCAGGGCGGGGCTTACCTAGCTCCCAAATATTTTATTCAAGTTGGCACCCCTGCATACTAGTGTCTTGCAAGAGAACTTTCAGTGTGCTACAATAAATAAAGAATGATCAAAGCACCCACTTCCTGCTGCAGTTCTGCATGACTGATTGCATGGGTCTGGCCTGCAGTAAGAACTGCATGTTTGATCGCTTGAGGTTTTCTGCCTTCTAGTCACCCTCCACAAGTTGCTGCATTTTTGCACGGGTTTAATTAATAAGTAAATAATTGCCTTTCACATAAATCCCAAGGTGATCTATAATCACACAACTAATGGTTGGTTTTAAAACAATACAATTAAGCACCCAAGGCAGATACGGTACTTCCTTCCCCTCCACCAACCCAACTGGAAATGCTTGAAGAGACTCCTTGCACAAGTGTGATACAGACACGACCCTTTTTAAAAAAAATGCAACTATTAAAGAAGTCACATAACCATCTCCCCCTTGTGGGGTATCATTGCTATCTTCTTATACATAATTTCTAGTCTTCAAAAGACCAAAATAACATCAAAGTTGGTGGGTGGGGAAATAAAAAGATTTCCAGGTTACCGGTATGTTTGCTCATTAATGGCCCTTCTGATCCTCTGTAAACTCATGATGGACAGTTGGTTTTACCCTAATAATAATAATAATTTATTATTTATACCCCGCCCATCTGGCTGAGTTTCCCCAGCCACTCTGGGCAGCTCCCAATAAAGTGTTAAATACAATACAGCTTTAAATATTAAAAACTTCCCCAAACAGGTCTGCCTTCAGATTTCCTTTAAAGATAGGATAGCTGCTTATTTCCTTCACATCTGAAGGGAGGGCGTTCCACAGGGCGGGCGCCACTACCGAGAAGGCCCTCTGTCTGGTTCCCTGTAACCTCACTTCTCGCAATGAGGGAACTGCCAGAAGGCCCTCGACACTGGATCTCAGTGTTCGGGCTGAACGATGGGGGTGGAGACAATAAGATGCACCAACTGTGTAGACTGAGCATTTACAACTGGCATTTTCCCAAGACACATGGAAGTGGTTCTGTATGTGGTTATCAAGGTACCTAACTAAGAGCAGCAGCAACACTTAGCATTCACAGAACATATCTCAACTGTTCAATGTGCTTTGCATACATTAGCTTGGCAATACTTACAACAGCCCTGTAAGGTAGGCTGGCATTAAATGGGCACAGGCAAAGTAAATCAGTACTACTGACTCTGGGCAGTAAAGGCTTCATAACCATGTAGTGAGGAGCAGGAGCAAGGGCAAGGGCAGTGGTAGCTAGTGAAAGTTCCCAGGCTCAGTATCTGGCATTTCTCGGAAGGGCTGGGGGAGCTCCTCATCTGAACATAGCTGTCAACTTACAGATTTGAAAATAAGGGACCAGCAGCCTCGAAAATAAGGGATCAGCAGCCAAAATAAGGGATTTTCCGGGCACAGGTATGTTCAACTTCTGAGCCCCTCTGAGCCAAAGGCAGAAAGCCCAGCCAGCAGCCAAATGAAGCCTCATCAATAAGGGACAGCAGCGGGACATGGCGCTGGGATAAGGGAGTGTCCCGCCAAATAAGGGACACTTGACAGCTATGCATCTGGAATCCTGGAGAGCCACTACCAGTCAGTGCAGACAATACTCAGCTAGTGGACCAATGCTCTGATAAGGCAGCTTCCTAAGTTCATGTGTCTTAAAGGAAAGACTGTTGGCATCCAGCGGTCTTGAGAGATAATGGTGTACACTTCTGGGGAGAAGCCAAACTGCTGCATTGGCAGCACCAAAGTGACCTCCATAGGGCACAAGCACGGGCATGGGGGCTGCCCAGATGGCAAGACTCCCTCTCAGCCTTGCTGTTGTGGTTTAAAGGAAAGCAGAGCAATATGCTTGGCACCAGCTTGGCTGCAGGAGTTGCCAGAAGGCGGAGTACAAGGCACCATCCAGCTGTCTTAGGTTCTACGTTCCAGATATGCATTGGGTTTACTCCTTAGCCTTTTCTTCTCCCAAAGATATCCCACAAGGCAGCAGAGCTTTAGGATCAGAGTTGTCTTCCAAGAAGGGATACCTAGTTGATGAGCCCCATCTGCCCATGCAGAAACCACTTTCTTGACTGCTGGATTCACTATTGGTCTCATCCGCTCAATCCACCAGAACTTGTCTTTGCATGGAGGGAAGTCCCTAATTCACCAAGGGTTTGAGACCCATCAGCTACTTTCAGCAGGTTTAACTGGCCAATCGAAGCCATTCCTGGGTTGTGGTTGCTGCCGCTTGCTGACAGCTTCTAGGAGCCCCAGGTGAGAGCTGAGTGCAGGGAGTGGACCAAAGGTGAGCAAACTACCCAAAGAGTGGCACATTGTGTCCCCCACCAGAGGTACTAGCCCTCCCCCTACACTCCAGGAAAAGGCTGTAGCTCAGTGGTAAAACATCCACCTTGCATAAGGAAGACTTCTGGTTCAATCTCCAGCATTCCCAGATAGTGCTGGGAGAGTGTCCCTGTCCAAAATCCTAGAGAGACATTGCCAGTCAGTATAGACCATGGGTGGACAAACTAAGGCCCAGGGGCCGGATCTGGCCCAACTGCCTTCTCAATCTGGCCTGTGGACTGTCCGGGAATCAGCTTGTTTTTACATGAGTAGAATGTGCCCTTTTATTTAAAATGCATCTCTGGGTTCTTTGTGGGGCCTGCCTGGTGTTTTTACATGAGTAGAATGTGTGCTTTTATTTAAAATGCATCTCTGAGTTATTTGTGGGGCATAGTAAGGTACCCCTGCCCGTACGGGCCAGTCGTGTCTGACTCTAGGGTTGTGCGCTCATCTCACTTAAGAGGCCGGGAGCCAGCGCTGCCCGAAGACAATTCCGGGTCACGTGGCCAGCGTGACGAAGCTGCTCTGGCGAGCATGCACCAGCACAGCACACGGAAACGCCGTTTACCTTCCCGCTATAAAGCGGTACCTATTTATCTACTTGCACTTAGGGGTGCTTTCGAACTGCCAGGTGGGCAGGAGCTGGGACTGAAAGACGGGAGCTCACCCCACCGCGGGGATTCGAACCACCGACCATATGATCAGTAAGTCCTAGGCACTGAGGTTTTACCCACAGCGCCACCCGCGTCCCATAGGAATTCATTAATTCCCCCCCAAAATACAGTCCGGCCCCCGACAAGGTCTGAGGGACAGTGGATCGGTCCCCTGCTGAAAACGTTTGCTGAGCCCTGGCATAGGCAATAATGAACTACATGGACCAATAGTGTAAGGAAGCATTCTCTGTTTCTGGGAAAGGTCTGTAACTCAAGAACATGCAGAAGGTCCCAGGTGCAAATCCTGGGCATTGTAAGGATTACGTAGCAGGAAGTTGCGGCTGATGCTCATTAGGACTGGTGGGGCAGAAGGCAGGGAGGCCAACAGTAGGTGGTGTGAGTCAATGACAGGATGGACTAATCATAGCCTTGCCCTTATTCTCCTTCATGCCTAGTTCTGCAAGGGCAACCCTGAGACTAAGGAGGGGGAAGCTGATAGCCAAGGTCACAACCCTGGAATGGTTATAAGTAAAAAGGCAGTCAGGTGGGCAGACTGAGGTTGGTGGGCTGTGTATTGCCAGCCTCTGTTGAACAAGGGATTTGTAATAGCCTCGGTGTACATGTAGGAATGTTACAAGTGTGTTCCTATTTTCAAATGTTATGAGCTCCTTCTGATGACCAGTTGATTGAACATTCATCCTGCTTTGCTTGCTGATGTGGGGAATTAGATTGTAGCAGGTCTTTGCTGAGCACTCAT